GAAAAATTTGACACACGAGCCGAAGGCGAGTGTGACGGTTTTACGAGAGTGGAATATGCTATTCCAAACGTGTTTCAGACATTATTTTCTCTACGACTACGTAAGAATAGTAACGCTTATATAAGTTTAAACAGAAAAGAAACCAAGCAGTTTTTGACATTTAAGTTTTTTGTATTGTCAAACCATTATGTGCCGTCACAATTTTATAATGTAAATTATAATAAATTTAAACAAATGGTATGCCTAAATCTTTATTATAATTAAAAATAGTTATTTACACTAGGTAACTAATAAAAAATAACATTTTGGTTCTGTACCTTACGAGAAATAAAACTGTTTTAAAAAGAACATAATACTATTTCCTAAAACTCCAAGACATTCATTTTGCTGCTCTAAAACAAATAAAAAACCAATTTTACAAGTAATCTATGTCAACATCTATTCTTTTTCTACATTTTAAAGATCTTTTTTTTAAACTTTTTGAATCTGTCAAAACTTCAAAGCCGGTATAGTAGGTAACTGGTTTATCATTTTAATATCAAATTTATTATAATTTTGATTTGTATATTTGAAAAACAATAAATATAACTAATTTTTTGTGCCTAAACCTTAATTATACAACTGCTATTATTTTTTAATTAATAAATAATACAGTAATATTTAAATATTTTTAAATTTTTTACGTTTAGTAAACGGCCAGGAGATGTCGTTACTTGTGACCATTCTTAAACAAGAGTAGGAATATTCTCGCACAGTATTGCAGAAAAACATCCTTTCTATGATCAAAAATTACACTAGAATGTTACTATTCTTAAGTAGTCGTAGAGAAAATAATTTTCACATTTAGTATTATTTTACAAGAAAGGCACTTTATTTTAACGATTTTATGACATTTGACAACTGTCAACTAACTTAAAACTAACTTCAGCCCGTGACTAAAAACCTGTTCCTAACTTCAGCCCGTGACTAAAGCGCCATAAAGCCACAACTTGTCAATGTGTATTTAAAAGGTCACTTATTGTCATGGAAACATGTACGATGAAGGGCGTTTTAAAGGTGGGAGTAGAAAAAATATATTTTTATATAAATTAAATAAAGTTGCATATTTTGGCTTTAATATTATTTACTCGAACCTACAGGTTTTTCAGAGATTTCTTCCTATGAATAAATCAATACGAACATGCATTTGTACCCTTCAAGATTAAGTGTATGCATCGATGTTTATTGCAGACTCTACCCTATCTATTATTCACAAATGCAGTCACGAATAGGCAATACTAAATGCCAAATTGCTTCAATACATAAAAATTACCACTTCTGAAAATCATTGTCAAGTAATTATTTCAATTAAAATAGAGCGACATCTATAAAACAATAGAGTAAACAACTTTGGAATTTGTATTATCTGCGCACTAGTGAAAACGTAAAATTTTTATGTGTAAATCAAAATGTAAGGTCAGTACAATGTTTATAACTGCTTTTCAAATATTGGCGATGAGAAACTATTTAATACTTTTGTATTGAGATAATAAAATAATTTTTACATTTAGTATTATTTTACAAGATGGAAACGATTGTATAACATTTGACAACTGTCAACTAACTTAAAACTTCAGCCCGTTTCTAAAAACCTTTTGCTAACTTCAGCCCGTGACTAAATGGCCATAAGCCACAACTTGTCAATGTGTATTTAAAAGGTCTCTTTGTGTCATGAAAACGTGTACGATAATGGGCGATTTAAATAAAGTTTCCTATATTGTTATTTTGGCTTTATCATTATTTATTCGAAACTACAGATTTTTCAACGATTTCCTCCTATGAATAAATCAATACAAACATACATTCCTACCATTCAAAGATGGATGTGCAGATCAAGCGTATGCATCGATGTTTTCTCTATATATATATTGCAGACTTTACCCTATCTATTATTTACGAATGCAGTCAAATAGGCAATACTTAGTATTGAATACTAAAATCTAGATTGCTTCAATACATAGAAATTACCACTTCTGAAAATCATTGTCAAGTAATTATTTCAATTGAAATACAAATATAGCCAAATTGACAATCCTATAAGACAGATCAAGAAAGCTCAGCACTTAGATTTCCCTTTATATAGGTGTTATGTTTTTTCCACGCAGTACATTATGCGGTTAGAGTTAATAACCATAATGAAAGTGGGTAAAAAATCCAGACAATCGTTATTCAGCCCTGTTGATGTATTAATGATGTATTAATCAGCATAAAGAGCAAGCAGGACGCGAGCGTTTCTTTTAGGGGCAACGTCTGACTAATCCCTACCCCCAGCCGATGACGAATCCTTCAGTACAGTGATCCAAACGCTAACAAAAAGTGTACTGAAAGATTTTTAAGTGGTTTTTCCTTGTATAAGAAATTTACTCAAAATTCTTTTGAAATGGACGATTTTTATATAAAAAAAAAAAAATAGTATATTGCAGTGGCGGCCCGTGACTGGTTAAAAAGGCAGTGCTGCATCAACAATAATAATAAAAAAAATAAAAACTGCGCTTTTATAATAAATTTAATTTATCATTTTTAGTTTTCAAGACATCGTAAAAAACGTAAAAAAAATTTGTAATTTTTTTATTTTAAAAACGGTTGATGGAAGCCTTTTTCAATTCAGATATTATTCAAACTCTTTTTTAAGGGGAAATTAAAGTAAAGTGCTCTTTTAGTTCCACCCTTACATCCAAACTAAGATGTCCCATAAGCCAACTGAATGGCTTGTGCGGGTTAGGGGTAGGAACGGACCGACGGCTTAAAGTCCCCTCCGAAGGACTATACACAATGGACAAACACAAATAAACAACCATACCCAAGTGGGATTCGAACCCACGACCTCTCGGCTCGTACCCAGGAGCTCTGACCACTACACCACCGAGGCCAAAATATTTTGTCTAGTTTTTAAAACTTTACGAAAAAAAATTATTCTTCTTAAAAACTTCTGCTTATTTAAAAAATGACATTTCCATAAAAAATCAAATGTACAGGGTGCTCAGAAATTAGGAAAACCTGAAAATTCTTTAAGGGTGAAGTACCTTTATTTATTATTTTATTAAAAAATTTCATAAAAGAAAGTCGATGATATATTAAATTAATGCCTAAATACGAAAAAATAAATATTTTTTTTTATAATAAAATTTTAAAATAAGTTTTTTATTTCGAATTTAGACTTTAATTTGATTTAATTTAATTTATTTGGATTGTCACAGACTTTCTCTTATAAAATTTTTCATAAAATTAAATAACTTTTTGTATAAAGATTAAATAAAATTTTTAAATAACAAAAAATATTTTTTCTACTCCTATTAAGGAATATGAACGTTCTAACATCACTTTTTAATGTGGAATTACATATATTCCTAAAAGTGTTACAGAATGAAATATTCTATAACCGGATGAGGGAATAAACACTGGTGGGGACATCTTTGTGTTTAATATCTAACAACTTTTAGACCGATCCAACCTCAGTTTCTCCCAATTAAATCATTTTTCTATATTATTTTTTGAAAAAGTAAAAAAAGTATAGTCTGAAACACATTTGGAATTGCATATTCTGCTTTAGTAAAACCGTCAAATTCGCCTTCGGCTCGTGTTACAAACTTTTCACTAGACCGGAATATTCTGTATTCCACCTTGTTACAAAATAAACTATTTTGTATTTGGACTTTAAATGGAATTTAAATTATCATCGACTTTCTCTTATAAAATTTTTCAATAAAAATTAATGTAATATTTTCTTAAAGAATTTTCATGTTTTCCAATTTCTAATCAACCTGTACATTTCATTCGAATTTTTTTTATGGGAACGTCATTTTTTACACTTTTTCCTATTGGCAACCCCATACCGGGACACAATGTATATATTGTGCGACTAGTGAAAGAAAAAGGAAATTCCTCGAGTGTACAGTTAAATAAAAAAATAGTATACTATTTCACTGTGCGTTTATTCGCCGAACGCAATTCGTGACAAACTCAAATACAGAAAAACTGTTTTCTATCACCGCCAACCCTTATTAGTAACTGTGAACTGGTTCAGATCGGATTCATAAACGGAAAACGAATTGTGAACTGACGCGAGTACACAAAAGTATCTATATTTGTAAAGAATACGATTGTCAAGTGACCGGAAAAAAAAAAGATTATTTTTATTTGAGTGGAGGAAATCTTGCAGTTAATAGTTCAAGAGGTGAGGAAGAATAAAGAAAAGCAACTGTGTAGTTTATTGACATAGAAAAATAATAAAACATAATTCAGTGAAAACAATTTTGGTCATTTTAGAAAGTTTAGTGACGTTTTTGAAACAAATCTAAAAGAACTTATTCTAGAGTTAAACATTTTAAATAGATTTAGGACATTTTTCGATGATAAAATTTTGTTAAATGCTGATTTAAATAATATTTGAGTTAATTATACTGCCCTACTATGGAGAAAGGCAGTAACTACAAAAAAATTCTTAATGCGTTTTCTTGTGCTATGATAAAGCTATAGACATTTTGTATCTTAATTCAACTAAAAAATGCAGTAACTATCTTATATCAATTTTCCACAGATTTCTTGTTTAGTAGTTACTGCCTTTTTCCATAGTTGGGCAGTATAAACTTTATATGATTCTGACCATTTAATTATAAATAATTAAATACTAAATTAACTTTCGTGATCTATCTCTATTTTCGGGTCGCATTGAGAAACATTAAATTAATCATTCGGTTTTTAGAACCGCAGAAACTTTCTGCGGTTCTAAAAACCGAATAATTAAATTTCGATAAAATGGCTTCATTCTTAATTGCATTAAAACGGAGGCTCGTCATTGCGCTTAAAATAGAATATCATTTAGGCAATATTGAAATTTCAGACTGGATTAATTTGTTTTTATGTTGGATTCATTGTGAATTAAAGGCTAAACTTCTCAGACAGAATAATTAAAAAAGTCATTAAAACAAAACGAGATTTTATGGATTTTTATTATGTTACAGGTTTTGGTAGTGTCGGTGGAAAAGGTAATATGCAACAGCCTGCATCCCCTCCACCGAGAAGATCTATGTCACCTGACCAACCTAATCCAGCTGAGCCAATCACAGAGCAACCAAGCACTTTGATAGGAAGAATAGGTTGGGCTTTGAGATGTCTGTTATTATGTAAGTATTAGGTGATTAGGTTTTTAAACACTCATCCCAGCAAAAAAAATACAAAGTATTTAGATCTGGCAAACTTGGCGGCCGCGCGATTGATTCTTCTCTACCGATCCACTGGTTAGAAAAAAATCGCCATCTTAACCTTCGGATGACCAAACTCTTTTTTATACATGTATGACCAAGGGGGGTTTAAAATGACCCCTCCTGATTTTAGTAAACGAAAACATGCTTTAAATTATTTTAATGTTATATTTTATATTAAATAATGAAAACAAACATTAGTACAACAAATTTGTATTCCAAATAAACTAAAAAAGTAAAAATATTAGTCTAAACCTAATAAAGGAAGCAATGAAATTTGGTATTACATAGTATGTTTTTTTTAATCTTCGAATGTTCCTTGCAGACAAAATGCTTGCATTTATCGCATTTCGTTGTAAACTTTATATCGGAAGATCGACAGCAAATTGTACATCGGCCACGTTTCTTGGGATTTTCAGCTGGCTCTGCATCTTCAGGATCTTTTGAATATTCTGTTAATACCATATTTATTTTAAAAATACTTTTCTAATGAGAAATATTTGTAAATTTTTTTAATGCAAAATATAAAGATACTTGGCATATAATAATAATAATAATATTATAGTCAAATAAAAAAATAATCAGTTAAAAATTAAAAATATTTAAGAGTTTATTCAAGAAAAATATACATTGGGGTCAAAATGTACCCCCCTTGGTCATCCGAAGGTTAATACTTACCCTGCAGGGTGTCTCAGATTTAAATCTGGTAAATTTAATAGTCGATACAATTTGCATAAATACCACTAATCTATCTCAAAACGAAGCTTTTAAAACATGCCGTTTACAAAGTAATAAAATATTAGTTAATTTTAACCAGATTTTATTTTAATCCACTTCCACATAACTTTTTGTTAAGTTTACAACCAACTGTAATCTGTTAATTAATTGAATAAGTATACTTAACTATAGTTTGTAATTGAGGAGGTGCATTTCAAAACTCGGCTTATCCATATTAGGTGATTTTGAGCAAAATGTCAAAAACCTTACACGTGAGTACTAACGCATATCAGGCCTACAGAATACTTTAAACAAAATAAATAGGCATAAGTATAAAATTTATATACCTTGATTAAAAAGGTTTAGGTCCAATTTAAATTAATTTATAATTACATAAGTATAAGCCAGTTCTGACATGATATAACCGATAGATAAGGCAAGTTTTGGGATGATAATCAATAGGGTGGAGCGAATTTTTTTTTCCTTAGCCTGGGGGTGGAATTTGTAGCCTATAAAAAAAGAAAATTTTTGAAAAAAAAAAAATTTTTACTCAACGTCTTGAGGTGGCCCACTGATTTTTTAAATTAAATTTAAGTTTAAAACGAATGGTCGTAAAAATTTTTTCAAAAGTGTGAAATTGCGGAGTGTCCTTTTTCTTGCTAATTAACAGTTATGAACTTAAAAAAAATATTTTGTGGTCATTATTGTTGTTTTTAAAAAAATTCCAAAATAGTAACATGATTTTCTGAGGCAATAGAGCAATAGCAATAGGCAATTTTGAGTTGAACACGATCAAATTTGTTTATTTTTAGATAAATTTGAAGATTACAAGCCAAACGAAATTTTTTTTTTATTTAAAAGAATTTTAACTTAAATTTAATTTAAAAAATCAGTGGGCCACCTCAAGACGTTGAGTAAAACAATTTTTTTTTCAAAAATTTTCTTTTTTTTATAGGCTACAAATTCCACCCCCGGCTAAGGAAAAAAAAAATTTTTTTTTCGCTCCACCCTAATAGTCAATTTGTAAAAGAATTTTAAATTGAATAAGGGGGCATCCATTAATTACGTGAGGTGTTTAGGGGGGAGGGGGTCGAGCCAAATCTCACACAATCTCACGTGGAGGAGGGTGGCAAATATCACGTATTTTTTCCAAAATAAACAGTGTAAAATTGCAAGAAAACTGGGTTAAATTAAGTAAAAAATGTTTCTTTACTAAAATTTAATGGAAATTTCTCACCGTGTATGCTACGTTTAACTAATAATATTAGAAATCGACAAAATTGCCTCACGTAATTAATGAATGTGAGTTTTAGAATATTATGACCTTTTCAGGGTATAGGGGGCTTCATGTTAAATGTACAGACACCACTAACTCATTTTTATTAAAAAGTGGATAAGCCTAGTTTTGGAATGGACCTCCTCAATTATAACAAATATTTTGTAACAAAATCCTACACAGTAAAAAATAAGTTGCTAAATTTAGCAAAATTTTAGCAATTTTTTTTGCTCCCACAGGTCCACTAATTTTTTATGTTGATTTAACAAAATAATTTGCATTCCCTAGTTGTTAAATTACGTTTGTTAAAATAAACAAACTATATTGTTATTATTTAACAAATATATATTGTTAATAAATGCAATAAATTTGTTAAATTATAAAATAAATTTTCAATTTTTAACAAATAAATTTATTAAATTCGCATTTTTTTTGGTCGTAGAAGCAATTCTTAATTTGCTATTTTTACAATAATTTTATGTATTTTAAAAAATAAATTTGTTAAATTTACATTCTTCTTTGGTTCTTTAAGCAAAATTTATTTGTCATTGAAATAAGTATTTTTGTGTATTTTAACAAATATTTTTTTTTATTTGTATTCTTTTTTTGTCGTGGAAGCAACCTTTATTTGTCATTTCAACAATTACCTATTTTGTGTTTTAACAAATAAAATTGTTAAAGTTGCATTCTTTTTTGTGGTGGAAGCAACTTTTATTTGCCATTTGAACAATTATTTTTAAGTATTTTAAAAAATAAACTTGCATTCTTTTTTGCCATAAAAGCATTTTTTGTTGTCAATTGTACAATTTTTTTGGGTGGAAAATCCAAACTTTGTTTGCTATTTGTACAATTTATTTTGTTAAGTAGCCAATTATTGTTGCAGTTAATTTTAATTAAAAACAAAAAAATGCGTTATAATAATTATAAAAATAAGGCTATTAGGTACAATTATTGTACCTAAGAGTCTTATTTTTGTAAAATAAAATTTATTAACTTTTACAATTATAACATATTTTTTTATTTGCTAAATGCAACAATAATTGGCGAAATTATAAAAATAAAATTTAACAAACAGCAAAAAAAATATTTATAAGCAACTAACATAATTTTATAAATTAAAATTGTACAAAGGACAAATTATACTTTTTTCTCAAAAAATATACATATGTGATAATATGTGACATGGGTATTTGGTATAAGGTAATATAATATAAACACATATTAAAGTACAAAAATATAAATTTTAAAGAAACAAAACATGTTTAACAATATTTATTATAATATATTATTTACACTTATTGTTTTATATTAATATAAAATAAACAAAAAACACAACAAAACTAAAATATTATTAACAATAATAATTATCATTATTGTTTCATTTTAATATAAAATAAGCAAAAAACATAACAAAACTTAACTTTTAGAAGAACTCCTCTAGAGGAAATTTTAATATATTCTTCTAAAAAATCTCCCCGAAGATTGGCCCCGTATTCGTCTTGGAGTGTAAATTCCTTTGATTCCAAGGACGGAAATAATTTTCTTACTGAAATATGTAAATGAAACACCCTTTTAATAATTTTAAATTATTTGTGGCACAAAACTCTATGATAAGCATTTTGTAACAGACCCCATAATCTTATAAACATTAAATAAATAAAATTTATTTAAGAAACAAGTTGTTTCACACAACAACAAAGATAATCTACAAAAATATTTTGCTTTACTTACCACTTTCAATTATGTCTTCATACGAGCAAGGGGACAATATAGAACACCATTCTGTTTCGTCATATTTATCACGGAAGTATAATTTTGTTAATCCGTACTCCATAATGGCTTTAGAATACTTACAGTAAAGCCGACTGACGAAAAGAAAAACACCCCACCTATTAACACTGACCACAGCCACTGAATTACAGTGTCATCATGAAGCAGCCTGCCGCAGGCTTGTGCCGAGCATGCGCTCTGCTCGAAAATAGCAACATTTTTTGTTAATTTACAAAATCAAGACCAAATTTTGCACACCTATTTGGTATTTTAGCAACTAAGTGTTGTTTTTTTTACAAACTTCGAATGTCTAAAATAACAACCTAAATTTGGTGAAATTTGCAAATTGTTTTTTGTTCATTTTAACAAATCATAAAGATATTTATCAAATTTATTTGTTATTATGTCAACTTATAATTGTATCTTTGACACATAAATTTTGTATTTTAACAACTTGAAGTGTGTTTTTTCACAATTTCAAGCGGCTAAGTTACGAAAAGTTATTTATTGTTGATTTAGCAAATATAATCTGTTACCTTTGAATTGAACAAAATGCTGCAAAATTGCATATTACCTTTACAAAACTTTAGGTAAAATATTTTACTTTGTTAAAATAATAACAAACCCTGGTTTTCTACAAAAAATTATGTTAAAATTTTATTGACTATTAATTTTCCCGATTATATGAGACACCCTGTATAATCCATCAGAAAATGTCGCCTAAATTTTAATTGAATGGGCCTAAAGAATTAATATAAAAAAGTTAATCTCCTGGAATCTTTTGACAAAGTAAAAACCAAAAAGTTTGTTGCAAAGATGTCGATCATACAAATTGCTCATTACCAATATCCTTTAAAAAGCCAATATACCTAAGTGTGCACTTTGGCAATTGAATGTTATTCTAAAGGTTTTAAAGTCGTCTAAAATTTAAATAAAAAACTCCAGAATTTATGATTGACATTCTAACGTTAAAAGGCCTCATAAATTTTAAGTGATGTTTAAAGAGCTCTTTGAAAGTTTTTAGATTAAAATAACAGATCTGAATCTTATATTCAAATTGAAATGTTTCTCGTTTCAGCTCAGAACACTTGCTTAAAAGATAGAAAGGTATCGGGACGGCTTGTGAGGAGGTGTGCCCCAGGGACCGAGCTCGTGGACTGGCTACTTAGCTTGTCGCCCAGCGTACACTCCAGAGCTATCGCCACGGGAATGTGGCAGGCTCTTCTGGAAGAAGGAGTCATTTCACACGGTAAGTTAGCATTTCAAAGATTTTATATTACCATACAAAGTCAGTGTTTTTTATCCCACAGAGAGTCGGGTTGATTTTCTAACAAGACTAAACTCTTTATTTATTTATAAAGAAGAATGTGAACTTTATATAGATATAAAATCTTGAAAATGCAAATATCAGAATATCCAACTTTAAAACAATATTTACTAGTGGCTTTTCAAATCAAATTAAGTAGGAAGAGCTATTGATAACAAACTCCAACAAAAGTATAGTGTGAAGGCTTAACATGTTGATGAACTTATCAAAGTGTATCAAAATGCACATCAAATTAGAGCTTAACACATTCTACTTTGAAAAGCAGCCATGCATAACAAAGTATAGTAGTTACTTAAGGATATGCACATGTTTAAAATTATCCTGCTACAAAATTCTCTTTATTCCCATCAGTAAGCCCAAATTAATTTAATGTTGTTGAGTAAATAAAACAAACATTAAATCAAAGCTTAACCAACCGTTTATATAACAAACTAAGATATAAATACATAGAACCACTGGGAAGAGTAAAGCTCAGAATTTTCCCTTTTCCTTATTCCACGACCATAACTTTTCATTTGGACTCATTTTTTTTTAATTTACGTTCTAGGAATGCATATATTTTTTTGTTAAATTTATTGCGGTTACCTTAGAGAAAAGGGAATGCACGTTTAATACCTTTGAGGCGCTTTTATAGACCCATGTCTAAACATAAAACCAAATGCTGGTAAATTTGACTTTTATTCGTGTTTTCGTTTTCATTAGAGGTTTACGTGCTTTATTAATTTAATACAATACGAGGACATGTTGATCAGTTCTTAGAATTGCTATGAAAATGTTATATTTTGGGCCAAATTACGTTTAATCATTTAACAAGTACTCCTTTTAGCTTGATAGGTACCCTGACTTCATCATTCCTTCAGAATGAAGGGATTGCTCATTTTCGTCAAAAAATGCATCTACACCGTCGATTACTTCAGCAGCCAACAATTTTTTAGTGCTGAAAAAAGGGGGCCATATCTGTAAACATGATTTTTGTCTTTGTCAAATAAGGACTTTTTTATATGTTCATGCAAAATCGTAACAGCCGATCCAGTTGATATGCCTTTGGTCTAAGCGATGTCACCCATTCACATTTTGATCTTACAGGATTTTGTGGATTTTGGATGATGATGATGATACCCAATGTCCCAAAACGTCCAGCATAATTTTTCGTTGTACAAACCAGTCCCCATAATGACTTTGAAGCACCCTTTTGCTTCAATTGTTTCCCCATTAAAAAGCATTGCTTATTAAAGACACGAAATTCACTTCATAGTTTTTTAACAATGCAAAAGTTGCTAGACACAATGGCTTGCAAAATCAAAACTTACACTGTTTAAAATATCTGTGGTGTAATTTACACCGTGTAAAGGGCAATCTTAAAATGTTGTCTAAATCCAACACCAAGTGGTGTTAATATAAACACCATGAATTATGGTTGAAAATGTTATATACAGCAAACACCAAAACCGTGTTTATCTAAAAAATATTTGAGAAGTGCACCTACACAGAAAAAAAGGAATAGTTAATTTAACTATATTAATTTAGTTGACCCATAAGTATTTATTTAAATGAACTGTGGGAGGGTTAATATAAACAAAGATTAGTTTGACGGTAATAAACCGGATAGTTATTTTATTTTTTTTAAATTGGTTAAATTAACCCAGGAAACTTTAGTGAAACCAACCCGCTGTATGGTTCAGTTTACTAAATATGTTGTTTGTAAAATAAGAGTTACTTTAACCTAAAGCACTCTGTTAAAATGTACAGATCGCGGCAATGGCGGTGTGGATCACGTGATGTTTTTAAATCTCGCCTCTGTTGACTTACATGAAGAGTATATAAACTCAGGTAGTCCTTTGCTTTGGTGTGACACTACAAGTTGTTCGATACTAAAGAGACCTTAAATTGGTGGAAACAGCTGTCAATACTTGAAGTATTTTAAGTTGGTGGAACGCACTAAAAACTTTATCTCTAGCGAGTTGAAGGTTCAATTTTCTGGAATAATACCACTGGTAATATACTGGCAATGCTTCAAGGAACTTCCTGTTTCCTTTTTTTTCTAGTATGATTTAATTTGACCAAAAAACATAATATTTAACACTGAAAAGGAGTTCAATTTACACAGGTAAAATTTATTTTAATACTGTGTGAAAGTTAAATTTACACTATTTTAGTATTTAAATTTACACTGGACCAACGAACCATATTTAACAACATTTTGGTTTGTATCGATATAGACCATGTATGGTGTTAATTTGGTGTTAAAATGGTCATGAAATTTTGAAAAGTGTAATAACAGATAGATTATAAAAGAATCTGAAATCTCGATAGTAATCGATTTAAGGATGGTTTTTGTCAGTCGTACCAATTAATTATTAATTAATTAATTAATTAATTGTGTTGCATTCTTTTTGAAATTCTCATCAATATGCAATCGTACGTTTGCAGGTCATAAAGTATATATGCGTAAACTAATGTGAACTTTGTAATAATAAATTTAAATCCTTAAATCAAGCATTTTTAAATGAGGTATTTATTTTACCTATTTTAAAGGGTAGGTAGTAAAGTAAAATAAATTGATGTATTACATGGAAAACCCTCGTCACTAGAAATTCCTGGAAATTCGGGTAAAATAATATTTATTCAAAAAGTGAGTCAGGATTTATAAAGAGCTTAACCTTATGCACGTATGCAGGATTTTTGACAGAGCTAGGATTTGAAACGGTGAATTAAACTATTTTATGAAAACAAAATGTTGGGTTAAATTGAAATACGTTTAACCGGAGTAATCCGATTGAGCAGGTGAATTACTTAACACCATTGATTGATTCGACTTGTACTTAATAAAAGTCTATGTTTCTACTATGTTAATAAAAAAACACTTTTCGTGAAACTCTTTATAGCAGTATTGTTTTTTTATTTACATAAACCTTAAACCAAGAGACTTTTTGTAGTTACACACGGTAAGTTTGAGACAATAAATCTTATTCACGTATTGATTCAAAGTCGTTAAAGTAAATAAGGGTTGGAAAAGAAAACGAAAAATACGGGAATCGCTAATGATATCAGAATAATGATTTAGAACAGTGAACGCACACTTAATTTAATTTAATTAAGTCAAGCTGTTATTTATCTGAAGTTATAAATTTCCACGTCACCCGGGAGGTATTATTCTGCGACGCGTTGACCTTTTTTAAAATGGAGCCGATAGCACTACTAAACCAAAAAATAAACTTTAAAAAACAAAACAAACAAAATATCACATCAAAGACTAGTTTTAATCTTAAACTTAAAATATAGTCTTAAAAAAGTTAAAAATAAATAAATTAATCAAAAAATAAAAATAAAACTAAAAAGTCGACCCCTACCTAAGTATTAAAAAATATAAAATACTATACGTCCATCTTTTAAGATTGAAAATTTATCTATTATTTGGTCGTAAAATTGTGGGTCTGCAGTGAGATTTAAAAGTAATTCTAAATTTTCAAACCGCGTCTCTAATTGAAGAATTATGCAATCTATTATTTCAAAATATAAAATTTGCTTAATAAAAACTGCTAAATCTACCTTAGTGTGTTCCCTACAATAATTAAATAAGAAATTTTACTAATCGAGACAAAAACTATAAAAGATCAGCCAAAAGTTTTAAATAATTTAATCTGAATCAAAACAATAACGTGCTCTACAAACGCTAAGAGAAGACTGGCAACCTTCTTTGTCTCCGCTGGCATCCCACCATAAACGGACCACCAATCAGAACAAACCAAGCTAACTAAATTTCGCCTCATCTACGGTGTTTATTCGCGAACTTACGGCGATATTTTTGTTGGTGAGTCATTTTCGCTTTCAAGAGGTAAATGGGAGCTTCCGAGGCTGTGAAAATTTCGCCTCTGTCCAAGCGACTCTCAACGATGCACGTTAACTTGACGCGCTTTGCGCCTGGATTTTTATTTACGATTAATATGATTAATTGGTTTTTTACTTTTTATTGGGTAGAACTATTGTAAAAATTCACTTGTAATAGGCAAACATATAAATACAAAAAGTCGTTCGTTCCTTCATTTTAAGGGTGAGGCGCGGCCTCAAAGGCCTACCCTGACGAGCCGCCACTGTTAGGCACGTGTAAACAACATTACCTTTAAATTAAAACTTCCGATATAGCGGGAGATTTAAATCCACTCTATATCTTAAGAGAAAATAAATTATAAAGTAAGTACCTATACAGCTGGTGAATAACTTAAAATCAAGAGACATTTTTGAAATTACGTGCGGTAGGTTTAAGACAATAAATCTTGTGCATGTATTGATCCAAAGTCGTTAAAGTAAGGGTTGGAAAAGACAACTAAGAAGACGGTAATCGCAATTGTCATAAGGATAATGATTCAGTGGCGGACATTTACTTAATCCTTCACAGAGTCAACCTGTTGTTTATCTGATAATGTAAAAGTATACCTACTACAAAATGTGTTTTAGCAAACAATTTAATGTATAAAGTTGTAAGAAAGACAAATAATGTTCAGTCTACTCAATTTACAATGTCAACAGCAACAGCTGTTTTTTTTCTTTATAAATATATTTATTTCTTGTATAATGAAAACAAAGAATTATTTTATAAATTTCCAGTTGATATCTCTATATCTATATCTCGACAGTTACATATTTCTTAAAGGTAATATTAATACTAAAAATAATGTTATCATATTTCTTTGTTTCAGTAAATAAGGAGCAACCATTTAAGGACAAGTGCTTTCTCTACAGATTTTGGCAGGACGAAGAAGGAGCAACAGCGCTTCCTCCCCTAGAGGACGTGGCAACTGCGGAAGAACAGCTTCAAGAATCTCTTGGTGTTTTGATACACCGCGCTCCAGATGCGTTCCTGAGGATGATTATGAGAAAACAGTAAGAAAGAATACTTTTTTGGTTAATTAAAAAATAAATTTGTAATTGTTATTTTCTTAAGGGTTCACGAGCGAACAGTTGATGACCAAGAAACAATATTTGAAGAGTTGCTGCATATAAGAGCTTTATCTCATTTGTCCAATTCTGTTAAGAGGGAATTGGCCTGTGTTATCGTTTTTGAAGCTCATCCAAGGGTCAGTACAGTATGTAAGTATGACATATTTTGGATAGTTTTGAAAGTTTAATATCCATATGAACCAAATTCAATGTATTTGGGTAGCTATTTTTGTCTTTGATAAAATTTTTGAAACAACGACCATTTCGGGTTTTCGATATATGGGAACAAAAAGTCACACAGTGTTATCTCTGGCGAATATGGAGGCATGACTAGGGTCTTGTTTTTGATCGAAAATATACAAACTAGCAATGAAGTGTGGATATATGGTCTTCTTCTCTTCTTCTTCCTATAACTCCTTAAGGCAAAAAAGATGGTAGAATAGCTAGTTCTAAGCATCTCCATTACATCCTCTCTACTAATTCTTTCCATTTTTGTTTGTTCTTTGCTTCTGTCAATGTTAAACATTGTTTTTGAAGTTCTTCTTTTAACTATTAACCATGTGTTATAAGGTCTGCCTATTAGTCTTTTTCCTTGTTTCTTATTGTTGAGTGCTTGTGGTGCTATGTTTTTGTTGTTTTTCCTTAGTGCATTTCCATTTTCTTTTCCTAATTTTTTTTTCACTTTTTCTTTTTCTGTTCTTCTTTGCACTTTTTCTTTTGATATTATGTTGGGCCAGAATATACCGCATATAATTTGACATTAGTTAATGAAGGTTTGAATTTTGTATCATCCGCAAATTCAATATTTTTAAAGACTTCCAATAAGATTCAGGTTCTCTTATCTTCTGTGCTTTCCATAACCCAATCCATAATTATTATATAGAGTAGGGTGATATCCTAAAGGTTTGACGAACTCCCTTTTCTAGTCTAATTTCTTTAGAAAGTTTTACTTTATGTTCTATACTCTTCATAAAGCATCTTTAATACTTTCGTAAATTGTTTGGGTACGCCATAGAACGTGGGAATATCCCACATCCTTTGCCATTTAACTGAATCAAATACCTGTTCGTAATCATTAAAATTTATATGGATTTCTTCATTGTTCAGCTACTTCTTCCAAAATAAGTCGTAAATTCTCATCTAACGGTTTTTTATTCTATCTTATATTATTATTTTTGTCATTATTTTGTCTCTAATTTTCACGTAAGGATAAGTATCTTTTTTGGTAGTTTAATAATTATTTTCTGCTTTTAGTACATTTTCTTCCTCCCATATTTGGTTTAATAGGATGTGTGTATAACTCAACGGATTATTTTAGATGGGCTGAATTAATTCACCCGTTATTCCGTCTATTCCAGGTGCTTTGCCATTCTTGAGACCCTTTATTACATTTCCTCTTTGCTAAACTTCCCTTGGTTCATATTCTTTCTCTGGTTCTTTGAACAATTATATAAAGTACTCTAGTCAGCTTTTCATTATGTTTGTGCTATATATTTATCCCTCTTACCTAGTAGGTTTTTTGTGTTTGTTTATATTTTTTTCATTTAAAGTATTTGTTATCTGGTATAGTGTTTCTGTAAATAATTAGATCCCTTCTACCACTATTTTTGTTTCTGGTCGTTATGTTTTCAACTTTCCTAAACCGATTTAAATTGATCTTTAAATCCGTTTTAATTATTCAGTTCTTCTAGGAATTTTAAATTGTTTTTTTTTCTTTTTAGTCTTCGAGTGTTGCTTGCTTTTAAGCTTATTTTATTTTTGCCCTTACTAGTTTATGATCCGTTGCTACATCTGCACCTCCTGGCATCTTGAAGAAGATTCTCAATTTCTTTATCTACTATAATGTGATCAATTTGATTTTTTATGACGTCCAAGTCAGTTTATGAATGGTCCTCCTGTGAATAGGTATTATTCCTTATTAATTGTTTATAATGATTTTTTCCAATTTTTCCATGTTTTAATAATGTACAAGTTTTGGGGCCTCCAGCGCACTTTTTCACGGGTTAGTTTAACAACAGCAATAGTTGGTTTTGTGATATTAATTGGTAGTGTCAGGAACTGTACTGAAGCATAAAAAGACTGACTTCTAATAAATAACTATTAAACAAACAACAAATTTGATAGAATAGAAACATGTTTGATATATTTTGAAAATAACTACACAAAGAAATGTGTGTTTGACGTGAAAATAAACTCTTTGTTGTTTCCGTGTGTGTTAATAAAAATTTTGTCCGCTTTTATCGTGGTTGTGGAAGGCTTTGAAAAGTAGCACAATTTATAAATAATTCAGTGTGGCTCACGAAACCCAGTTAGAAATATCTGAAATGCAGGTTTGATTTTAGGGTCTGTTGGACACACATAAATTTTAATGTCTTCATTTCATACAGCTGAAATATGGATTAAGTTTCGAATGTTTCGGGATAGCACCCCAATAAATAATATAATACTTCCAATTTATGAACATGTAGAGCTGGTTTCAAAGGACCATCATTTTAAATTAAATTTAAATTTGATTATATAGCTACAGTTTATAAAGGGTGTTTCATATTCGTGGTCCATGAGATGTTTCTGGGGAACACAATAAATTTAAATCCAATTTTCTATAATATTTTCAACAAAATACTTCCGGTTAAACCGCAAGTGGCATTTTGTTTAAAATATTTTGGAAAAATAGACTTAAATCGATTATAAACGCTTTAAAAATTTCAAATTGATTTCGTTTTTCGTTTACCAGAAACTTCTAATGGACCGCGAATGTGAAACATTCAATGTGGCACATTGCATTTGTTATGTTAAAAGCAGATAAGTGGATATAACTTAAAATGAAAAATATAAAATGCCCGCGTCAAATTCAAATAAGTATTTTTATTAAACAAAGGTGGTGTTCTTTCGTATACGTATACCCCCGTAAATTTTAAAATCAAGGGGGATGAAATATATATTGCCCCTTTTTATCTTTTAACTTTGACAACCCAAAAAGGCTCAAAGATTTATTTCGTTTGTAATGCGTAAAAGTAAAGAAGAACTTCTTTGGTGAATTTTATTACGATTCCTTATTTTTATCGTAGATTGCAGTCTCGAGAAAATTGGAAGGTTATTTATATTCGTATAAAAACGTTTCAGTCTTAATTTTACTTAAACGTTTGCAAATGTGACAACTCGAAAAGAAACAGACTATTTTTGTGTCAAAATGTTCATTTCGAATAATTATAATTTGATGAGTAGGTAATTGGAAATGTATTGTACTTAATAAATAAAAACATTGTACTTAATACTTGAGAACAAAAGTTTGATTTGATAATTAATTTTATTTAAACGTTTAATACCTTAGCAACCATTGAATAGATTTTATATTTTTGATATGAGTTGAATAGACAATCGTAGTACCTTTTAACTGATATCACAAGCCCACCTTTCCATTTTAAATTTTTAAGTTGATACTGCCCTCATTAAATAGGCACCTATTAATTTGACGTCAAAAAGTATACTTATTATCCTTGACAATGGTTTTCATCCGATTGTCGATACCTTTTTTCGTTCAAAAGATAACAGGGGGGCTTTTAATGTGCGCACTGTATATTATTATTTAAAAACTAATCTTAGAATATCATGACCATCAGTTATTATTTAATTTGTAGAAAATAAAAATGATTATCTGAGTTTAACTAAAAACAATATTTACAAAAGTATCGAAAAAACGGTTTTCTTACAATATCGCAAAAATGGCTTATTAAGCAAAATGATAATTTTTGGAATCAGCGCACGCAAATAACCCCAAAAAGTTTTTGGCCACCCTTTATTTGCATTTTATTATAATTAAGTCTGTAATTAATTAATAAACAAACCCAGAAACACGGGTTACTAACACAGTTCTCTTGAATAAAGGTCTTATAGAAGCATCAAAATAGAATATTTACTTAGTTAGGACATTAAACAATATTCTTATAATTTACCCAATAAAGTTTAGAAAAAATTATTATTATTATTATTATTATACTAAAATAAAGGGACACTTAGTTTCATGATTGGGGCATTAAAATTTAATTGAAATTGATAATGTCGTTTTGATAGGGTTTATAAATTGAATTCCGGAGAGATTATGTTTTGATTATCCAAAGAAGGAAGCAAAATAATGTTTCGAAGGATTAACTGTTTATTTATACCAAACCTTCCTGTCTCGTTGTTTTAACGATTTACTGTAACGCATAAACTTTCTGCTGCGCGGATTATAAAAAGGGTTTTTCCGGATTATACTTATGTTTTTACGATGCGTTATTAATTAAAATTATTTCATATATGTATTTATCCAGTGGAATCCATTAATAAGGTTAAAAAGTCTTCTTTTGATAATGCGATTTGTCTCCTGTATTTCAAAAAAGTCATTAGCACTCTTCCGTTTTCCGTTAAAGCCTTTAATCTTAATCGAATGAACAAGGAAATAAATGACAGGGATTTTTGGGGTTTTAGTTGAAAGATCCATGTTGACAAATACTTTTTCAATATTAAATCGATAGAAAGTCTCAAGTAATAAAAAATGTTAAGCCATCAAATATACACAACCAATATTATATGAAATCACCCAGTAATTACGAGATACAATTTTTTACTTAAAAAAAATGAATTGAAAATAAAAAGCACCTTATCCTAACCAATTTTATTACAAAAAAAATATAAAAAATATTAAAACAAATTTTGTATTGAACAAATAACAAAAAATGCTAATTTTTCTGAAAATAAACTTTACGGTAAATTAGAATTTAAGAAGAAATAATAGGTTTTTGTTAATTAAATAATCAGTATTGCCACCTCTAGCATCAATGCAAGCATTAATTCGACGGGGCATGCTTTCTATTAAGTTATGAATTTCTTCTTGGGAAACATTTTCTCACCCCTCTAAAACTGCTTTTATTAATTTCTCTGTATTGCCGGGGCTATTTTGACGAGCTATAATCCTTCTTTTAACCATAGGTCACAAGTTCTCAATTGGATTAAGATCCGGGGAACAAGGCCACTCTAAAACAGTCACACCTTCCATTTCCAAACAATTTTTGGCAACTCGGCTGGTAAATGAAGATGCATTATCCTGTATAAATCACGGAAATCACCTTTTCAGAGTCTTACTACGGGTTGTAGAACTAAATCCACATACCTTGGACCTCTTAGGGATTGTCTAATGGAAATTAAAGGAATGTTTTCACCAATCATAAAGCCACCGCAAAACATTACACTTCCTCCTTTGCCTTGAGGGATCGATATTCCAGCTCAGAGTCTAGCTTGTCTTCCACGACCTCTTAAAATACGAATTTACCGGTCGTCTGATCGTAGGCCAATTCTATCCTAATCTTTAATCCTTCATTGTCCAGTTTTAATGCCTCAAATACCAATTTAAATGGCCAACTCTATTTTGCACTAATATTTTTGGAAACCTTAACTATATTCTGCGATTTTTTTTATTTATGCCGGATAATGCACCACCGCTGATACCCAGAGTTGTTCAAAACTCTTGAGAAATGGAAAGTGTGTGTGTTTTAGAGTTGCCTTCTTGTTCACCGGATCTTAATTGAGAACTTAAGGGATAAGGTTAAAACAAGGATTAGAGCCCGTTAAAATAACCCAGCAACTATACCTTTTCAACTTCAAATTGGAACTTATTAATTTCAATTTGAAATGTAACAATTTCAAATTGGGATTAATCAACTTTTAATTGGTAACTAACACGTTCAAAATGGGAATAAACAAAGTCAAATTGGAAACAAACAAATTCAATTTGGTACTAATCATTGATTAGTAATCAACTGTAATTCAAACTGTCATACATTTTTCAAGTCGAACGGCAGTCACGTTTAAACTTTATTATTTCTTAATTCTAATTTATTGTAAAGTTTATTCTTAGAGAAATTCAGATTTCTTGTAATCTGTTATCTTTTTTTGTAATCGGTTGTTTTATATTGATGAGTACCTAAATTGGAATACTCACTTAGCACAACTCAGCCAAAAGCTAAACAGTGTAGCATATTCAATTAGGGTACTAAAGAAATATGTAAATAATGAAACTCTAAAGACCATTTACTTTGCAAATTTTTAGTCTCTGCTTAGGTATGGCATTATTTTTTGGGGCAGAAGTAGTAGTGTTTCAGACGTTTGGTTAATACAAAAGCGTGTAATTCGGATATTGAGCAATTTAGGGAATACTGATTCGTGTAGAGGATATTTTAGGTGCAAAAGTATTTTGACCGCGACTGGTTTATATATTTATGAACTTTTAGTATTTGCACACAAAAATAAGTCCAACTTTGAAAACCTAAAACGAAATACTATTACAAGATCCTCCGGTTACAACTATCCTAAGCATAGACTGAGTACTTTTGAGAAAAGTTGTTACTATTCGGCGGTTGTATGTTTCAATAAACTACCAACAAATATTCAAATTGAAGGAAACCTTATAAAGTTTAAAACTGGCATTTATAACTTGCTGATGCATATTGAACCATATGATTTGAATGAATTTTTAAATCATTAGGAAATGTATTGTCTGGACCAAATTTCATTTAATATTTGTATTGCATTTTCTTTTGTACGCAAAATTTCTTGAAATAAACATTATTATTATTATTATTAGTGGTATTTAACTATAGGTATTATTGTTTGTTACAGTATTTCACCAAGGTGACGAAGGAAGGTCCTGGTACATAATTGTAAAAGGTTCAGTGGACGTTGTAATCCACGGTAAAGGAACTGTTAATACACTACACGAAGGAGACGACTTTGGCAAGCTGGCTCTCATTAATGACGCCCCTAGGTAAGAATAGTATATTATGCGACTAGTGAGATAAGGAGGAGATTCCTTGAGCGAGATTTCCCACACTCAAGAAATCCCCTCGAATTTGACAATGAAACAGTTGTAACTTAATTTTTTATTTCAATTTTAACTTAAAGCCAACCTCAACCCGTGAAACAGCATTTTGCCCACGATTTTTTTTGTCGTATAATGATATTCATTTCTCCCGCTGTGAACAATTTTATTCCTTCCTCTGTATATATTTTTATTCCCTCCCTGTTATCAGGTAAGACAATTTAATGTTTCATTCCCTCCCGCTACCAAGACGACGTTACAGTGTGATTGACCTTGAATGTAAACGTCAGAATTAAATTAAACGTCAGATTTATATAATTTTGAAGTTTTTTGCGGGTATCCAAATTGTGTATTTTGAAGCGAAAGTAAGCATTTTTAAAGTTTAGCTTAAATAACTTGAAGTAGGTAAGCGTACTAACTTAATTGGAAACATAGATAATCATTAATAACCACTTTAGGAATGTACCTAAACGTCAGTTTTTAATTAAACGTTACTTTTTTAATTTTCTAAAAATTAATCAATAATATATATAATAATATAATATTTGTTAATTTAAAATAACAATTTTCAATTACAGAACAGTCCCTAGGCCCTATGGGCTTGTGTGGGCTATTTACAAAATGTTGCTAATTACAATGTAAATTATATTTATAAAATGTAACTGATAACTTATACTAATTTTAGTAGGGGACTAGAATCAACCTATGAATATAAAACTTAGAGTACCTAAAAACAAATCCAGGTACAAAGTAAAAACAGAATATACAAATTAGCACCACTCGACAAAAAATTATATATAATATAAAAAATATACTATTTTCGCCCACTCTTAGCAGGCCACGAAATTACATATACCTTGCAGGTGTTAAAAAATTAATACTTTTGAACATATAATCATGAGTCAGAATTCGAAAAAGTCTTAGATTTAAATAAAAAAAAGTAGAATTAATAGGCACAACGATTCCCCAAATTATACATCTTTAACTTGAGATCCACTTAAAAATACTTAAAACGGTCCGCAGCAAAATTATTCTTCAATCTTCTTGCAATACGTAAATTTCACCATCAAACTAAACTTATAATTCAATTTATTTTCAGGGCGGCCACAATAGTTCTCCGGGAGAACAATTGTCATTTCCTGCGAGTGGACAAAGAAAACTTCAACAGGATCCTGAGGGATGTCGAGGCGAACACCGTGCGCTTAAAGGAGCACGGCAAAGACGTACTCATTTTGGAAAAAATAAATTCCACAACCAAACAAGTATTTTCTTCCCATTTTAAGTAAGTGCCCCGCAAGCCGCATTTGGCCTTTTTGCAAAAACACCCGAGACACATGGTTACCGAAATATAACAATGCATAGACCTTTCTCTATGACATGCAAAACCCTGCCGTAGCGGTATAATTAAAGCTTTTGTTCATGTTAGTGCGCGTAATGATATAACTTTATGCCTGTATTGTTCTTACAAATTATCATAAAAAATACACAGTAGAGGACTGTATTAGACGAAGGTTTTTGGCACAATCCACAATGTGGATTGTGGTTTTTGGGAAATTCTCTCTAAAGAAAATATACCAAAACTTCCTAATATGATACATAATACACTCAGTTTTAAAAGTCTTGCACCACTTTGTAATTCCATCTAGAAGTTAGCGCATTTAATGGTAACAACTATTTGGTAATTAACTTTTTTTATAAGATAAAAAAGTTTGTTGATACTTACCCAATTAGAAGATAGGGGGGCCAAAGAAAATGCGAAATTGTTTTATTGACAGATAAATAATCTAAAAACTTTTAACACTATTTTTTTAGTACCTTGTATTGCCACCCCGGCTCTGTAACAATGCATGAACACGTCTGGGCATGCCTCGTATAAGGTTATTTAGGTATTTTTAAGAAATGTTATTCCATTCCTCAACAGCGACTACAATAAGCTCTTGAACATTCATTAAAGGGTTCAAACGGTTTCGAATCAATCTGGATAAATAATCCCAGACGTTTTTAATGGGATTCATGTCCGGGGAAAGAGGTGGCCAATCAATTCTGTCAATTTCACCCTTTCCCAGAAACTCTAGGATATGGCTTTATGTGGACGGACATTGCCATCCATAAAGATGGAATTTGGACCTACTTCATCTCGAATTGGTTGAATAATAGGACCCCAAAACATAACACTTGCGCCTTCAAATGGTACCACTTCTCTGGCAAAAGCAAGTCGCTGGTGTGCTTCCCGTTCTCTCCAGACACGACATTGACGGGCGTTACTGACCAATCCAATCCCTGTTTCATCCGAGAACAGAACATTTGACCTTTGAGGCAATAACCAGTTTTGGTGATCTTGAGCCCATTCTAACCGCGACTTTTTATGTCTAGGCATTAACCTTGGACACTCGTAAAGGTCTTCCACAAAGCAAACTCGATGCTATGATGCCTCTTCCGATGGTGGCATTAGAAATAAGTTGGTGGTATGTAGCCTGCTAATGCCTTCAAAGACTGCTGACAGTGATGGACCTGTTCCACCTATTTACTTGAGTTAAATATCGGTCTTCCGTTTGAGTTGTAACCCATAGGTTTTAACAAAATTTTGTCAAATGTTTTATTGTTGCTCTATAGGGATATCCCTATAAATCCTTTCTTGAGTTATTTGCTATCGGTCTCGATAGGGGAAATTTAGAAGTTATGGTGTACAATTGGCGTCTCCAAAATGTGAACAATTTTTTGTTCTTTAGATTTTTTTCATAAAATTTATTCGTTCATTCCTGGCTTCGGCAGTGGTGTTACATATAGAAGGGAGAAGAACAATATCCTAAATCGTTATATTTTTTTAATAATATTTTAACAAACAATAATATAAACAATATAACAAATAAATTAACTTTAATTTGGTTTTATACAACAATATAAATTAACAAGTAGGTAAATACACAATAACATAACTAAATTAACATATTGCTCAAGAAAATTGGTTTTTAAGTGAAATAGCACATGTCTAACTGAAGGTAGCATAACGTTGTCCAAAATCCTTGTATAGTGCTCAGCCGTTAATCTACCATCAATTTCCCAACATACTCCCGGACCATGGACGCTTATTCACGCCCAAACATTTATGGAAAAGCGTCCACTATTTGAGGTTCTTAATGTATAGTTCTTCTCAAATCTTGCGATACTTGGACGATATACACGCAGCCTTCCATTATTGCAAGATTGGAACGTTTTTTCATCCGAAAATATATCATTATTCCAAAAATCGTCTCCATAATTTAAATAGTCATTGGCGAACTTGACTCTCCTGCGCTTATTTTCGTCAGTTAAAAAAACCTTATGAGCAGCAGCACAGTTTTTTAAACCAGCTTGTTTCAATCTTTTTTGAGCTGTTCGAAGGGATCCTGGAAATTGTGTATCTTCTCGGGCCTTAACTGCGCTATTGAAAGGATTTTGCCTAATATGTGCGACAAGAGCATTGTTTTCATTTTCGTTTAAGATTTTTCCTACACCTTGCCTGATAGGTCTTCTTAATCTTTGTTGTTCTTGCCAACGTTTTTTGATATAAAATATGCAGCTTTTACTGACATTTAAATCTGCAGCTACTTCACTTAAAGACCAATTTTCTTCTAATTTGGCTATTGCCCTGGACCTCTGAGCCTCGGTTAAGTGGGGTGGCATTTTTAATATTGCAATTGACAACTATTATCAAATTTGACAACGACCGACGACACTGATGCAAAGCCCATATTACACGATTAAATTTTGCCGTTCACATTTCGGGACGCCAATTGTACCTATAGGTAATTTCCTATACATTTTCTATCGGGCGGTATCCGGAAAAAACCTGGACAAATGCACATATTGAATCCGTTAGCGCCCGATAGATTATTTTTATGGGTCTCTATGGTGTATTTTAAGCAGGGAATCAGCTATTTGTCGATGAGACAGACCTTCTTAGAAGAGAAAGATTATTTGCAAACGAATTTCATTGATAAGTTGGGCTCTAGGCATTTTTAAGAGGATTTTCAACACTATTGAACACGCGTACAAAACTGCATATTTTGTTTAAGATTGCGAAAGGGATTTACCTACTTGTTCGGTTTTTAGGGTGATTTTTTTTAGTTCCATAATAAAAACATTCACAATTCAATATTTATACTACTGCAATTTAATAAATATTAATATTTTTATATTATACTTGGTGGTGCAAGAATTTTGAAACTGAGTGTATATTATATTAATATATTTATGTTAATTTTATTTTAACATACAATATCTACTTATATCGTATGTAAGTTATATGACCTATATTTTCATTTATTTAAATTTTTACTCAAGATGATCTGAATTTTAAAAGGCATTTTAATGGAAAAAATGTCAAACTTCAAGACGTAGTAGCAAATTTATTTTATCAAATCACCACTACACGCGAAGAGCACATGTTATTGGTCAATCTGTAATAAAAAAACTTAGCGCCGGTTGTGGTAAAATGAATTGGGATTATAGTAAATTATTTTATAGATATACTGTGATGGCGGGCACACCGCAAAAAATGTTGGAGCACCTCCTAGAAACCAGATTAGATGGTAGGGGAACCATGGGTGGAGGGGACAATTTTATTGTTTCCACGGCTCAGGATCCATTTTTGGATGATTTCCTCCTCACGCACATTGTGTTTATACCAACGCATCAGCTGATAGAAGAACTAGACAAATAATATCCTTTTTATATTTCGTATTTATGTTTTCTTTGTGCATTTTTGATATAGCAATCTTAAATTTAATTCATTTATTAATATAAAAGCACCATTATGGAGTTTTGATCAAAAATTACAAATATCCTACCGACTGCGCCAATTTAAATAAGCAGTAGGTATTTTCCTTAATAAAACTTACTTATAGAATAGACCTGACCAATCAAGACAAAGAATTTGTGTTAGCCTGTAAAAGGCGCGTCATACAGTTCGTGTACAGATGGGTGACGACCATAAGGCAGCCTGTGTTCGAAGACGATCTGGCGGTGGAATTTCTGGAAGACTTGGCGGCCTGTATGGAAGAAGACATCATCAAATACAACTCCTTGCAGGAGGAGGCCACCTTGATGCATCACGTGATGTCGCAGCTCAGAAGGTACGTAACTTAAAACTGTTTTTGTTCAGAAACGAGAACGTCTTAAATTTACATTTATTTTTCATGCTCGATATCACTCAACAAATTTTCCTCTTGGGTATTAAAGGTTTATATTGTTTAGATATCAGGATGACAGAAAGGCCCATGATGGTCAAAAATGGAAGTTACCACCGCAAGGACAACCAATCAGTTTGTTCAGTGGTAAAGACACAAATAGGACGATTATAATGCCACAGGACGATAGTAAGTAGAGATAAAACTTTTAATCCTTCAATATATCTCAGATAATAGTGATTAACGCTCTTAACTTTATATTTAGACCCGTTTTTTATGAGGTAAAGAGATCAGACGGACTTTTTGTTTGGCGGATCATGCTAAAAGTTTTCGTGCGAAGTTTTAACTCTAAAGTTTACTTGGTCTGCTTGTAACTTAAACGATGTCTATTGTCGGGCGAGATTGAAGTTTGAGATATAGCTCGGATAAAGTAAACATTGTTAAATAATAAAGGGAGTAATTTAAAACTTTGTAATTTTAGTAATTTTTCGTGTATACTGCGCGGATCACACGTACTGTACCCTAAGGTTACCCGTGGACACACCTGCAGAAGCAATAAAGGTAAGAACTATGTTTTAATTTACTTTTCCAACAACAGAAAACTTGGAAGATAAAAATCTTGTTCTTAAAAGTACAAGTTGAGTCTTAAGAGTAAATATTTTAAGTCTTAACACAATTTGGTTCCTCCTGTTGGGAAAATCATTGCATAAGTTTTATCCTGGTGACAAGCCTAAACAAACTAAATATTATTTTTATTTAGTTGGTAGCTGCCGACAAACTAAAAATGCGGACCATAGATGATTTGTTATTGGTTGAAGTGAAATCAAACGGAGAAAGAGTTACATTTAAGGACAACGATATAAGTATACCGACTGCCTTGACCTTGAACGGCAGGATATTTGTATCGCCAAAGGATCATTTAGATGCATTAGTAAGTTATTTATAGTTTTTATATTTCTAAAAACTGAGATCTTACTTGATTACCTAAGATTAGCATAAAATCAATATTTAATACACCGTTTCAATGTATAAATTTACAATTACTTTTGTTAAAAATTGAGTTACAAAGACTTATAAATTACTTGTTTGAAAGTTCTAAACTGCTTTATATAAATTTTCTATAGTAAAAGTTGAGTTGAGAATTTTCAAAACAGTTTCATGCTTGGAGGAAAATAGATTTACAAAGAGAAGTCGGCAAAATTAACAAAATTAAATGTGATTTATTTTCCAGACATGTCTTTCGGAGCAGGAAGAAGCGACTCAGGGAATCGATGCTGATATTGAATTATTTAGTACCAAGGAGTTAGCGTATTATATGACTCTATTCGACTGGGATTTATTTTGGTAACACAATCAATAATATGGGAAAACAATGAACTCACAAATTTATTTTAGGTGTGTTCACGAATATGAACTTCTCTACCACACGTTCGGTCGACATCATTTTGGCCAAATAACCGCAAATTTGGACGTGTTCTTGAGGCGGTTCAATGAAATCCAGTTTTGGGTCGTCACCGAAATATGCATGAGCACCAGTCTTAGTAAACGTGTAGCAATACTTAGGAAATTTATCAAATTAGCTGCATAGTAAGTATCACACACATTGAGTAAGATCACCTCAAGTGGACCCCCCATTTCCCACTTGATTGTGGAATTCAAATTAATAAATTTTAATATAAAGCAGTCACTATCAATAATGAAACCCTAAAACAGTTTTTTTAAATTTTCATTTTAAAATTTGACAACAATATACATATTTTCAGCTGCAAGGAGTATCAAAACTTAAACGCTTTCTGCGCAATAGTGATGGGTCTAAGCAACGTTGCCGTGTCCCGTCTTTCGAACACATGGGACAAACTACCGTCGAAATTCCGAAAACTGTACACTGAATTCGAGTCGCTTATCGACCCGAGCCGAAATCACAGAGCGTACAGAGTGAGCGTTGGCAAATTGCAACCACCTGTCGTACCGTTTATGCCCTTGTTGATCAAGGATATGACTTTCACTCACGAGGGCAACAAAACTTGCTTGGACGGGCTGGTGAACTTCGAGAAAATGCACATGCTGGCTCAAACGATGAGGACCATTAGATTTTGTAGAAGTAGACATTTAGGTAAGATTTTTTTCTAAAATTATTTATTAAACATTTCATTTATACTATAATTTTGCTGCAAAAACCATTTTAAAATAAACTGCGCACCACTTAATGTGTCGCGACCAAAAAGTTTGTTCTTTTTTAAAACCACATAACTTTTTTGTTTCTTGAACGATTTTATTTTGGTCTGTGATGTCTGCTAGCCTCATCCTCTGGTAATTCATGCTATAGATATGAAGCTCACGGTTCGTCAAGAAAATTTCCTACAGGGTGATATGTTAAACGGTGAAAAATTTCAATAACTTCTTCCAAGCCCCGTTTGTAAAAAAATATTTTTTTTCTCGTTTTTATTTTGAAATAATGAAGTATTACGTATTACCTTGAAACATTTTTCAAGTTTTTCGAATTGGAATCTTAGCAACGACGATATGATTTTTTTTTGGATTTTATTAACAGCCGGGAATTGTTTTTGAATTTTGATTCTTGGTGATTTTGGTTTTATCTGAAACTTAAATTTGACAACTGAATCACAATCAGGAGATCAAAATTATAAAGAAAACATGCCATGAACGTAAAGATCGGTTCAGGTTTAGTTTTCTCAAATTTTTACCAAAATGTCGTTTTGAAAAAGTGGTCTTTACTTAGGCCCCTTTGAAAATAATGGAAGTTTGTTGCTTGTCGCTTGTTCAGAATTATTCAAGGAACAATCTTTTACCATCTTATTTTCTTGTTCTTAAAAAGACTGTGTGTATTGCCTACCAAAAAGCCTTAAATGCACTCTTTTGTAAAAAAAAAAATCAGATTTTCGTTGCTAAGATTCCAATTCGAAAAATTTGGTAAGATTTTCAAGGTAAGACATAATACTTCATTATTTCAAATTAAAAACGAGAACAAATATTTCTTTTTTCAAACGGGGCTTGGATGAAGTTATAGAAATTTTTCACCGTTTTACATATCACCCTGTAGGAAATTTACTTGAAGAACCGTGGGCTTAATATCTATAGCATGAATTGCCAGAGGATGGAGTTAGCAGTCATCACAGACCAAAATAAAATCGTTTAAGAAACAAAAAAGATATGCCGTTTTGAAAAAGGACGAACTTTTTGGTCGCGACACATTGAGTGGTGCGCAGTTTAGTTGTATTAAATCCCCGAAAAATTGTAATCCCTCTCGACAAGTAATGAAACATCGGTGTTGGTGATCACATATTGTATTGTAATATAATATGCGCTTTGTCCAAAAATTCAACTTTTAAGAATAATATGGCTTTCTGTTCTTGAAACTAGCGGTACCCTGTACATTTTTAACGCGTCTTGTCCTATGTAAAACAGCTGTTCCTAATCTATGTACTTAATTTTCCAATTTCAGAATAAAGTTTATTCTGAAATTGAAAAAATAAGTACATAGATTAGGGACAGCTGTTTACAATTTAAAAGACGCTTTTTACTTCCTAAAATTGTTTGGGTTTTTTGTTATTTCCAAACAAACTGAGCTTTGTCCGCCTCAGACAATCAAAAACCATCGATAATACATATTTTTTCATATTTCAAAAATTCTTCAGGGATAAATATTTTTGAGGTTAAGTTATTATTAGAGGACTCATTTTCCAAATTTACTGGCATCTTGAGTTTTACTTTAAATATATCCGTTACTTCACACCAGACTTTTGTGTTTCCTGAAAATTATGCAATTTAGACAAATGCATTTTGGAAGTCTGCTCCTTATAAGGAGCAGTATACTTGTGCACAGAAAAGTCCTATTTACCTGATCTTGTGTTTGTAAAGATTTATCCTTATACCTGGGTGGTTTAAAACAAGTTTTATGAAAAATTATTAACTTAAGCAAGTATTTTGTTGCTTTGGTCGTAATCGTGTTACCCAAAATTTGACCTGTACGTTGTGTTTACTTACTTGTTTTATTAAATAGATTGCTTTAGGAATCATATTTGGAAGAGTTAGGTATACAAAAAATAAAATGCAGTGTTTAGTTTAGCCCTTCACAAACGTTTTACAACAAGCAAGGGAAGGAAGGAAGATACGACCAGGGAAAAAGAGCTAGAGACAAAAACCCTGTTCGGCTATAAAGTAGCAAAGGATGACACGATTAGGCCTTGTGTCTTTTAAAAGTTTATGCAAATTAATGTGATGATAGGAAAAAAGTTGTTAGTTAACAGGGCAGCTAACTATTACTGTGTCAACTTTAACGTTGCCCTGTGGGAAACAAGGTCCACATTGGAGACATCTCGCCTAAAGATGAAGGGTCGGGATGTCGACTAGAGAACCTAGGTGACTATTTATCCCTCCCGGTGTGGAGCATTTTAATATCTACTACAAGGCACGTGCACTAAAAGAAAAAGGAGCATTCAAAGTTTAAAATTAACGGTCAATACTCCCTTTTAAGCAACGAACCGTCCCGTATCACACCGATATTAATATTAACATAAAAATTGTTATGTTAATATCGAGTAAAATTCGCTAAACGTAAAATAACTAATGATCAATTAACTATAATCTGAACCGTTCTACGTTTAGTGGACTTTACTACATAATACTAAAATTAAGAACTAACCTTGGAGAATACGCAAACACTTGTAACAACTATTTAAACAGAACAATAAGTTACAGCAAAAATTTATAAGAAGCGATGCGTTCGATACCATTATTAAAAACTTGGTGCCTGTTTTGTTCCTTTTCTTTAGGGTATTTCCATTGTAACGGTTGCGACACTAAAAATGCGTTTTTTCATGATAATAAAGTGTTTGTTCGTATATATCAAGATACGTTAATATAAAAAAATAGAATGAAAAATTAGGTATTTAACTCAAACTAAATGTCAATAAAAACTTGTACAGAAAACCTTTTATAACGTCATGAATAGCGTAACGGGCGCGACCTTAGAAAATCTGCAAAGGCGACCAAGTTGGCTTCTAAAGTTGATACTGTAAAATTTTGGATGAAAGCATATAGAAATAATTTTTTGTGTAAAACTTGAATAGTAACCTTAAACAAGCACGTATTTTAAATGCACAAAAATTGCATACTTTATTTTCTAAAATTTTCACAAAATGTAATCGAGTATTGAAACTCTTCCGTGTTTATTCTTAATGTTAGCTTCTTAGCATCACAATGTACGAATATTTTAAAGTTATAAATTACGTCGAAATTAAACTAAACTGCGCACCACTCAATGTGTCGCGACCAAAAAGTCCTTTTTCAAAACGACATAACTTTTTTATTTCTTAAACGATTTTATTTTGGTCTGTGATATCTGCTAGCTCCATCCTCTGGCAATTCATGCTATAAAAATTAAGCTCACGGTTCTTCAAGTAAATTTCGTACAGGATGATATGTAAAACGGTGAAAAACTTCAATAATTTCATCCAAGCCCCGTTTGAAAAAAGAAATATTTTTTCTCGTTTTTATTTTAAAATAATGAAGTATTATGTTTACCTTGAAACGTTTTTTAAATTTTTCGAATTGGAATCTTAGCAATGAAAATAAGATTTTTTTTCTCCAAAAGAGTACATTTAAGGCTTTTTTTGTAGGCAATACTCAGTCTTTTTAGGAACAAGAAGATAATATGGTGAAAGAATGTTCCTGAAATAATTCTGAACAAGCGACAAGCAACGAACTTCCATTATTTTCAGAGGGGCCTAAGCAAATACCACTTTTTCAAAATGACATTTTGGTGAAAATTTGGGAAAACTAAACCTTAACCGATATGTTTTCTAAACCTTAATGTTTTCTAAACCTTAACCGACATGTTTTCTTCATAATTTTGAACTCCTGATTGTGATTCAGTTGTCAAATTTAAGATTCAGATAAAACCAAAATCACCAAGAATCAATATTCAAAAACAATTCACGGCTGTTAAAATACCAATGCCAGACGAACGTAAATATCGGTTTAGGTTTAGTTTTTTCAAATTTTCACCAAAATGTTATTTTGACAGAGTGGTCTTTGCTTAGGCCCTCTGAAAATAATGGAAGTTTGTTGCTTGTCGCTTGATCAAAATTATTTCAGGAACATTCTTTCACCATCTTATCTTCTTGTTCCTAAAGAGACTGAGTGTATTGCCTACAAAAAAGCCTTAAATGTACTCTTTTGGAAAAAGAATCATATTTTCGTTGCTAAGATTCCAATTCGAAAAACGATGGTAAGACATAATACTTCATTATTTCAAAGTAAAAACGAGAAAAAAATTATTTTTTTACAAACGGGGCTTGGATGAAGTTGTTAAAATTTTTCACCGTTAGGGAATTTACTTGAAGAACCGCGAGCTTCTTTTCTATAGCATAAATTGCCAGAGGATGAGACAGACCAAAATAAAATAGTTTAAGAAACAAAAAAGTTAAGTCGTTTTGAAAAAGAACAAACTTTTTGGTCGCGACACATTGAGTGGTGCGCAGTTTATTTGACTTCAGAAATAGTTGTTATTTTGTTAAATAACATCTGATTTTTTGTCAAGGTGGGGCAAGGTTTCGTGGAAATACCCTTTACTAACTTCGTGTACCTCGTTTCTTGAATCATCTGGACACCAGATTTTTCGAAGTTTCCTTTTACATCGGTTTGCTAAGCATTTTGGCTTTAACATCACAATTTAGAAAATACAAATTTTACTTTAAAATAAATGTGTAAAACTTATTATTCGTGTTGTTTTCAGTGTTGGAGCCGCCATCTCCGAAGAGCGAGGGCGAAGTGAAATCGTACATTTCGTGTTTGCGTGTGATAGACAATCAACGGATACTGACCGGCTTGTCGCAAAAGTTGGAACCGCGTCGCTCTTAGTGGCACTACATCCTCTCCGCCAGGGTGCTCGCTTACGCCGGCTGGAGATGCTGGATGATATGTCCCTGTCCCTTCTCCTTTCCCTTCTACAAACCGCAGCCATCCTACGTCTGACGAATGTGCGGTCTGATCCAAGCAGCGAACTACAAGCGTAAGCCGAAGTTTCACGCTAACCTGGGATTTATTAATTACTTGGTTATTTTGTATAACATTGTTTTACATGTGTTTCGGTTTAAGAAGATAAACAGTAAAGGAGATTTCATTAGACATTTTATAGGGATTTTTGTGTAAATAAAATAATACATCTATCTATCCACTTTAACAACACTAATGCTGGATTTAACAGCACAAATTAACATTAAAATTAAGATTAACATTAGCATTAAGAAGTTAAATGAACGTAATCCATTGGAAGCTTTTATGCAACACATTAACATTAAGTTAACATTAAGAGATGGCCAACTTTTATCTTCTTAATGATAATGTTAATTTTTATTCCCCCTGCGCAGGTTTGCGGCGCAATTTTTAAATAAACCGTGTCAGTAATGCCAACATACCCGATATAAAATGAAACTTATTGCTGAATGATTGATTTTTTATTCAATGATTGTGTTCTTTGGTTTATTGTTTGACGTGGAGTTTATAGTTTTCATTTATTTTACTTAACAAAATTCAAACAAACCAAAAATGTCAGATGTCAAAATTACTTTAACTTATACGCATGCTTAATTTGCTACTAATTTTGCTGCATAAATACCCTCCTATTAATGTTAAATTAATCTTAATGTTAATGTTAAAGTTAATCTTAATGTTAATTTGTGCCGCATAAATGTTAGTAATCAAAAGGTTGCATTTGAACTAAACCCAACCAAATAAATAATCGGTAAAATCTATAGTTTTCATTAGTTTAATTATTATTACTTTCAATTAAATATAACATGAGAAAAATTACATCTCAAAATTGGCAATTTTTATATTAATTAATATTTTATTAATTTTTTTAAAATGCATTTCTTCACTTAAGTGAAGAAATGCATTTTAAAAAATACAAGGACATTTTAAAAAATAACAAAAATTGTTGATAAAGATAAAGTTTAATTATAATTAATAATTATTAATACTTTCAATTCAATCTAACATGACAAAAATAACATCTCAAAATTCGTAAATTTTATATTAAGTGAAGAAATGCATTTTAAACAAGGACGTTTTAAAAATAAAAAAATTGTTGATAAAGATATAATAATTTAAAGTTTTATTCATTAAATAATTAACACAAACTAGATAAAAAGTTTATCTGCCAACAATGCCTTGTTAATTTTGTTTCCATTGCGTTGGTATGCCATTTTCGGAACATTCTGTATATATTTTTTATTGTAATAGGATCGTTAATTAATTTAATTTAAATGTAAAACAATTTTTTAAATATTTAACTTTTCTTGTGACGATTTTTAAAATAATTCATCTAAAATTGATGTTAGATTATGGTATTCAGTAGTAGGGTTTCAAAAATTGCCGGCGAAAAAAAAACCGGTTTAAAAAAAACGAAAAAATTGTCTATAATTTATTATATAATATTTTGGCATCAAAATTGTCAAAAATATTCTTCTTTTATTAAGCTATACATTAAATAAAAAAAAAACGCAAGAAATATTTTATAAAAGTAGAGATAATTTTAATAATTGATAGTTTTGGACGGGACAAAAAAAGATTTATCTTGTCCCGTCCACACCTGTCAATTATTAAAATTATCTCTACTTTTATAAAATATTTCTTGCGTTTTTTTAAATTTAATGTATAGCCTAATAAAAGAAGAATATGTTTGACAACTTTGATGCCAAAATATTATACAAATATTATAATAAATTACCCAGCATTTTTTTTATAAAAACAGTTTTGTGATTTCGTCACCTGAGAATTATAGTGTTCTATCTGCATTTTCTTTTTTTTATTCAGGTTAGTCTTGTTTTAAGTCTTAAAGATGATTGATCTATCTATATATAATTCGGGTAGAAATTGTAAAGTTTAAGGCTTAAACTGTAAAATTTCTACCCCAATTATATATAGATAGAACAATATCCATCTTTAATACTTAAAACAAGACTAACCTGAATAAAAAAAAGAAAATGCAGATAGAACACTATAATTCTCAGGTGACGATTTGTCCCGTCCGCATGCCTAAAATGGCCCTTTTGCAATTTTTTTATTTTATATAAAGGATAATACGAAAAAAATGCAAAAGATTTTTTTTTGTAAAATTTACAAATTTTTACGTATCCGTACACTGATATCGAGAAAAAAGTGAATTTTCTACCCTGATTATAATCATATTATTACGCTGATTATAATAATTATTTCTTTTCGCAAAAAAAACATTCGGTGCCATATTAACATAACTATCGTTTTATTTAACTCATCAATTTATAATTTTGTAATTTAACTTAATAAATCATTCATTATTTTTTAATTGACTCCCAACCGACAGGATATTTAACGTTTACGTTTATTTTATTAAATCAATTAAATTCAATTCAATGTTTAGTTTTATTTGTTTTTGTTTCTGCGATAAAGGATTTTTTTGTTAATTAAAATATTGTTAAAATATTCAATTTTTCACAAAAAAGACAATTTTCCCAAGGCCTGGGAAAAACGATTTTTCCCCAATTTTTCCGTTTGTTTTTCGAAACCCTATTGCATTAAAATGATTGAGAATTTATTTAATAAAAGCAACAAGTTTTCAATCAAGCCTTTCTCTTGTAAGAGATATTAATTATTATTATTTTTACTAAATTAGTATTAAAAATAAAATTTATACCTATTATGTTTTATACATATATACACATGTATGCATACATATAAAGTATATATCTGTGGGTAAAAGGCATAAGGGGATAAGTCCAAAAAAAGCAATTTTTCAGTAGAGCCTTAAACGTATTCGCATTAATTCAGGAAACATATTTATGGTTAGTGGGTATACCCTTTTGTTAGCACATGTCATATGCTAACAAAAGCGTATACCCGCTAAACATAAATATATTTTCTGAAGTAATGCGAACACGTTAAAGGATCTCTTGAAAAATTGCTTGTTTTGAATTATCCCCTTATGCCTTTTACCCACAGATATTTTGTGTTTTACGAAGTAAGAAACAACATTTTAAAGATTAATTAAATTTTAAGGCCGGTCCTGGCTATAGCCAATATATTGTTGCCAAAAAAACAATAAAACTTTAAAAGGCTATATTTACCCATTATTTTTATGTTGTGATAAAAAAATTACTAAAAATTTTTGTTTGTGTTTTTTATTTCGCTGTTAAAGAAAGCGTCCACTTAAAACTCACCCTGTGTATATATTTATGTATAATGTTTTATTATTAAGTATTTTAAAAAACTCCCTAAAGTCTAATGGAATTTTCCTTATAGAATGTATGTGGTTTAAAAAGGAATGTTTTAAAACTAAACCTTTATATAAAAAAACTAAAACCCACATAAAAAGTACAATTTTATCCCAGAATCAATGAAAATTAATTACCTTAAAATAGTGGTCCAGAACCCACAAATACCTACTACCTACTACTAACTTTTAGAGCTAGTTCCAAACCTTACCAAATTTATCTACTGAATTATATTGACAAAGTAGGTTGTAATTAATTAAAAAAATAATAACTTACTTTAAAAAAGTTTCTACCACAAGTGTAAATATAAGCTTAGTGGAAGTAAAAAACTTATTATTCCCTCCTATTCTTGCACAATTTAAATTTTTAATAAAGCTATATATTTAAAATATATGTAAGATCCTAGTTGAGTCTTATGATTATGAAATCAAAAAAAATCCTCTTACCTTCAAGCTTTAATTTAACGATAAGGAACAATCATAAATATTGTCTGTGAAAATGTTGGTAGAAAAATTGAGAAAAAGAATATTATATTCTTATAAGATTGGCTGTTAAATTTTAGAGGTAATTTTAAATCTGATAATATTTAGTAAAAGAATGCCAAGCAATAAGAAATTAGATTTATGAATATGCACTTTGATATGTATCTATATAACAATAAAATAGGGTTAATTTAAATTGTATTAGACTACTTTTGTATAGATAATTTTGTTATAAAATAACTTCTACTCTTTAGTTCCTGTCCCCTTTACTAAGAATAATATTAGGTACCTACACCATTTTAAATATAGGAAACTCTAACCATTTTTTCTAGCATTAAGAAATTATTTATTAGTTTATATTTTATGTTTAATTAATATTTTGTAAATACTATGTAAAATCTTCTAAATGCTTCTCGCTAGCAATTTGTTATGACAATCACCGTTGATTTATACATAAAGAAATGTATAAAAATGTATAAATCTGCAAGTTTCCTTGACTTAATAATATCTTAAATTTGCTATTTATTTATTAATAATTGGTAGGTTTAAAAATCACAAACTTCCAAAGCATTTAAAAAAGTGTTTGCGATTTTAAAACTATAAATCAAAATTTATTTCCTGACCAGGAATTAACGTCTTTGTGATATAATAATATATTTAAACTAAGTATACCTACGATGTATTTGATTTTATAGTCCTAGTCTTTAACCAAGTTTATTATAATCCAATTAATTAAACAATTAAAAATTATAATAAATTTGAGGTTTTACTTTGTAGTTTTATCCTTGTCAGTCTCAAATGACAGACATTGTAAGGAAAACACTCCAATGCATGTAATTGTGTAAGATCTCGATTTTAGAAGTAAAAATTTTTACCTAGAAATTATTATGATTATAATTATTATTGTCAGAATGTGTACATATTTATATCTGAAGTTTTATTATATTTACCCAATACAATAAAATAAAATGTTCTTAACAATACGTTTTTATTTCAAACTATAGCATATGAGTACAAAATAATATTTATTTTTTACATATATCACTGACATAATATCAGTCAGGTTGGACTTTAATTTCTTTCTTGGGCATAGTGGCGTCTTGGAAATCATGCGTATAAAGATGTTTATATACTGGTATCTATAAATGATTTTTTTATGATGAAAAATATTCTAGTACTATACTTTTCCCTGGCAAAATAAATCCATACTTTGCGGTTTTCCCTTTCCCAAAAAATGCCAACTCTGTTATACAAATTGAGTCATTATAGACAATTCCAATACAGTTTGGATTATTTTAGACAGTTATTATACAGTTTTGGCCAATTATAAATAATTGTAAGTTTCAGTTTTTAGTAAATAAGTAAAGTAAACGTAAAGCCAGGAACTTTTTAGCCCACCCCAGTAAATACTTACCGTGGGTAAACTGGTATCAAACTGGATATCAGCTGTGCTAGTAGCTCCTTCAATTATTTTGTAATGATGACCCAAATAAGGCTGTTGCAGTGCCTTACCATATATTTTACTAAGATCAATGCCAATAATCTCTTTATCTGCTCTTCGTTTTATTTGACTTTTTGTTAATGGCACAGGAAGAAAACCACCGCTTAAAATCTATAAACATACCAGATAATACACACAGCAAACGGAAAAATATAGAAGTGTATACACACTGTGTATTACACAGCAAACGGAAAATTATAGAAGTGTATAGGAAGACGCCACGTTTGAATATCGTTTTCTAAATCTCCCCACGGTATAGATTTGTATTCGTCAGTCGAGCGTTTCAATACTCTCCACAGTATAGAGGTCGTAATTTCACTTTTGAACTAGTATTAATATAAAAATTATTTTATGCTTAAATAAAACTATATACATGATTGTGATTTTTTTCATTTTATTAATTAATTAAGCTGTTTTGAATATTTTTCTTAAAGGAATAATTGCCAATGGGCCATTAATTCATTTGTTCGTAGATGCTACAATAACCTGCACTGGTGTGTACTTTTTCATCAACCAGATTTAAATATTGCTGTACTAACATTACATATACCAATGGAGATAGTGCAGGGTCTACCGACAGACCTCATTACTAAATTATTAAAGTTTAATAGCATATATGCATATTGATCATTTTTTCAACATAACCTCTGAAATTTTTAATACAAATATAGGTACTTTATATAATACATAAATATACTATATGCTTTACATACCTGAGTTGTTACGGTAAATAAAAATCAGACAAAGGAACCAAAGAAAGGAACTATTTTCAACAAAATCTTATGCAGAAATGAGAAAATTCAAACTACTTGCATCCATCAAAAGATCAAAACTTCTTGCAATATTACACCCTCTTTTTATACTCTCAGAAATATTGACTAGAACAGTATTAGAGAGACTCCAGTTTCTATAACTTGGTAGAGTAAAGAGAAGTCGAAACCGTTGCGATATTGCATTGCGCTGTTTTTGTATAATTCTCGGGGATATTAACAAAAATCATTGCCAGTAAAATTCGAAAAGCTTGAGTTTCTATGTCTCTGAGGAGAATAGGAATCCGAAGTTGCTGCACCCCAAGTAGCACAGTATATGATATTCATATGCTCCAGACCTTCCCGATATGTCTAGTATATACCTGAGGTGATCTTCATGTTCCTGTCATATTATCGAAAGCATATGAAAAACAGATTATGCTGTTCCTAAGAATATCATGTACCTATACCGAAACACAAATATTACACGACATCTCAAGAATTCTGTTAACATCCTGATTGCGTCTGTCGACAGACGCAATCGGATCCCGGCTAATTTGTCACCAGTTAACATAATTATGATGCAAAGTAACAACTTTAATAGTTAATTATTAACTTTCACCTGTAATTTGTCACCTGTCATTTACCACCTGTCATTTGTCACCTGTCATCTGTCACCTGTCCTATGATGAAAGGTGACAGATATCTGTCAGCTTAAGGTTACTGACATAATATAATAGTTATAATATAATACAATGTATTATATAGGTTTTAAAAAAATGTTTTTGTCAAGTTTTGCGCCAAATATTTAAAAAAATCCAGTTCTTCATCTCTATAAAAAGATTACAATCTAAATAATTATTATTTTATGTATCAAATAATAATCATTATTATCTAATAACTATTGTAAATACTTAATTGTTGCTATAAACCATGCAGGGAACAATAATAATTAATAACAAAATTATTTCTAATTTCTAAAATTTTAAATTTCGCGGTTTAATGTAATTTTCTGATTCGGATTGCTTCGTTGAGCGTCGCCCTCTCTCGCAATCTTCGAGTCTTTCGACATCTTTACAAGCTAACGCGACTTGGCCGCCATTAGTGAACCTGTTGCGCGATTTGAGCCGGCTATGCCATGTGCCTTTTCGTTTTTCTATAAATTCTATAATATCTAGTGTGTATTGTGATCTAGTGAAGATTTGGATTCCAAATTTGGAAGTAGAAGATCCCCTGTATCTATTTAAATAATAAAGGAATAATATTTTTAAAAATTTTCTGTAATTTCTGAGGGTCTGCAGAAAATACACTTTTATTTTTTCGCAATAATTGTGGGACACCATGCATTTAATATATATATACAGGGTGAGTCATAAGTGGTGAACTTCCCGAAAGGAGCATGTTGGGGGGCCTTAATATAGGTAGGAAAAAATGTTAAAAAAATTCCAAATGAAAAAGTGACCGAGGAATTCAGGTCTTAAGTTTTAAATTTAACTTTTTTATTATTTAATATTTTTCCACCTTATATGATTTTTACTGAAGAGTTTAGGGTTCTTAAATATTTCCTAGCAAAAAAATTGCCCGAAAAAGTGTATTTTCTTTTAATTTTAATGTTTTAGAATGATTTTTTAACAATTGAAATGATCTGGCAACTTTGTAATCAACAATACGAAAATTGACATTGACGTTTATATTTTTTGGTATTATTTTGTCGAGTCTATTTGTAATCAACAATGCTAAAATTAAGTTTGACGTTTATATTTTATTTTTTTGGTTATTATTTTGTCTAGTCTATTTAATAAAATGTACACCAATCAAGAATATGTGAATATGATGCTGGTACTTGGATTCTGTGAAGAAAATTGCAATGAAGCAGCCCGGGTATACGCAGCAAGATTCGCTGACATAACCCACCTATCGCCGGGAGTTTTTAGAAGGATGATGGGCAGAGCTAGAGAGACTGGATCTCTAATTCCAACGGCAGGTCCTGACCTTGGTCGGCCTCTAGAGATTGTACCCGAAGCCGATGAGTTAATCATCCAGCTGATTCAAGAAGATCCAACAAGAAGTACCAGAGAGATTGCTCAGGAGCTAGGCATGTCCCAGACATCTAAAACCAGGCGATTAAAGGAGAAGTTCCATCCATACCACTACACTAAAGTTCAGGCTCTTAACAACAACGATTTCTGTTTGCGTTTAAATTTTTGTATTTTGGTTATTGGGAAAAATTAATGAGGATGATGATTTTTTAACTCGTATTTTATGGCAAATTTTAGTAGGGATGGGTGTTTTAATAGTAGAAACTGCCATTATTATAACCAAGAAAATCCACATAGAAAATGGGAATTTAATCATCAAACTAGTACAAGAAGAAGACTGGAATTGTGTTTGGAAAATCAGGGGCATCAATTCGAGCAATTTTTGTAATGTTTGTTCATGCTTCTTTATGTTATTTTTTTCATAAATTTTTATTTTGTTTGATTTTGGTTTTAATTATTATTATTTAAGTATTATAATCACAACAACTGTCTCATTGCTGTCTTTTATTATGACAGTAATGACAACAATATAAGCACGTAACAATTCAAATAAGTTCCTTAGTTACTTCAATTAAAATAAAATCTAATAATTGCCTGTAACATTGTTAGTGTTTACACGTTGCCAAAATTCTCTTTTGAGTTCTTGGCCATAACTCGAGTACCAAAGCAGATAGATTTTTTTAAACATTTTTCCCTACATATATTAAGGCCCCCCTACATGCACCTTTCGGGAAGTTCACCACTTATGACTCACCCTGTATATATATATATATATATATTTATATATTAAACTGCACTGTTACCTGAAGTTGAAACAGGATTGTAATATTCCATACGCAATGAAAAATATATCTCTATCATATTCCAAAGACTGCCAAATTCATATGATATGCAGCTGAAATACCTTACCATTTTCATGTGCATAGGATATGCCCTTGACCTGAATATCATAAAAATTCATATGATATTCAGATTCCATTTGTTTCCGTCGGTATATGAAATTCATATACAAATCATATAACTGTGCTACTTGGTACCATTGGACTGAACCCTTTTTTAATAATTTCTAGAGACATAAATGACTGCACCATTCGACAGGGTCGAGTTTCTATTCCTCTGTTGAATATAGAAAATCAAAATAATGTATCTTGTAAGACACCATTGAGTTTGACTTTAAATATAGTCGTGCATAGGTATAGAGCCGAAAAATATAAAAACAAAGCACGATTCAATACAGTTATGATAAAACTTTAAGATTTGATATTCAAACGCGGAGTCATCCTATACACTTCTATAATTTTCCGTTTGCTGTGAAGTACACAACTACCACTAAGCACAGAAACCCATAGATTATAAAAGAAACCGACTAATAAAAAAACGACATTAAATAGCGTCCACAGACTTGTTTGTTTCTTTGATGTCGTCTCAACCATTCGAACAAGGACTAGTCCAGCTGCGTACGTTGGTTTTGCGCAGCTACACGAGATTCTTCTTGCGATATTTGAAAGTATTGGGTATAATCAATTAGCAGATTCCTTTTTAGAATCTCACACTGGGAATGCCCAATTGAATTTAATTGGAAATTACCTATGGGTAGCTATAACCAATCGAAACCACTAAAAAACAGTAGAATCCTAATTGGACTTTTCCATATTTTAAAGTATTGGGAATAACCAATTAGCAGATTCCTTTCTAGAATCTTACACTGGAAATGCCCAATTACACGGAGAGAAAAATTTTGCCAAAATAACTATACAAAGTATTGTTAAATGACGTATCGTGAATTTAGTCAACTGTTTTATTAAACTGAGGATCTGTATAGCTAATTTAGCCATACAAATCCTCAGTTTAATAAAACAGTTGACTAAATTCACGATAAGTCATTTAACAATACTTTGGATAGTTATTTTAGCAAAAGGGTAAATAATCAAAGAAGCAACTTTGTTTTATAAATTTGAGTATAACACGTTAAAGTATTTATATACATATTAACTTTTTTATGCAAATGATGTTTCTGTGGCCAGGATCAGTTTTGAATTAGAAGTATTTATAAATGTTTAGTTTAGTACATTTTGTCATTTTTATACAAATATTGTTGTATCTTTTATTAATAATTAAGTATAACATAACACATAAATGACGTTTAATATACAGGGTGTTTCACTTACGTAGTCCGTTAGAAGTTTCTAGGGAATCGCGAAAGTCATCGATTTAAAATTTTAATTGAGTAAATTATTCGATTTAGACTTTTTTCCTAAATTATCTTGAACAAAATAATACTTCCTATTTTACCGGAAATGTCTTTAACTTTGTTATTTTAAACAGGATACCTCATCAATTTTTACATTTTTTAATTCTACATAAAATTCTGAGTAAAATGGCTATACCATATGGTATATATCCTATACCTTTACCATATCTATACCTTTACCATATTCAATGTATATATATAGGTATACCTATACCTATAGGTATATATACCTAAGGTATACCTATAGGTATAGGTATAGGTATAAAGTCAATATTTTTCGAGTTATTAATTTTTCAATCAAATATTTTAATTAATTTTAAACAATGACAGATTTGGTGGTAACCACTTTCACATTAACCCACATGTAGAATTTCACAGGTTTATTGATACAAAGTAGTGTCGAACATATTAGGAATTGTTAAATGTCTCTGAAATTTTAACTTTAGGAAACAGTTATTATAATACAAATCGAAAGATTCTTTAATTTTCTATTTGATTATGTTAAAATTTTGAAGTTTGCGTAATAAATGGTTTTCCCTAATAAGTGGTTTTTCTCAAGCTTAAGCTATTTGTTGAAAACCCTTTAAAAAATTAAATTATTTAAACAATGTTTTAATATTCCAAAAATTCCAACACCATGTCAGCAAACATAATAACAAAAAAATTATAGGCTATTTTTGGTTAACGCTCATTTAGCAAAATTTAAACGAAAAAAATTAATATCTTGAAAACTATTGACTTTAGGTATAGTCTAAATCAAATTGTATATTCTATTAAAATTTTAAATCCATATCGTTTGCGTTTCTCCAGAAACACCCTGTCTAATTATATTAAATATAAAAAAATGCAAAATAACTAATTACAAAAAAGCGAAAAACAACTGAATAAAAAATATACATACATCTAAATCACCGATTGCAAAATAAAAAATAAAATCTCTAAATAGAGAATATTCTAATTTATTTATTGGGTAAATATTACTTTCCTCAGTTTGGAATTAAAATTGAAGCTTGCTTATCGAGTATAAAATAAATTGAAGCTTGGTTGTGGAGCAAAAAAATAAAATTAAAGTAGGTTATAATTTCCTACTTGCCTACTATGATCAAAATTAGTAAACTTGAAAAAATTTAAAATTTATGAATATGATTTTTTTAAATAAATATGTGAGAATTGTATGTTATATATAATATATTATATGTAATATAATGTATAATATACAATACATTATCTTATAAAACTAGATAAAAGAATATATACTTTGTAAAACACGTTAGTATTATGCCCTTTGAGGTCTAATTTAAAAATGGTGTCTCTCGTTGAAACATAATTTGCATGTAGAAGTTTATAGTATATGAAACAATAGTTAATTATCAGTACTTTAACGTGATATACTCAAAATTATAAAACAACCTTGCTTCATCGACTTTTTAACCCTTAAAAATGGTAAAGTTTTAAATTAACTTATCCCCAGCGCCCCTGTATGTTAAAATCTAAAAAAATTACGTGGATTTATTGCCACTAATAAGGTCTACATTTTATCTTTATTTCAAATCGATACGTTTTTTAAATAAAAATGTTATTACAAAATATCGAAATTTATCTATTTTTAACACAGTGGAGTGACTTAATTAAGGCCTAAAAACCACAACGGTCAATGGATGAAATTTTTTTGTTAAAATGCACCATTTAGATGTAGAAACAAGGTTAAAAAATTATATTCAATTCTGGCATCACTAAGTGCAAGTCTTGCAAACAAATGTCCAAAATTTGTTCGATTTTACGCGAAACCATAGTTAAACTTTAATAATTTAGTAATGAGGTCTGTTGGAAGACCCTGCAATATTTCCACTGGTATATGTTAGTACAGCAATATTTATTTCTGTTTGGTCAAAAAGTACACACCAGTGCAGGTTATTGTAGGTAGCATCTACGATTAATGGCCCATTGGCAATTATTCCTTTAGGAAAAATATTTAACACACCTTAATTAATTAATAAAATTTAAAAAATCACAATCATGTGTTTTAATTATAAAATAATTTTCATAACTAGTGTTTAAAAGTCAAATTACGACCTCTATACTGTGGGGAGTATTGAAACGCTCGACTGACGAATACAACTCTATACCGTGGCGAGGGTTTAGAAAACTGTATTCAAACGTGGCGTCATCCAATACACTTCTATATTTTTCCGTTTGCTGTGAAGTTTATTTAAAGAAAGTTATGATTTAAGTTTAACTTTTTTAAAATATATCTATAGGTAAGATAAGATAAAAGTAAATGAGTTACCCTTCTAGAACAAGAACTTAAGGTCCTTTTTAAATCAGCTGGTATTGCAAATTCAAAAGTTGTCTCATCAACAGGTTCAGCATATGGTAAGGGCTTCCATGTTTTAAAACTACCAACGGTTTGTAAAAATCTTCCACTAAGAGTCCATAACCTTGCACTTTTATCAGCACTTCCACTAAATATAAACACTTTATTAAAAAACAGCTATTTCCATAATTATTTAATTACCTAATTATTATTTGGGACTCATTAATAAAGTCCAAAGATGATATAGCAAGATTATGCCCTTTATAAGTGTTGAGTAAAAGTGGTTTAGGATCTAACCGATTCATCCTCCTGGCTCTTCCTCTGATTGTATTTCCCCACATGTAGGGAAACTTTAATCTGTATTTTGGCATGCACACGTAAGGAGGATTTTTAACACAATAATCCGAAATTAACCAGGTCTTAATGTATCCTGCACTATGTCCTAAAAAGATTTGTTAAAGGTATTTTATTCGATAAAGTTCTAATAAAAAAATATATAAAAGAAACGTTAATATTACCAGTAAATAGGTATTCATTATTTTCATCTGTAGCCATGGTTAAAACGTAATCACCAGCTCTATGAATTGTAGTAAACGATGTTATAAATGATCCGAAAACATCATGAGACCATACTTGAACCACTCCGTTTTCTAAAGATATTAAAAGGGTACCAACATCTGGATCCATCTCACGTTTATTTAAAAATAGCATACAATGTACTGCCGCATTTCTTATATCGAATGTATCAGGAAGGGTCTCGCAAGAAGAATCATTCAATTAGAAGATCAACAAGGATTATTTGATTACTCACAATATCAGACAATTTTAGGTGAAGACTCGATTCTGCCTGGATTTTAACAGCAGGTGTTCTTGCGTCAAACATCGAAGCTCTTTTTGATGTCGACCGTCTCATTAAAAAGTTGTCTGTTTTTTTTTCACCTTCCTTCTCTTCATTATCAGTATAATCTCCTATTTGCTCTTCAATCAATGTAGACTTTCTTCTTTCGTCAACCTTTTTTAGTCTGGCTACCCTTAACAATTTCTCTTTAGGCATTTTGTATTCAAGCTTAATTCTCACAGTTGGGTTGTTGACGTTATATTTTTTGTAAGGTTGTCCTGTTTCAAGACGCCACATTATGATGACCCCATCAAAGCTGGCTGTGACCACGGTCTGCGGTACACGAAGCGCTGCCGCCTTGATGTCTTCATTATGACGCTTGTCCCAGTTTTTACTAAGAAAATGAAAAAGTAAAGCAATGTTATAACAAATCTTCGCGCAAGCACTCCTTCCTTGATAGTTACAATTGTAGACAGTTAATATATATGCATGAGCTTTTTATTTTATTTAAAAAAAGACTAATTAAAGTTTCAAGGTTAATGCCAAGACTTGAACACAATTCAGCTCACGCATACAAATGACTCCTCATTGTAAACTTTACAATATGAAGCATTAAAAGCTCATGAACACCGGTATCTAAAATTGAAAGGAAGTTGTCGGGTAAATTTAAAATTAACACATGTAATAAATGTTTGTTCATTAACCCTGCTGAAAAATTCGGGTAATATCGGATGATTGCGGATAAAAAACCAAGCTAGTTTTATGTCCATTTATATATATATATATATATATTAGGGTGTTTCAAAAAAATCGACTTTTTGTTTTTCTTCAAATGGTCGGCAAATTCTTTCAGAGGATGTCAATATAAAGACCTCGTCAAAATTTGAGCTTTTAATTTGAAGATTTAGAGGTCGCGGATCGCAATTTTCTATTTCCCATTTAAATAACATGGGAATTTTTTTTACCTATAGGTATCTGTTATATATATATTAGGGTGTTTAAAAAAAATCGACTTTTTCTTTTTCTTCAAATGGTCAGCAAATTCTTTCAGAGGATGTCAATATAAAGACCTCGTCAAAATTTGAGCTTTTAATTTGAAGATTTAGAGGTCGCGGATCGCAATTTTCTATTTCCCATTTAAATAACATGGGAATTTTTTTTTTTTAACTTTAAAATTTTATACGTCTGAATCAAATCAACTTATGTCAAGGATCATCTTAGATTTTCATAGTAAATTTAACGCTCTACAAAAAAGGTCTCCTATCATTTTTCTATAAATTGATTCCTTCCAGAGTTATTCGAGGCCAAAGTTTGATTTCCATCGAATTTTCGCGTTTTTTTAACATTTATGGTACAATTATCATTATACGGGTGTCCCGAAATCTGGGGGCCAAACTTAAACAGTGCATTATTCGTATAAAAATAACACTTTTTTTGTTTAATAAACATGTATCAAAAAATGCTCCCTAAAGGAGCTACGGCCCCCTGAATAGGAGCCTAAGAGGATAATTTTTTTTAAACTATTCCTAGAGGGTTGAACATGAACAAATGAATTTTTGGTACTTTGGTAATTTTGACATGCTGAATCTAGATCTATGATCAAAACTGTTAAAATTTAATCATAGGCGTAACATTTGGAGGGGGCAAAGTTACAAAAATAGCCCCAACTTTTTTCTGGGTTAATAATTTAATTTTTTTTATGAAATTATGAGAATTTACAGTTTTTTACGAAAAATAGGTACTCTTGATTTGAATTGCTCAGATGCACCATTTTCGAGAAAAATGCATTTATAAATAAATTACTCTGCATATTATACACATCTCATATTTTCATTAAAACTTTGTAGTAGGCTTTGGAAAAAAGTGACGTTTTTTTGTTTTTTTGTTTTCTTTACAACACTTTCTATGTTTCAGATATAAATATGTGATTTTTTTACTACATGATGCTAAAAGTTGAAAAAACGAGAAAATTCGATGTAAATCAAACTTTGGCCTCGAATAACTCTGGAAGAAATCAATTTATAGAAAAATTATAAGAGACATTTTTTATAGAGCGTTAAATTTACTATAAAAATCTAAGATGTTCCTTGCCATAAGTTGATTCGATATAGAAGTATAAAATTCCAAAGTTAAAAAAAAAAATTTCCTATGTTATTTAAATGGGAAATAGAAAATTGCGATCCGCGACCTCTAAATCTTCAAATTAAAAGCTCAAATTTTAACGAGGTCTTTGTTTTGACATCCTCTGAAAGAATTTGCTGACCATTTGAAGAAAAAGAAAAAGTCGATTTTTTTGAAACACCCTAATATATATATAACAGATACCTATAGGTATCTGTTTTCATCCGACATATCTGATTTTACCCGGCATGTCGGTTTTCATCTGCAATTGCGGGTACAAATATTATTCGCGAACCTCGGGTTTTATCTATTTAGTTTAGGTTTCATCTGCAAATACCTGCTTTCCTCGGTTTTATCTGCGTTTGCCTTCATTTACTGCTTACGTCCGGTTTTATCCTCGATTATGTGATTTTATACGGTTTTACTTGCAAACATCTGCTTTTATCTACAAACGTCTGATTTCATCCGCAAACATCTATTTTAATCCGCAAACGTCTGCTTCCTCCCAGTTCACATGCAAATCTGCTTTTATACGCGAAGATCTACTTTCATCCGCTAAAATCTGCTTCATCCAATTTCACCTGCAAACATCTGCATTTATCCGCGAACGTCTGCTTTAATAAAACCAGACGTTTGCAAACCAAACCCGACAAAAATAGACAAAAAAATGCAGGCAATCGCGGATAAAACCAGACGTAAGCAGACTTTTGCAGATGATCCCGGACAAATGCAGATATAAACGAAACGCAGTGGAGAAGGTTAAAAAAAGATTATTACAGATGATTGCAGGGGTGCACTAACCGGACATAAAACACAACCAACCTAGTGTTCGCGGATATAGCGATACGGACAAAAGCAGATGTTATCAGATGATATTTTTAACCGCTTTTATCTGCTTTTATCCCGCTTCGACGAAAAATTTATATCCGCAATCATCTGTTTTTATCCGGTTTCAACGAAGAATTTATATCCGCAATCATCTGTAATTTTCAGCAGGGTAGTAGTTCTATATCGACTTTAATAGGAACTCTTTATTGGAGCTTCTTCTTCTAAATATTCGTTTTATAAAACTATAGTCCATTTGTTGTCTATTTTCGTCAACTTTTCTTTTTTTCTTTTGACTGTTATCTTATTTCATAAGATCCCACTCCAACAGGTGTTGCTTTAATCTTGCGGTTTTTTTAAATAATTTCCAAATAAAAAAATAGATTGACAGAAAAATTTTACCTGAGCAGCTCAGCTGCTGACAAACGAATACTGCAATTTTCGAAAAACTCGGAGACCCGTTTTCGTTTTTTCTTAAAGAAAACAAATTTTTGTCATCACTATTTTCCACTTTGCGAGTAGCGGTCAAACATTTAATAAATATTGCTCGAAGCGCAAAGTTTCAAAAAAATAAATACACCTCACGAAAAACTCGTGCTATGATAAGAAATAATGACTTTAAGAAGAACTTGGATAATAATAAAATATATATTATTACCAAAAAGACCCAGCAGTGCCTATGGCCTCGCCCTTTGAACTGAATTCAGTGATTCTTCTATTCCAACCAGCTACTAAAAGCCTTGTTCCTATCCAAAAGACTTTACATATTTCATGTGGATCGTTTAGTTTTAAGTTTCTTAGACAAGTACCTTAAAAATAGTAACGCTAAAGTTTTAGAAATAAAGGATAATTATCCTAATTAAAATACCATTATGAAAATCCCAAATTTTAATAGTCCCATCGTGTGCGCCAGTCAGCAAAAAATGATTATTCTGCGAAAATGAAGCAGCTGTTATCTCTACAGGAATCTCCAGACCATGCTGTATTTGAACATGAGCATTTTTAATCATCATCAAGTTTCTACCATCCCACGGATCCCATACAAGAATAAATCCATCAATACCCAAAGTAACAATAACTTTAAACAAAGGGTTGTATAACACAACCGAGATCCCTCCAGAATGCGTATCGCCGTCTGTATGTTCAGAACTTAACTTTGGGTTTAAAGAAATTACATTTATCACGGAGCTCCCTAAAATCCATTGCCTGCTCACAGGATTGTAGTAAGTGCATAAATCTTTATCGTTTAAGGAGGTCATCTCCAAATAAATCTGCACCAATTTTTGAGACTGGACAAGCCACACTTTAATAACTCCATCTTTGGATATCGAGTACAAAAAATTCCCGTCGTCCTGAAACGTCATTCGTATGACTCCTTGATGGTGCCTGTAGAGCGTCGCGGTGCATCTAGTGGGCATGAAAGGATTCCACAAGCGGATAAGACCATCGGAACTGCCGGTCGCTATCAGATGCATCTTCGGATCAATATCGAAACACCATACCCCGCTGAAAGTCTGGTATGCCTTCGGATTTAATTTGGGGGTAGTTTTGAAGATGTCAATGATCACCAAAGGACTTCTTTTGCAGTCGGCGCAAGATACAACGCTGTGCAAATTAGAGTAGAACTGAATTTGACGCACAAAGTCGGTGTGAACATTGAGATGTTGAACCACGCGGAAACCTCTTACAAGCCCTTTCAGAACACGGTTAAATACGAATTTCCTCAATGGTTCCCCCAATACACCTAGAAAAGGCCCACGCTCTGCCGTGTCTATAAATAGTATAGTTACATTACCCCCCATATCTCCCAACATTAGCATGGACTGTTCCAGGTGAGTTTCAGGGTAATGATAACTCATGGTGGTCACAGCGTATTCAAGGGAGGTCAACCGAACTCTCAAATCAAATTTTCTTGCCGATGTATCGTAAAAACGCAAATCTCTTTCGCTGCTTGACGTACAAATAACATTCACGTTGGGCATTACTGCCATATCTGTTACCCAAGTACTTAACACCTTAAAGTCTGGATTCTTAGATTTAACTGAAGCTTCAAGTTCAAAATCCAAAGACCAATAGTTGATGGTACCGTCCTTACTTAAAGTTATATAGCTTCCATCTAAACACCCATCCACCTCTTCCGTTTTGATAGCATCTAGAATAGGGCAAAATGATATTCTGACTATGGGGGATTTGTGATATGATGTGTAAAATTTGGGTTTCGATGGTATCGGAGGCGATAAACTTCTATATTCGCTTGTGATTTCATCATTGTTGTAGCCCAGAATCAGAAAAGATATGAATTCATCCCAAGTAATAAAACCATTACTAAAAAATCAATTTAAGTGTATTTTTTATTTTATTTGAACTCCATACCTATCTATATCAATTTTTTTAAATACATTTTCGAATTGATCATCATCAAAGATTATATTAATTTTTTTGTTTAGCAGATTTCTCAAGTCTTTACCATTAAAGATATTTCCATTTTCTTTAAACGCCTCTAGTATTTCTTCCAAATCGATTTCCTCCAAGGCTTTATGAAAATTTAAAGATGTACATGTAGTTTTTTCTGCCACATTTTCAAAGTCAAAATTGCTCTCGAAGCCTTGGACCATAGATGACCGTTTTAAATCCATGCCTGACATGCTTCAATAAAATTGTATTTATTTAACAATTAGCTTGTTCAGACATGTAACCATGGATAGACACATGTCTACACCTGCGCCTGTTACTCGGTACGGGTAGTTATTTGTCCTCCTCAAAAGATGTTATTTTTACAAGATCTTATTTAAATTGCTTTGTATCCAAGATAATTATTATCTATGCTTCGTATGTCCGGTTCAAAATTTGTAATCCATTTTTCAAGCACTTGCTGGCATTCGATTAAGCTGAAATTTGTACACTTTTGATGCTGCACATTGGTGAAAATAAGTGTACACAATGGATTGTGGTCCTTTATTGTATTTTTTGGAGAAACTATAGTTTTTCCAAAAAATACAATAACTTATAAATTTAACTAAATAATAAAACTCAACCCATATACAGGGGACCCAGCAAAATATCAAGCAATACTTTGACAGGTGTCAAGTTAACAGATAACAGAAGAAAACGCTCGATTTTATATAAAAACGCTATGGCAGCACACCAATGAAAAACAAGTTTATTTGTAATAAAGCACAGAAAAAACTCCAATCAGTCACAGTGACAGTTGCTGTCTAAACCCTTTTTGACAACATAACCTTGAAATTTTTGTGTCATGTGACAAATATTGTCTAACCTCACTTTTAAAGAATATAACCTAAATTTAATATTAAACCGATGCTAAAAAGTATAAAATAAAATAAACGAAACAAAAAATCATTTCACTTATTGTTCACTTCAGACAAAGAAAATCACTATATGAAGCGAACAATAAGACTTAGTGAAATGATACACATAACATTAAATAACATCGTAAATTGTAAGATAGATACTCAAAATCTAAATACACAATACAACCATATCATTTCAATGTGCAAGCAAAATACCTTTAAATAAAAAAGTAGAACGAATAAACTCTAAATAATTAATTCAAATAGTCAAATTAGTCTATGGACATTCTCAATAGATTACATAACAAATACATAAAGTTATAGTAAATATAATACTGTATATACTATGTAATCTATTGAGAATGTCAATGGACTAATTCGACTATTTTAACTCATTTTTAGCATTGAAAAAGAAAGAAATATTTTCGGAACGTCGGCAATTTTTCTTAAAAAAAGGAAGTTGTTTTTATTTTACATCCTAAACCCACCTTACTTCAAATAAAAGAAAGAATATTGTTTACGTTTATTTCATTTTAAAAAAACTTGGATAGATGAAAGCCCATGGAAAATTAATACTTTATTTAAAATAAAAAACCATTTTAAAGTTTTATTTCTTTATATTTTTCATTTTTACATTATCTACAGTCTTTCCTTACCGGAAACTTTTGGGCTTCTTTTTTAAATTTATTGATGTCAGTAATAAAATAATCGCTTTTTTTGTTACCGATTTTGATACCGTTACTTGTCCCCACAAGATTTAGCGCAGATATAATATTTTCTAAAAGAAAAAATAAATTACATACTAAATATTATTTTTAGAACAAAAATTAAAAAAAAATAAGTTAAACATACCACCGGCTCCACCTTTTGAATATTTATCTACATTATCCTTAGGGTTATGACCAACAACCTAAAAATATAAATTAAAATGTCTTTAAAATTAAAAAAAGAGATTTTGACACAAATTATGCATATCACGTTTTTTATTTTAATTACTTAAGTAGTTTACGGACAATAAAAATAGTGGTGGTCCCATATTTGAACCTTGTGGAACACCAAAAGAATAAATTAATTAAATGATTACCTGTATGCTTATTTTCTTGAAAGAACTGGTCCCCATATTATGTTTATCCCACCAATCCTTCAAATCATTCAAAGTAATAGTACTTATAGCGTTAACCTCTTGCTGCAACCTATCGAAAACGTATTCGTTATCTATAATCTCGCTCCAATTTCTGTCGACTTCCTCCTTCAAATCCACATCGACGGTTTGCTTCATTTTCTTTAAAGTATTTTTAGTGTGTTCCAACTCGCTTTTCGATAGTTTCTTAAGCAGTTTGCGGGTATGTTTGATAAATGCCTCTATACGACTGTCGATGTGCTCCGTGGTGTGTTTGGTTGCCTGACCGTTTACTGTTATGGTATAACCGAGTATACCGAAGGTATCCCTGACGGTTATACCGACGTGGTAGCCTAGCTGCTCCTTGGTGCGCAGCATATCGAATAAAGGCTCTTCAGCTATTAACTATTGTAAAAAAATAATTATGTTTATGAATTTTTAAAAATAGATACAAATATTTACCAAAATAATTTCCAATATCACATTATCCTTAATTGTTAAAGGTCCAGATTGATAATAATTCGTTATTATCGAATTTGAATCGTTTTTATTAAAACTCTCAATTCTACAACAATGTTCTCCTTTTGGAATTTCAATCACACTAAACTACAAAAGAAATCATTAGTATTGCATTTAAAATAGCAGGTACTGATGAGAGGTTTTTTCATTTTAAACTGAGCCTATTTTTTTCTATAAAACATCGCAAACCGGAATTTTGGCGATTTCTAAAAAAAGTTTTAGCTGTTTTGCTTTATTATTTTTAAGTTCAGGTATATCTCTTCTGGCGATTTTTTAAATTTAAACTTGAAATCTTCCATCAGGTTGCAGCTACCTATTATAGGTATAGGCAGCTACCTATAATAGGTATTAACGGAAATTCCATTAGCAACCGGTGTCCAAACCATGGAGTACGAACTGCATGTACACAAATGGATTCCCAAAATAAGAGGGCGCTAGTGTTTTTTTGTTGTTTGGTTTGTCCAGAAACAGTGGAGAGGAGGCCACATAGGACTCTGTGGAGGAGACAGACAAAATGTAAATCAGCGCTGCTAGTAGAGAAAAAAGAAAACGTGATTTGTGCGATTTAGTGGGCAGGTTCCTTTAATTCCCCCTATTGAGTTAGAACTCCTTGTATAGGCTCCATTCATTGGTCTCCAAAGTATTAATAAAGAATATATATTTTTGTACATCTAATTCATTCAATAAAATTGTTTACTGTAAAGAATAATGTCTATCTATTAAAATATCAAAATGGTATTAGGGTTTTAAAGTGTCGAAAAAAAAATTGGGGAAAACCCTGTTTTTTTTTTCGATTTTTCCTAGGCCTTAGAAAAATTGGCTTGTGGGAAAAATTTTAAAATATACACATTTGGAAAGAGTGGCAACATCTTAACATTATTTTAATTTAAAAATATATCATTTATTAAAAATTTTAATTTAAAATAAATAAATAAAACTAAACATTGAATTAAATTAAATTGATTTAGGAAAATAAACCTTAATTATAATTTTTGCAAAAAGGAGTCCATTAAAATTATCCAACTACAAAATATGAATGAATGATTTATAAAGTTAAATTACAAAATTATAATTTTATATACAAAGTGTTAAATAAAAGTTATGATACAGCAGCAAATATGTTTTTTTTGCGGCCCGGTAGAATATTCTTACTGAATTAAAATAAAACGGTTAATAAATATTATAATAATCATAATATTATGATTATAATCAGTGTCGGAAATTCACTTTTTTCTCGATATCAGTGTACAGATGAGCCATTCCACGCGTGACGGATGGGATAGTTGCCGTGTTTTTATTTACAAAATAATGTTGTTCTATTGTATTGCCAATGTCAAATTTTTATAAATGGTTCTAAACTGGAGCTGTTTAACAAGGTTTTTATTTGGCAAAATTGGGTATCGTGATTGACTGTCCAATTCCTTAAAAACTAATAATTTAAAGCGTAACGGTCGGGACTTTGCAATAGTCCCGCCCGTTACGCTTTAAATTATTAATTTTTAAGGAATTGGACAGTCAATCACGATACCTAATTTTGCCAAATAAAAACCTTGTTAAACAGCTTTTGTTTAGAGCTATTTATAAAAATTTGACATTGGTAATATGGTGGAACAATATTATTTTGTAAATAAAAACACGGCGGCTGTCCTATCCGTTAAGCGTGGAATGGCTCAGATATTAACCGTAAAAATTTTCAGAAAAATTGACATTGCATTTTTTCGTATTACCCTTTATTTAATTTTAATTTAAAAAATGAAGAAGTCAATTTTTCTAAAAATTTCCCAATTTTTCCGTTATTTTTCGCCGGCTTAATTTTTCCGGAAATTTTAAAACCCTAAATTACCATTTACGTATTTTTTTCGAATTAACGCAACAAAATTTTCCTACGTTTCTCACAGAATTTTTGAGAAGATTCTATACGCTTCTATGACCTTAAAGATAGCGCATGACGGCACGATGTTATAACAGATGTGTCAAGAATGACAAATTAATTCAACATTAGGTTCTTATATAACGACCGTGGTTTCCAGTACCTATTTCAATCGTTTGAAAATTTACCAGAGATGTAAATTTTAAATTTAAGATTTATGAACTTCGTATTTTTCAACGGTATGGTTGTTTTTAGTGATTAATCTCTTTAATAGAAGTGTTTCACACTGATTTTCAGCATCAGGTCCCATTGTTGTCTCCACTCAAAACATCCCAATAAGAAATAAAAACGCAAAAATATAAAGTTCTCACACAAGGTATTTCATCTTCTTTCAAAGGTTCATAGCAAAGTGTCGAAATGCATTTTTGCACAGTTTCCTTGGCCTTTTCTTCAGAAACGTTGCCCTGTACTAAAACCTTAACGTGAAGTTTATGGAAAAAATCCTCTGCAAATTTGATCATATCGTCGTAATTTAGATTTTCAGACGCCACGTATCTTTCCACTGGCCCAAAAGTGTTGTCTACCAATAAATTAAGACGCATGTCTCTAAAATAATTTATGTAAAAAGTTAATTTTACATAAAATATTAATTATGTTTACTTACTTTGCTAGATTGGATGGTTTAATTAATTTATTATAGTTATTATTAATCATTTTCCTATTTACAGCTGAAAACATATCAGGTTTTATATTTTTAGATATATCTCTCATATGAGTAAATAGTACATTTAATAATACCTAAAATTTAAACTGGTTAACATATAATTTACATCTGTAAATATTTTAAAGTAAACAAAAAATTAGGAAAAGTTAATATTATTTGGATAAGGATTATTTTTAGTATTAATTATTCTCTTGCCCACAATAGGAACAGACATTTTTTAAAAGACAGATAATTTTTAAGAAAAAAAACAGAAATATCTTATGTTTTATGACCTTCATTCTCAAACTTGTCCCCTTGCAATTTTTTTCAAAAATTGATTTATTTATGACAAATTAGCAAAGCTTCCCAGAGTTGAGCAAACAAAGCTTTCATACTATTATAATATTTATGTCTATTAATTATTTCTTTACTTTTTGTTTATCAGTTATACATTCATTTTTTACTTACTGGCAGTTTCTCATTATACCCTAAAACTTTAAGTAACAACCCTTTTTCGTAATAACTAAATTTATAGGATAAATCGGCAGTTACAGCTGGGTAAAGTTCTTCTGTAACATCGATGTCCAGTAAATTGTGTAACATATCCAACATTGCAGTGCTAGAAGGGTATTTCAGACAATTAAAATTTCAAATAGTTTTAAAATTAATCAGAAATTATAATCATCAACTTATTACTTATTGATGACACTATCAAAAGCTATTTGATAAAATTGTAAATTTAGATATAAAAGACATAAATCTAAGGAAACTATTGTAATAACAAAATGAACAGTATAAGAGTAATATTGTGGTTGTCTATAACATTGTAAGTATACAATTAATTTTTAAATATAAGCTTTGAAATTAATTTGAAAAATTGTTTGGTTGGTTAACATTTAATGTCCTAATATTATTTTTTAACAAATTTAGGTATTTAAATGTATATTATATATATTTTTAAGGGTAACCTCAAGAAGATTTGGAAAAATAAAAAATTCAAACGAAAATATTCCACTTAAAGTAAACAACAATGCATCTGAACCAAAGCAAATCAATAGCACTGATTGCTCCAATTGCTTCAATCTAATTAGTAATAAAACCCACCCTTCAATATTTAATAATGCAACTGAAGATCCTACCATAAAAGGAAATAAAACACTTGATAAAAATAATACAATACACATTGGAATTTTAAATGATCACCCACATAACATTAACATTTACATTCAAAATCCTATTTTGGTTACTATTGAAAAGCATTTAAGAAATCATAAATCAGAAGATATTAGTACTTCGCAAATTTCGTCGAATGACAAATTAGCAGACCATGAAATTATAACAAAAGCAAAACCAGAAAAATACAACCAGATTCCTGAGGACAAGGCTTTTATTGAAAATATTCATAGAAGAAAACATCTGAAGTCAAGAGAAAAAGAAGCAACTCAGAAGGATACAACAGAAGGTAAGAATATCACAAAATAATATTAATTTTATTATTTATTTGTTGTTATAGAGTATTTTTGTGAGTGCAGCATGTCTTTCAAAATGAATATGGAAATTGGAAGGGAAAACGCAATTCCGGGATATAAAAAAAAATTTCAAAGTTATTGTAATGGATCAATTTTTCAAGAAGAAATTAATTGCAGAGGTATTTGTAGAGAATACTTATTTGACAATAATAATAATAATAATACTTTATGCTCGAAAAGTAGTACTTACCATATACTACATGTGAGTAAACAGTATAAGGCAATTTAAATTAAATTTAACACTAATATATTTTAGGTTTATTACTTGGTAAAATCCTGTCATATAAATTCACGATGGAAAACAATAGGATCTGATCCAGTCGATATTTGTTGCTATGGCAAAAATTTAGTTCCTTGTATATTTATGAGATCTTAAAAAATATATAACACAAAGCGTGGTTAAAATGTGCTATAAAATATATAATAATAATAATAATAATAATAATAATAATCTTTATTTAGCAAGGAAGCTATCTCATACCTATACAAAAAATAACAATATAAATATAATATGTATACAAGATATGTACAGTATAACAATAAAAGTATAAATAATTTATATATACACTCGCGTGCAAAATAATCGGCCCACACAAATTTTCGATGAATTTCAATCGCAAATAACTTTTTTATTTGATGTCGGATTTAAACGAATATTAAAGAATATTGTAGTTAAATTAATGGACAATCGCTAACATTTTAAAAAAATACTAAAAAATAGACGTACGTTTATAATATACAGGTGTAAACAAAAATATGTTTTTTACCATAAGTTTAAGGCACTCTGTAGAGTGGCAAAACCGTATATTGTTTTAAATTAAGTTTTATTTATCAAGTCACATCTATTCTTAACAGTTTTGTTTTTGGTTCACCTCGATATATTTATTTTTGTGGAAAATATGGATTTTTTTAAAAAACATTGCAACTTCCAATATTTTTCTGTATGAAGAACTAAGGTTGCTATGGTCCATCCATAGGCTATGGAGAATGACAGTGACATTTTTATTGAATCATCCCATACTTGGACATGTTATACACGGCTTTTAAAAGCTATCAAATTGTTTTTTGCAAATTAATGTTTAAATTTTGAGGTGTCTTCTTACTTTATAAAATGGATATGTCTCCGACTGATGTTGCCAGAGCTATTAATTTAATCCAGGATGGACGGTCACAGTATTACGTGGCAAGTGTTTTAAACGTCATAAGAAGTAAAGTACAAAGGGCAATATCAGTCGGAGTCATTTTTAAAAGTAAGAAGACACCTCAAAATTAACACATTAATTTACAAAAAACAATTTGATAGCTTTTGAAAGCTGTATATGACATGTCCAAGTATGGGATGATTCAACAAAACTGTCACTGTCATTCTCCATAGGCTATGGATGGACCATAGCAACCTTAGTTCTTCATACAGGAAAAATATTGGAAATTGCAATGTTTTTTAAAAAAATCCATATTTTCCACAAAAATAAATATATCGAGGTGAACCAAAAACAAAACTGTTAAGAATAGATGTGACTTGATAAATAAAACTTAATTTAAAACAATATACGGTTTTGCCACTCTACAGAGTGTCTTAAACTCATGGTAAAAAAACATCTTTTTGTTTAAACCTGTATATTATAAACGTACGTCTATTTTTTAGTATTTTTTTAAAATGTGAGCGAATGTTCATTAATTTATCTACAATATTCTTTAATATTCGTTTAAATCCGACATCAAATAAAAAAGTTATTTGCGATTGTAATTCATCGAAAATTTGTGTGGGCCGATTATTTTGCACGTGAGTGTATCTAATCACAGATTCTACGGAAGTGCTCAAGTAAATTTGTCTTAAAATGTTTAATATTAAAGCTTTCTTTTATTTTAGCTGGTAGTAAATTAAATTGTACCAATCCTTTATAAAATACAGTGTTTTTCATCTGAGTTGTTCTACAAATACCTATATTGAAATTATTACTACTTCTAAGTGTGTAACTGTTTCTGTCAGAAACCAATGACAGATTTTGGCACAAATACTGAGGTAGAATATTGTTTTTCATTTTATATATAAACATTAAAGTATTAAACAATATTCTATCACAAACTGGTAACAAATTTAGTACATTTAACATAGTTTTAATTGGAGTGTATCTATTACAATACAATACTGTTCTCATACATCGGTTTTGTATGCACTGGATTTCCCCAATTCTATATGCAGGTAAGTTAAAGAGAATTGTTGAACAAAAATCAATGTGTGGGGCAATTGTCGATTTATATAGAAGAAGTTTTGTTGACAAGGAGAGATTTTTACTAACACGTTTTAAAAAGAATGATTTTTTTGACATCTTATTCATAATATAAAGTGCATGTGTGTGAAAATTTAGATTTTCGTCAAGTTTAACTCCCAAGTACTTAATATCTTTTACCAAATCAATTTTTACATTGTTAATATGGACAGGTAACAAAGTTTGGTTACCAATTTTACTTACATTGCTCTTACTTCCAAATACAATACTTTTAGTTTTTGCTATATTAATACAAAGTTTATTATCACAGAGCCAAGTGTAGATATTACTTAAATCACAATTTATTTTGGTTATCATATCACAGATGTTATATCCTATTATATATAGCATTGTATCGTCTGCAAACAAACTTATTTCTGAGAATTTTACACAGTTTACTATATCATTTAAGAACAATAATAATTGAGAATAAAATAATTTAATATTTATATTTAACTATTTTTTAAAAAGTACTGCGCATCAAAATTAACGCATAACAAGTAAAAAAATCCAACTCTAAAACGCCTTTACTAATCTTTATAAAATTTTATTAAATTATATATTATAATTATATCTCAGTTTACATGTTTAAGGGTTTTTTGAGAAAATATCCTTAAAGCCCTTTTATTTAATAATAAAAAACGCTCAAAAAAAACCATTTATGGGGAATTTTTTTTAAAGTAAAAAAATGCTGTGAAAGACTGTATTTTTGTTAGTATGTCCTGAAAATGTTGTACAAATCAAACGAACAGTAAAGAAAATACAGCGCTTCAAGGTCGTCAAAAATGACTTTTTAGCAAAATAAACAAAAAGGGGTAATTTTTATCGACTTTAAAGCGCTGTATCTTCGTTACTGGTCGTTTGATTTGTACAAAATTTTCAGGGTTTACTAACAACAAAACGGTCTTTAACAGCATATTTTTTATTTACTTAAAAAAAATTCCCTAAACGTTATTTTTCGAACGTTTTTTTATTATGAAATAAAAGGGCTTTAAAAATATTTTTTCGAAAAACCCTCGAAAACGTAAACTGAGATATAAGTTAAATTATTTTTATAGAAAATTTCATAAAAATTGGTACAGGCGTTTTAGAGTTAAAATTTTTTGACTTATTATGCGTTAATTTTGACGCGCAGTGTATAACAACCTAGCAATCGAAAAAAACAACACTTACCAAGCAGCTGATTTCAGACTTAAAGGACTGATAAAATAGAAATAATAAAAACTTCTGGGTAAATTAAATTTGTCGTCTTTTCTGTACCAAACCTCAGCTGAAGGCGTTTTTAAAATGTTCACTGGGTAACTTGGATTATTATCTAAATTTGGCAATATTGAAAAATCGGTAGTCAAATATTTATTAGGTTCCGGTAAGCTGAGTTCTTCTATGACCCTTGGATTTGACCACATCTTCATCGCATCACTGGGAATCTCTAAAATAGTAAAAAAAATTAAATTTTACTTCAAGTTTTATAATAGAGAAGTTACCTTTGTCGGTATATTTGGTACCGAACCATTTTTCCTGCTTATCCAAAAATAAGTCATTTTTGAATTTTTTGGACATAACTATAACATTCATATTATCAGGCCTAAGGTGGTTCAAAATTTGTTTGATACCCTACAAATATCCAATGAAATATAATCGTTTTATGTAAATGAAATATTACTTCTGCATCATATTCCATATATAAATCAGATCCACTTATATAATGTTCTGGTGGATAAGTCTGCATACTCTCGCACAATGATTCAACCAAATCTGAAGCAGATACTTCAGAAGAAAACTTAAATGCTGTATCCGCAATTATTTGCATTTCACTGAATACTCTTTCTAGAGGACCGATTTTTTTTAGCAAGTTTATGTAGGAAAACACTACTTCAATAACCTCATTTAAATGCTCCAATCCTTCATCAGTCATCACCAAAGAGACTGTAAACAATGAATAGACTGAATTGTGTTCGATACCTGAGCCTCCATTTCCAATGGATGTGCCCAAAACCCAGACTCTAAAATATTTTTTATAAATAAAAGGATGATATAACAATTTCGCGATAGTTTACTTTTTTCTTAGATAGGATAGAAGACTTCCTTTTCCTTCATCCCCCATTAGGGTGGATATGTAATGTTGAGGTTTAGATTTATATTTTTCAAGAAGAGAGGGCAAAGCCCATGTTAAGTCCACCTACAAGTTTCTTATTTGAAAAACTTTAGAAACTATATACCTATAGCAAATAAAAAAGTTAATGTTTTATTTTGGATATTACTAACCTGGCACAAATCTTTAGAAGGCTGAACATAATACATTCTTTTAAATTGTGGAGTATCAAATAGGCCACTACAATTCTTTAACAAATCAGGTTTAGATAGTGTGTTGTTGGGAACGTTAGAAAAACAATCCAGAACATATTGTTGCAGAGTTTCCATTGGAAGCCTAGCCTAAGAAAAAAAATAAAGGCAAAGTTAATTAAACATAATATTATGTGGAGATGCTTGAAAACTCAAAAAATAATGTTTCTTATTCCATGCACATTTTTAACCAATGTTTATACATGTATACCTGTATAGCTAGCGTCATCCTATGCGCAGAATAGTGCAGCTTTCTAAACTCATGCACCCCGGCATACAATTTGTCGTCCGAAATGTTGTCCCTTAAAGTAATTAAATTTCCCCAAGAGAATGAATTCACGGGGCAACCTTCTTTAGCCATTGAGCAAAATAGTTGTTCCTTTCTGCTAGAGTCCGACGGTAAGGCCATCTGAAACTCTAAAATATAAAACATTACAAAGAAATTGTAAGTAGTTTTTTTGTATTTTTTTTACCAGATTCTATGGCTTCTCGTTCTCTAGACATTGCCTCTTTTTTCATTAAAGGAGAAATGAAAAATTGGGAAAACTTATCCAAGGCGGCGAGCAAATTTTTTTCAAGGGTCTCAAAGTAAAAGCATGTTGTTTCTGCATCTGTTGATGCGTTGTCAGACCCTCCACTTTTCTTTATAAAAAATATTTATTAGATAGGTACACAGTTTGAGTTGACATTTGATTGTGTTAACTTTTGATTGTGTTAACATTTGATTGTGTTAACTTTTGATTGTGTTAAGAATTGTTTTTTAAGAGTAATTCATTCATTTCAAGTTTTTGACCTCAAATATTACACAGGATATCCTGAAAATAGCGCACCAACGCCACACTTTGCGCAATTTTGCCAAAAAAAAATAAATAAAAAACCGAACCATTTTTCAATAAGAATGTTTAGACGCCTAATGTAAACGAAAATATTTATTAACCTTACCATGACACTCTTCTACGAGAATAAATGCGTTTTTTCGGCTATTAATTACGTACTCTTTAGTGATGTACGATCCCCTAAATAACTAGGTTAAAACTGTATTTTATTAAATTTGTGAAATAAAAAATTAGCATAACTACATTATTTTTAATGTAGGGTGTCATTGTTGGAGGTGTATCAACGCAGAATTGTCTACAACTTTTCTCTTGGTCCACAAAAAGAGTATTTATACATGTTTAAAAACGTATGTTAATTTTTGAGGAAAACAGCATTAATTACCAGTTTTAGGTACCTATAGGAACATGATATATTTGAAATCAGCGCAAATTCCCCTAAAATTACGCACTGTGCGCCAGGTCACGCGCCAAGTGAGTTAAACAGAAAAATGTTTTCTGGGATATAAGGTTTTCAATATTATTTTTATAAGTATTTTAATGCTCACCGCAATTTTTAATGAATTTTATTAAAAACGTTAAAATCTCCATTGATTAATAACTACTCCTTCACTCAACAAATAAAAAATATGTTTTTTTTTACAAAAACTGTCAAAAAATATGTTTTAAGCATAAATGCTTATGAGCATTATTATAATATCTACGACCAATCTTTTTGCAAATTTTCCAGCTTATTTTTTTTTAGCTTATAAATTTCTTATATTACTTATATATTATATTATATTTATATTCAGTTGAATAAAAAGGTTTTGTTATTATAATAACAAAACCTTTTTATTCAACTGAAGAAATATATAAAAACATAATTAAAGAGTGTTTGTTACCTATAGGTAGGTACCTAAAGTGTACATTATAATAGTTATTTATGTATCAAGGCAGTAAAGTCATACGTATTTTTTACCACGAATGTGGAAAATATTTGCCGAGGCGAAAGCCGAGGCAAATAACCACGTGAGTGATAAAAAATGACTTTAATGCCGAGGTGCATATTACATTTTATCCGAAATCACATTTAATAATACTAATAATTAATATTGATGATTACCTAAATCAAATGTCATTTAATGATCAAATCAAATGTCATTTGAATGTAGGAAGTGTCTACGTATACTGTTTGTTGCGACTGTTATTATATATTTGCCCGCCACGGAGATTTTTTAATCTATTTAATAAAATTAACCTATTATTTTTAATAAATTTTTTTATTAAACAACATTTTATGAAAAGGTCCAATCGAGCTCCGCGACGGTGTTTTTTTTTAAATATTATTTTTTTGCTGCTGAGGAGCAGTAGACACATCTTTAAATATATAATGGGTTGCATACAATACTCGTATTAAATCGGCAGTAAAGTTCTACTTTACTGCCGATTTCTTTTACTTTACTGCCGATTGTTGACTACTTTACTGCCGATTTCGGATAAAATCTATTTAATAATCTAAGCTACTACTAGTCCTACATATTTCTTATAGCGTATAAGTTATATGGACTGTAGACCATAGACATATTAGAAAGAGGCACAATGCAAAACACACTACCAATGATATCAAGAACTGTAAAACTGCCACTTATTTACCAACTTTACAACCTGTTTAAGTTAAACAGTTTAACATCTAGAAAAAAAAACAAACCATAGTAGCATTGATTGAGAACAATAGTTTCCTAATAAATTTAATAAAAAATCTATATAGTTTCCTTTCTTAGGGTACCTAGGTACTTATTTTTAATTATAAATTACTTACTTGAATAAATGAATCAAAATCATTTTCTTTTGGAAATTTTTCACTTCCCATGAAAACCATATGTTCCAAAAAATGAGCCATTCCAGGAACCTCATTTGGGTCATAAAAACTACCCACCCCTATACACAGTGCAGCTGCAGCCTGAAATAAAAGAGTTTTTTTTAAATTAGGTATAAAAATAGCTATACAGGGTGTTTCATAATATATGCGCAGGACTTCAGGATGTGATAGCTCATCCAAAAAGATGAAAAAAGTCGCTATTAACTTACCCTCTAAAATGGACAATTTTCGAGATACGGGGTGTTAAAATTTTAGAAAAAAAATTGTTTTTTTCGATTATCTCTGGAACCGTTTGTCGTACAAAAAACAGCTTTTGTAAGTATTTTCTACTCATAATAAGCTATGTTTTGTGCCAGAAAAAAATTTTTTTTACTCATAATTGGTGGAGATTTTGAAGGGGTAGCGGGTGTTTTTCTCCTCAACTTCTAGGCCCCTGAAAAATGTACGGTTTTGAGAGGCCTATTCGAACCGCCAATGTTTTCTACACTAAAAAGGTACTCTTAGTCATAAGCTCTAAAGTTGACCGTTTTCCAGAAAAATCAACTTTTATGTTTAAAAACATGTTCAATTAAAAAAAAAAAAAATTTATTACTAATTAAACAAAATTTATTTTAACTTTAGAAAAAGTTACAAAACCAAACGATAATTGCGAGGGAAAAAAAAATTTTTCTGGCACAAAACATAGCTTATTTTGAGTAGAAAATGCTCACAAAAGCTGTTTTTTGTACGATAAACGGTTCCGGAGATATTCGAAAAAAACCGAATTTTTTTCTAAAATTTCAACACCCTGTATCTCGAAAATTGTGCATTTAGAGCGTAAGTTATTAGCGACTTTTTTCATCTTTTTGAATGAGTTATCACATCCTGAAGTCCTGCGCATATATTATGAAACACCCTGTATATAGGTATAAATTATAAATTAAAACCTTTGTTAAAAAGGTGAATTCAAAAACGTGTGCCTTTAGGTACTTTAACAAAAAAAGTAAAATAAAAAATGTAATGTAACATTTGTACGGAGCTATAAATTAATTTACCAATTTTTGTTCAGGTCCACTGCTGGTCCCTTCATTATCAGATTCAGTATTTACATCTGATTCACTCTCACTTTGTTCAGATTCAGTTTCACTCTCCATTTCAACATCAGAAGCCTCATTTTCTTCCGGATCAATGGGACTGTTATCGGAGACTAAGCATGCGATCAAACCATTTTCCAATTTAATAACTTTGTATTCTTTCTTGTCGCTAAAGCTCTTAATGGGAGTTTTTAACACTTCAAATTTTGATTCCATTGTAATGTTTGTGGAATACTTAATACTCGATATATTTTTTAGGAACTTATTTAAACCAATGACACTTCTTTGATAGACTTGATTAAATCTACAAACCAAGGACATTACATGTCCATTTTGACGATGTTATTCCAAAATCATATAAAAAATGAATTACAAACATGTGTAATTTAGTAAAGGTTGAGGTTAGAAACATACGAATTGAATTAAAATGATTCAAATAGTTACAATAAATGTGGGCATATTATAAAAAGTAAAAATATTCACTGGAGTGGTTGACAGGCAGTAATTTTAAATCGAAATTGAGAATATTTGTTTGAAATTTAATTTACTCCTGTCAAAAACTTTGACTCAAAATATTTGTCCTTTTTCTATGATTTCTCCACTGTTGCCAAATTGAAAAAGCTAGAAATATACATAAAAATCTAGAAATATACATACAGGGTGGTCCAACATAAACCTTTAATAATTTAAGAAATAATAAAAAACATTAAAATAATATTAATTTTTACTTAATAAAACTCATGAGTTATGAATTGTTGATCAACAGTTCAATTTCGGTTACTCTATTTTTGTGTAGATATTGCTCTATAAAAATATTTTATTTGATAATAAAAAAAAGTATCTATGTAAATAAAATTGGAAATGTTAAAATGTTTGTCAGGTAAAGGGCTAGCGCTATTGCTCTCTGAAAAGCGTTTCAGAACAGAACATAACTATTTTAGAAGGCAGGCCTAGGCCTAATTTTTAATCAAGAAAACAATTAATTAATTTAAATTTTATTGTTATTAATACATAATACTAACATTACAATTTATTCCTTAAAATAAAATAATTATTATTATTATTAGTATTACTTAAGTGGATGTTAAAATTTTTTCTTTACATTTTTAGTACATAATTATAATTAAATATATTTATGAAATTTATTAAATTGGCGGTATTAAAAGTTCTTAAAGGTTCCATAAAGTTCTTATAGCATGCACGGTTTGTATGATCCAAGGATTTTTGTTCAATGGAAATTCTATTTACCAATCCAATTGGTAAATATAATTTCCATTGAATAAAAATCAACAGAACTTTCAGGTTATGTTATGTCAGATATCTCTGGTTTGACAGATTGGACGCAGTTTAACGTTTTATGTTTATATTCCACGTATTTTACAGTTTCTATCTTTTATTGAAGAAAATAATATGTTGATGAAATAATTCTTTAATTAAAACATGTTTAAAATCGTTGAGCATCAAACAAAGTGTTCTTTGGCATCAAATTGAGTGAATTTTGAGTGTTTTAACCTCACTTTTAAACGTTTTGAATTGTGTTGTTTCCTGTGCTTTATAACTCATATGAGTAAAAATGGTGAGTAAAGCAATGATTTTTTTTTATTTTACTATTTATTTGTTATTTTTTTAGGCGCGAAACGCAGAAAAAGCAATGTAAGTTACCCAAATACAAACCATTAAAAAAATTCAAACAATTTTAACAATTTTAGGACAACTTTGGCACGTTGGAGAGCCGCGCAGTTGGGAGAAAGCGAAAAACACAAAAAACGTCGCCCCTATTTAGCCTCTGAATGTAAAAGCCTCTATGCTTGTGAAAAATGGAGGATGCAGATTATTCGGGAGATCGCCAAAAAAGTGGCGCAAATTCAGAATGCTGGTTTGGGGGAATTCAGGATCAGGGATTTAAACGATGAGATAAATAAGTTGTTGAGGGAGAAACGGCATTGGGAGGATCAGATTAAGGAGTTGGGTGGCCCTGATTATCAACGTGTTGGACCACGTATGTTGGATCATGAAGGGAAAGAAGTTCCAGGGAATAGGGGGTATAAATATTTTGGGGCTGCTAAAGAGTTGCCAGGTATGTACCTGATTGAATCAATATTAAAAACAAATGAAAAATATATTTATTGCATTGAACAAAATATTATTTTTTGTGATTTTTTAAAATTTTGTTTGATTTAAAATTGACATTTTGTATTTTTTGACATTGCTTTAAACCATGGTATATATTCATTTTATTACCTCACTAGAATAAAGTTTTTTCCTATGAAATTTAAAATTCACATTTTGTAAGGTGTTGCCAAGAAAAAAGGGCAAAACTTGAAGAAACTGACTTTTTTGTTTGTAAAGTGTGAAAACAAAGTTAGATTGCTAAAAAGTGAGGTTAAAACCGCTTGACAGGTAAAATGTCAAATAAAATTGGCTTTAAATTCTGAAAAAACATCACTTTGTGTTTTTATTGAAAAAGCATTGTGTTTTACTTGTGGGAAAAGCATTTTTAAGCTTGATGTTGTAGGAAAATAAAATGGAACATTTTTTAAGTTTTTATAGGATTTTTGTGAATATCATGTAGATATTTAAGTTAAATAAATAAAAAATGTACAATTTATAAAAAAAGTTCCAAAACATGCTTGTGTCATTCTTAAACAAGCATTAATATATTTCTAGGAAAGAAAAAAATGCTTTGTGTTTTAAAAATATGTTAGTTTTATTTTACTACAAAATCATTGTACTTACATTGGCTTGTTAAAAAATAATTAATTTATATTTTTTGGCACTTTATAATTATAGATGAGATGCAACCTTTAAAAAATATTTTGTTTATGAAATAAACAATAAAATTAATAAAAAATAAAGTTCCATCTTTTTGAAAAGCACTGTATATTGAATAAATTTAGAATTTTTATGCTAGAAACATCAAATTTGGTAAATGTTTTAGATATGAAGTTTGACCTTTATCAGCCATTTTAAAAAACTTAAATAAGACCAAAATATATTACTGCTGTGTTTATTGCTTTTTACAAAGATAATAACATTTTAATTTCATCTTAAGTTTTGTTTAAAATAATTAAAGCATTGCAGAGGCAAAGGAAAAAATGAACCCCCTAAATAATTCCTTTTTTGTAAAATTTTATATTTTTGGATGCTATTTTTGTTGATTTTTTTATTCAAATGTCCCAAAAATGATAAAAATAAAAATTCCAGCTTTCAAAGATTTTAACGCAAAATATTTTTGTAATGGAATGATTATCTTAAAATTAAAGAACATGTATAAGAGAAATAATTTATTTGTCTAAAATCCAATTATTTGTAAAATACAATTCAAGAGAACAGTCCTATAAATTCAATAAAACTCAGTACTTTTTATTAATTTAAATTTTAAAATCACTATTACATAAGAGTGTCCATTATTTCACAAATTGTTTTTTTCTAGTTGGCCATGATCAAGTTAGTTTTGTTGCTGGTAATTTACAAGCATTTTGCGCATGCGTAGGTTACTACTGAGTACCTAGCAAGAAATTCCTTTTTTTAGTCTTGGTCTATTTGCAAGTTATTTTTCATTTAATGAAAATGAAAAATCTTTTAGCTTTTAGTTTCATAATCGGTTTAGACTGGCCAACTTGATAAAGCTTATTTGGGAATTAACGCGCACCCTACTAATACATACATTTACACTATGGATGGAATAAGTTAAATTTAAATAAACTGGTAACATAGAAAATCACATTAAAATTTGAAAGTATGGGATATGGACTAGAGATTTAAAATTTCAGGAATAATTGCCCAAAAAACCGTTTTCCCCCAGAAAAATTAATCTTTAAAAGTGCATTCTTTATAGTATTAAAGTTTAGTATTTCAAATATTATTTACAAATTATTTTAATGAATAAATACAAATTTACCATCGAATTCCCTTCGCATTCGGTAAATCCCGGAAAAAATCAATGTAGTCATTGTTTTTTATCTAAACTTTTACGCTACTGCAAAAATATATTTATATAATTTAAGATTATATTAATATATTTTCAGGTTCCCGTTTTTGATTCGATAATTTTTTAATTTTCTCTTTTTTCCAATTGGTCTGCAAAAAAACAGTTTTTTTTCCAATTTTTTCCAGTTTTCTTCCGACCGTTAAATCTCTAGATATGACTTCAAGTAAATATTGTCGATATATATTTTAGGAGTTCGAGAGTTGTTTGAGCAAGAACCTCCGCCTCCCCCAAGAAAAACTAGAGCTGAACTCATGAAGGACATTGATGCTGACTATTATGGGTACATGGATGACGACGATGGCATCCTACTTCCATTGGAAACAAAAGCTGAAAAAACATGTAAGAAAATATATTTCTCTATAAAAATTAAACACAACCCTTTAAAACATTATAAAGAGTGCTTTGAGTCAAATCCTTTCACATAAAAGCCAATAGGAAAACAGTTCTATCATTTGCAATAACAAATCAAGCCAACCATGGAAATTTAAACCAATTAGATGACATGACTTCTGTCAAAAGTGTTTTAAATGTCAGAATTGACGTTTGAACTGTAAAAATTACAAGGATAGGTTGTCTAATAACAAAACTTCTTGCAGCAATTCAGAAGAAAGTGGCAGAATGGAAAGAGAAAAAGGAGAACAGGCTAAACAAAGCTTCAGATGATGAAGATGACGAAGAGGATGAAAATATTTATGCGGTGGAAGAATCTGATGAGGAAGAGCAACCCCAAGTAATAGACGGGTCCCAGCAAAGATTTGTTGCTCATGTTCCAGTGCCGTCCCAGCAAGAAGTCGAACAGGCTTTGTTGAGAAGAAGGAAGCAAGAATTGTTGGACAAATATGGGGCACACGAAGATTAGTTAAGAATAAAATGTTTTGTATGATAATAAAGTTTTTAATTAATTAATTTGTATTTACCTTGATTTCAACCCAAGATAGCATCTGGTTTGCAGATTCCTTTGCAGATCAACATGAATTCTAATACTAGATCATAAAGCTTCCTTTTGCTTGATTTTTCTCTAAAAAAAAACATTAAGAAACTAGTTTGTTCATATAATAAGTTTTCCTAACCTTAAAATACTTTTCATAAAATGCTCCTTTTGTTGAGCATTGATCCTGGGTGTTGGGAAACCCTCTTGTGCCAATGTTGCACCCAACCAACGTCCAAGATTATCACAGTACTTTTTGTTCAGCGCGAGAAATATCTCGCAGTATACATCTACTGCAGTCCTTAATGCGGTAGTCCCTTAAAAGTACACAACAATGCTCAATTATTCTTAATCCTTCATAAAAAAGTATACTTCGACAACAAAAGTCAATAAGAACATTTAAAATGTCAAATCAAGTCTACTTTGTAAATTTAAACCAATCAAAAGGCAAGACTTATGTCAAAAGGAGCTTTAATGTCAGAATTGAAGTTTCAACTGTCAAATCAAGTCTACTTTGAAATTTAAACCAATGAGATGACACTACTGTAGTGATTTAAACGTCAGATTTGAAGTTTCAACTGTCAAAAGTACGTATTTCACCGAAAATAAAGTAATTTAAACATACCTAAAGTTAATATTAGTTTTACAACTAAACTTTCCCCGTAAGTCTGTATAACTTCAACTTGAGCCGTCTCTCGACTCTGAGTGATATATTGCACCAAAAAACTCCCGCATGCTTTCAACGAATGTATCTCTGGCATGCTCAGACAAATAATAGCTGAAAAAACATTATAGTACGACACAAACATTAAAAATGCATTTAAAGTTACCGCTTTGGAAGAGAGAATGCGTATCTAGATTGCTGTTAAACATCAACTGTGGCGTTTTTTTGCACAGTGCTGCCATCATGCAGAAAAATTCGTCGAAAACGTCGGATTTTTCCGACAGTTGGTTGGCCTGCGCTAGTTCCATGCACATTAATAGGGTTTTGTTGACGATTTCGTGCAATAATTGCTCGTTGGAATGTCGGAATTCTTCTTCTTTATATAGAAGAAGAATGATCTAAATGTATATTAATAAAATGTTATTTTTTTTTGAGTTTTTATATTTACCAGTTTGGCGATCGCTATCACGTGCGGTTGGGGGTATTCCCGGTACACAAAAACGATTATTTCCAAGATATCTTGTATGAGAGGTTTACAATCATCCCTTAGAGATGAAACTGCGTATTTTATTACGCAACAAAGTTCCTATAATCATAAATTGTACACAGAAAAAAAACATGTTTGGGTTATTAAATAAATAATTTACCTCCATAACGTCGCCATTGTTATAATACTTATCACTAATCAGTTTAAATATTGGAATCGTATTCTTCATTACAAGCAGAATAGGTTGTTCAATTTTTTCCTGGCTGTCTATGTGTAAAGAGCTAAATAAAGCACTGATCAGTCGAAGTTTTGAACATAGAGAATTTGCCACACTTAAACTCTAAAAACAAACATTAAAGTTGAAAAAACTGTATCACTGTATAAAAATAAAGTTTTATCCGAAATCGGCAGTAAAGTAGAACTTTACTGCCGATTTAATACGAGTATTTTATGCAACCAATTATACATTTTAAGATGTCGCGACCTCAGAATTAGATTGTTCTATCTCCCAAAATTTAAAGAGGAACAAATAGCAGTTTAAAGTTTAATTTATATACAAATGAAATTTTAAAAAGCTGTTTTTCCGTGTTTAGGTTTTGGGAGATTCTATCTTTCAAAAATCTGACACGGAAAAACAGCTTTTTAAAATTTCATTTGTATATAAATTAAACTTTAAACTGCTATTTGTTCCTCTTTAAATTTTGGGAGATAGAACAATCTAATTCTCAGGTCGCGATGTGTCTACTGCTCCTCAACAGCAACTAAATAATATTTTAACAAAAGCACAGTCGCGGAGGTCGATTGGACCCCATAAAATGTTTAATAAAAATAATAAGTTAATTTTATTAGATTATCGCCGCGGCGGGCAAATATACTGCGCGTCAAAATTAACGAATAATAAGTAAAAAAAATCCAACTCTAAAACGCCTTTACCAATCTTTATAAAATTTTGGATAAAAATACGGAAAATGATTGAAATTTGTATTGCAGTTATAAGGCAATTTAAATTAGATTTTGAAACTTATTTTCCATGTGATATCAATTCTGGTTAAACCGGAAGTGATATCAACTTTGGTTTTTCAAATGGAACCATATAAACATTATTGCATTTTAAAATTCTACGTAAAACTCTGGAAATACTAAAATTTGATTATTTTTTTATTTTTAACAGTTTTTGAGATATTTAATTTTTTTTCAAAAATTTTGACTGAAGTATGGTCTAATATGTCTGTATTACGACTAATTGTAATGTTAAAAAGTTGATCGTATGGTAGTATATTATGGTAGTATCGTTTAAAATAAGAAAGTTATTGGTATTTAAAGTGACAAAAAAGTTAAAGTAAATACCAGACACCCTTTATAACATTTTCAAATCCTATTAACGGCTTGGGATAGAGTGCTCCTTAGTTAACAGGTACACCATAAATAAACTTTTTAACATTACAAGTAGTGGTTATATAGACATATTAAAAAGACAATCAATCTGTCAAAACTTTAGAAAAAATATTTCAAAAACTTTTAAAAATAAAAAAAAATCAAATTTTAGTATTTCTAGAATTTAACGTAGAATTTAAAAATGCAATATTATTTATATGGTTCTATTTGAAAAACCAAAGTTGATATCCGGTTAAACCGGAAGTGATAACGCATTAAAAATAATTTTAAAAAACAGTTTACATTGCCTTATAATTGCTATAAAAATTTCAAATCGATATCTTTTTCTGTTCTCCATAAACTTCTAATGAATAAGTTAGGTGAATCCCCCCCTGTATACATATATATCAGGATTTATATGTATACATACATATAAATTTGGAAATTTGTCAACAACGTTAAATAGTGCAAGATGACGTACTGAAGGTATCCTGAAGATTTTGAAAAATTTACCAGTTCAGATAATTTTTAAAAAATTTTCAAAACCGCAAAAAAACAAAAACAAAGATCCACTTTTGTGAATTTGGCAACGTTGCAAAAAATTCACAGGTTCTGTAAGAAAAAATATAAAAAGCAAAAAAAACTATCTCTATAAAAAAATCACGTCTATCCGTTACTGCCTGGAAGGCAAACAAATAAACAAACAGAATTTCGCAAATATTCAGGATTAAGCACTAAATTAAAAAACTACTTATTAGGAATTTTTTTTAAATACTGTCAATCTGGTAAACTTACGGGAGTCACTGTCAAAAGCCTTTGCATTTCGTCAAAAGATGGCGCCAAAATCACCGTCAAATACTCCATTATCCTGTCAAGGCTAAGTGTGCTTAAGGTTCTGCCTATGCTGGCCATGATTCTTTTATTTTCCGCCAATCTAAGCAGGCCACTTGACAGGGCATTCTAGAAAAATATGGAATTACAAATTTTAGTAAAAATAACCATGAAAGTGACGTTGGATCATTCAAATTAAATTTTGACATTTTAAACGTCAAATATTTCAGTTATTTGTAAGCCACTTGACAAAGATTTTGACGTTTTAAACGCAAAAAAAAACTTTATTTTAACAAGATCTTTTGGCATTTTACCTGTGCGGACATTAAAATGTGGTCAGCATATGGCAACAAAAAATGTTGACAATTATGAGTAATATCTTTTAAAGCCATGGTGGCGCTAGTAGCGACCCCAGGGTTGCCAATTGACTGTATAACCAGCGGAAAAACATGTTGCAACGTGTCGGGATGATCCGGGAACCACTCCGAATAAGCACCTTTGAAATTTCAACAAAAAAAACATAAATAATGTTACCAAGTTCTTCATGTATTTTTTTACCTATTGTTTCAAGCGCTGTTGCCAACACTCTAGTGGGCATTTCATTGAAATTAATATCTTTTATTATAGCCATTAGTTTTGGAAGATACAAACACTCATTTTCCACACTTTCCGCGACTGCGCTAAAAGCGTGCAAACAAGTTTCCACTTCACTCCATCTTATAGGTTCGGTATTATTAGGCCTGTCCTTTTTCAGGGCCTCCAATAACTTGGTGTGCAAAATATCAAGCATTTCTATGTTCAAAACGTTGTAGCAGTAGATAAGAGTGTCGGCTATGTCCTGTCGGTAACAACGGAACACCTCTTTATCGTCTGAGGTCCAAGATTCGTCTTCAACGGTTGGAAACATTGCTTTTCTTAGCATTACGCATACTAAATTTCTATAGTATGGTTTTATCATGAGGAGAAGTTGTGCGCATTCAGAGGTTTTTAAAGCTAATATGTCATCCTAAATTATAAATAATGTTAATATTCGAGTATGTTAAAGAAATGAAAAAGATCAGGAAAAATTGTAAACCTCCATAATTAAAAAAGTACAAAATATAAATGTAAGAAATTTCAGGATATGATTTAAATTTTGTTGCTCTAACTTATAAGATTTTGAGGATATGGGTGGTAAACTTTTGCCCCGCGCTTTTTTTATTTATAAACAAACTATAAATAGATAGCTTCACTTACTTGCAAAGTATACCAAAAAGCAAATGTATAGGTACTACAAGATTCGTCTACTGGGTAATACCCTGGAAGATTTGTACATTTCAGTATGGAATCAAAAAAATCAAAGCTAATTTTTTGATTTTCTGGATTATCAGATTTTAAATTGTCTATAAGGATTTTTGAATGGTGATCTGCTGTCGTTATAATTGAACCATATAAATTTGCTACTATGTCCTAAAAGAAAAAACACAAAAAAATATAATCAATTCACATAATATGTACATGTATTATAGTTTTTATTAGCTTGAAAATTGACATGACAATTAACACGGTTTTTTTCACAAAGATAGTATCCAATTTAATTTTAAAATTTTATGACAGCCATAAAAAAATTGTCAGATTGCGATTCCGAAAATGGAACCTAAATTTAAGCGACCAAGTATTTCGAAAGAAAACAAACGCAACATTCACTAAATTTTCCATAAAATTCAAGAAAAAAATGGCAAATATTATAAAATTAATTTGATAGATGACCAAACCTCAGAAATTTTTAAATAATTTTAATTTTTTAAAATAAGTAGATATTTTTAATTGAATGTGATATTTTTAATTCAGATTGAAAGTTTGGACACCCCTAGTATTTTAAACTAATTCTGTCGCTAGATGGCGGCACAATCACTGGGATCTACGACGTACGTGAGTCCGATGTCAGTGGACGTTAGTTTGTTGTTTTTGTGGCGTTTGAAATAACATGGGTATACAAACTCTCAATCAGTCGGAATTAAAAATATGCTTATTTAATAAAATAAAAATTAAATCGAATTAAAAATATCTCCTATGATATTTTTAAAACATTTAAAATTTTCTCCTACATAGGATATTATATGATATTTTTAATTTAGCAAATTTAAATATGTGTTTAGCAAGAAAAAAAATATAAGAAAATATTTTAAATAACTAAATAAAAAATATCAGTTTGGCATAAAAATTAAATCTAATTTTAATTTAATCAAAAATGTGGGTTTAACAAATATAAGGAACAGATATTTTAAATTCACCAAATTAAAAATATCAGTTAAGCATAAAAATTAAATCTAGTTTTAAAATATCTGCTTTGGTATTATTAATTTTGCAGAATAAAAATTCTTATGTGATATAAAATATCACTCTAGGGACATTCCACATTACTCGGTAATTTTTGTCCCGCCCGTCACAATCAAAAATTGTGAGTAAAAACCAAAAGTTATAAAATTAATATTTTATAATATTATTTTTATTGTGCTTATAACTTATTAAAAGCACAATAAAACAATATTTTTAAATAAATTTTATAACGTGTAGTTTTTACTCACTATTTTTAATTGTGACGGGCGGGACAAAAATCCCCGAGTAACGTGGAATGACCCTCTAGTGTTAACACAATAATAATTCCTGAATAAAAAAAGTACTGTACAGGGTGTCCTGAAATTAGTGCACCATACTTTAACAGCAGATTGTACGTGCAAAAATAAGAAAAAAAGTCCCTATAAACATAGGTCAAGAAATGCCTCTTAAAGGAGCTACAGCCCCCAAAAGGAAAGCCCCTGAAGATGGTTTTTATTTAATATCTCCAAAACCGTTAAAAATATAAAAATGAAATTTGGGGAATTAATTAAACTTTTTATGACCAATAAGACAAAACAATAAAAATTTAAAATTTTTTATGTGGTTTGGGTCAGATTGATAGGAAGTAGGGTTAAAACCACCATAACTTTTTTGTACGTATCTTGTACCAGAATTTGGTGTCAGATTATAAAATTTTAGAGTTTTGCACATAAAAAAGGTCATCTTGTTGAACTTCGATAACATACACCGTTTTCGCATAAAATCGATTTGAAAATTATTTTACATGGCATAAAAATTCACAATTAAATCACAACCATAGAAATGGACTCGCGTGGTCCTTGGAATACGGCTGCCATGTTTAGGAAAAAATAGAATAATTTAAGACAGGTAACAGTTTTATGTAGTAAGTGACAGGGTGTTTTTACTTTTTTATTTATATTAGATAAAAATCATCTTCAGGGGCTCCCTTTTCGGGGGCTGTAGCTCCCTTAGGAGGCATTTCTCGACCTATATTTATAGGGACTTTTTTCTTATTTTTGCACGTAGAATCTGCTGTTAAAGTATGGTGCACTAATTTCAGGACACCCTGTATGTAAATTAATATTATTTAAGAAATTTAAACTCCTAAAACATAATTTAAAATTTCAAAATTAAATAAAAAAATATATTTTATATACAGGGTGTCCCAAAAATGGTGTACTAACAGGATTCCACATTGTGGAGGAGGGGTTTGTATCAAGTATAAAAAAATTACCCAATAAGTGGTTTTTGAGGGTTTAAAAATTGAAATTTATATTTATTACTTTAAATTTTCAGGACAATTTATTTATATAAAAATATAAAAAATTTTCTAAACACACTTCAAAAATAAAAAGTTACAACTAATAATAACAAAGATGATGATTTAAAGTTTTTTGACAAAAATAAAATATGTTTCCTACCTTGTTACAATCACTACTGTTCCTCTCGGTATCCAAAATCCTTTGAAACTTGTACAACATACTGGCCCCATACTTAGTCACATGATTCTTGTACTTAAATGTATGTGGATGTTGCATTATAGCATTTAAAGCTTCAACTGTCACCTCTGTTAACTCCATCTCCTCCATTGAAACATCTTCATGATCACTATTTTGCCAATACACAAAACAAGTCAAGTCAATAAGTAACCCAATAACATTACCACACTCTTCAATAGTTAGGCCACCTAATTGTATCCAGGCTGAGGCACAACGAGCAGCATTTAAATATGTGGTTACATTTGAGATATCAAATCCACCTCCTGGTATAGGCATCAAACACATTTCTACTACTTTAAGGATGTCTTTTGAGACTTCCTGTAAAACTATACGTACACTGTTCCTTTGTGTGATGGCCAAATTTGTGCTTTGAAACTGCAAAATAATGCTTAGAATATTTTATGCATTCAAAATAAAAAAATTACCTCTTCTGGTATCACAGTCAAAATTTCCAGTAAAATCCAAATTACCCTTTCAGCGTCAATATTAGGCAAATGTTGAGGTTGAAAACTTGATACTAACTCCTCAAAAGCATTGGGCCAATAGTCAGGAACAGTGTGTATAATAAATGCGGACAACTACAATAAAAATTGTACATACACATATTAAAAACAAATGAAATACGTACAGCTATACACAATCTGTTCAGTACAATCTTTGGACCCATTGCATAACTGATAATAGCATCCAGAATCTTTTTCCTAAGAAAATCATAGTAATCCTTTGGTACTTCACTCCAATGCTTCATCAACTTTGTATGTAGTGTGGTTGCAGCAAAAAACTGCACCTCAGAGCTCTAAAACACATCAAATTACACAAAAAATACTACAACTTATTATGTGCTTTCCAATTGACCGTTTTGAGCACTCGACGTAGTTTCAATGCTACAATAAATGTAAAGATTAGAAATGGGAGCCCAAACTTAAACTTGGGGCTGCATTGGGTGGTCAAAACGGTCAGTTGGGAAGCGCCTATTATAAGAGGGCATACTTTTTCTGGACTCAACAATTCCCACACAAAACTCCATGCCTGTGTGGAATTTTGGGCTTCAGTAAGCCATTGATGGGCTTCGGCCTGTTGACCCGCCTCCGTCCTATAAAATAACGTCACAGCCTTCTCCAAATTAACGCTAGTGTACTCCATGATTGACTTAATTAGTTGCAATTAACAAAATTCCCGGTTTATATGTATTTTTAGCCTATTTTCATAATAATAATAAGTTTATTTGACACTTGTTTCCCACTACATTTTACAAACACATATGACGGTAAAGAACGCTGCCTTACCGGCCTGTCACCGCCTACATCGAATCTCCATCTATTTAAAAACCTTCGATAAATAAATAAATAATAAACTATATAAATGATATTACAAAATTCTCGAAAAGTTTATACATTTATTAAACGTTAACAATGTTTTTATACAAAAAATATTTGAATATAATTATTTTTTGGATATGAACATGTCATAAACTTGTCTATGTTGTTTTAGTTCAATGGTAAGGTCATAACTTGTCAAAAGATCTTGTCAGCTGTAGTAAAAAATGTTTCCGTTTATTTTTATTATTTATAAATAATTCCGGTCAACAGTGTTGTTATAATTTTAAAATGCGTGGTCCGTAACAACATCGTTAAAATACTGATTATGTTATTTCTGTGATAAACAAACAATGTAAATATTTGATAAGTAAAGTCCATTAAATCAATTGTTTTAATTCCATGGGTAGTGTTATTTAATTGTTTTTATCAAAATGATGAAGTCGTTTCGTTTGATTGTGCACCAAAAAACGTTTAGCGGTAATTTCTGTTCATTTATTTTTATTATATTTTTATTTTTGTTTATTATTGTAGAGGAAGATTTAATTATAAGCCAGAAGGACTACCCTGATGCCAAACAGGGCGATATTGTTGAAATTTACCATGACTCTGAGTCAGAGTATCCCAGACTTTTGTTACAAATTAAAAACTTCAGGGACGATTCTCTACAAACAAAAGGTAAAAATACAGACACACCAAATAAATATTAACAATTGACATTTTTAGATACCATAAGTGTGGAACACAGCATAGCGAATGCATTTGGTTTGCAGACTTACAAAAATGTTATAATAAAACTTGTGAATCCCACCGATGTAGCTTTAGATTCAATAGAATTAACTTTTAAGGACCAATACATGGGCAGATCAGAGATGTGGAGATTGAAAAATTGCCTAGTAAGTATTTTTTAAATAAATTTGCTAAAACTAATCAACCATTTAATTAACAAATATTTCAGGTTTTTTATTCACCTTATTAGCATTATTTATCTATTAAAAAGTAAAAGTACCTACTATAATAACTAAAAATAGATTTAAATAGTAAAATTTGTTGTATGTTTACATGTTTATTTATGTATTTTAAAAAGAGATTTTTGTAGTATTTTGTATTAATACTTAATTATTACAATTATTTAACAAGTTCTATAAATTTTAAATACCTAAACAAGTTTAATAATGCTTTTGAGAAGTTTATAATAATAATTTATGCAACAAAAATATAAAGCGACACTTTTTTACACTTGAACTTTTAAAACATAGTGCTTTATATTGGAGTTACATTATTCTTTCTAAGACCCTAATAATTTCATAAATAATTACATACCTACTAAACATGTGAAGAAAAAATATTAACATTTACAATTATTTGATTTTGACATGTAGGTATACCTATATATATGTCAAAACTGTATTAAATTTAATGACGCCCTTAAGGAATAAATTGTAATGTAGTACCTATTATTAATATCAATAAAAACTAAATTAAGTAATTATTTTCTTGAATAAAATAGTATATTAGGTATCAAGTTTTATAAACGCCATTTTAGTTTTATTAGGCACGAGCGAACCTTGCGAGCGAGTGTTTAATAAAAACGAGTGTCAGGAGAAGTATCATAATTAATTAACTGTAACCAGGGATGGGCATGATTTAGATCATTTTGGATCTAAATCTCTAAATCCGGTCCTGATTTATGATTTAGGATTTAAATCCGATTATAAAAAAATATTTATGATTTAGGATTTAGTTACATTTTGGTACAAGATTTATGATTTAGGATCTAAATCATTTCATTAATTCAGATTTAAATCAAAAAATTAAATTTAATTTGATTAAGTTTGATGCACTTATCAAATTATGTCAACTGCGCAAAGATATTTGCGCAGTTGACATGGTTTGATATATTGATTGGTTATAGCCGTCAGAAGTGTTGTAATAAAAAAAAATTATGATTTTATTTTTTTACTCCGACTATTTAATAAAAAAAATAAAGGATTTATTTATGGATTTAGAATTTAAATCTTTTTTGCAAGTATATTCAAGACTTATGGTTTAAATCCAGATAATGTAATGGATTTATGATTGAGGATTTAAATTCAGTTTATGGTGTGGATTTATGGGTGACATTCACAATATCGAAATTCATTATATCGAATTCAAAATATCGAACACTTTTTATCGAAAATCAAAATATCGAAAATACAAAATGTCGAAGATCAAAATATCGAAAATTCAAAATGTCGAAAATGATAATATCGAAAATTAAAATGTCGATTTGAAAATGTCGAATAATTAAAGGTAGTGTCTCCCCGACCGTCGGACGGACGTAGAAAAGTGTGTGCTCGACCGTCGGACGGACGTAGAAATGTGTGTGCTCAACCGTCGCATATTTTAACCTCATTTTCAACTAGAGGCTAAATGTAGCAAAGTATTCCTCAAGGTTATGACGAATAGCTGTCATTTTGATTATGCAGGTACACTGCATTGTGCCATACCAAACTAACCCAAACTTAACAACCCAACCCAACCGACCCCGCCCCATTGGGCCCCTCCCGCCCCATTGTCACAATCCAGCCTGTCCTTAGATATATTATACCTCTATTGCTCAATGGGGCGGGAGGGGCCCAATGGGGCGGGGTCGGTTGGGTTGGGTTGTTAAGTTTGGGTTGGTTTGGTATGGCACAATGCAGTGTACCTGCATAACCAATATGACAGCTATTCGTCATAACCTGTATGACAGCGGTCGAGATTTTATTTTCGATAAATTGAAAATTCGATTAAATAAAATTTCGACATTTTCAAATCGACATTTTAATTTTCGATATTATGATTTTCGACATTTTGTATTTTCGATATTTTGATTTTCGATAAAAAGTGTTCGATATTTTGAATTCGATATAATGAATTTCGATATTGTGAATGTCACCCGTGGATTTATGGATTTAGATTTAAATCCTTTTTGCCGGATCTTACCCATACCTGACTGTAACTGTTTTTATTTTCTGTGCGTTTTTATAAAAAAAATCAGTATAAGGCCTTATATCCCGGGACATATAACAAGTTTTATTATATGCGTTGGCATTTTTAAATTAACGTATATCAAACCATACGCAATTGTCTAAAATAAATCAACAATTATTTGCGACAATCGTCACTTATTGAAGTAGTCCTTACCTTTGTTCATACACTCACAAACACAAGGTGTGCGCGCAAGCGTTTTGCGCATCGGTAGGTTACTGCTGATCATAGTCTTTTGCTCCAGATCAACTCTTGCGTGTACATGAACAAAAAACTGGAGTTCTGCGGCGGCGCGGTGCGTTGCCAAGTGTACGAGATGTGGGCGCAAGGCGACAGGGTAGCATGCGGCGTCATCACTGACGACACCAAAGTGGTATTCCGTTCCTCAACATCGATGGTGTACCTGTTCCTGCAAATGTCCTCGGAAATGTGGGACTTCGACATATACGGCGATTTATACTTCGAGAAAGCCGTGAATGGCTTTTTGTCTGATTTGTTCATGAAGTGGAAGAAAAACGGCAGCAATCACGAAGTTACAATTGTTTTATTCTCGAGAACTTTCTACGAGGCTATGAGTTTGGAGGAGTTCCCCGAGCATATGAGAGAGTGTCTTCAGAAAGATTACAAAGGGAGATACTATGAAGATTTCTACAGGGTTGCCGTTCAAAACGAGCGCTTCGACGACTGGAGCGGTATTCTGGTGCAACTGCGCAAAATTTTTTCTCAGTACCTTCACACAGTGTTGGAGTATCATTCCAGACCCGATCAAGAAATCCCGAGTGCCACCAACAGCACTGCAGCCCAAGGAAATTTCTTGGAAGTATTAAACATGTCGTTAAACGTGTTCGAAAAGCATTACCTGGATAGAAGTTTTGACAGAACTGGTCAACTTAGCGTGGTTATCACACCAGGAGTGGGGGTTTTTGAGGTTGACAGGGAGTTGACAAATATCACTAAACAAAGAATTATTGACAACGGAGTTGGTAGCGATTTAGTTTGCGTTGGAGAACAACCGTTACATGCTGTACCTCTATTAAAGGTAAGAAAACATTTCAGGAAGTTAAGAATGTTTAATTTTAAAAAAACATATGGGGCAAAATTTCCCAAGTGCACCACTGAAAAAAAGTTCACTATCACAATCATTTTAAATTTTACTAAATAATTATTACAATTATTGTAGTACTAGTTATTAACTATTAATACTGTAAAGGATTATCACCTCTGGTTATCAAATTATAGAGGTGCAAAGTTTACAGTTTTCCTCAAAAAAAATATTCCGTATATCTCTTTTAATTAAATATTTAAAAAATTTCAATCCTTTCAATGAAGCAAACTTATTTGTTATATTAAAAAAAAATCCAAAAATTTTGTAATTTTAAATTATTTATTAATATTATTAATTATAAATTAAGCTCATTGAAGAGCTTGATTCTTTTGCTTAAAAATATAAAAAATCAATTATATTATTATTAACTTAAGTTTAATAATGGGATGGAAATACGCTAAAGAAGCATCGCTACTAGCGCCACCACGTGGCCGTTATCATCGTCACCAGAAAAACCGTGGCACGATTTGTTGTCTTGTTGAGTGTTTTTCGAGAGGAAAACCTTGATTCAGTTTTTACCGGTTTCCCAATAAACAGTGGAAATCCCAATTAAGAAATAAATTGCATACAGTCCCTGTAAGTATAAATACACATTTTAGTAATAATCTACGTAAAAATTGTAAACATTTCAATTCAGTAAAAATCATAACAAAGTCGTCTAAATTCAAACAGCATTTAGCATTATTAAAAGCGTTGATTAAAAAAGTCTCCACTCAAGAGTAAAATACCAAGAACCGGTATTAAATTATATATTATATATAATATTATGTTCCCATGAATTCGTAGGTATATTTTGTCGTTTAAAATGCAGTTGTCGGGGTTTTTTGAGGACTCAACTATAAAAATATTCCATTTTAAGGTTATGTTTGTAGTACAAATGTACAAACTTTGTACAACAATTATTTTTTGTTAGATTTCTTAAAAATATTCAAACTTAAATATAAATTATATTAGGTAAATTTATCATTAGTTAATTCTACATCAACAAATAGACGTACCTACCATATTGAATCCTTTGGCAAAACATGAAAATGCAACGATATAGTTTTTGAATTTTATTTCCGATTAAAAACACAATTCACCATGATCACTTAAATAAAATACACAGACTAACGTAACTATATAAGTTTCTTAATCAATAATAAAAGGAATAATAAATCAAAATCGAGTACTAAACCAGTTTTTTAGTTTTCACTTGCAACGCAAAATACAAATAACGTGCGCGATTTTGCTGTGCAATTGAACAAAATTTGTAAGGCCTAAGCTTCTCTTTTGTGAAAAACTACTTGTTTATTTAAAAATAATGTGCATTTCGTATGCTTTAAATGTATTGTTGACAATTCTTGAATTCACAAAATGATATTGAACACCAGCAGATGGCTCGCGCGTTGCGAAACCCCGATGCTTCTTTAGCGTATTGTTTTAGAGATTTTTAACTGTTTGATGTGCTGTTATCTTTTATATTGACACCTGTCAAAGTATTGCAATCAGTTGAAAACCTTGAACAATAATTTATATCTCATTATTAAACTAATTTAGGTTTAAAAGAAGTTTTAATTTTTTTAAGAAGGCATTTTTTTTAAACTAAAATAGATATATAAAATTGCAAAATTATTGTATTTCTTTTAATAAAAAAAAATAATTGGCTTCATTGGAACCAATAAAAATGGCTAAAATTTAATTTTAAAAATGTTTTATTTAAAAGATTTGCCAAAGAAAAACTGTTAACTTTGCACCCCTGTAATTTAAAAACCAGATATTTGGTTATAAACTGCTACTATAATTAGGTAAAATTTAAAAAGATTGTGAAAGTAAACATTTTTTTCGGTCAAAACCCAAAGAGTGTCCTCACATTTTAAAATTTTAAAAACATATTTAAAATGAAAAACATTTTTAAAATTTCAAGATTTATTCAAAAATTACAAAACGTCGAATATAGTTTAACTACTAATATCGTGATTATTACTTTTTAGTTTCATAACAAAGACACACATTTGAACGTCCCAGACGACTACTCGATGCCTCATTGGATAAACTTGTCGTTCTATTCAACAAACAAAAAAATTGCCTACTCCACTTTTATACCGAGGATTAAATTGCCACCTCTACCAACCAAAGAAACCAAAAAAGATTCACCCAAAACCAAGTTGGTGCCGGAAGACGACTGTATACACAATTCCTTCTTCGATTATGACGCTTACGACGCTCTCATCTTTCAGCTACCCCCTGTGCAGCACACTCACGAAACAAGGTAAGTAAATCTAGTATAGTCGTCGCGGCGAATGTTTCAAATTGCGTCATCAATGTCGAATGTCAAAAACCGATTTCTCGCAAAAATACTCTTCTAGATTCTAGAGTCTAGAATCTAGACCTTCTAAGAATTATTCAACGTTTTTTTTTATTATACACTCACAGGCGAAATAATCGATCCACACAAATTTTCGATGAATTTCAATCGCAAATAACTTTTTTATTTGATTTCGGATTTAAACAAATATTAAAGAATATTGTAGATACATTAATGGGGAATCGCTCACATTTTAAAAATTACTAAAAAAATACACGTACGTTTATAATATACAGGTTTAAACAAAAATATGTTTTTTACCATAAGTTTAAGACACTCTGTAGAGTGGCAAAACCGTAAATTAAGTTTTAATTATCAAGTCACATCTATTTTTAACAGTTTTGTTTTTGGTTCACCTTGATATATTTATTTTTGTGGAAGATATGGATTGTTTTAAAAAAACATTGCAATTTCCAATATTTTTCCTGTATAAAGAACTAAGGTTGCTATGGTCCATCCATAGCCCATAGATTATGACAGTGACAGTTTTATTGAATCATCCCATACTTGGACATGTCATATACAGCTTTCAAAAGCTATCAAATTGTTTTTTGAAAAGTAATGTGTTAATTTTGAGGTGTCTTCTTACTTTTAAAAATGTCTCTGACTGATGTTGCCCTTTGTACTTTACTTCTTGTGACGTTTAAAACACTTGCCACGTAATACTGTGACCGTCCATCCTGGATTAAATTAATGGCTCTGGCAACATCAGTCGGAGACATATCCATTTTTTAAAGTAAGATGACACCTCAAAATTTAAACATTAATTTGCATAAAACAATTTGATAGCTTTTGAAAGCCGTGTATGACATGTCCAAGTATGGGATGATTCAACAATACTGTCACTGTCATTCTCCATAGCCTATGGATAGACCATAGCAACCTTAGTTCTTCATACAGAAAAATATTGGAAATTGCAATGTTTTTTTTAAAAAATCCATATTTTCCACAAAAATAAATTTATCGACAAAACTGTTAAGAATAGATGTGAATTGATAAATAAAACTTAATTTAGAACAATATACTGTTTTGCCACTCTACAGAGTGTCTTAAACTTATGGTAAAAAACATCTTTTTGTTTAAACCTGTATATTATAAACGTACGTCTATTTTTTAGTAATTTTTTAAAATGTGAGCGATTGTCCATTAATTTATCTACAATATTCTTTAATATTCGTTTAAATCCGACATCAAATAAAAAAGTTATTTGCGATTGAAATTCATCGAAAATTTGTGTGGATCGATTATTTTGCCTGTTAGTGTATTACAAAATTGTTTTGGACAAGCAAAATTATTGGGTAATTGAATTAAAAATAAATAATTTCAATTACTCTGAATATAATTACCTAAGAATTAACAATTGAAAGGGTCAATGCAAGAAGTTCCTTAGTCACAAATAGGTGCTTCAGAGATATTGCGGTTTGAAGGTTTATTTTTTGTAAAAAATTAAGGGATATTTCGAGGAAAAATTTGTTTTTACTTAAAAAAGGTTTATTATATTATAACGCCGTAAAATATATAAATTGTGAACAAAACTTAAGACTAAGACCAGTGGCGGCTCGTGGGTGTACAGGAGGGTGAGGCTACATAAGGTTAATTTTGTCTAAATACAAATAAATTTCCACGTCACCCGGGAGGTATTATTCTGCGACGCGTTGACCTTTTTTAAAATGGAGGTCATCGCCGATAGCCCTACTAAACCATTATAAATAAAAAATAAAGTCTAAAAAACAAAACAAACAAAATATCACATCAAAGACTACTTTTAATCTTAAAACTTAAAAATATATTCTTAAAACAGTTAAAAATAAATAAAATAATCAAAAAATAAAACTAAAAAGTCGACCCCTACCTAAGTATTAAAAAATATAAAATACTATTAGCTACTTTTTGTAAATTAAATCTATACGTCTAAGTTTGCAAATGTATCTATTATTTGGTCGTAAAATTGTGGGTCTGCAGTGAGATTTAAAAGTAATTCTAAATTTTTAAACCGCGTCTCTAATTAAAGAATTATGCAATCTATTATTTCAAAATATAAAATTTGCTTAATAAAAACTGTTAAATCTACCTTAGTGTGTTCCCCACAATAATTAAATAAGAAATTTTACTAATCGAGACAAAAACTATAAAAGATCAGCCAAAAGTTTTAAATAATTTAATTTAAATCAAAACAAAACGAAACAAAACGTGCTCTACGAACGCTTAGAGGACACTGGCCTCCCCACCATAGACGGACACGCGATTATAATGTGATAAAACCAGAAATCAGAACAAACCAAGCTAACTTTATGTCGCCTCATGTACGACTGAATTTACGTTGTTTATTCGCGAACTTTAGTTGGTGAGTCATTTTCGCTTTCTAGAGGTAAATGGGAGCTTCCGAGGCTGTGAAAATTTCGCCTCTGTCTAGCGACTTTCAACGATGCACGTTACCTTGACGCGCTTTGCGCCTGGATTTTTATTTACGCTTAGTATTATTGATTGGTTTTTTACTTTTTATTGGTTAGAACTGTTGTAAAAATACACTTGTAGGTAATAGGCAAAAATCTAAATACAAAAAGTCGTTCGTTCCTTCATTTTAAGGGTGAGGCGCGGCCTCAGAGGCCTACCCTGACGAGCCGCCACTGACTAAGACATAACTTAGGACATAACAAAGCAAAACTAAGAATATAATAAGAAGGCTGGCTATTCATACACAGCGTCGGCCTCTTGTAACTGATCAATTTCTTTATCAATGACATCATTTTGCTGGATTATACTTCCATTTTCAGACAAGGTTCGAGCAAAAAAAAAACGGTAACTGGTATGTTTTAAGGTTCCACAATCTATTTTATTTTACTTTACTTACCTGCCATTGTTATGTTTTTAATCATAGATACAAATTAATATGTAATTTGCTCAGATATAACCAAATTTAAATAACATGAACTAAGGAACATGTTGCATTGCATCTGTCAAAATGATGACTTAGGTACTTCTTGCATTGAAAACCAGGTAAACTCCCATTGAAGTAAATGCAAAATAAGGCACTTAGACTCATATTTCTGCAAATACCACCTGAAAGCTTAAGTGAAACACTTTTAGGTAGCGCCACAATGTCAATTTTATTGAAAACCCCTTCAATTGCTAAAATTAATTATCAATTACATAACTTTTTTCAGGGCTGGTTTATCAATCTCTGGTTTAGTTCCAGTTAGTCTATCTGACAGTTAAATTCCATATAGATCGTTGTGAGAACAATGGTATCCATGGAAATTATCTGCCAGATATCTAACTGCAACTTTAACCGGTCATTGATAAACTGGCCCTTTGTAATTTAAAAATCAATTACAATTACCATTTATTCTAGGTAATTGAAATAAAGTAATTCAATTACAAAAAGTAATTAAATTACAATTTTTTAATTATTTTAATTCAATTACTTTGAAAATACCCCCACTGCTATAAACAGTCAACAATACCCAAGCGTTAAGCGGGGTCTACAATTGTCGCAGAACGCAGATCGCAGAACGTAAGCATGCGCAAAGCACCACGCAAGCATCCACGTTGCGATGGAGCAAGGTCACACGTCGTTGTTATATGAGCTGTCTACAATTGTCGCGCGATGTGCTTTTATTGACCAATCAGAGCAATTGTTTTCTTTATAACCACAGTGTGGCCAACGTAGAAGTGTTTCTCCTAAATTTAGTGAAAAAAAACAGAGATATGGATGGATCCCTATCTCTAAAAAACTGCTTGGGGTTTATTTTTAGGTAAAAAATGTTTAAGAGTTAAGTAAGAATTAGTATTTTACCTGATAAAATAAATTAATTTTAAAACAAAAATTACCTTGATTATCATAATACTTTTGGTAAACAAATATTTCCAATATTGGATTGGAAAAATTGTTTAGATTATCATAGAATTAGTTAATATTATTTAAAATTTTAAATAATTATTTTGATCAAAATTTGAAAATTCTAAATGATTTTCGATATTTCCTAAAAACTACTTATTTAAATCAATATAGGTATGAATATTCAATAGTAATAAGAATACATTTATTTAAATGGTCTTTAGAAAATATTGAAAATTATTTTAAATTTGGGCAATTACGTTTTTCGAATAATTTCTGAGAATTACACCAAAAATTTAAAAATATCCGCGAAATAGGAAAAGGAATTAAATAAAAGTATTGATTATTGAAAGAAAGAGAGCACAGAGACAGATAGATTCTAGCGCTCTATGATTGGCTAACATAAAAGCCTGCGAAAGACGTTATTGAAGATGAATTAACTTTCTGCGACGTGTGACCTTGCTCCATCGCAACGTCGCTGGGTGCTTTGCGCATGCTTACGTTCTGCGATCTGCGTTCTGCGACAATTGTAGACCCGGCTTTAGATTGTGCCTGGGCACGTATGAACAGACCTTAACCCTGACGTCACACGCCGTTGATGACGTGCACCCATGCAGATTTGGCCGCGACTATAACAACTCTAGAATCTACAAAAATGTTGTTTTTCCTTAGCCACATACATTCAAAAATGCCGCCGCGGTACAAGCGCAGCTCGGGCAGCCTGCTGGATTCGCAGGAACTGTCTAAAGGTCAGCGTCGCAAAATGTCGGATCCCGACATACAACATCGCGTCGACTCGAACGCCCGAAGCGACCCGATCGCCATTCCGCCCGCCGCGGGGTCTCCCGTGTCTTCGCCGCACGGGGACGGTAAGTTTTTGACGTCGTAAGCGCTGTTGTCAAGCCTACATTGAAATATTTTGGTGATATGTTAAATATTAGAAATATTTCCCGACACCAAAACAGAACACAAAGTGCTTAAAGTACTTTTCACCAACGATGTGTAAATGCTAAATCTACCATTTTTATACTAATTATAAGCCAAGGTTGACTGAACCGTAAATGGACACAGTTTACTAAACCGTGGACCGTAACGGCATCAGTGAACATGTAAAGAGAAACTAACAAACTAATTTATACAAACTAGAGTTGGGTGGCTATTTAAAGATAATTTCTATTCTTGTGGATGTAAACTTTCATACTTTTATCAATTTTAGTAATCTTATCTTTTGAGTTGCCTAAAAGGATCTGAAGTGTGTTAATGCTTGAACTAAAAGCAATTTTGAAGCCCAGTTTTAGAAAAATCCCTTCCAGACCTCAAGTGTACTGGGGTTCAAAAGGAATAGTCATAAACTTGACTTTGTGGGCTCTGTTTGAAACTTATCTACTAGGGTGGGTTCAAAACCACTGTCTAGCAATGTCTTTTATAAAACTGAGCTCTTTCTTCATCTACTCTAAATAAGTGGAAAGTTTACCAACCTACGAACAAGAAAGTTAGAACTAGCCTGTGTTGTGTGCAGTGATTCGAGTCTGAAGTGATGTAACCTGCAGTGCTTGTAGGTTTTCTGTAGAAAACGAACTCTAGAGTATTGTTGGATCTAATTACCAGGGTATCTAAAAATGGTAACTGGCCATCTTTTTCCAATTCAAAGGTGAATTTAATAGAGGGAATACAATTATTCAATTTGGAAACAAAATCATCTAAGCTGCAAGCGTTTTGATCAAAAATAGCAAAGATATCGTCCACGTACATTAACCAAATTCTCGAAAAATACCCCGAGCTTAGGAACTTAGTACCTTCTCAAAGCGGCTTATGAAAAGATCAGCTAAAAACGGGGACAAGGAGTTCCCCATTATGGGACTGCTTTGATAGCAGTCCCTTCATGCTGTTTATAGATGTTTATAGAACTAGTATTCAACAACAGTCTCATTGGAAAAACTATTTTTTTAGTCAATGTAAGTGGTACTGGGATACTTGGAAAAAGAGAACCAACATCGTTGGCGAAAAGTACTTTAAGTACTTTTTGTTTTGTTTTGGTGTTGGAGAATATATCTAATATTTGTTCAACTTTGTGTTTTGTTTTGGTGTTGGGGAATATTTATAATATTTGTTTTACATTTTAGTTGACAAAGAACTGTCTCCGCCAGTGCGCATGGTGGTCGGTTCTGAAGGGTCTCCGCCGCTGGAATCTCGCGCCCTAATCAACCCCTTTGACCCATCGCATGTTACGATTAAGCTGACTTCGAATCGTAGACGTTGGACGCATATTTTTCCCAAAGGTTTTAGAACTTAAATAATAAACGTAAAGAACCTGTTTTATATTACTTTGTCTTAGGTCCTACTGGTGTTTTAATACAACAACATCACTATCAAGCGGTTCCTGCTCAAGCTGAGCATGTCCAAAATGAAAACGAAAAACCGGATAAATGTATGACCACTTCCGGAAATTATCAGTCTTTTTGTGTTACTGCAGCTTTACAGGATTGTAAGGGACTCGTACAAGTCATTATTTTTTAAAAAGAAATATATTTTTTAGATTGTAAAAAACGTCCCAACTTTAGCCACGGCCCGAACGTTGTAACTACAAAAAATACAACGAAAAGTCAAACTTACTTGTGGGGTGCCACAGGGGAGCAAGAGTGGACCCCGGCTCTAACCACAGGTGTGTAAAACGATCCTCTTACGCAAACAAAACTTTACTAAATCGATTTTCTCCTCTAAAACATAAAACAATAAAAACCGACACGTCTCTGGCAAAATTACCCCAAGATTTTTGTAATGTGCTTGACAAAATTTTTGAGTTGAATTTTTATTTTGTTTAATTGAATTTTAGACTAATAATAGAAAGAGGTTATACCATATAACACGCATTTTGTGATGGCCAATTTTAAACAAAATAAAACACGTTTGACGTTTGACTACGCTAGATAGCGCTGTTGCCATATACAGTTACAGGTGCCTTTTTTGGGGTAAAAATGCATTGTAAAAACCTCCTTAGCAGGGGGACAGCGCGGTCCTAATAGGCTCGAGCCAACTTACCGAAATTTGGTGCATTTTGATTTTTTATTCACATATTGTAGATTTAATATAAGTAAAACTCAAGCAGCAGAGATTGTAAAAAAGGAGTATTGTATTTAATTAAATTTCTTATTAGCTGACACGTCCCATAAGACTTTGTCTATTACTGTATATGGTTACAGTTTTGCCAAGTCTACAGTGTTGCCAAATTTAATTTTTTTACATCGTTGCCTTTTTTCCACATTTTGTTTAATGTTGGCCGTTTCCATTGCTCATTATTATTTTAAAAGCTTTTAATGAATGTTTCATTGTTGTTTCATATTTACGGTTTAATTGTGCGTGTTATGCGCGCGCGACGTCTTCCGGGGGTTTATCGAGAGCGGAAAATTTAATCACGAAAAATTATAAAGGTGCGTCTGCATTTACCCAATTATTGTTGTTGTTCCATGGTGCCTGGTGCGAATCTCACGATCCGGATTTTAAGCAGTCAATGACGTCCTAATAGGTTTGAACCATATACATTTTTATATTGTACACTACTTTTTTTAACGATTGGCCTTTCTTTTTGCGAAAAGAAAGCCAGACAATAGTTTTTAGTTTATTTATTGGTAGTTTTATTATATTTTGTTTACAAATGCTTTGTTTTTTTTGGGTAAATTTGTGGATGCATTTTGTTTTAGCGTATATGTTGTTTTATCTAAACATTATATCATATGTCTTGTCCCATTGTAATGTAGATGTAGACTAGGACATGTTTTCTATATTTTTTTCACCCTTAAAAAAAATCAGTAAATAACCAATATTTATTTTTTTAATGGCGAATTAAATATAATTCCCTCACACTAACTTTGTAGAATGCTTTTTTAACAAATATATATTAAGAATGTATTAGGCTTTAGTTAAAGTTAGAAAGTAGACTTGGTAGTGGTAGGCACAAGGTGTAGTTGAGATTTTTTGGGTCAACAATTTTTTTTAAATACTTAAAGATAGTAAAAATTAATTAGTAAAGTGGAAAATAATTTTGACAGTTTTAAAACTACTTTGTAAAAAACATTTTCCCTCCTTACTTTTTTCTCTGGCCAACAAAACTTAACTATCATTTGTGCATTTATTTAACCAAAATTTCGCTATTCAGCCACATAGAATTTTCAATATACTAACATACTAATAATAGAATGACTAAAGGTCCATTTAGCGCTCTAGAATGACTTATGATGGGATTGTTTCTTCAAAATTTAAGGTAGTTTTATTAGTACGTTTTTTCTCCACATCAATAAATCCAACTTTGAACAAAACTTATTATTAAGGTTTTATAAGTAGCTTAGACAGACTTGGTTATTTTCTGAGCACAATTTAGCGCGCGCAGGGGGTTATTTTAAGTATTAAAAAAATAATAGTTTCTAAGCTATAGAGGTTTAAAAATTTAATTCTATTTTTGCGATTGTAATGTTTTAATTTATTAACATAAATGGAAACAATAAAATTGCAAAAATAATATTAAATTTTTGAGCCCTTATAACAAGAATTTACTCAATTTTAATATAAATGATGAACCTCGGTCAATAGCTATTTTTTTTCAATAAATACATTTACTACTACTACTTTTTAATATAAATGGGTAAAAAACAATGTTCTTAAGACGTTTCAAAAATAAAAATAATGATTTGTTGACAAAAAATGTCAGCAATACATCGCAAAAGAATCGTTGTTAAGTTTATTCTTGAAAACTACTTGTTGAAAAAAAAAATTATTTATACTTAAAATATCCACCCTCCCAGCGTGGCAACCGTTAGTGCATTTTTGGGACACTCTGTATGTTTTTCATAAGTTTTTTTTCCTAACTATTTTTACTATTACTTTGACAAAGCCTAACGGATTCGTGTAGGCAATTAGCTGTCATCCCTTGGGGGATGATAGGCCAAAGTAAGCAAGTTTTTCCTCTATCGCTTTTGCATTAGTGCTTCTGTTTTTTAATTAAAACAAAATCATGAAAATTAGCATAATTTGATGGGCAGCCACTGGTCAGCAACAGCTGTCAAAAAATCGATACATAGTCGGCCCGTTAAAATCATCGACAGCAGTGCTAATAAGAATCACAGGCCGACTCTACTTACTCCGTCGCCCGCAACCCCTTACACCTTAGGTAGGTCATGGTTTAAAACAATCCAGTGTCGTGCCAAACAAATGTCTAATAACTACCTACGTTAATTTTCATAATTTTTTTATTTAAAAACAGTGACACTAATCCAATTTTTTTAACTCAATTTCTTATCTAGTATGTAAAAAGCTTCTGTAAATAGCGATATACTTATATACTTTCTAGTAGTAAACAAAAATTAATACTCTTCCATATCAATTTGCTACTACATTTGAAAATTTGAAAATTCTATGTATCTGTAAACCCCCCGCCTTTCTACCAACCTAAAATCTCGAATTCCCCCCGATCAGGAGTGGACTGGAAATCGCTCACCATCCCGGCATGTCTACCAATCACGACGGACTATTTTCCGGACAAGAGGGCGTTGCATCTGGACTACGTCGTTTCTTTGTACAGCTTACTGCCGGACAGCGTTAACGAACACTTCGCGCAGCAGCGCACGAAAGATAAGAAATCTTTGACCACAGTGGAGGTTTTTAAAGAGTTGATCTCCCAGAGGTTGGCGCAAGGTTTTCAGTTAATTTTAATGGCCGGAAACAGCGATAATATGGCCACCACGAATGCCAACCTCAGAGGGGCCGTCATTAGGAAGAGCCCCACTGATAGCGACGAGTCTTTTTATTTGTCTATTGGCAGGTTGTTTCATAAGATTTCACTATCTGGAAATACCATTTCTGTTACAAGATATAGACCAAGGTTATTGTTCAAAAAACTGTGTTCTTATCTTTATTGATTAATAATTTTTTGTAGACATCCATATCCAGGTTTCAACTATCAATACAGGTACAGATTTTACGCGCCGCATCATGACAACTATGAAGAGTCTATTGCCACCTTCACAACAGAAAAACTGGAACATTTTAATTGGAACTATTTGGATCATTATGTTTGCACAGGTGGCGACACTGAGTTTCTTTTGGTCGACGCTCTAAAATACTGGAGGTCGGATTTTTTAAAAATATACCTTTTGTGTTTTTGTCATTTAAAACATTCCAAAAATTTTTTTTAGATTCCGAGTATATCTGTTGCCATTAAACAACACCGCGACGAAAAAAATTGTAGATGGCGCCCCGCACGGTGACATTTACTCGATGCCTACCGCGACCGATCATCAACAAATGGTCGAGGGAATTTTAAAGTTTATTGAAACCGCAGTGAATAAATTAAAACGCCCCACGCCGGTCTCCAAAAAACCCAGGGTTTGTTTTCCAGCAACAAAAAACATGCTTTTGTGTATTATTTTCCGCACTTTTTAATTTATTAATGATTAATCACGTTTTAGATTTCTTCTCACTTCTGTACATATTTTTGAGGGTAGTTGATTTTTTCTCTTTATGGATACGGAGTTTGGAGTTGTAGTAGTGCATATAGCACATTCGACTTTGAGCTTTGATACGGGCCTCAATTTTCAAGATAACATTAATATTTTATAAAAAATTAGCTACCCATTCTTAGTTTAATTTCTGCTATTATTTGTGTCGTCCGTTTTTTGCATGACCTAGCTTTTACGCATGTTGTAGATGTCCCTGAGTATACTAAGCAATCAACCGTTGATCCAACCGAGACGTAACAGTATGAGCAATTTTTCGCAGGTACTATACACAAACTACTTGACAATAGGTCGGTTGTTTGAAATTGAAAATTCGACTATAATTACTAATTTAATGGCCATCTCAAAAATACTGTTGCACTGTCTTGCACATTCTTCAATGTTAATCTTTTAATAATTTGTTTTTGAGGTAGCTATTTAATGTATTTTTCAGTCCTTATTTCAAATAACTTTCCTGTTATATTTTCTACAAAAAATAAATATCTGGGAATGAGTTAAAGTTTTACACATTTTCGTTGAAATTAATTAATTTAAAAAAGATAAAGTTCTACTCCTTTAAATGTAATATAAGTTGTAAATAATTCTTAACTAACAGTTTACTTAACATTTCTAACAGTATTCTTAGCAATAGTAAGTAATGTAGTTTTTTTGTTGATTTAGTTTGTGCCATTAAGTATTTTTTGAAAATTTGTAAACAATTGTATTTTTAGATTTTTTTTCAGTAATTGTAGCAAACTATCCATAAATGGAAGAATAATATAATTTTTTTGTTCTATAATTAAAATTTTTAAATACGCCAAAATAAAAGTTCAGCTAATATATTTCAATTTTAAGAGGTTTCTTAGTTATCAAGTTTTGAAATTTTTCATAGGAATAAGTTATTTCCAATAACAGAGTAAAATGTTTGGAAAAATATCTGGAAAATTATTTCCAATTTTTCATTCTCTTGGACTATTTTTTAACGCAACAACAATGTCCAAAAATAAACATAAATGTTTAAAACATCAAATTATTTTTCCGGCAATAATGTTCAACGCCTAGTGGAGTAATTAAATTGTTTTCTAATGAGTAACAGTGAAACTATTTTTACAATTTAATTAATCCACTAAGCTGATGACTTTGCGGTACAGACAAATAGCGCATTTAAAATAGGTTATTTCCACAATATTACTGTTTTGATTAAACGCAGACACGTGACTGACATTAAAACTTTATATTGGTTTTTTATGAAAGTAAAAAATAATCTACAAAAAATTCCCTGTCAAGTGTTTATTGATAATATTTTGTGTTTTTTAAATCTAAAAAACTATTTATGATATATAGGTCAAAAAGTTAAATTACAACTTTGTATTACTTTTAGTTTCCCACAAAATTTTACAAAACAAATCTATTGAATTATTAATAGTAAAAAGTTATATACTTTAGATATAAGAAAATATAAGATATATATTTGGAAGTAAATAAATTATTTAATAACAATGATCCAATAAATTTGATTTGAACAATTTGTAGAAAATTAAAAGGACTACAAAATTGTAATTTTACTTTTTGACCTATCATTGATAGTTTGTTTCTAAATAATAAAAATAATAGTTTTTAATTATATAACTTTTTTACTATTAAAGATCCAATAAATGTTTAGGGCAATTTTGTAGGAAATTAAAAGTACTAAAAGATTGTAATTTAATTGTTTGACCCATCAATAGTTTAGTTTCTAGATCTAAGAAACGCGTAATTATAACAAAATGTCATTTTTACCAATAAACTTAACTCAATAAAATTGTTAGTACATAATTAAATGCTTTTTAAGAATCATGAGTCATTTAAATAAAATGCAGAAAAATAAAACATTTCCTATGGGAAATTAAACTTGATGAGGAACCTTAAAATTTAACTTTTATTTGGCATAATCTAATAAATTTTTATGTGACATCGTCAAAATGATATCGCTTTTTTTGAAACACGCTAATGTACAATGCTCCACTCTATATTATGCTCTAAACCAAAAGCACATTTTGAAATTTGAATACAAATGTTGTCTATCTGTAAATTTAATGCTAATTTTTTGAAAATAATACAATATTTATCTTTTTTTTGTTCTAAATACACAAAAAATACATATATTGTATTGTAGTAATGTATACTAGGGGATTAAAAAAATCGAATATTTTTTTTACTTCCGACACAAAAAAGTTCGTTCTTAGGCACCTTTAGAAAGTGCTCAACAATTTTGAGCTCTTAATATAAATAGGAAGATCCTCCTCATCAGTTTTCCATTTTTTCTTTAATCCCTTATAAATAGACCATATTTCATTATTAATTAATCGTTTAATCAAATATTTATACATATTTTTGTAGGAAATTGGATGCTCTACAAAAAAGGACTTGTGTTTATGCGATTACTCTAACCATTTAAAAGATATTAAAGATCAAAGTTTAAAGAATTAAATATATTTTTTATAATTTTGTAACTCTTTGAAAAATAATTATTGTCAAATGAGGATGGCATAATATTGTAGGAAATTTAACGCTCTACAAAAAAGGTCTGATGTGTTTAATTGATTACTATAACCGTTGAGAAGATATTTGTTCAGTACGCATTGGGATTCGGATACGAATTATTCAAACTTTGATCTTGAATATCTTTTAAATGGTTAGAGTAATCGCTTAAACACATCAGCCCTTTTGTTGTAGAACATTTAATTTCTTCCGATTTTTCAGTGTCGGAAGTAAAAAAAAATCGATTTATTTAATCACCCTAATGTATACATAAATTTTTGTTTATTCTCACCGACTGTCAGGGACATGCGCAATACGGTAGCGATTTTAGTATTGCGCATGTCCCTGGCAGTCCCAATGCTCGGTCCCAGCATAAACAGGCAAAGTGCCGGTACGGGTCCAGTAGCAGAACTTTGTTCGGGCCCATTTTAAAATGGCTTTTTTTACTGGGCCGGCAATGGGCCAGGGACATTCTGATGCTGGACCCGTAACGGCACTTTACGGTGTTTGCTGGGGTAGAAACAAGCCGTTTTTATATTTTTAAAAATGTTATGATATAGTTATATGGATTTATTTTTTTCATACTATACATGGTTCTCAGTTTTTAGTTTTTATATTTCGTCTTTGTATAGGTATGTTATATTATTTTTTGTACATTATTTTGTCATATAATTTTTTTTAATAAGCCTTTCTTTTAATTTAAGGCTTATTAAAATATATTTTTCATTAACCATATAAATGTGTAAAGATGTGTTTTTTCATCAGAACATAGGATCAAATTCGCCATTTAGGGAACGACTGGGCAGCAATCGGCTTACAGAGAGACCACGTCCAAGGTTTGACCCACCTTCTTTTAAACATAACAGTCACATCAAAAACATCACATGTCAAAATATTTATTTCTTTCGCATTTTTTAAATGATCTGTGTTGTTTTTTGATGTGCCAGCTTCAGTTTACCTTATTGCAGCTTGGAGTGCAGCTGATAGAAACGCATGAACTAAGTCTGTCCTGTCGAAATATAGCGTAATCGTTTTTTTTTGGTATTTTGTTGACCTGTAACATTGTAATTATTGTCCTCCCAGAGTTTTTAATTTAATTTTTTCTAGTTTTTTTTAACCGTCTAATGCTTGCTTTCAGAATTCGACAACACGCTCAATTGAGCGGTTGATAACGCCTTCACTTAGGTAATTTTCTAACTTTTATTTTCCATACTAACAAAAATAGTAGAAACAAGAATTATTACATTAAATGTTTAGTTTAATGCATTTGTTTAAGTCTATGTGGATTGTTTTGACCTGACTTAATTTTTATTAACACAACATTTGTTCTCAAGGTCAAGGTTAATAAATAACAAATCATTATAAACTACATAATTATGTAATTAGTACACATGTGTAATATGCAGACTTTATTTAATTGCACTGAAACATTGAAAAAAATATTTTTGTTTCTATTATTTATAATAAATAATTAATCTAATTTTTTGGTGATAGAAATTTTTTTTTTGCATTAATTGGCATGAAAATCCAAATTTAGTAATTTAGTATTAAAAATGTATAACATTAAAGTTGCTTAATATTGCTTTAAAAAAAATGTTAAAACAGATCCGGCTCAAAAGTGGAAAGAGTCAAACCAAATCCAGAAATGATCGCTTCTATGAGCGAAAGCACCGACAATTTTGGAGAAGAAACGTAAAAACACAATTTTCATCAATACCGCCCTCTAAAAACATATCTTTTAGTTCCCTCCCTGTAATCAGCATAAAACTGACATCTACGCATCAAGAAATCGTGGAGGCGATGCGCAATCCGCTAAGTGGCCTTACATTCATTGGCTCGCAGCAAAACCTGCCGCATTCGACTTTTGCCACAGCCGACGCCGTTAATTGGCTGATTTCCAACATGGAGGGGGTATCTTCTATAGAGCGAGCCATACAGGTCACTAGATAAGTTTTTTAAATCCGAACGTAACTATTAACTGTGTGTTTTAGGTTTTAAATGGATTACATAGAGATCAAATGATAAGGCACGCTTCAGGGGACATGCATAGACCGGTTATCTATGGTTTTTACCTGTTTTATATTGTCAGCGGTATAATTTCAAATAATTAAATGATCATTTACTATTGATTAATTTTTTAGATGACTCTTTCCCTACATATCCAGATTTTTCGAGTTTTGAGAATGAATGGATGGAGGTGGAAATTAAACCCGCTTTAAATTGGGGTTTATCAAAATCACCAACCGCATTAAATGTCCCTAGCGCTTTTCCGGATCGTGAACATGGTGTGCCACATTTCTTGTGCGAAAATATTGATGCTGAATACTCGGATTGCGATTTAGATGGTAAATGCTATAGAATATTCACTAATGTATCACATTGTATTTTTAACTATGAAATTGACATTTGAACTAAAACTTGGTATTGAACATGTTTCAATTTCAACTATTAATCTTAAAAAATACATCTCAGTTTAAAAAATCGCAAACTCTTTTGTTCAGTAAATTCTAGTGCTGTACAATTTAGCCGGTTAAGCCGGCCAAAAAAGTTAGCTAAGTTAATTAGCTAGCTAACTGATCAGCTTAGCTAATTTAACCGGTTAACTAAATAAGCTTAGCTAATTAGCTGGCGGCTTAACCGGTTAATTTAGCTTAGCTCAGCTAATTAGCTGGCTGAACGGCTAATTTTTCTAAGCTATATAATGATTTCTTATTTACGGACTGGTTAAAAAAATAATAATATTGATGTTGCTTTTATGACAATCAATAATAGAGTAATTTATTAGGTTAAATAATTTTCAGTTATATCTCTATTTTGGTAAAGGAAAATTAATAAATTTGCATTTTCGGGAAGTAAGCAGTTCCGTTTAGAGCTTATAATATATCCGGCTGAGGTGCCAGATGACAGATGTCAAGTTGACAGATGTCAAGTTGACAGATGACAAATAACTGATGACGAAGACATGTGACAGATAAAAGGTGACAGATGTGACAGATGACACAACACAGCCCAGCTAGCACAGAAACATCCCAACAATGTACAGCGATGTAAAATTGGGTACATTAAACCTCCCGTGCAATGTACTGTTGATATCGCATGTCTATTGAGGCAACCTCCGAATTTCCGCAACATGTTTACATTGGACAATGTTTTCGAGATGTTACTTTGTTACGTACTGAAAACGTTAGTTTGAAACATCAATTAAAGTAACTTTAAAACATGCATGCTATGTTTAGATGTAATGTTCCATGAATGTAACTTATTGATATAAAAAGGCTTTAGCAAAAGATACAGGCATCCGGCAAATCATTTTATGTTTTTATACTTCTTTTTTTAGTATTTGTTTTATAAAATGTAAAAAAACTTAAATTTTTAGAAAATTTTTGTTACATTATAAACAAATTTGTTTATAATGTAACAAAACTTATCTAAAAATTTAAGTTTTTCTACATTTTATAAAACAAATACTAAAAAAAGAAGTATAAAAACATGAAATGATTTGCAGGATGCCTGTATTAATGCATAAAAAAGAAAAACAAAAACACAAAGTAATTTGCTAATATGTAAGTTCTAAAGAAATTAAAAAAAACTACTTATAATAAATTAATATATTCAGGTAAAAAAAATTGTATACACACTGTACAAATAATAAATTCACGTTTTCCAATCATGTTGAGAACATTGTTTCTGGATCTATGAAAAGCTTGGGATTTATAATTCGCAATACTGGGGGTTTTAGAGATATTAGAACATTTCAGTCTCTTTATTACGCATTTGTTGTATCTAAGCTGGAATACTGCTGTATTGTTTGGAGTCCGCAATACAATATTTATAAGGATAGGCTTGAAATTTGTTTTGTTTAGACTTGACGGTATCTATTCTGCTAGAGGAACAAACCACTTGCAGCTTCTTAATAGATTTTCTTTACTGCCTTTGGAGCTAAAAAGAATAATAATGCATTTGAAGTTTTTGTATGGACTGTTGCATAACCAGATTGATTCTATAGCACTCCTTGAATCTGTGAATTTGCGTGTTCCATTTTTTCAAAGCCGTAGTCAATTAACTTTTACATATAAAACACCTAGAATAAATGCCATGTATAATTCACCCGTTCAGAGAATGTGCAGATACTTTAATATTTACTGTAGCTCATGTGATATTTTTTACCAGACTTTTAATAGTATAGTTAGTGCTGCATCTAGCAATTATAATTTACTTTAATTTTAATATTATCCATAATATATTATACTTAACAAATTTCTTTTCTATGTATGTCTGGCAGGTGAAAAACTGAACATTATTTTTCAGTTTTTTACCTGCCAGGCGCATTTGCCATGCATACAGATGACTGACTTTTTTAATGAACTTAAGTACACCCCACAATCCACAAATTGTGGATTGTGGTACACCCCTTGCCACTAAAACCATTTTTATCAGTGAAGAAAAACCCATCGGAAAACCCACTTAATTTCACATATACAGGATGTCCCAAAATCACCGATACAAAAACAAAAGAATAAGTAAAAAAGATCACAGCATAGACACAGTAAACTACTTACAGAACAAACCACGCTAGCATCAGAGATAAACGCCATAGAAAAAGAAGTGTTCTTTGGTGGTAAATAGAACATGAGATAACCTAAAATGAATGGCTTCCAACTTGATAAATGCAAAATTGACATAACATTGATAGATTTTATTATCACCATCAATAATACTAGATATTAATAAATGAAATTTCGATTGTTTTTAAAGTTTTTTCACTAATAATATTTAAATAAATTATAATTTCACTCTATTTAAGCCTTTTATTTTATTTATTTATTTTTATATTGTTGGTACCGTTAATCATATGACAAGTAATATACTTAAAATTACCTTTAGTTACATTCTTGGTACATTTACATTAGATGTTTGTTGCAAGTACTTATGTCATGTTATAGGTATGTAACAATACATCGATGTGCAATATTAAAAAATAATATATCGGCAATATACCTGGTATGTTTTCAACGAGATGTATTTATGCGACCTAAACAGAACATCGCACGAGCTCGCGTTATGTATCGTGCTAGCTGGGAGGTGACATATGACAGATGAAAGGTGACAGATGACAGGTGACAGACGAAATGTGACAGATGCTAATTGACAGATGACAGATGTCTTTTGTCACCTGTCATCTGCCACCTGTGTTGTGTCATCTGTCAATTTTCATCTATCACATCTGTCAACTTTTATCTGTCACATTTTCCTTTACCAAAACAGAGATATAACTGAAAAAAAATGTAACAATTAATTTAAAAGCCATTTTTATAATTAAAATGTAAAATATTATTTAACCTAATAAATTACTGTATTATTGTTTGTCATAAAAGCAACATCAATATTATTATTTTTTTAACCTGTCCGTGAATAAGAAATCATTATATAGCTTAAAAAAATTAGCTGGTTAGCCGTTAGCTAATTACCTGTGCTAAGCTAAATTAACAGGTTAAGCCGCCAGATAATTAGCTAAGCTAATTTAGTTAACCGGTTAAATTTGCTAAGCTGATCAGTTAGCTAGCTAATTAAATTAGCTAACTTTTTCCATGCTATATATTCATCGGCTATATTGTACAGCACTAGTAAATAGACTATACCTACTTTTTAGGGGTGATGTATAAAAGAATGAGGTTAGAAACGGACGTTCAAAGCAGGAGCGATAGGGTTGAATGGGGCCACGCAAAATACCAAACTGTTTTTAGACCTGACAAGGCCTATGAGTTAGTTGTGGAGTGGCTAACATCGTCAGGCTCGATTGTGGCGGAATTAGTAGATTTTTTGGCATTCCAAATTATGTTTTATTGTTTTTGTATTTTTAGTTATTTGGTTGGCATCGTAAAGCCCAGGCTTGCGGACTTCAAATGATCCCTATACCCCATGACCCTTTGGCGCTACCTTATTCAGATAAATCTGATCCCCTAAGGGGGCCCATTTTTATACCCCTTGATATTAAGTGTTTGGAAGGGAGGGATACTATTTTCAAAGGTAGTTTTGATTGATAATATATAAAAACTACATATTTTTGTTTTTTTTTAGAGTTTGGTCCAGATACGAGCATTGAGCGCTTGTTTCTCTTTCAAGAAGCCATAGTACAAAAATTCGGCTTTATTTCTTGCCTTGTGGAACCCCCCAGTAATGCGTTAAATGGTTCTCGCGAGCATCAATACATTCATTCAACTGGTACTATTTTTGTTTTGGTCTCCACTGTAGCACCGAAGTCCAGAAATAGGATTAATTCAGTTAATAATAGCCGCGGTACGGGAAGATACTCCGTGCATGCTGACGTTGTACCTAGTCCTCATGAAGCCTACATAACCCGCCATGTTAGCGGGAAAAATAAGGACGATTACGATAATTCGAGAAAAGTAAAAAATATCAAGGTTTTTTAACAATTTTACTTATTTTTTACGTTTTGTAGTTGGGTTTCTTATGGTCTTGGAACCACATGGTTAGTAGGAGATGGCGAACAAACCAAGGGGTCGACAACAATTTCCAGACGAAATTGCTAAAAGATTTTCGCGAATTCTGTGCCAATTTGGACAACCGACTAAAAAATTTCTGGGAAGAATGCTGGGAAGCCAAAGAAGCAGCTTTTACATACAGAAACTCCGGCGCCAGTGATTTTATATGATTTATTTATACAAATCGTGATTTTATTCTTTAATTGTTACCCATTTTAATTCATAACGTGTTATTTTTTAATAATAAATCAATTTTATAAGTTGCTTGCTGTTATATTTTTAAGTGGGCTTTGAAATTTTGAATTTACCGCTGCCAATAAACGAGTTTTTGACAGACCTGCCAAACATAACCTATAAATTACGTAAAAGTGTTCCTTACGCAAAATGGCAGGAGTCCTAAAGGCAACAACCGGGCTTACAGGGCTGGCGGTGGCTAAAACCCCCCATCACACCCTGGGGGTTTTGTACGGTAAAATCTTGAGAACCTTGCAGAAAATGCCCGAGGACGCAGCGTATAGAAAACACACCCAGGATTTGATTCAAGAGAGGGCAAATATTTTGCAGGCCAACCTGAACGTTGAGGCCGTCGAAAAGCAAATTAATTGCGGGCAAATCGAAGAAGTTATCGTGCAGGCCGAGAACGAATTAATTTTAGCACGTAAAATGTTGAACTGGAAGCCCTGGGAATCTTTAGTTAAAGAAGCGCCCCCAAATCAATGGACATGGCCACCAGCACAACCTTCTAAATAAATTATTGTCTAGAAATTTACCGTGTTATTTGTATAAATAAATTTGTAATATATTGTAGGAAACAATAAAATTATATCATAAGAATGTTTCGTTTCCATTTCTCCTGCACAATTTTTCTATTGCGTATTTTTTACGTCAATAAAAACAAAGATTTTGACAGATTTAGTACAGTCAGCGCCCTCAGTCGGTCGCTTTGAAAGCTCTAGAACGGAAAACGGAAACGGGTTTGAGATTATCGAACAGGGTTTCGTAGCTACATTTCCTTTGTTTTGCACAGAATATGGCTGCCATATTTAGTTTAGATGTCTGTTTTCAAAAGTGTTGTGAATTTTGTGCTAAAAGTGCGATAATATTATAGCAAAATATTATCTGGTTAGTGGAATTCGACGGTAAAATGTGTTAAAAATGTTATGGACTTTCTAAAAATTACTGCCGTATCGTTTTAATAAAATTATGTTTCTGTTTACATCGCTCAATGAGAACTTCAGTTTAATTTTTGTGATTGCCATGTAAGTAACTCTATTTTACACTAAAATAACTCACCGGCAACACAAAAGCAAACAAATTCAATATCGTGCGACATTTTCATTCAGGAAAAATATTTTTCGGTTCGTATGAGTTGCTTCTTTGACAAAACGATTACCTACGTTTGGAAATGTTGACCTATGCTTTAATTTAGAATAAAAAACTATAAAAAAACTATGAAGCATTTACTGAAATAACAAATCTAATGTTTATGTTTATTTTGATCCAATTTTAACCTCGTTTATTAATCTTATAGGGTAATTTATGCACAGATTTTTAAGGAGTGGGACTGAAGTTTATTTTTGTTTATGTTGTACATTGTCAAAAATCACAATTTGCGACTTTTCATGTCGATAATCAAGTTTTTCCTATTTTCAAAGCTGCTAAATATGTCACTTTCTAAAAATATTTACTATTCTATTTTATCTGATGTAATGCGCCAGTTCCAAGCGTTTATTTACAATTTACATTTACATAGGAATTAGGTGTAGGTATAAAGGTTTTTGCGTTAATTTAATCAAATGTGTCCAATTGTTTATTAACTCTTTTGGCAAATTAGTTGTATTGAAGTTGTTACGTCGGACAACGTATTTAGGACGGGTTGTAGAATGCTTCCTATTTATCTGATTAAATAAACGTTGATTATGTAGTTTTTAAACTCGCAGGCTATTATTAAACCGCGCGCGGTAACATATTTACATCTATGCACGTATTTTTATCAAGTCTTTCCAAATATTTATTTTTGGATGTTATTTTTTGGTCTTCTGGAATTTTCGATAGATATTTGTTGTTGTGGCATAATAATTATTGGTATCGATGGATGTTTTATGGTTGAACGGCCATAGATCACGGAGGAGTTGTTTGCAAAATTGAAGCATCACGCCCACATAACTATAAAACAATCAATAGCTTCACATGTCGGCGGTACCAACGGCAGGCAGAGGCAGAGAAGCGGATTCGAGATGCATTGCGGCGGTGTTCTCCTTTCACGGGCCTCTTGCACGCGAAGGCGAGCGCATGCGCGACCTCGCTCGCCGACCCGCTTGCGCCGGCGCTGTGCTCAACTTCATATTTTCATGTTGTTTCCAGCGGGACCGCGGATTCTGCACAATACCACATACAAAACGATTTTTCATGCAATTTGCACTGCTACGTACATTCTTCCTAGCCTTCAGCCATATTTTACGTTGGCTGCAACCGTGCAATTTTCGATTCGGTTCCGCTTATAAGAGTTTGTTATTGAATTTTCGTGCCCATTTTTAAACATGGCGATCCTATAATTGCTACCTAACCTAAATCCAATGAAAATAAATGCTCTGTTCGCTAGAATAGGCTTAGTTTTCGTTTTGTACATCAAAATACCGAAAGATACGTGATTACACGCGATTATATTGAATTTGAAAGTGTTCTGGTGAGTTTTTTCAGGTTATGTTGCTTTTGTAGTGGTGCCTTAATTGAGGGCTTTATCTCGTTTATTTCAGAAATTACCGTTGACCTGGAGGCCCAAAACAACTTGGAAAAGGGTGGTGGCGGGGAATCCGCTAATTTTGATGCTAAAAACCAAGATGTTCAAGCTAATAACGCAAATGAAAACATGAGTGTATGCATAGGTTAGTAATGAGCAAATTGTCGGTTTAGTGTCGTTTTTTGAACGTTTAATTATGTTAATAGATAGTGGAACAGTGCTCGCCAATGTGGTGGGCACGACATCTTTGGCCCTTCAAAATGAAGACATCTCTGCTACTACCCAAACCACCACAGTACAATTACCCAGTGAACAGACGGATATTACACCACAGTCCGCTCCGGCGGCCAAAAATGTCGCCGCCACCAAGCTAGTAGTACCTTCCAGTACGCCAAACACTGTTTTGCAGAAAGTTGTCAATCAGCCAGTAATAACAGTTTTAAATTCATCTGGACCATTAACTGTAGTGAAAAGTCTTTGTGTTACATCAGGTGTTTCTAGTGCCCCTCAATTTACATTGGTTAATTCAGCACCTCTGACAGTGGCCAACACTGTTGGGAAACCCCCCACAATCACACTACTCAATGGACCAGTGACTGTTGTCAAAGCTATCCCAGCTACACAGAACATTGAAAAAAGTGAAGCAGTATCAAATACTACTACTAATGCTCCAACTAATGTGTCTCCCCCTACAATTATGGAAAATCGGGGACACAATGTGTTTGTCAAAAACACTTGTCCCGATTCTACAGTCCCTGACATGCCTCAGAGCCATAAAATCTTGACTGCAAGCAACTTCCCCCAAGCTAATGTAAGTTTTAATTAACGGCCATTTCAAGCGCGCGAAACGCACGTTTTTATAAAAAAAAAATGGTAGTTAATTTACTATATTATATTTTGGCTTCAAAATTACCAAAAATATTCTTTTTTTTATTAGGCTATACATTAAATAGAAAAAAATATTTTTTAAAAGTAGGTGTAATGTTAATAATTGAAAGGTGTGGATGGGACAAAAAAAATAATCTTGTTCCATCCATACATTAGAATTATCTCTACTTTTATAAAATATTTCTTGCATTTTTTTAATTTAACATAAAGCCTAGTAAAAGAAGAATTTATTTGACAATTTTGATGCAAAAATAATGTATAATAAATTACTTACAATTTTTTTATAAAAACAGTTTTTTGAATTGTCCCGTCCATATGCTTGAAATGTTTGTTAAATATTTAATTAATTTGATTATTTTTATTTTAGGTTTTAGCAAATGTCCAGAACAAAACAGCAAATGGTCAAAGAAATAAGCTAAAGATTTTATCGAATGTTCAGATGATGCCTGGCACATCTTCTGTTGGAAATGTGTTGCTAAACAAATCAAACAACAATGCACAACAGCAGAGGTATTTTCCGCGATCCAAATTAATAGGAGCAAACGGAACCAAGTACCTAAATAAACCGACGACGCCAAACAACGTGCTCAAATCAAACGTGAATCAACCGTTGAACAAATCGCCACAAAGAATGGTCTACCCGACTCACAAAAGTCAAATAAAAACTCTCACCCCGAATTACGTTCAAAAGGCGCAAGGTATTAAAACTTTGTCGCCGCAGCAAAAACCGGTGCAAATGCAGCGAAGCAACAGCGGCTTGAGGACAATACCGCCGCAGCGCCCGCCTAAAATGCCCAACAAACCGAACTACATCGGCAAGCACGCGGTGCAGGCGCAAAAGATGCGCCCCAAAATGAAGAACGCGAAGGTCACGTCGCCGTACGGCGGCGGCGGCAACCACCCGCCGCCGATGCCCGAGAAGCAGCTCACGTTCAATCAGGCCCTGACGGCCGAAATAATCGAGACGCTGAGCAACAAGAGCGCCGCCGCCCCCAACTCGTACCCCTCGAAGCACTACGAGATCCTGCCGGCGCGGTACGAGAACGCCTACACGTACCAAGATCACAAGGCGGCGGCAATGGCGGCGCCCGATTCCTCCGCCGCCGCCGTCGTCGACGACAAAACCAAGTCCGGCCTGGACGCGCTCTCGCTCATATGCCAGGCGGTTCTGCTCGATCACAACTACAACGCCACCCTACCGCCGGATTCGCCGACGAGATCTGCTCCGCCGCCCCCCATTCCCCAATCTCAGCTCAACGGGATGTCCGGCGGCGGGAACTCGATGTACTCGCCCGGGAGTCAGCAGCAGGCCAAGAGGCGCTCGCTACCGCCGGCGAGTTCCATGTGCATGCCCGCCGGCGGCGGCGGCGGCGCCGGTCTGCCCAACATGTCGAATGCGATAAAGGGGATGGGACCGATGGAAAAATGCCAGAACGCCATGCTGCTGGGCAGCCACCAGATGTCGATGCAGGACGAAGACGCCGCCTCCGACGTGTCGGACCTCTCCGATAGGAAGCACGACACCGAGGGAGAAGAGACTGACACCGCGCCGGAAGCGGAAGCCGTCACCAATGAGGAACACATGGACCATTATGGAGACTATGTCACTCGTTGTATATGGTAAGAATCTTTGCACTTCCAAAACCTGGAACAGGGCGGAATAAGGAGGTGATATCGCTTCTATCTCTAAAGTAAAGAAGCAGCGTCCACATAAGTCAGTATTTCGTTCGTTGTTCGTTAGATGGCGAGTCAAATAAGACCCTAAGGTTTTACCAACGAAATCCATATATTCTATAACAACTTAACTTTTAACAACAAATTATAAGATAACCAAAACCCAAGGAGAGTCTTCTACCCTCCTTAACGAAAATAACATCTTTTCTTACAGCATTATTATAATAATTTGAAGAACGATTGGCAATACTGTAGTATTGCCAACTGTTCTACCAAAATGCACAGTCGCCACAAACGCACAAAAGTGACGTTAAAATGGTTTTATTTGAATTTTAATTAAGCTTAGTGGTCTATTCTTTGAAGTTAATCAATGCAATTTTACTAAAAACGGGAAAAGTTTGTTGTGCACCGGGATTAAAACAGGTTCTACTTCAATGCGCCATCTATACAGACTTTTAACAAATACTGACTTTTTTGGCCGCCTTCAACGACGGAGTTGAATCACCTCCTTCTTCCACCCTGACCTGGAAACTGAAATGTGGGGTTCCATGAGAAGGGGCTTTATGTTTATTGACAACACATTAAATTCTTTTTTATACAGGGTGAGTTTTAAGTTGACGCGTTCCTTTTAACAGTGTGTAGAAATCAGCTAGACAAATAAATATTTTAAGTAACTTTTTTATCAAAACTCAAAAATAAAAAAGTTATAGCCCATCAAAGTTTAATTAAATTTTAAGCCGGTCCTGGCTATTGTTAACGAAAAACATAACCATAAAAATATCAAAATAAACAATGCAAAATGTCATATTTGACAACAAACATAACCATTTAAATCAAATTTACATTTTGCAATAAAAAGTGTCATTATTTACTAAGTTGCAGCATATGCATTTTGACGACACTCTCCATAAATTAGTAACATTTCCCCTAATTCATTATTGCTATAATTATGAACCATTTTTAACAATAATTGAGGCACAAAAAAACTGACATTTTTCATTGCTAAATGTCATTTTGATTTAAATGGTTATGTTTGTTGTCATAGATGACATTTTGCATTGTTTATTTTGTTATTTTTCCATTTTATGGTTATATTTTTTGTTAACAATAGCCAGGACCAGCTCAAAATTTAATTAAACTTGAAAGGCCTATACTGCCCTACTATGGAGAAAGGCAGTAACTGCTAAACAAGAAATTTGTGGAAAATTAGCATAAACTACATTTTTATAAAAAGCAGTAGGTATTTAATTGATTTTTTTAACTTATGAGATATTTGACTGCATTTCTGTGTTGAATTCGGTTACAAAATGTCCATAGCTTTACCATAGCACAAGAAAACGCATTTTGCATTTTTTTGCAGTTACTGCCTTTCTCCATAGTAGGGCAGTATAACTCTCTTATTTTTGAGTTTTGATAAAAAAGTTACTTAAAATATTTATTTGTTTATCTGATTTCTACACGCTGTTAAAAGGAACGCGTCAACTTAAAACTCACTCTGTATATTTAATTCCTAATATTAAAACTCATTTTTACTAAAAAATTGCTATGAAAGATAATTATAAATATTTTGTAAAATAATCAATATCTTCAAACAAATCTCATTTTTTAACTATATAACTGATTTTAAGAATAAAATCGCTTTAAAACAGATTTGTAGGACAATAAAATTAAAATTAAAAAATTATTGTAAAAAAATAATTATTCATACCTACTTATGTTATAAAATTGCTAATTTATTCTCACAAAAATGCATTTTTTAAATATACAACTTTATGAATAGAATCGCGTTTAAAACGCTTTTTACGATAAAATTTAAATTATAAAAATTATCGTAAAAAATATATTACAAAATTAATATTTATTACGAAAAAAACGAGTGTTAGGCTTTAAAACTAATTTTTGCAATAAAACTTATTACTTTGAAAAATAATTATATTTTGTAAATGTGCAAAATTATTCCCACAAAAACGCATTTTTGGACTGCAAAAGTGATTTTATGAATAAAATCGCGTTATAAACGCTTTTTGCGATGATAAAAACAAATTTTTACGATACAATTGTAATTAAAAAACTTGGGTAAAATGTATCAACTTCTGATATCAAAAAATTTGTTGCTGGGCACCTTAATAGAAGCCTATCTACATATGAGCTCTTACTATACTATTATTGCAATTTTCACATTACTATATGAACAAAATTTTATCTTACCAAAAAATTAATTTATAGGTATTCTCCAATTGACAATAAAAAAGTCTTTATTGCTTTAACCAATTGATATTTTGATGGGAAATTGAATGCAGAATTGTTCATAAGTTATTAAAGAAAAACTTTTGGTGTTTTTTCAAGTTGGCGGGGCATAGCGTCGCGGGAGTTGTTCGGATCAATCCGAAAACAAGAATTATTACTATTTAATTTATGCTTATTTGATGAAAAAAATAAAATTTCAACTGGCATTAAAGTATTGGGTTCCCTATATAAAAGTTTACCATTTTCCTGGCCCATGAATAATTCATTGATAAATTTGTTGTAATGTAATGATTAATATGACAGTAAATATTTTAAATGGCTCTTATCCAGGAGGGTACTGAATTATTTTTTTTTAATAAATATTTTAAAATATAATTTCAGAAAAAATGTGAAAATAGTTCAAAGTTTATTTTAATTATTTAATAAGAACACAACTTTATAAAGATGTTTCAAAAATTGACAAGTAAAATTCATATTTTTTACGGTAGATGAAAAAGGTGTAAATAAGTTGAACTTTAGTTGCGGTTTTATTTGAAACGCTTATAGTTATCAAACAAACCAAGAAAACCTTTTTTGTAGATCACACATGTGTCTACTAGTTTTAAAATCCTAAATATTCTGTAAGTTATACAAAAAAAATTAAAATATTTTTTTTTAAAACTTTGACCTAAGATACCTTTAGAAAGGATAGGTTTACAAAAAAGCATAAAAATGTCTATTGGGCTTAGCATATAAATTTTATAGAGTAATGTAAAAATGGAAAATGACTCTTAATAGCTCACGCGTAGATATGCTTCTATTATAAAATTAATATTTTTCTCAAAATACTAATTTTTAGACTATTAAGCTAAATTTTTCAATGAAACTTAAATTAATATAAAATAGTGGATATTTTGTAACAAAAATGCATTTTCGAGTTTATCTTGAAATATTTTTGTATTTTTAGCGGATTTTTACACGACGACGGCTATATGGTGGAATGCGACCGTTGCAAAGTGTGGCAACACGTGCAATGCGTCGTGAAAAACAAACAGGTACCCGACGAATATTTGTGCGAGGTCTGCGACCCGACGAAGCCAATCGAAAAACAAAAAGCTCGAATGATTCAGCAGCAGTGGCTCAGAGATCGACAGCTGCTCGCCGAATCCAACAAGTTGAAGAAGGACATTAAAATGAAGGAGACGTTGAAGCAACGCGAAGTGATCAGCGACTCGGACTCTTCCGACGCCGAACACCCGCCGCACCACAACAACAACGTGGTGGCGAAGCGGCGGCGGCGCAAGAGCGAAAGCTCGAAGCAACAGACGGCGACGAGCAGGAGGGACGCCGCCAAGGAGGCGGCCGTGGCGAGGCGGCAGAAGCAGCGCCGCGAACGCAAGACCGTGAAGCGCAAGGCGGCGGCGAAACCCAACGCCAAGCAGAACGCGCAGCAGTTGGCGCACAGCGACGACGAAGGCGGCGGCAACGCGGAGAATTTCGCCAATCAGCTGCCTCAGCTGAGGCAGTGGATCGAAAAGTACGAGGAGGCCGTGACGAATCACTACTCGCCCGAGTTGAGGGCGCGCATTTCGAACATCAGGGTGAACGGCGCCCACTCGGATCAGATTTCGATGCAGTTCGACTGCGCCGTTCAAAAGTGCCGCGTGCACACGCAGCCGCTAACCGAGCTGAAATACCTGGTGAGTATTTTTGATTTTTGTTTGTTTTTTTTTCAGGATTTTTTTCAAAATTTCAAAATTTAGTCAATAAACGACATTTAGTAAACGTAAATACAGCCCTGCGCTATGCACGCGCCACCACCACCGAATTGACCAATAAGGACCGCGCTTATTTTGATTTGGTCTTAAAAAAATTAAACACCTAAAAAAGACTAAGAAGTACATTGATATTGTTTCTTATGTGGAAACAACCAAATATGTAATAAGAAATCAATTTTTTTAATCTCGGTCAATATTAAAAAATGTAATATATTCTAAATTTCACTTATTATTAACTACGGTTTCGCGAAAGGATCGAACGGTCGATTTGCAAGGGTTCAAGAAATCGATTGAAACTTTTTTACCATATTTCTACATGTAAATGCAGTACTTTTTTCAAAAAAAAAATCTCCTCCATTGACAACTTTGTTTTTATATTTATTTTTTTCTTCATTGTGTTAAAAATGAAGAAATTTTATTTTTTTTAAATAACTTTTTTATTTCATAACGTATCGATTTGAAATTTGGACAAAATGTAGATCTTACTAATGACAATTCTTCCATTTAAAAATTTTGTTTAGATTGTAACGTACAGGGGGCGCTGGTGAAAATTTAATTTAAAATTTAACAATTTTTAAAGGGTAAATAATCGAAGAAGCAACATTGTTTTATAAATTTGAGTATAACACGTTAGAGTATTGATATTTGACTATTATTTGATATATTAACTTTTTTATGCAAATGATGTTTCTGTGGCCAGGATCAGTTTTTAATTAGCAGTAGCAGTATTCATAAATGTTTAGTTTGGTACATTTTGTAATTTTTATACTAATATTGTAGTATCTTTTATTAATAATTAAGTATAGCATAACACATAAATGACATTTAATATACAGGGTGTTTCACGTAAGTGGTCCGTTAGAAGTTTGTGGGGAATCGCAAAAGTCATCTATTTAAAATTTTAATTGCGTAAATTATTCGATTTAGACTTTAGTGTGCCACTAATATACGTAATTATATTATATACAGGGTGTTCCACATTCATGGTCCATTATAAGTTTCTAGGGAACGGGAAAAAATATCTATTTTAAATTTTAAAAGAGTTTATAATCCATTTAAGTCTATTTTTCTAAATTATTTTGAACAAAATAGTACTTCCTGTTTTACCGGAAATGTCTTTAACTTTGTTATTGTAAACAGTAAACCTCATAAACTTTTACATTTTTTATTTCTACATAAAATTCTGAATAAAATGGCTATACGATATCCTATGTATACCTAAAGTCAATATTTCTCGAGTTACTAATTTTTCAATCAAATATTTTAATTAATTTTAAACAATGGATTTGGTGGTAACCATGAATACTATCACATTAACCCACATGTATAATTTCACAGGTTTGTTGATACAAAATAGTATTAAAAATATTAGAAATTGTTAAATGTCTCTGAAATTTGAACTTTGGGAAACAGTTATTATAATACCAATCGAAAGATTTTTTATTTTTTTTTAAACATACAGGGTTTTACATAATAAAAACCTTATTATTGTTTGAACTTTGCCTAATTTCAAGTGTTTTTTCTTAAGCTATTTGTTGAAAAACCTTTAAAACAATGTTTTAATATTCCAAAAATTCCAACCCAATGTCAGCAAACATAATAACAAAAAAATTAGATGCTATTTTTGATTAACGTGCATTTAGCAAAATTTTAACGAAAAAAAAATAATTATATCTTGAAAACTATTAATAATTGTATAGTCTATATCAAATTGTATAATAATTGCAAAATAACCAATTACAAAAAAGCAAAAACCAACTTATTGAAAAATATACATATATCTAAATAGCCAATTGCAACATAAAAATAAAAGACTTAATTCTAGTTTATTTATTGGGTAAATATTACTTTCATCAGTTTCAGTTTCAAAAAAATAAATTGAAGCTTGATTGTGCAGCAAAAAATTAAATTAAAGTAGCTATAAGTAGGTTATTGTGTCTAACTTGCTGACACTGTCAAATTATATTTCATGCTACAATTGTAGGTTACCATAGAGAAAAGTCTATGATGCATACTATGATCAAAATTAGTAAACTTGAAAAAATTAAAAATTTATAAATAAAAGTAATTTTAGCTCCATCTATGGCGACTTTTTAAAATAAATATGTAAGAATTGTATGTTATGTATAATATATTATATGTAATATATAATTTATAATATGTAATATACAATACATAATCTTATAAAACTAGATAAAAGAATATATACTTTGTAAAACACGTTAGTATTATACCCTTTGAAGGCCTAACTTAAAAATGGTGTATCTCGTAGAAACATAATTTGCATATAAAAGTTTATATATCAAATAATAGTTAATTATCAGTACTTTAACGTGATATACTCAAAATTATAAAACAACGTTGCTTCTTCGACTTTTTAACCCTTAAAAAATGGTAAAATTTTAAATTAAATTCTCCCCAGCGCCCCCTGTATGGTAAAATCTAAAAAAAATTATACGTGGATTTATTGCCACTAATAAGGTCTACATTTTATCTTAATTTCAAATCTATACGTTTTTAAATAAAAATGTTATTACAAAATATTGAAATTTATCTATTTTTAACACAGTAGAGTGACTTAAGGCCTAAAACCCACGGCGGTCAATGGATAAAAAAATTTTTTTGAAAAAAATGCACCATTTAGATGTAGAAACAAGGTTAAAAAAATATATTCAATTCTGGCATCACTTGCAAACAAATGTCCAAAATTTTTTCGATTTTTACGCGAAACCATAGTTAATATACAAAAGTTATTTCGGATTAAAATTCATCGAAAATTTGCGAGGATTGATTATTTTGCCTGTAAGTGTATTAAAAAAATTCTCCATTTTTTAAGATTGATGTTACTTATTGACATAATATGCTTTACACAGGAGTCCAGAACGGGTCAAAAGTTAAAAAAAAAAAATGACAACAAAAACCAACAGTAGGGTATTGTTAGAGACAACTCCCGCATTAATAAACACCTTTTACAGAAATCCTAGGTATATTAACCTTTTTCTGACTTTTTCATATTTTTGTGATTTTTCGTATGATTTTTAATAATTTGCGTTTTTTTAAATGATACAAATTAAAACTACAGCACCACTTCACTACTTTTTAGTTTTTAATGCGTTACTATTTTTTTTAATATTGTAATTATGACAAATTTTAAGATACCTATTAGGATAATTTAAAAAGAAAATCTTTTTAGTTTTATTCTTTTTTACTATTTTTAATATCCGGTTTCATTTTGTCTATACTTAATTTTTATCCAAAATTACAGAAATAATTTATAAAAATATTTATTAAACATCTTAAAGTCCTAAACCAACTGTATTAATTTAAATATTTTTAAGAAAAATTCAACAACAGCTTTTTGTAAATTTTTGATCAAATTCCAATCACTGCTACTGACTTTATATTTATTCCAATACTTAATAAATTCACGATAAACGGACTCCCCGCTGGTTCAGACCAGGTTGTTAAGGAGTGTACATAATGAAGGCATTCTTCAAAATGGTTAATTAACACGTAAATTTTAAGAAACTTTTGTAGCTAAAAACATTTTTTTGAATTCTTCTATATCAGTTTTTAAAGGTCAGGTGTTAAAAGTACATGGATTGGTACTTTATATATTGGACAAAAAGTATCTTTAACTTAGTTACTTTGGAAAAGTATCTTGCAACTTGTAACTAAGTAACTAAGATACATTCAAGTAACTAAGATACTTTTAAGTGTAACTTAGATACTTTCTTAGAGAAAATTGGGGGAATTCCAGATTGATTCAAAGTTAATTACCCAACCTACAACTTGTTGAATTTTTATAATTTTATAGTTTTTATTCAAACTTAAAAGTAACTTAGTTACTCAAAAGTATCTTAGTTACTTAAAAGTATCTTAGTTACTCAAAAGTATCTTAGATACTTTCAGATAGTATCTTAGATACTTTTTAAAGTATCTTGTAACTAAAGATACTTTTAACTCATAGTATCTAGTTACCATAGGTAACCAAGTTATTTTGTTTAAAGTAACTAAATACTTTTCAGAAGTAACTTTCCCAGCTCTGGATGGTTTTTAGCATCTTGCCATGGTTAGTTTTTGTTGTCATTTTTTTCTTTCGTATTTATTGTAGCAGATTTGAAAAAAAAACGAAAAAAACAGTTTTTGTTTCGAGTTTTCTCTTCGTGTTTTTTTTCACATCTGAAAAAAACCGTTCTTTTCATCTCCAGGTGAGTACGGTGCGTTTGCCGCCCAACACGCCCGTGGTGGAGCTGCGCGGCAAGTACATGCTGTCGACGCAGCACCGGAACGCCGGCTCGCTGACGACGCGGCAGCACTCGCAACGACCCGGCCCCTTCCTCTTCTTCTACCGGCTGCGCAAGGACAACACGGAGGTGTGCGTGGACACGCGCACCTACGGCAACAGCGCGCGCTTCGTGCGGCGCTCGTGCAGGCCGAACGCCGAGCTGCGCCACTGCATCGAGAAGGGCGTGCTGCACCTGTACATCGTCTCGATAACCGACGTTGAGAAGAACGGCGAGCTGACGATCAAGCACGAGTCGCACGACCTGGCGGTCGTGGGCACGACGCGGATCGCGTGCGCCTGCAACTCGCCGCCCGACGAGTGCGCCGTCAACAAGACCTCGATCAAGAAGAACGGGGAGTCCGATCTGATGCTCAGGAAGCGACGAGGCAGGAGGACCGCGTCCGCGTGCGTACTGCAGGAGCCGGAACCGCAACCTCCAAAGGTACAAATTATAATAATAATAACAATTGAGGAGCATCCGTGCAAAACCGCCTATATCCATTTTAATAAAATGTTGGGAAAATGGCAAAAACTCTCGGTTTCCTGGCCTTTACAGATAAAAGAAAAAGCATACTTGAGTTTTGTGGGCTTTGTGGTATAAACAAAATAAATTTAGTGCAAACATGAAAGAACAGAACAAATTTTAGTAGTAGTATCGACATATCCAAGCCACATGCTCATCATCATTATTATTTATTGGATATAGCCGGGTTTGCTATAAAAACGTGGATTTGACCGGTTTTGCTCCTAAAGCTACCTTTTAAATGTGATTTTAACATGGATATAGTAAGATTTAAACAGAATTATCTTAGTTGTCGATAGAAATGAACCCAAAGATGCGAAATCAGAAAAAAAAACAAAAACTGAATAAAATGGATTTAGCCGGTTTTGCACGGATGCTCCTCAATTAGGGTTTTATAGTGTCGGAAAAAACGGGAAACTGTTTTTTTGTTTTTTTCCCAGGTATTGGAAAAATTAGCTTTTTTGTGAAAATATACACATTTGAAAAAAAGTAGCAATCAACAAATTAGCACTATTTTAATTAAAAAAATATCCTTTATTACAAAAAAAAATAAAACTTAATATTGAATTAAATTAAATTGATTTAAGAAAATAAACGTAAACGTTAAATATACCAAGGCTGAAATACTCGTTTGAAAATTATTTCGATTATTCGAATATTCGTGTTTTCGTATATTCAAATATTGAGTACATATTGAAATATTAAAATAATTCCCAACGACCGCTGCGGCAGCAGTCGACGCACCTTAATGAAATTAAAAGAGAAAATAATACAAAAAATAATAATATTCGAATTATTCGTAACCGATTCCCGACCTTAAAATATACTGTCGGTAGGATCTTTCTGCAAAAAGGAGTCTATTTAAAATATTCAATTACAAAATAATGAATGATTTATAATAAAGTTAAATTACAAAATTATAATTTTTTAAATTGAAGTGTCAAATAAAACGAAAATTATGTTAATACAGCAACAAATATGTGTTTTTGCAGCCTGGTAGAATATTCTTACTGAATTAAAATAGAAGGAATAATTATTATGATCAAAATCAGTCTCATCTGTAAAAAATTGACTTTTGCATTTTGAATAAAATGAAAAAAATGCATTTTTCTGAATATTTCCAAATTATTTCGTTTTTTCCGGAAAAGACGATTTTTTTCCGCCGGTTCAATTTTTTCGGAAATTTTAAAACCCTAATAATAATGTATGAGGAGAGCAGACTTGCAAAATGCATTTTTTCCAACATTTTGATCCTATTTAAATTTTAAGTCTCCGGCGGAAAATAACGGAAAAATTGAAATATTTTCAGAAGAATTAACTTTTTCATTTTTTAAATTTTATTCAAAGGGTAATACGAAAAAATGCAAAAGTCAATTTTTCTGAAAATTTCCAAATTTTTACAGATAATATCCGTACACTAATATCGAAAAAAAAAGTGAATTTCCGACACTGATCATAATCATAATATTATAATAATTATTCCTTTAATTTTAATTTAGTAAGAATATTTTTTCGGGCCGAAAAAAAAATATATTTTGTGCTCGGCGAAACGCACGAATTACAAAAAAATTTAAAAAAATTGTAGATGTTTTGGCATCAAAATTTTCAAAAATATTCTTCCTTTATTAGGTTATACATTAAATAAAAAAACGCAAGAAATATTTTATTAAATAGATAATTTTAATAATTGAAGGATGAGGACAGGACAAAAAAGATTTGTCTTATTCCATCCACACCTGTCAATTATTAAAATTATTTCTACTTTTATAAAATATTTATTGGGTTTTTTTATTTTAATAAAAGAAAAATACATACATGACAATTTTGATGCCAAAATAACCTACAATTTTTTTTATAAAAACAGTTTTGTATGCATGAAATGGCCGTGCTGTATTAACATAACTTTTATTTAACACTTTGATTTATAAAATTATAATTTCGTAATTTTACTTTATAAATCATTCATAAATCAATTTAATTTTAATCAATGTTTAGGTTTTTTTTTTTTGTAATAAAGGATTTTTTTTAAATTAAAATAATGTTAAGTTGTTGATTGCTACTTTTTTGTAAATGTGTATATTTTCCAACAAAAAAATTAAATTTTTCCCAAAAAAGCCAATTTTTCCAAGGCCTGGGAAAAAAACTGAAAAGAATTAAAACAGATTAGACTCAAAACTAAACGCATTTTGCGATTCTGCTCCTCATAAAATTTGTTTTTTGTAATTTTTGCCTTTTTTGTTCAAGGTCAAAGATGAACCTCTTCCGGAACCTTTATCTTCCCCGGAACCGATCAAGCAGGAAGCGATTCCAGTAAAAGAGGAGGTGAAGGTTGAAGTAAAAGAAGAAAAGCCGGTCGTCGTGAAAGAAGAAGCGTTGGAAATCAAAGAGGAACCGCTGTCGATAAAGCCGGCGAAAAAGGAGATCGTCGTCAAAGAAGATCCCGAACCGTCGCCGGAAAAGAAGCAACCCGACGAAGAAGCGAAGGAAAAGGTGGAAGAAGAGGAGGAGGAGCAGCAGGAGGAGGAGGAGGAAGACGAAGCGATCGGCAAGAGTCCTCCGCACACGCCGATCATGACCAGGAGGTCCTCCCAGTACAAGTCAGCCGACGACAAGGAGGACAGTCGGGACGGACACGAGTCGGCGGCCGGCGCGGCGGCGCCTCCGTCGTCCGGGAGCGGCGGCAAGTCCAAGTGCAAAAAGTTGAGCCGCGAAGAGCGCAAACTCGAAGCGATCCTGCGAGCCATCGAGCAAATGGAGAAGGCGGAGCAGCGGAAGCAGGAGCACGAGGCCAAGGCGCAGCACAGAAGGGAGTCGGAACCGGGACCCAATCCCAAGGAGGAGGAGAAGGTCGAGCCCAGGATGAAGAGAAGAAGGTAAGAGCGAATTCTTTATAAAACATGTTTTTTTCTGAATCTCGACGTTTTTGTTGATTTTTCGGTTAATTTTTACTGAAAAATTTGCTATTTTAAAAAACTGTTCTGAACAGTTTTTTTGACAATATAGTTTTAATTTCTTCATTTAATTTTGATACATTTTAATTACATAGTTAAGATGTTTCTTTATTCTTTTGCCACCTCCTTTCTTCTATGATGTTTGCTGCCACTGCACATACAGGTATTTGCACGATCTGGGCGGCCAAAATTATTTGTATGCTTAAATGGTATCTTAACCATGCCAATAGATGAATTAACTTGTTTTTAATAAAAAAAAATACTAATTTACTATACTTTTACTAAACGGCACAATGAAGTATTAAGAAAAATATGCTTAGTCAGATTCTTAGAATAATTGTAATTGTAATATGTGTATACACTTATAATTATTACACTTTACATTTTCCTACACAAACAACACAGTACAATTAACCCAACGTAATAAGCATACAGCATTTTTGTAATTATCTTAGTTAATTTCGTCATCGCTATCTGATGAATTATAGCTCGTGTATGGATCTTCAGATATGAACATTGATATTGCTTCTGGCAAGAACGAACACGTGTTAGCTTTTCTTTTCTATATTGTTCTCATGCTTCTCAACATAGGATCTGAACTAAGTAAAAGGCGATTGAATTTGTCCCTATTGCAGTTTTCTCGAAAAAATGTTCTTGCAAAGTTTTGTCGATAACTCCTAAAATAGTTAATACGAGCTTCAGCTGCCTCCTCTGAAAGCTGACCAATAGATAACAATGCTTTTTCAATATATTACTGCCCCATGAACTAAAATCTTGTGCAATGGTGGAGTCATAGGATGCCATGGGTACATCTGTACAGCTGTAGGTTAACATATACGTTAACGTACCTTCACATGAGAATAGTTGATCCTTTAGACAGTTTAGTTTAGGATCAATATAAGACACTTCCGCGCTCTCCATGCCATCAAACAAGTGTTTTCGAGTTACTATCCTTACTTCGGAAACACCTGGTACACCAAACACAAACATCCCAGACCGCAAAATCACATTCCCTGCACATGTCAGGAATATTCCAATCGTCCAAGAATATTCCCAGGAATATTCCTGGCATAATCAAATGTCCGCTTTTTGGTTAACCCAGGCATCATAAAAAGAATATTCCATATATCTGCCTGCAGAAGACTCAAGGATTGTTAGGGGAATATTCCTTAATATAATTTGGGGATTATTCCCAGCCCTTATTGCCTCTTATACCCAGGAACTTAACTTAAGTATAGCCATTATTGAGTTACTGAGTAGATCAGTCCCACTCTAATCATTGTTTGGCTGTGCCATCACAGACGCACATCTCCAACTAATATTATTAACCTATCGGTATATATAGTTATCAAGCGTGCGTAAGCAACGGTGAGAGGTATTGCAACTAAACTAATGAATATTCACTGGGAATGTTCTTAGATAATGCTTGGAAGTTTTAGAGGATCATTCTAGGAATATATTCCTAGAATGAAGCGGATTATTCCTAGGCAATAGGGAATATTCCTGGAATATTTTCGAACCTTCATTGCAAATGGCAAAAATAAAAAAAAATAATATTATTTATAATAAAAATAATATTATTTATTTTTTCGATTTTTTTGTCCAAAATCTTTGAAGTATCAAAAAAACAAGTTATCCGGAATTTTCCGGGCAATCTTTTGGTGTTATTTATTAAAAGAAAGGGTAAATATTACATAAAAATTAAAACCATAGCTTGATCTAGCTTGATATCATAACAAATACGTTCGTGAAAGAAAAAAAATAATTAAAACTAGACTAAGAAAAAGAGTTCACTTTCAATAATTAAAAATTTCTATTTAAAATAAGTTATTTATATTTATTATATGATAATTTGTAAGTTTATTACCTGGTGTATTAGGATCCATCAATTTTAACTTGTTAGATTAACTTGCGGTGCAAATATTCACATAAAAAACAGGTTGTCTTATAGGCACGCTAAAAATTGATTGTACTCTATAGATTAGACATTTAAATTCAGACTAATCATACGTACGTGGGGTGCGCGGGAAAAGGGAGTAAGCGGTTGGATACGGTTCTCAGAAGCGTCGTCCAACGCAGGTTGTCTGTTTTAACGATGTCATTCAAACTTTGATAACAGGCATTTTGGCCGCCCAGATCTTAGAAATACCTGTATGTGCACTGGTTATATAACCATATAAGGTGTACATAAAAAATTAAATAAAAAAAACACAATTTTCTTCCACTTGTACCAAGTTAAGTCTTAAAATGAAATTTCTGTGCAACTACAATAAGTAAAAATCATGGCGGTGTCTTGTCAAAGAAAAAAAATAGGCGTTGTTAAAAGTCAAAAAATATAATTTTAAAATGATTTTATTTTAAACACAATTTGGCGTGGAATTTTCTTACCGAATACTTGCTCATGAATATTTTTAGAAAATTATTCCTCTTTGACTTATAATATAATAATTTTCCAAATATTCATGAGCTCAAAAAAATTTCCTGTTATAATTTAACCTCTTGAGGTATTACTAGATTATTACTAAATTTATACAATGAATAACTCCTATTGATGAACACTGACATTTTTAAAAGTCGGTGTAGTGCATTGAGAGGGTGTCAGTTTTACAAAATTTTCTTGAATGAATGCCATAAATGCTCTACAGGGTGCACCCTTTACATGGTGCACCAAGTATACTTCTAGTAGAAGACCAACAAGGTTAGTTAAATTTGATTTATTACAAGCCTATTCAAAAAAATTTATAAATTAAAAAAAATATTTGAAACAAAATAAAAAACCTTTTAAAACCAAAAATCTTCGCAACTTCCTTATTCCTGGGAATTTTGAAAAAAGTAAGTTTTACATCTAAACATACACATTTATCTAAATATTCATCGAATTTCTTCTTTACTATATTTTAAGTTACCATCACCTTCTTTTGTTTTTATAATGGCGGCCAGAGGAAAAACTAAGTTGGTGGTGGTAACTCATAATCTAGAATTTTGATAAATTTATATGTTTTAGGATTGATTATTTATTTGATTTTTTTTTTTATTAAAACAAGAAAGCATTATTTACTTAAAATAATCAATATAAAGTATAAATTACTCTAAACTTCTCTTGGAACAAGCAAATTAGTTTATATTTGAAAGAATATAATATTATAAATTATATATTATATTATAAATTTATTAACTCTACAATAAATTTCAAATTTTTTATAAATCAAGTATAAAACTCTATAGAACTATTATATACAACAAAACAAATAACATTTTCTCTATAAAAATATTATTATTAATATCATTATTATTTAGTATTTAATCACTTTAACAAAAACACTAGTTTTTCTGACTTTTCTGTTCCCACTTTGTTTTGTATTTTGGTGTGCACAAGATTAAAGGAAAAAAAATCGTTCGACTCCTGTCGAAGATAGTATGGCAGTATGCAAGTATGCAGTTGCTTAATAATATTAAATTTTTTAGAAAAACAACTTTATTATTATACCACCAATTGATTACATCTGTTTTTTACAACACCTCGTCAGAAATAAGCGGCCCATTAAATCGTGCCGCTCTGACATTCACTTTTATCATGGTTTTCATTAAATTAAAATTTTTGGGCTCAACATAACATATTATATGCCAATAAATGAGTTGGTGTCATATCTTTTTCATTGAACTGAGCCTAAAACATCGCTCTCACCGTTTACATATTATAAGATCTTTCCATATGAAGTCTGACAAAAAAATATTATGCAACTAGAGCAACAATTCTTCAGCCATTTTTTATTAAATTAAGGAGTTTGGAAGGGACAAATGACTTTAATTTTAAAGTTTTACAAAAAGTATTTTTACCATGTGGTAGTAATAAACCATTTACATTCCAGTGGTAAATAAATAGTCAGTCTACATTGTAAAACAATTTAGTATTACTTCCTTTGAGTTGATTTTCAAAACAAAACAATAAATCTTTGTTTACTATCAACCACCAGTAAAACAACCCTTAATGCACATGTTACTTGAAGTTGAACGTTTTTTTTTAATTAAAAATTGTAATTTTAAGATGGTAAAGGATGTTAGAATTGACAATTTGTGTCTATAAAAATAATGTTAAAATTGTTTAACACCATTTCCCCAGTTTTTATAGACCCTTATTAAAAAAAAAACGGAACAATTATCCAATATTTTTGTTGTTCTTTGAAGTATGTATTTTTATTTTATGAACAAAGGGGGGTTTTTGAGCATTTTTTATTCGTTTTCAGAAGGAAGGGTCGCGCAAGAACGACAAGCACAAACGCGAGCACGCGCCGTAACCGTTTAAACTCTACGGACTCTTACATGACGTCCGGAGACGAAACGATGTTGTCTCCTACGGACAACGCGTGCCCCAGCAGCAGCAGCAGCAACAGGCCGACGACGAAAGTCGATCACAACGACAAAGCCGTGGGTCTGTTGCTCGCGCTATCCAACAACGCCGACAAAAACTCTATGGACAAATCGCCGATGCGCGACGTCGACTCCAACTCCAACTCCGCCCATTCGTCCCCCGAGACGCCCCTATCGTCCGCCTGCCTCCTGGTGCAGGCCGCCGTCGAGCCGCTCGAACCGGGCTTCAAGTTTCCCAAAACCAAAAAGGGCATGATGAACGAGTGGCTCAACAAGGAGACGGTCGGCAACGATTACGATCACGGCGCTGCCCCTTCGGCCGCCAGTTTTTATTCGCCGGCGAAAAATTTGGCCGCCCTGGCGCAGGCCGCCACCTACTGCGACGTCAACGAGGCGCCCAGGGGCAGCGCCAAGAAGCGCTGGCTGAGGCAGGCGATCAGCGAGGACAGATCCTGCGACAGTCCGCAAAGTCGACCTGGTAAGTTTTATTCTTTTTATCTTTAAATAAATTGCAGGGTTTTATTGCAGTTTTGCAAATTTTTGAAAAAGTAATATTCGTCATTGTTTCTATCATTATTTTTAGTATTTTTTCAAAGATGTGTGGATTTTTTTAAATAACATATTTTATTGCCACTTATTTGTCCAGGACTTTTTAATATAAAAGTGTTTTTACAGTCCACACAACAAGACCTGTTCTTTCTCGTTTCGCGCATGCTAAAAATTAGGCAACCCACTGCACTAGGGTCGACAAAAAATTGGGGGAAAACCGTTTTTTCTCCAGGCCTGGAAAAATATACACATTTAAAAGAAAGTAAAACTCAATATCTTAACATTATTTTAAATTAAAAAACAAACATCTTTTATTACAGAAAAAAACCTAAATTGAATTAAATTGATTTAGGAAAATAAAAGTAAACGTTGTCAGTTGGGTCTTTTTTTCAAAATTACAAAATATCGAATTAAAGTTTAATTACAAAACTATAATAAAATAAAAGGAATAATTATTATAATCATAATATATGATCATCGTCAGAAATTTCTCGATGTAAGTGTAAATTGGAAATTTTCAGAAAATAAAATAAAATTAAAAAAATACAAAAGTCGATTTTTATAAAAATTTCCCATTTTTTTCCGAAAAAAAAAACCGGTTTTTTTTGTCGGCTCAATTTTTCCGGAAATGTTAAAACCCTACACTGCACAGACTTTAACGGCGGCCATTTTTATGTTAACAATTTTTGTGCTTTGAGTTTGTGCTGTTTATACAGATTAATAACGTTGTTTCTTACAGAGGCACTTGTAAGACTTAAAAGAGGCCTTAAAGTGCCAAGGGCAACCATTTTACTCCTCTTTTGTAAAAAATAAACCTTATTCTTTTAGGGCTGTCAACAAACTATCAAATGTCAATTTTAAGGTTAATTTAAATTGTGGCATAGTTAATTTGTGGGTTATGATAAATTAACCTTAAAATTGATATTTTGACAACAGCCCTAATGGAATAAGGTTTATTTTTTACAAAAGATGAGTAAAATGGTTGTCCTTAGCATTTTAAGGCTTACAAGTGCCTCTGTAAGAAACACAACGTTTAAAACGATTATTATAATCTGTGGGTTATAAAATAACCTTAAATTAACCTTCAAATTGACATTTGACAGCCCTGATACAAAAGACGAGTAAAATGATTGTTCTTACCACTTTGAGGTCTCTTTTAATGCTTGCAAGTCTCTCTGTAAGAAACACAACGGTTAAAACGATTATTAATCTGTACAAACCCAAAGCACAAGAATTGTAAACAACAAAAATGGCCGCCATTGAATGATGTGCAGTGAGAAATAACGTAACCTAATTTAATTGAACTTTAAAAAGTAATTTAATTTAATTTACTTGCGTTCATACAAAAAGTAAAGTAATTTAATTTTACAGAAAAAGTGTTCAAATTAAAAACAATATTTTAAAGGCGCTGCTTACCTTGGCAGTTACAGTCGAAATATGTTCGTATTATTAAAACTGTTCCACAAAATAGGTTAGATTCTCCCAAAATAGGTTAGATTAGTGCGAAATAACCTTGAAATAGAGTAATTTAATCTAAAAGGTAAAAGTTGGCCAACTCACAATCCACACAACAAGGTATGTTCTATTTCGTACTAAAAATACAAAAAATCACTGCAACACTGCACAGTTTAACGGCGGCCATTTTTGTTGTTTACAATTTTTGTGCTTTGGGTTTGTGCTCTGTTTATACAGATTAATAATCGTTTTCAACGTTGTGTTTCTCATAGTAAGCCTTAAAAGAGGCCTTAAAGTGCTAAGAACAACCATTTTACTCCTCTATTATAAGAAATAAACTTTATTCTGTCATAAAACTGTCAAATGTCAATTTTAAGGTTAAATTATAACCCACAAATTAACCTTTAAATTGTCATTTGACAGCCCTGATAGAATAAGGTATATTTATTATAAAAGAGGAGTAAAATGGTTGTCCTTAGCACTTAAATGCCTTTTTTTGAGGCTTACAAGTGCCTTTGTAAGAAACCCAACGTTTAAAACAATTATTAAACAGCACAAACCCAAAGCACAAGAATTGTAAACAACAAAAATGGCCGCCGTTAAACTCTGTACAGTGTTGCAGTGATTTTTAGTATTTTTAGCATGAGATAGAACAGACCTTGTTGTGTGGATTGTGGGTCAACTATTAAATTAAATTAAGTCTTAAATTACATCACTGTATGAACGTTACAAAGGATACTTGTGTTTTTAACTTTTAAAGTTAAATTAAGTACCTATTTTCAAAACGAAAAAGCGGCGTTGCCCAAGTGAAACATTTTAGTGTCAAGCAAATAGAACCCTGTAATTCTAACCTTTGTTTAGTTAGTATCATTGTTTGTCAGTAAATCAAAATGTCATTGAAAAGCTTTCGGTTGTCATTTTGATTGAAAGCAGGTAAAAAATGCGAGATGTAAGTTTGTTGGATTTTGTTGCAGATTCGCCGCCGCTGAGCGAGATGGTCGCGCCGCCGAAAAAGCGGCGGCTGCCGCGCGAGTCGCTCTCGAACGAGGCGTCGCCGCCATCGACGCCGACGTCGACGGTACCGCCGCCTATTGTTACTGTAAGTAGTTGTTACAATTTAAGATCTTAAAACATACAGATTTTGTGGATTCAAATTTGAGTTAAAGAATTTAAAGAGAATTTCGCTGTTATTGTAAACATAAATTTTGCTTTAATAGATTTCTGACAATATCTTGTGCATTTTTAATTTCGAATACCTTCATTTCATTTCCCATGTTTTTGTTCTTTGTTTATTTATGATGGCACACCGTTTTAGCATTTATTAGATGATAGTTTGAAGATTAAAGTTTAGTTAGTTAGCACTTTAATGATGTTTTAACAGAAATTTACAAATTACTCAAATTAATTTTATAGTTAAAAAAAAATTTAAATATAAAATGCAACTATAAAAAAAAATATTGATTTTTAAAAATTGTTTTAATATTTTATTCTGCAAAATTATTGGTTTAAATTTGTAAAGAGTAATTTAAATAATGGTCAATACATTTTTAATTCAAAAATTTTCACTTTAAAATTTAAAACTAACATTTAAATATAATGTGAGAATTTTTGTCAAAAATTACCACTTTACAGCAAAATAATCAAAAGGGGTAATTTTTACCGATTTTGAAGCGCTGTATCTTCGTTACTGTTCGTTTGATTTGTACAACATTTTCAGGGTATACTAACAAAAATACGGTCTTTAACAGCATATTTTGTATTTACTTAAAAAAAAAGTTATTTTTCGAACGTTTTTATTATTATTAATTAAAAGGGCTTTAAAAATATTTTCTCGAAAAACCCTCATGTAACATGTAAACCATAAACTATAGATATAAGTTGAAGTATTTTTATACAAAATTTCATAAAGATTGGTAAAGGCGTTTTAGTTGGAGTTAGAATTTTTTGACGCGCAGTGTAGTTTTTGTTTTGTTAAATAACACATCTGATTTTTTGCCAAGGTGGGGTAAGGTTTTGCGGAAATACGCTTTTGTAGAAATTTTGTAAAAATATTAAAACAAAAATTTTTTAAAATCAATATTTTTAAACTTTTAGTTGCATTTTATATTTAAAATATTTTTTTGTTTTAAGTTTAAAAATCTTTTATTTTTGACAAAATGTTTTATATGTTTTTATTTTAACCCTGGATTGCTACACTTATTTTCCAAACTTAATCTGCTACATGGGGTACAGTTGTACCCCAAATAAAAAATTAGATAATATCTTATTTTTTATTTGAGGTACAACTGTATTATATATGGCTTTAAAAAATACATGTTTACATAACACAAAAACAATATTAAGTATGGTTTTAAATATTTAGTTTCTTTACAAAAATATTTTATTTTATTACTCGGCACAAGTTGGGCATATTTTCTTTTGGGGCCATTTCTAGCGTGTCCTTGAAAAATAAATTTCTTAAAAACAACAAAATTTATGAAACTATAATAATAATTTTAATAATTTTGCAGAAATGTATACTTACATGCAAAAACAAGTTTTATTTATTTATTATTTTATGCTACACTGGGGTACACCTGTACATCTTATATCAAATATCTCTAAAATGAAAAATACACCGCAAGTTACCAATATCACACATGAACTGCCATAACATAGGATGAAACTACTCAGGAGGCCACTACCGCAGCTCCATCTATTTCCGATTTGCGGGATTTTTAAATAAGGCTGGGGTACAACTGTACCCCAAGTAGCATTCCAGGGTTAAATGTCTCAATACTATTTTTAAATACCAAATAATTTAACTTTACCAATTTGGATAACGCTTATCGAAAAGGAACCAAGCGCCAAAATTTTTTTCTGTTCTAAACAGTAAAATTATTTGTAAAATAACGCATATTTAATAATGCTCAAAAGGTTAATTATCATTTGAAACTTTTCTTAAAGGATTGAGAAGGTTTCCAAATCATTATTAATTTTTTGAGCAGCATTAAAAATGAGTTATTTTGCAAATAATTTTGTTTACCCCAAAAAGTATTTTGATAAACGATATCCATTTAATCTAAATAATTTTATAAAATATTTACTTGACAAATTATTTTTTTTAAAATGATTTTTGCAAAACAGCCATTCCACGCTACTCGGGAATTTTTGTAGCGTCCGTTACAATAAAAAATTGTGAGTAAAACTACCGTAATTATTATGCTTATAGGTTTAAGCCCAATTATTACAAGCATAATAAACATGTGTGCAATATTAACTATTGTAACAGTATTTAATTTAATTACGGTAGCTTTTACAATTTTTTATTGTAAGGGATGCTACAAAAATTCCCGAGTAGCGTGGAATGTCTGAAAAATTGATTGAAAAAAATATTGTTTAATACAGAAGTGAACTGTTAGTTGGTAAATTTCAATACAACCTAAAATTTTTAAAACAATAAAAATTTAACATAAAAAAAGTATTTAATAAATGTTAAAACGGCGTGCCATAGTTATTAGTTGTAGTGTGGGGGGCGTTTAAGTTTACAAGTGACTGCTTTCGATGGTAATTTCCGTGTTTTTTAATAAGTAATTGTAAATAGTAGTCGATGATTTTGATGTAGAAAGAAGTAAATAAGGTAGGCTTGCATTTAAATTCCTTGTAAAAAATCGAAAATTACGTGACGCAAAACCTTGTAAGCAAGACCCCCTCAGACCGGCAAAATTGTGTGAATTCCAGAAACTAGACACAAACAACCAACAACAACCACCACCACCAGCAGCGACGAACAACAACTCGACTAGGCACGAGGGCTGCGTGGAGATCGTGTACAGCGCCGCGCACGAGGGCGACTCGCCCACGCACCAGACCCTCGAGTGCGACGCGGTGCTGAAGGAGCGCGCCGCGCAGATGAAGCAGGAGTACGCGGCGCCCAGCCTGGCGCTGGAGGCGGTCGCGCCGCCCCCGCCGCCGCCGATCGGCAGCTGCCTGCTCGATCCGCGGCTGGCGCGCGACCACCATCCGATGTTCTCGAACAGCGACCACCTGGTGGGCGCCGTCGAGAAGACGCTCAGCATACTGGGGTTTCAGGAGAGGCGGCCCGAGGCCATCACGCCCGCTAAAAGAAAGGTAAGGCGTGCATAGTTTTTTTCCTCTTCTAGATTCTAGATGCATCATTCATCCACCGCTATTTATATATACATTTATATGGGGTTCAAGCACTTGTAAGCTAATTTTGTGCTATAGGTTATTTTAAGGTACCGTAAACACGCGGGTGATTTTAACCCTTTTATGAAACATCTTTTCGCGCTCGATAAAATTAACATTTATAATTTGTTGGTCTAAGGGCCGGTTTATCAATCTCTAGATAAGTTTCAGTTAGTCTATCTGACAGTTAAATTTCATATCGATCGTTGTGAGAACAATGGTATCCATGGAAATTATCTACCAGATAACCAACTGCAACTTTAACTGGACATTGATAAACCGGCCCTAAACCTGTCAATTGAGCGATTCTATTGAGTTTATATTACAGGAAAATCAGTGTTTTAAAGAAAGAAATGGGATTTATTACACTTCAAAATTGTATAATTTGCATCAGTGCAAAACTCTTAAAAATAAAATAAAATAAAAATACACAATTTCTATATTATGCGCAATCCTTTGGAATGATGATCCTTGGTTAACTACAGGTCGATTTTTTATTTTTTTATCGGTAATCCCTTGCAATTGCTATATGTGGATGCTAACATATGTCTAATAAAAATAAAATAAAATATTGAGTTAATTTTATACGGAAAATACACTGTGAGACAAAGTAACCCGCAACCAGGGGGTAACTTTGCACACCCAGTTTTTTAATTTTTATTTTTGAAACTCAGCCCTATGTAAGATTATAACATAGTTATTATGAAAGAGCAACTCAAGACTCAAATTTTGGTATACAATATTTAATGTTTATGATTGTTAAAACTACAAAAATGTTAAGATTAAGTTTGAAAGTGAGCTAAAGCCACCCGTGTTTACGGTAGTAGTAGTTTCTAAAGACAAAAATCGAAAAAAATCTTTTTATAAATATATGTTGGCAAATGACTCTTATGGGAGCTACAGGTGCCCCTGAAGATGTTTTTTTATTATTTCCGAAACTGTTTGAGATAAAGTAATGAATTTTTTTGGATGCTTACTTAACTTTTTATTCTAAATTTAAAAGTAACAGCAAAATTTAATTTTTTTTATTTATGAGTATTTTTTGTGTGCGTTTTTTTTTAAATTAACAGTTTTCTACGTAAAAATGTACTCCTGTTGAAAATCCATAAAAATCTAAATAACATTTAAAAAAAAATGTTTTTTTTTTATTTTTTAATTTAATATATTTGACAAGATATATTAATAAAAAAACATCTTCAGAGGGGCTGTAGGTTTCTTTCTATTTTTGGCCCTAAAATCCGCTTGCAGAGTATTGCACACTATTTTTGAGACATCCTGTATAGATATTTACTAAATATTATTTGGTAATAAAAAGCCAAAATATTACTAATTAATTAGATATTAAGTAATTGACAGCCAATTATTACTTATAACTGGGATTACTGAAAATGTTACAAATAACTCAATGAGCAAATTTTTGAAAAACGTCGGATCTGATGTTTAACAGGAACAATAACAGAACAGGAGCGAGACAAAAACGGTACAGGGTTGGGATTGGGACTGATGGTCAATGTCTCACAATATATTTACTATTTTTAATTACTAAATATTCAAATACTTGGCATTTATTTTTTGTAAATACTTAATTTTTAAATAGTTAAAAATAATATTTTCTCTAGTAACTAACTATTTTAAAATTAACATTAATTGTTTTTGCAATTACCAATTATTTAAATAATTAGCAATAGGTTTGGTTATAATTATTAAATAGTTTAGTAATTAATAATCATTCTGTAATATATTACTAGATATTATCTAAGTAATAAGTAATATGTTAAAGGCCCACTACTTAGTACTCCACTAAAAAATAATATTTTTAGGATAAGTAGAAAATTTGTGTAATAAGTAATTTTGTCTGAAAATTTAATTATGGTCATAAAAATATTAAGTGTCATTAAAATTAATATTAAAATAATCACTAATATCTCTAGCAAAGAAATTGTTTTTACCGTTCTGTGGTTTTCTTTATTAAAAGTTAAATAATTTCAGGAAGAAAATAAGTTATACATAGGTTCATACTTCACATCATTGCGTTAGACCCGGCGTTATTCCTAGTTTCTAGTTGTTTGTTTGTTAATAACTCAACTGAATACTAATTGTTGACGAAAACCGTATTTTGGAATGTTCTTTCTTCTTTTTGTTAACGTGTAGACTTCTTCTGCAGCTGTCGATAACCGAGTACCGGCAACGGAAGAAGGTGAACACGAACGACGGCAGGAGCGGCGAGGGGGGCGGCGACAGCCGGTCGGGCTCTCCGCCGTCGCTGCACGAGGGCGGCGCAGCCGGCGGCGGCTACGACGAAGGGGCGTCGCACTCGGAAAGGCACGAGCCGGAGCCGGCCAGCAACGAGGAGAACAACTCGTCGGAGTCGTTTCGCGCGGCGGCGGCGGCCCGACCGCGATCGGGTAGCACGTCGAGCAGCACGTCGCTCACGTCGTCGGACGACGAGGCGCACCACGCGCCCCCGCCCACCGACCCGCTAACACCAGCGAAAGGTAAGAAAACATTTTTATTTCTCGAATTACCTAAAATATTTACATGTCCCAAAAATTTACTGAAGAGTACAGGATCTTCTATATAGTGTTTCAAACAATATCGATTTTTACAAAAAGATTGTTTAAAAACAACTTTAGGAATTTTAGAACTATACATATTTGAAAAATGTTCTGGAAAAGTACAGGAACCTTTTATATTTTATTTTAAAAAATATTGAAAACGTTTTCTTTCTCAAATAACCTAAAAACGCTCTTAAACTTCTTAACACATGCCTCTTTGAAAAATGTACTGAAAAAGTACATTGTATTTCAAACAATATCAATTTTTATAAAAAAGATTGTTTAAAAACAACTTTAGGAATTTTAGAACTATACATATTTGAAAAATGTTCTGGAAAAGTACAGGAACCTTTTATATTTTATTTTAAAAAATATTGAAAACGTTTTCTTTCTCAAATAACCTAAAAACGCTCTTAAACTTCTTAACACATGCCTCTTTGAAAAATGTACTGAAAAAGTACATTTTATTTCAAACAATATCAATTTTTATAAAAAAGATTGTTTAAAAACAACTTTAGGAATTTTAGAACTATACATATTTGAAAAATGTTCTGGAAAAGTACAGGAATCTTTTATATTTTATTTTAAAAAATATTGAAAACGTTTTCTTTCTCAAATAACCTAAAAACGCTCTTAAACTTCTTAACACATGCCTCTTTGAAAAATGTACTGAAAAAGTACATTGTATTTCAAACAATATCAATTTTTATAAAAAAGATTGTTTAAAAACAACTTTAGGAATTTTAGAACTATACATATTTGAAAAATGTTCTGGAAAAGTACAGGAATCTTTTATATTTTATTTTTAAAAATATTGAAAACGGTTTCTTTCTCAAATAACCTAAAAACGCTCTTAAACTTCTTAACACATGCCTCTTTAAAAAATGTACTGAAAAAGTACATTGTATTTCAAACAATATAAATTTTTATAAAAAAGATTGTTTAAAAACAACTTTAGGAATTTTAGAACTATACATATTTGAAAAATGTTCTGGTAAAGTACAGGAATCTTTTATATTTTATTTTAAAAAATATTGAAAACGTTTTCTTTCTCAAATAACCTAAAAACGCTCTTAAACTTCTTAACACATGCCTCTTTGAAAAATATACTGAAAAAGTACATTGTATTTCAAACAATATCAATTTTTATAAAAAAAATTACCTAAAACATGCTGTTAAACTTCTCACCTCAGGAATTTTACATTTTCAAAAAATGTTCAGGAAAAGTACAGGAATCTTTTATATTTTTTTATTTCAAAAAATATTGATTTTATAAAAAATTGCAATAAAACGTTTTTTTTTTCTCAAATAACTTAAAAATGCTGTTAAAGTTATTCAAACGGAAATATTACATATTCAAAAAATGTTCTGTACAAGTACAGTTATGTATATCCTATTTTGTATTTCAAAAATATATATTTTTGTAAAAAAATATAAGTAACAATGTTTTTTAATAAATTACCTAAAAAACGCTCTTAAACTTCTTAACACGGGACGAAAAATGTACTGAAAAAGTACAAGAAACTTCTATATTGTATTTCAAAAAATATCGACTTTTATAAAAAAAATTGTACAAGAACAACTTTTTTTCGTCAAATTACTTAAAAATGCTGTTAAACTTCTCGCCTCAGGAATTTTATATATTCGAAAAATGTTCTAGAAAAGTACAGGAATATTTATATTTAATTTCAAAAAATATTGATTTTATAAAAAATTGAAAGAATACGACGTTTTTTCTCAAATAACATAAAAATGCTGTTAAACTTCTTAACACGGAAATTTCACATATTCGAACAATGTTCTGGAAAAGTACAGGAGTCTTTTATATTGTATTTTAGAAAATATCTATTTTATAAAAATTTATATGTTGGTATATAATATTTTAGAATTCGTATTAAAACTTAAATAAATAAACATTTCTGGCAAATAGAACGAATTCATCATCTTAATAACAGGGTGCCAAAAACAGAATTTAGAATTTTAATAGTTATTTACGATATAAGTGGGATAAGAGCTTTATTAACGTACGCATGCGAAATTTGCCCATAGAGTGCGTAGCACGAGTTGGGCAATCGCAAAAGTACGTTAATAAAGCGTTATCACACGTATATTGTACAAATTTTTATCTACGCCTCTAAATGAAAAAATATTTTTGTCTAAGACTTAATTTAGGGTTATTTTGACATTTTGACTTTTTTATTTGATTGGTTAAAAACAGAGAAAAACGCGTGCGTTAATGAACTTCTTATCTCACTCAAAATGAGTGGGATAAGAAGTTCTTATCTCACTGGCGAAGATAAAATCATATTTAGACATGCTGAAACTATAAGTATAAAAAAATCTTTAAAAACTAATAAAGAAATTTAAGAAACACATTTTTTATAAAATCTCATTTTAGAGGGTTTCAAATATTTAAAAATGTAAAAAAACCTGAAAACTTTCAGAATATTTGAAAAAGCGTTTTTTGAAATATATCCATTAAAACATTTTTTTAATTGTGAGCATTGTCAGCATTTCAAATGTTTAAAAATGTCAAAAACCTGAAAATATCAAAATTGTAATATTATAAAAACAATTTAGAATGTAAAAAATACAGCTTTAAATTCTACTTGCCATTAATATAGTTTTTATTTTTATATGTTGATTGTTTTAAATTTTAAAATATTCCATTATCTCTTAAAAATTCTTTAAAAATATCAGAAATAAAAAATCCTTAGATTTATCGATTTTTTTTAAGGAGAATTGCAAAACTTATATATAATATCCATTAAAAACATTTTTTTGTTGGCAGCGTTGTCAGCATTCAATTCGGAACCCACAGAACTAGAAAGACAACGCGAAGCGTCCAGTTTAAGATTGAAGAAAGCGTTTGGATTAGCACTGGACGACGAACATCGAAAACCAGGTAAGACATTATAAATATGTTTAACAAGTTTATTCAAAAGGAAGAACTAAAAATCCTATAAGAATAAAACAAGGTGAAATTTCTAACCAGATTATCGCTAAGTTGCACTTTATGGAAAATCAGGAAAAAGTCAGTGAATAAGAAATTAGACTTGGATTTTACGTATTGTTGGCTTTACAGAACACCTCAAGTAAAGAAACAATTTATAAAATAATGAATCAATGTATATTTAAAAAAGCTCACGTCGAATTCTTAAAGGAAATTTAATGTTCTACAAAAAAGGTCTCTTAACATTTTTGCCTAAATTTAATTCTTCAAAAGTTATTCACGAAGAAGTATAAACCAGCCACAACTAAGAATAAGAAAATCTTTTTTTCTAAACATGTTGGTTGATACTGAAAAAGTGTGTTCTGACATAATCACGACAACTAGTGGAAAAGGACCGAAAACAAAAACAAAACTCGAACAAAACTTAGTTTGCTTTCAAGCTGGAAACAAGATTTTCGGGTTTGTTTTAGTTTTGTTTTTGATTTGCAAGTTTTTAAAAACACAAACAAAACCCAAACTCAACTGTTCGTTTTAAACTTTAGTGGAAAACCGGCATAATGACTCACTAGTAAAGAGTACCTACCAACTAAATTGGGTAATCATTTATCAAAAGTATTATTTTTCCACTCTTGTACTATGCTTCACACATCATAGTCCCACCACATGACTGATAGAAATAATTAAGGTAAATTTTCTGTCTCAATCTAATTTTGTCCTATTTTCAGAAAATAATGCAATATATGTATTTTTGTTTATAAAGGTTTCGTTTTAGAACACAAAAAATACATATGGGGAATTCCACGACGAATCGACCACTTGATGTTTTTAGCTTTCTTCATCCCACTACTTCTCAGAATTTTTTTCAGTCAACCAAAAGAAGATATTGGGTTTTCTTAAATACCTCTTTTTTAAAATACATATAACTTTATAAAAAATTGACGAAATGGGACGTTTTAATTTTTCGCCATTATCATTTTTTTTCACAAAAAAACGATTAATTCTGCGAATTATGCTGCTAAATCCACATTGGGCCGACTTTTCTCTCTACTTTTTTTTATTACAAATTTATTTTTTCATTCACTCGTATTTATAATTTAATTGCAACTTATAATAAATAACTATTTTTTGGCGTTTAAATAATTTACATATTTTATACTCATTTAAATTTGAAAAAATTAGGACGAAAAGTCAATCATCTGTGTAATCCTTTTCATTAATTATTGGGTTAGATTTTAAATTAAGTGTAAATATTATAGGTTAAGTAAATGTACTTAAATTGTTCTAAAAACTGAAAAATTGTATGAAACTTGCCAACTTTTTTTTTATTTTTTTCTAAAAAATACATTCAAAATCAAAATATAAAAAAAACGTAACATTTAGTCAATTTAAAAAAAAGTTATGGATATTTTGGTCGAGTAAAAAAATCTGAAAATATTCTGAGAAAAACTTTAGTGGAGAAAGAAAAATATAACAAAAATTCAGCCAAATCGAAAGGGCGTGGAATGAATTTTCGTTTTTTGAAAAAAATATTTACTTATTCGTCTACATTAATGTTGTCGCCTTCAAAATAGTCTCCATTAGATATTATGCACATGTGCCAGCTCTTCTTTCAATACTCGAAACACTTCTAAAACTCGATCTTTGGGATAGCCTTTAGTTCTTTCAGCGATGCGCTTTTAATGTCATCTATGCTTGCAAAACGACGGCCCTTTAAGGTTCTCTTTATTTTTGGGAATAGGAAAAAGTCCGACAGAGGCATGTCTGGCGAATATGGAGGCTGGGGCATCATTACAGTATTGTTTTTGAGCAAACATTTTTTTCAAAATTTAACAATTTTGGAACAAATTTTTCTGCCACGCGTTTCATACCCAAAACATTCGAAAAAATTTCATGAGATGAGCCAATCGATATACCAACATCATTAGCGACTTCTCTGATGGTTTATAACCATTTCTTACACTTTTTCCATGTTTTTATCGATTGTTAATGTGCTTGGGCGTTCGGGGCGTTCGTCATCTTCAACGTCTTCACGGCCATCTTGGAAACTCTTATACCACTTGTAAACTCTTGTTTTACTTATAGCAGACTCACTATAGGCCTTTGTTAACATTTCACAGAATTTATTTAATTTTTTAAGCAAAATTGGATACAAATTTCTTTGATCCATTTCTTTTAACGAACGAAAATCGCCGAGCTCATAAAACACGTCTAAACTTATCGGCTGCCACAGACAAAGTAAACGATGAAAACAGCTAAAATTTTTATCATATTTCGGGGGCATGTATACCAACATAATAAAGAACATTTTATAACAACCGGACCCTCCGAACCCGCGAAATTTTCTGAACACACCTCGTATTGTAATATTTTTAGAAAATAAGACAAAATTTATTATTACTTAATTATTTCTATCATAGTCCCGTGGTGGAAGTTTGATGTGTGGAACATAGTACAAAGTGACTTGTATCAATAGTATCGATACCTGTTTTTTCTATGACGATACTTTATGATACGATCCGAATCGTTATATCGTATCGATACTTTTGGTGGGTTCCAAAACTGATTGTGACCGTTGCGACTTTCAGTAACTCTGGACGTGGAGTCGATCCTGAACTGCGAGCTTCCGCAAATCAAGGCGGTAAAGCCGCCGCCCAGTCCCACCTTTCCCATACCGGGCAGCTGCGAGGTGACGCGCGACGTGCCGTCCCCCGTCGCGCCGCCGCCGCCGGAACAAGACGCGCCGCTCGACCTCGCGCCGCACCCGCCGACCTCGACGATTCTCGCCGTCGATCGGCAGATCTTCGCGGAGGAGGCGGTGAGAAATGACGTTTATGTGCCCGTGGAGAAGGAGGAGGAGGAGGGGGTCGTTTGTGCGATGGAGGAGGACGAGGAGGAGATCAAGCCCAATTTGTTTTACACTCCCGACGAGGAGGAGGCGATGCAGGACGTGGTGAAACCGGTTTCGCTTACCACCACCGTCTACGATCCTTCCGGTAGCTATGTGCCGGCTTTCAACAATCCGGCCTATTCCAACAACATACTCCAAATTTCGTCAATTGGTGAGTTTTTTTATTAATTTTATTTATTTCAGTTATAGCAGAATTATCCGGCTAAAGAATAATTGAGGGCCTTAGAATAAGTGGACAATTATTGCTAAACCAAAATTTAATATAAAATTAATCCACCTTAAAGTTTTTTACAAGATCATAATTTTTTTTTAGTAGAATATGCTTTTAAAAGTTATTAGAAATCAGTAAATTTAAGAAATCATATATTTATAAAAAATATTAAAAACATTTTCATAAATTCGTAAATTAACGAAAAATAATTGTTAAATTCAAGAAATTATCAATTTTTTTTCAAATATTAGTTATTTAAGTTGGAAGAACTTGGCAACTCTGTGTTTTTATTATCGGAAATATTTCCGATTGGGCAATTAATTTAATTTTACAGTTGACATGGTTAAAACTGTATTTTATGACAGTTTTTGTCGAATCAAATATCCTTATAATATAGTATTTCTTACGCATTTTAACCATTTTAATCCATTAACTGCGTAACTAAGATTTATGATTATTAAATCATGTTTGAAGAATCTTAAAATTTAATTCTTTATCAAACAATTTACTTAAACAGAAATCACTGCTTTAAATGCAAATATTTCAGAACCATTTAAAGTGCACTTTATTTAAGGCCCTCAATTGTCATTTCAAGTCAGGTTTTCAACAATTTTAAGTTTTGTCTTTTCTTTATCTATGGTAATTTTGACTCCCCTAAAAGTGGTATTTTAAAAAAAGGACAACAGTGACAACATAATAAAGGTTGGAGTGTAACACTTTTTCAAATAAATATTTTTGATTTGAGCTTTTCTTTTCAAATTATCGACCTTTTTTGTTTTTAGGTAAACCTTTGTTGTTTAAATTTTTGGTCAGTTTAATATGTACAATTTTTGTGTAAAACATTTTTATCAAAAAAATCAACCAACAAAAAGAAAGGGAGGTTTATATAAAAACAAAAGAATGTCAATAATTCAAAAACAAAAAAATCGACAATGCTTCCAGCGTTTAAAAAATATACAGGGTGTTCTGAACTATAGGGGGGTGTTAAATATAAAAAATTCTGATAAGTAGTTTTTGAGTTATTAAGCATTTAAACTCAACAAACTCGACAACGCTGTGTTTTTCTAAGCCGATTTATAAGACATTTAAAAAGGGTTGATATGAAAACAAAACAGATGTTTTTTCTTACATTTCTGTAAAAAAATGTATTACTTTGTTACTTTTTAGAATGTGTTCAGCCCATGACTAAAACGCCATAAAGTCACAGCTTGTAAATATAGGAGTAGATAAAATTGTTTACTATCCTATTATTTAAATAAATCGTCCCAAAATTTTATTTTTTAGGAATATTTTCACCTTTTGTACTATATTAAAAACATAATTTAGAATGTCAAAACCTCATTTTAGAAAATTTTAAGTTTTTAAAATCCTATTTAGAAATAACAGACACAAACATTTATTCTCCCAATTAATGTTAAAAAAAACATTTTAGAATTTTAAAATGGTCAAACCATTTAAATTGCTGGACTGAATATTTTAGCAAAAATACTTATATTTTAATAAAAATATTTATATAACTAAATAATATGTATGTAATTTAAAATCCAAAAATCGTGTTTATATTTTTAGCCACATGTTATTTAATAATATTTAAATTGTTATAAAAAAAGATTAATTATTTCAACCTCTTATCACTTAAAATTGGCATATAAACATTAAACGCAAAAAATTCACGTAACATTTAATCTTTATTACCTGAAATGAGGTAAAAATAATACACAATAATCGCAAAGTAGTTAAACAAAACTATTACAAAACGTTTCAAGTACTTTTCCAATTGTTCGACGATAATATTGTCTCGTGTTGTTTGGTGTGTTCTAGCCAGATAATAAATATTTACAGGCTGGCACTTTGACCTCGTTACCAGACCTTGAAATAAAAATATTATGCGAACTGTGTTTAAAACATTAAAAGCAAACATTGCTTATAAATTTTAGCATTGTTTCCAGGCGGTTTGTATTTTTAGAATAATTTTACACGTTTTAGTATTGATTTTTTAATGAAAATAGATATAAAGTGTATTATCGCCATGGAACTATGAGCGATACTATTAAAATGCAATCGAAAAAACAGGAAATATAATTTTGGGAGTGGGTGAATGATAATTATTGATAAACAAAATTTAAAATACATCTAAAATAAATATTAAAAAAAAAACAAAAATTGCACCAATGTCAAAAACTCTTCTTAAAAGAATGCAAATACAGTGAAAGCTCTAACGAGTCTCAACGAGTTCTGTTTTACATTAAATTTGGTATCAATGAACATGTTTTAGTGTTAGATTTAATAAAGGTCAAAATGTGAAAAACACAACTAAAAACATATTTATTTAAAAAAAACCTTTAATACATTTAAAGGATTTTATGGTGATAAGAACAATTTAGTAATGTAAAAACACATTTTATGTCTCTTTATAAACATTTATAATGTAAAATTCAACTTTTGAAAAAAAGTTGCTTTTTGATCTTTCTAAACGCGCCTAGTCCTATGTAAATCTTCGCCGACTTTTAAAACGCGTTTTGTCCTTGCTGCCAATAAAATCACCGGAAAAGTACCGGAAAATTGGGCTGTTTAAAGCGACTTTGACATCTTTAAATAAAATTAATGGAGTCTGCGAAGCAAAGCAAATTTTAATTAAATGGTCAATAAAGGGACTTTTTTTAATTGCACGTCATCAATGCGATATAATGACGTCAGCAATACCAACTTTAAATTGTAAAGTTACTGCCGTTTAATTTGCTTTTTTAAGGCGTAATCCTGATGTGTTATAAAAAAATATCAATCATTTGCATATTGTTTATCAAGAAATATAACAATTTCCCTGTTTTATAAAGTTCTTTACGAAATTATGCAAATAAAAACATTCACTTGGTAATTTTTGTGTGTGCCAGTTGCTAATAGCTTAAGGTTGGCGCGCACCGTTCAATATTGACGTTTTTTTGTAATTTTGACATTTCGTCCGTAAGCATCGTTTGTTACAGATTATTATAAATAATTTTATACATTGTGTTTATCATATTCTTCCACTGGATTGTGCAAACAATTGCAAAGATATTGCGCCCTTAATAATAAATTTGGGGAAATATTCAGACTTCAAGTCTGACCTGGTTCGCTCAGACGACAAAGACAACTGGTAATTTAGTATTTTTTGTTATGTACATATACAGACTGTATAGAATCAAGTAAGTAAGGCTGGAGACAAGGATGACAAATTATATTCTGATCATAGAAAAAGAAACAAACTTTAATTGGGCGTGGTTTAAACCAAGCCATTCGTAATTACGAACCATAGTTGCCAGGGTGTTTTAAATCAGAAGAGAACGATTATAATTATTTAATAAATAGTTCAATTTTATTTGTTTGAAACTTTAAAAATAACAAAAAAATTATTAATATGTCAAAAATAATTTGATTTAGTTAATTTTCTTACTTTTAATATTAAAAAATAAGAAAAACAACCCTTTTAGGAAACAATAATAGCATATGGCAACAGCGCGGCATGCAGCCAGATACAAGGGCATGCAGTTTGATCTACTGTTTGTTCAGTAGCTCCGACGCTGTCGTAGGGAAATGTGTATAGTTTTTAAGAAAAACATTTTCGCTATTAACTGGAATTTAATGGATTTTAAACAATAGTTTTTATTTGCAGAAATGTATTAAAACAAAACAAACGAATTCGATAAAAATAAAACCTATAAATTCTCAAACAAAAATAATTCTTAAATAACGAAAATAACTTTTTTTCTAAATTAAATGTTCAATCCCTACCACAGTGGGCAGGGTTTGGCACTTGTTTTATTTAAGTGTATCTATTCGTTTTAATACACACTGTATGTAATAAACTCCGTTTGTTTCCTCCCTAAACACATTTAATCAAAATTTGCCCGTAACAAGCTCCTAATTAGTTAGTGTAGAAGATTATAACAATGATTTTATAATTCCATCTTAATAAACAGCCCCCACTGCTATAAACACCCAAGCATAAATTTAAGTATTTGTTACGTATATGGGACTATTGAAAAAACTAAAGTGTTTTGCGGCAGTCGCCGGTCTCTTTATATTACTCTTTCATTACTAAGTTACCACTAAAGTGGGGAACAATTATTGAGTTCCAAAAAGGTAGCAAATATGTCACTAGGTATAAACCCAGCTACTATTTGGAACGTAGCTGCTACGTTACTAGAACGTTTCAATATCGTTGGTAGAGCGTTATAATTACTTTTATTTATTTGTTTTTACTTCTATATTAACTGTCTTTGTCAAACTTATATTAGATTATACTATCCCTCCTTTTTTAAATGGAACTACTACGGACTTGGCTTTTCAATGTCGTCGTTTATTAAACATGTACTGGTAGTTTATAATTTCCAGAATAACAATATAATGTTTAATTGGGCAGATACATTTATAAACCCTTTAAATTTTACTGTTGAACTTATGAATTTAGTTTTTGTAATATAAATGCGCTTCATCAATATTTAAGTATAAACAAATTAATTATTTAATATTGTTTATAAATAAAGCAATCTTAATATTTATTATTAATTTTTTATTTAATTATTAATAGCGTCTATTACCAACAAAATTACTATTTATTAAAAAGTAAACAACCATTTACAAACAATTAAAATAATTTATTATTTACATTACCACTTGGTACTGTACAGTAAAAAATGGCTGATAAGAAGCATTTTCCTTTGAAGTAGTTTTTTTCCACCTTAATTTACGGTAGTTTTGGTTAGTACCATAAACGTTCCAAATACTAAAATAATAACTTTTAAGTTATTAACTTTGTAGTTTTTAACTCATGTTCCAGTTTCGAGATTTTAACTTGCAAAGGGGCTACAAAGTAAAAATAATTATAATGTAATCTTTAGGTAGCAACTGAAAGTAACTGCTACAAATTAAATTTACTTGAAAGTTTTTTTTACCTATATCACCTTTTTTAAAGTTGCAAAGTCTTCTTGGGGGCAACCAAGTTTTACTTAAATGTTTATTACTTTATGTTAACTATTTAAGGAAAAAATGAAGTTTCTGTTACAAAATATTGCTATTTAAAAGTTGGAATTACTTTTAAGTAGCCGTTTAGTATACTTAACTAATTTAAAATTATCACCACTTTGGTAATGGTTTTTGGAACCAAAAATGCTGCTTGGGCAGTCAACAATACACGAGCGTTAGATTGTGTCTGGGCACGTATGAATAGACCTTAACGCTGTCGTCATATGCCGATTTGGCCGCGACAATACATGAAGTTTGTATTCTGGCAACACTGCATATTTTAATAGTTTTTACATATTTAGGGATGTCAAAGATATTTTAGAACAAAATAAATGGAGTTTAAAATGTCAAATCACATTTTTTTATAAAGAAAAGGTCATAACTATTTGTTGAAAGCCTGCTAGATACTTTAAAACATGATTTAAAATTTAAAAAAATGTAATATTTTTTTTAACTTTTACAGATGACGATGCGAGGTACGAGGGTCGTAATCCGTCACCTCCGCCCCACTTGGACACGGGTTGCGAATGAAATGCAAAATTAATATAATAGAGAGAGAGATAGAGAGAGAAAGGAAGAGCGAGCGGGAAGCTTTAATTAATTAATTAATTACATAAATTAAGAGAATATCTGATTTTTTCGTGCAATTTGATGATTTTAACCTATTTTTTTATTAGTATTACCTTCTAAGCACAGTGTACATAGTTGTTTTATTTTTGGAGATTTATTTTTTAATGTATAAAACACTTTTGAGATGTCTACAACAAGTTGAGCAGTTTATGTGAGTTATTTTTTCAAATTTGTATTATTCAGTTATGTAATTGCGAATTGAGTTGTTAATTTTGACTTACCTGTAGATATCGGAGGAAGAGAGAGAGAGACGTGTACACTATGTAAATAGATTTATTTTTATTAATAAGCTGAATTTAGAGAACATTGATTTTTTGATATTTCGATTTGCAACATTGACTGACGGATAAGGCAAAGGCTCCGAATTTATTAATGTAAATACTTGACTCTGTATTCAATTAGGGCGCCGCGTGTTGTGGGGCGCCCCCCAGCCGGACTTCTTTGGGTCAATGTTGCATGCGTATGTAATAAAAGTACAAAATTATTTAAGAGGTGATCTCGTGTTTTAATAAGAGTAGTGATTTTTATTATTTTTCGATTTTTCTAGACTAAGTGACACACCATACTTTTGGGTTTATTAGGTAAAACAAAGTTGAAAACTAAAACATTTGTAGCTGAAATTTTTCTCTGAAGTTTTTTTTGGGATTTTTACAGTTCATTTATTCTATTTTCTTCTTGCGTTTTACGTTAATTACAGTTAATTAGTTGTTGCTTTAATTATGTTTAGGCGACTTCTGCGTCATTTTGTTTATTAGTTTATATTTAGTTTGACATGCCCGGTGTTTACTTTTCTCTAATTTGTTCATTCTCACCCCGGTTGATTTTTTTACTCTCGCTTTCAAGTATTGTTTATATTTTACAAAATATATAGTTAATGTTGTGAGTAACTAACGTGAATGTTTTATTAATGAAATTTAAGTGCATAATCATTGATTGGCTCAAATTTTCAATTTAAAAAATCTTGTGTGCTACGTTTTAGTAGTTGATGACAGTTCGAATGGTAATTTGATGATTAGAGAAAAGGTTTTGCGAACAAGACAGTACATCACAATTCATTTCTCAAAAGCGGAAGTCGCTATGTATATATTGTATTTGTATATAATTATATTTATATATCAATTTGTAAATTTCGTACTACCAGATCCAGTGTTAGTTATGTTAATACTTATTCATTTATTTATTAAAAATGCAGCTTTCTTTGCAACCATGCTCCATAGTTGCAAACTGGGCTGTTGGATAAATTGAAAGTCTTTCAATTATTTATTTTATTATAAAAAATGTACAAAATTTCTAAAAAAAATTGTTGAAAAGTGGAAAAAATAAATTTCTTACAATCAGTATTAATAATTAAATAAGATGCGTAATAAAATAAATAATTTTTGAACTTTTTCTAAATTGTCAATGAAATGTCAACGATTTTTATTATTGAAAATTACTATTTTAATATAACTTGCTGTACATAACATTAATTGATGTTGGTGCGAAAAACCGTACAATTATTAAATAAATTCTTTAAAATTAACACGTTTTTTATTTTAAACCCATTCCTTACAACCTCTGACTAGAAAAATAGTTTATTTATGAAGATTCCCTGGACTTTGTTGATCAAGATATAAAATTATTATTTATTAAAATATTTTAAAAATTTTAGTTTTAATTACCTAGTCGTAAAACCTGATAATCGCTTTTAGAAATACTCAGGCCAATTCACTAACACGAGTCGTTAACTTTAGCCACTAGAATTAGTGGTTATCGGTCGATTCGAACAATCAGGCCGATTAAATATATTGATAACCACTAATTGTAGTGGCTAACGCCAAAGACTCATGTTGGTGAATTGACCTGATTATTATACGAGAGATATAAGGCTATTATTCACGAGGTTTGCGTCTCGAGTCGCCAGACGAGAGACTTGAATCATTCTAAAGTCTATTCAAATCCAAGCTGGACTAAATGTAAACACAATCCTTCAAATCGACCAATAAGAACTCACAATCCGAGTCACACCATCAGAATCAACCAATAAGAACGAGTTATCATGCGTCTGGGCGTTTTTGTTTAGTCCAGCTTGGATTTGAATACACTTTAGTGAAGAATGCGCATTATCTCGAGTGTAAAACTAAACTCCAATAAGTAGATAAATAAATGATTTTTAAAAATAAATAAAATCTTACATCTGTCAAATGGTTACCCTCACTTTTAACCAATTTTAAATGTTATTATAGTCGCCTTCTCCCAATTTAAAACCCGATTGGTTCAAATCACAGTGAATAATGAAATCGGCGAATTACTGATGTCTAACAACGTGAATAATAAGTTCATTATTTACGTTGTTACGCAGAGAATTTATACAGAGAGTATATCCAAGTTTTTTTAACTTCATAGTATAAAGTTCATACTTGTATGTAACCTTAGACAAGGAAAGAGAGGTGATACGTAACGCCTAGGCGTAGTGAAGTGTGACCAATTTTTTAAATTTCTATAAAATAAATATAAAACCTCGTATAAAACATTTAATTATTTAAAACAAAAATAGTATTAAATATGCGACTGGCGACGCCATTATTTAGTGCAAATTTCGCACTTTTACAAAAGTCTCGTCAATGGCCTCCACTTTCTTCCCTACTCTAAGCTTAGAGCTAGCCTCTGAGGAGCTAGCTAACCAACTTTTTCTTTGGTTTATTGGCTTTTTGATTATACGTCAAATTTAATGACAGTAGTGCAAGTGTACCATCAAAAACTGTCTTTAAATGTTTTTAAATAGTAGTTCAAATTGATTAGTTATTTTATTTATATGTTTATTTTTAAATCCGAGAGTAGTATTAACCTTTTAGCGAGGTATTTTGTGATTTGTACAATACATTGAGTGGATGATTCACGATTTGGAAAATTCACGTGATCATGTGGATGGCTTCGTGAAGCGCATTCTTCTTGTTCTTTCTTGGTGGCAAAAAGCCTTAATGGTCCCGGTTTGACCAGAAACAAGTTTTAACGTCCATGCGCTTCACGAAGTCATCCACCCACAGACATGTGAATTTTCCAATCTTGAATCATCCACTAATTCTCGTGTACAATTCACAAAATACCTCGCTAAAAGGTCAAAGCTTGCGATATTGTCCAAAGATACATGACGTGGGTTGAGTATTATAATGTTCTAACAGCACTTTTGGCGCGAAATCGGCTTTTTTGATAGAAAAATAGTACATAAAATTTCTGTTCTATGTATATAAAAATGCCTGTTTAATTTAATACACAAACTAAAAAAAAAGCATTATTAAATTGTTCTATCGCACTTATTTAAAAACGGTTTAAAATTATAATATCCTAACAGACCAACCAATGAGAGAAGAGAATTTTGATCTGTTAGAACAATATAACCAATGAGAGAAGAGAATTTTGATCTGTTAGAACAATATAATTTTTGCTGTTTCAGTTTTGTATGCAAGTAATAATCACGTGGTTGTGCGGTGCAATTTAAAAAAAAGAATACGTAGGTATGTTCTTATTTAAGGGATACTTCTTAGAACCCTAAAGTTTTGGAATTCTTTAGAACTAAAAACTTTTAGTTTTAAAGAATTTTGTATGCTGTTAGAACAAAATCTGATGTTTTGTGTAAAATTTTCGTTTTCAATAAAAAAAAATGTTCTATCAAAAATTGTTTATTTTGTAAAACCCAGTATTAGAAGATATAAGTTCAAATAGGGACAATACATTTTTTAATTCTTAAGGATATGAGTCCAAAACCAGTACTTAAAATTATAAAAATCTTTACAAACGGTATTAGAATGAGCCTGGAATATTTAATCGCCATTCCCCAACAATTTCATTTTGGATTTATAGAACAATATAATACTCAACCCACGATGAATATTTCTATTCCCGGAATTCAATTTTGTCCGTCCTGGGTCAAAGTCAGTTATTTTTCACACTTTTTCATCGAGCGATACACACGAAAGACAAAATCGAACGTGAAGCGCATGAACCAAGGAAGAAGAAGAGAGCGCAGCAAAGAAGCAACCTAGATTACAAATCGATAATACTCATTGGCGGCTTTAAAAGTTGAATAAACCCTGCAATTTTGCAAATTCCAAAAAAATTTAAGAGACATTTTTTCTAGGAATTTCAAGAGAAATATACTTTTACCCTTTGGGTCTCCAATTTTCGGACACCCATATAATTAATATACAAGCATTGAGTCTTCAATCAAATATACAAGTATAGAGATCTTAATGTATACAGAGATAATATAAATGTTGATCTCTGATTAATATGAGAATAAACAAGGTAAGATCAAAACGTAAACATATTGTAACAAATTTTTAGGACTGAAAAAAACTATATTTTAAACATTTCAGAAATACATTTTACTTTTAATAATTAATTATTATTATTAATAATAACTTTTCAATATAATTTTACAAATTATATAAAAATCGCAAAGAAAACTACTTATATAGGTAATTTTGTGATATTTAAACCAGATGCAATAAAAAAACTTAAAGCATGGTTATCTTCTGGTATTTTGTCGACTATTCCACTCATTACTTTATGGACCAATCAGATTTCAGAAAACGAGTGTTTTTTTCAGTTTTGCAGCGATAAAATTAGGTTTTAAAAATCAATAAAGCTTATGTTTATTTTAAAGTTGACGTGTCGTTTTGTTGGGGATGATAGTTCAAGCCAAAATAAGCAAGTTTTTCCTCTTTAATTTTAGAATGAATGCTACAGTTTTTTAATAGAAATATCACGAACATAGTTGAAAATTTTCGGCAAGCCACTGGTTTCTTTAATAGATTACCTACCTACCTCAAAAATGAACAAGTATTTTAATAACAAAAAAACATGCTGTGATTTATAGTTTTATTCAATTTAAAGACAATTTGATTTTTATTAAAAAGACAAGAATTATATTCATTGCAATTAATTTTTCCGCAATAATTACTAAAAAACTCACCTTCGTGTTTTTGAAAGTGAAGTCGATTGTCCCTGTTTACTACCCGACAAAACAACAAAAGCAGACTGCGTCTCTTTCTGTTTTTGCTGCAACATACTGAGAGTCCCCAAAGGTGTGTCTGTGGAACTCATTTTCTTCATCAACCCCTCCTGAACGCTTTTCTTGATCCTCTTCTCGATCTTATTTTTACCCGGGCCTTTGCCGTGAAATTTATGAGACAAATATCGGAAAGCCTCTTTGGAGTTCAAAATGTGGCCGTCGTCGTCGATGTACTCCAACTTGACGTTGGGCTTGAACGTTTCCTTCTCCTTGAAGTCCGTGATGGGTCCGGAGTACCTCTCCCTCCTCCCGCCCCTCTCCCCCTCTTCGCCGTGCGTTTTATCCTCGATGGAGTAGTGCTGCGCCTGCAGATGCGCCAACCGCGAGTTTGAGGGCCGGTTGTTCATCTCTTTGTCCAAGTAGCCCTTGCTCATGGCCAACTTCAACGCGGCGCCCATTCCCGTGCTCACGTCCGGCTCCTCGTCCAGAATTTGGACCTCTTGAGGGGCGGAACGGGACGACATCATGTGCTGACCGGGATCGACCGAGTTCCAACCCGTCGGTTCGATTATTTGCACCTCGTCGTCGCTGTCGTCTTCTTTGACGTCGTCTTGGAACTCGTTTATGTCGATTTCTTCCGTTTCCTCGCGGTTGCCAGCTTTACCATACGTAGGAATGTCACCTGGAAGAAGATTAGGTATTGACAGTCTATCATCGCTATAAGATTATTTATAGAGATGGGAATCGGAAAGTTTCCATTTTAAGGAAACTTTCCGTTTTGGAAAGTTTCCAATTGGGAATTTATTTTCATTTTGAAAGTTTCTTTTAAGCTAGGTACCGGAAACATTCCTTGGAAACTTTCCTTGTTTTTTTCATTTAAATGTCAATTGTTTAACCGCTGATTTTCGTTAAGGCCATGATACAAGGCCAAGAAACTTTGAATAAGAATTTAATGTGTGTTAAATTAACACTGTTAATTTAAAGCAGAAGAAGAAGTATAAATAATGTAAGTTATGTTACATGTATAACCTCAATGAAGCAGGATTATTCAGCATCATCACAAAAAACTTTTTTAAAAAAAGGTAAACAAAATAAAAACAATAAACAAAGTTAAAATCATTCTTACATTTTTGTTGTTTATTTATAGGCATAGCACAATGCCAAGAAAAAAATCTAGTGTTTGGAATTATTTTTTACTTTTCAATATTCCTATATATTAGTTACTTTGTCCCTTTTAATTTTTTTTACGTAATATCTAGGATTTACTAGCAGTGAATTTCTAATAGTAAACATTTTATTTTTATTTTGTAGGTTTCAGTATACAATAGGAATATTCCAAATTAAAATATACTAAAAATAGTATTGCAGTTACATTCTTATAAACATTTTTTTTATTTTTTTTCTTAATAAAATTTGACAAAAAGTTAATGTGTTGTATATTTTTGCAAATCCCTGGCATAAAAAAAATATTTTCGCAATAAAAAAAATTTTTTTGAAACTTTCGGAAAATTTCGGGAATTTTTGATGAAAAGTTTCCGGGAATTTTCGTCAAATGGGAATTTTCCCATCTCTAATTATTTATTTACCTAATGTTCTGCAAAACTCCGCAGTGGCGTTCAAAATAATATTTCCGCTATCTTTGTCGTCAGGATCTTCCTTAATTTCTGTCTTTTTAATAATATCAGCTATAACATTTTCTTTCTGTTTGATTCTTCTCGCTTTATGGAGAGCCTTTTCCAGTATATCATCTTTATCGTCCTCTATCTTAATGTCACTAATTTCCGGTATTTCTACATCTAAAAGAAAATAATTTTATTATTGAAAACCTTGTGAAAGTTTGCTTTTTAGTGGTGGCAACACCAGATACAGGGGCAACACATACATTATTTAGATTATAAAACAAGTTATAAACGTCATTTAAGTTTAATTATGTACGAGCGTAGATCAAAGTTTATAAAACGAATTGTATACCAAACTTTATCTACGAAGAATTTAAAGACAATTTTATTTGACATTTCATCTGACAACTGTGAGTGGAAATACCTATAGGTATAATCAAAGATAATACATATAATATATAATATATAATATATATCTTTGGGTATAATCACCTAATAAATTGTCATCCTTTGGGGGCATGATAGTACACGCCAAAACAAGACAGTTTTTCCTTTATCATTTTTGCATAAATTTTTAATAAAAAAATTATGAAATTTGTTTGACAAAACCAGAAAGCCACTGGATGTCACTGACCTATCCTGTATATATCTGATATATGATATATTATCATTGTTTTTACCAAACTTTTAAACATATTTAAAATCAGTTAGTAAGTACTTTGTTATCATTGATTACTGACAGTTCGGTTGTTATTGTGGTTTCTCTGAGGGTACATAAACCATATGATAGCAAGAGCGAAACATCATAATTTTCTACGCCGCTGTCAATTTTGTGTGGATAATAAGGGCGGAATAGTTGAACATTTATTATGATTTGTGGAACACTTGAAAAAATAGTTATATGGGCATCAATTGACGTAAAAAGTGAAATTTAAAATCGACGAGAAATCCACGGAAACCTCGAGATACTTCACAATAAAAATTAAGTATTATTTTATTCAAAGTACCTAAAAATAGCCGAGTATGCAAAACAATAAACAATTTTCAACAAAGTAATCAATGATAACACAAATGTAAATTTTGAATGAATGTAGATTATCGCCCACTGTGCGTATTTTGCGTCAGTTGTCATAGGTCTGGAACAACCAGTGGCGGCCCAAAATTTGTTCTTTACTTATGAAAATTGGAATATTTTTATTTACAAAAAATGGCACTACTTAATGCAAAAATGATAGAGAAAAAACTTTCTTATTTTGGCGTGTACTATCATCCCCTTAAAGCAGGGGGGTGAAACTCATATAGGAATATGCGCAACAAGCGCCTCCCGAGCAACGTTGCCGTATTTTCTTTTTGTGGCTTAAGTCATCTTTTTTAATAATTATTTTAACTGTCAGTTTTGACTTCTGTCAACAATAGAAAGAATATTAATAACGGTAAAGATCTATTTATAAGCTTTTAAGTATTTTTTGAGTTTTTTTCATCTGTATTGCTTTCCCTTGAAGTTACAGTAAGTATATACAATAAATCAGTTGCTTTTATAATGTTTTTTTGAAGATTGACATACCTATTAAATAATTAATTTGTATGTAATTTATTACGATTATTTTTTTTGCAAAAACCAATACTACTTAATAATATTGGGACATTTGCTTTAATAGGGACTATTGTTGTTTGAAAGTAATTTCCAGCGTACTGATGTCCCTGGTGGAAGAAGTTATTGAAATTTTTACTTTTGTTAAAAAATGTAAAGCATTAATGGACATCAAAATTTTTTTAATACATGTATGTAATTTTAGGGCCAAAACCGATGCAGGAGGGAAGTTTTATACCTTCTTTCACTTCTGAACCCATTCAAATACATATGCAATGTTTGTATATTCTTTAATTTATTTTATTGTTAAAATTAGTGTATTATAACCATTTACTTTTTAAAATAAATAAATCTTTGCAACTATTTTATTTTATTGGTCAAATTTAAATAAATTAATATTATAATTATTAATATATACAAAATAGATAAAGCCGGCCCTGTAGTATAAAAGTTAATAAAATATTTGGAGTACGGCCCTAATTGGCAGGCGTTTATGACGTTTGTGTTTCTTAGATTTAACACAGTGGTCGCCCTTCTTATATTCTTTTTCTATGCCTTAAAGGGTGACAACTTATTTGGTGACTGCCAGTACCTATTCTTAAATATTAATAATATATAAATTTAGGATTTGAAAAAACAAATAAAGAGTGGCTTTTAGCCAAAAATATTATGTTATTTATTCTTGTTCCATCAAGTCCAGAGGTCCAAAGCATTTAGGAAGCTGACAATGTTATGTCACATTATTTTATGATCAATTTCTGTCCTTTCAAAGTTTAATCCATTCCCTTTACAGAATGTTCAAGGGGCGCTTTGATCATAATTTGTTAAAATGTTAAAAATAAATAGTGTTATTGTAATTTTTGTTTAGGACTGCTAAGCATTTTTAATCTCAATTTTTCCAATCTGACATCTGTCAACCTCAATTATTTCCAATTATAACTTAGAGCTAACTTCATCCCGCAGTTCGGTCTTGCGTCTCGTGTTGTACGGTAGCTCTATGAAAGAGTATTTGAAATATAAGTGATTTCTCGCCCCGGGAGACGCAAAATCGTACTCCGTGTAGAAACAGACTGGTATTAATGAAGAATTTGTAAAAATATTTGGAAATAACTAAGAGATAGATCGGATGATTGAAGATTAAATATAATTAGAAAATTCTGTGTATGAACTTCATACTATGAAGCCATGTGTACATAGTGAAGCAAAAAGATGGCATGATTCTATACAAATTAATAAATAATTTAAAATATATAAATAATTGAAGGGATGACTTAATCTCAGATTCTTTTAAATAAGACCATTGATTCTTTTAAATAAGACCATTGATCATAATAATTTTTTTTTTTAATATAATGTGGTGGCTTTTAAATTAAGCTAAAGGTCATTCCTCTGAACATAGAATTGTGATCAAAATTAAGAAAACAAAGAACTTCAGCATGTGCAATACTTAGCTTATAAGATACTATTACAAACTATGATTGCAAACTTTAATTGGTGCATTATAAACTATAATTTATAGTATATTATGTAACTAGTTTTACAAACGTCATTTAATTATGCACAGGCGGAGCTTGACGAGTGATAAATGAGTGATCCTAACCAGTTTATTAAACGAATTGCATAACATATGTATAATACATTGTATATACTTTATCTAAAGTCAATTTTATTTGAAATTTTATCTGACAACTGTTTTGGTTAGTGTTAATGTTTGGCGTTTACATACGCCAACTTAAGTATTAAAAATAATAAAAAACGTTTTTTCTAAATTTTACTTACTTGGAACATCATCTATATCAAAATCGGGGTCATTCTTGAATTTCGGTCTTCTAGAGCCAATTTTTTCGATGCCAGCGTTATTGGATTGTTCCAATTCTTCGGCAGTCAATAATTTTCCTTTTGTTCTTATTTTCCTGACTTTTTTTTTAGGTTTTTTAAACTTTGCCAACTCCTCTTCATTGTAATATTCCGTTGCTAAAACTAGATTTTTCTCGGCTATGGTTTCTAGTTTTTTTTTAGCTAATTTTTCCTTAACTGTTTGTGCTATGAACTGTTTTCTTTCTACTGAGTTATCGGAACCAATTTTAAAGCTGGATTTTTTTGCACCATCAATTTCCTCATCATATTGCGAAAGTAAGGTTTTTTCTTTGGGATTTCCGAATTCGTCGTACTCTTGGTCTTCATAAGCATTGTAAAGAATCTTTTTCTTCTTATTTTCAATGCTTTTTTTGTACCTTTCATCATCCAACATGTTAACATTGACAAGAACATCTTCATCATCCTCATCCAACACACCTTTATCTTTTAAGGTTAGAATTACTGTGCGTTCATCAGCAAAACTGTCAACATCGTGCTCAACTTGTAACCCTCTCAAATCTTTATCAGTGTATTTTTTCTGTCTACGTTCCCGTTGATCAGTTTCAATGACTTCACCTATACCAAACTGAGCATCTAACTCTTCCAGCGCTTTGGCCCTTTTTAGCGCCTCTTTTTTTGCTTCATCAGCCTTTCTGCTTTTAACAACCCATGAATTAGCATCTTCCTCACTGTCACTTTCTCCCAAAGTTCTAACTTTCGAATACTTACTCTGTAAATGTCGTTTTTCTTTGTGTTCTGCAATTCTATTCCGGATTTTCTCCTGTTTCTTTTGATGTGTCAAATTTACAGCGGGTTTGTGGTAAAACTCGCCTAAATCATCTTTTTTCTTACCATCATCACGTTTTGACGAACTTGCTTCTCCACCTGTAGCTAAGGGTTTTAAACCTATTTTTGCCCTCAATTTATTGGTTTCTTCTATAGATAAACTATCGTGACCTTGTCCTGATGCTTCTGGTGTGTGTTTTGGTTCTGGAGTATCTTCAATAATCTCAACATCGGAACCTAAAAACAACCATCTAAAACAACCCAAAAACCTTATTTATGAATATTTACCGTCACTGACATACTCTGAGTGCCTCGAGGGCCTATCTCTCCTCTTTTCCTTATGGTGATGATGTTTTTTGTGCTTGTGACGCTTCTCTTTTGGAGCTTCATGCTCCTGTGATAAACTTCTACTTCTATGCCGCTTTTTCTTAGTTTCTTTATCCTTATACTTTTTACTACTAGAACCCATTACTCATACAGTTAAATAAATTAATATATATGAATTAAAAACCGTGAAATTACCGTAAATATTGAGTTCAATGATTTTAACCTCAAAATGCACACAAACGTTTACCAACGTTTTGACAGAACTGTCACAGTTCAACTGTGTTGCCAATTAGTGAGTAATTTCTCACATTTGTGGTGAATTTTATTGTCTCTGAGGAATTTTAAGTTATCAGAAGATAACGTCTATTTTTAGGTAATAATTCAATTACCTACTGGCATTTTTTCCATAATATATATTTCTTTGAAATCTCGGAAACTGAACATTTGGGTTTTTTTGTATGTTTGGCAACATTGCAAAGCCAGGAGAGAATATTTCTTTGATTTGCTGGTATTTTTTTGGGTTCCAGAGTCTAGCTTATCTAAAGTGGTTTAACGACTTTTTTAATATAATATAAAGTCTGTATAATTAAAAAAAATTGTCTCTGTTTTTTGAAGAAAGTTATAAAAGTAAATTGGTAAAATCAGTTGGCAACACTGAATGATTAAAAAGTTTTAAACATACCAAGCAACCAAATAAATCCCAAACCCAAATACAGAACAAAAAGGAACCACACACCAAACCAACAATAACAAACTAGACTCTAGTTACCTAGAAGATGGGACAAGCCAGGCATTCCTTACGGGATCCTCTCAAAAAAAGAAATGAGCTGGCCAAATAGTCTATTGTATACAAACTAAAGGCCAACAGCGCTTTCCCGAATTAAATAAGGATAACAGTAACGAAGAAGAAGAAGAAGATGTTTTTTGGTTTTAAAAACTTCTAAAGTTCTGTGGAAAACTTCATGCAGAGAAATGGTCTAGGGAAATGAGTCTGTCAGAACAGCAAGTTGCAGATTATTATCACAAGATTTCAGATATTTTAAGTGTAAGAATAAAGTTTATTTATTATTATTACCATTTTTGACTCAAAAATGTTGAGCAGTTTTGAAACAAATTTATATTTTTTTTCTATAAATGCGTACCTACATTATTTTACATTGATTTACTTTAAGCATTACTTAATGCATTAATAAAACTTTCTATGGTTGAATTCATGATACAACTAACATGGTTGTGGTTGTAGACTACAACTTGTAGTTACCATGGTTGAATTTATAAAGCAAAATTCAAAAAATAACAGGGCCGTACTTTGTATTTTATACATGCCCAGGACCGTACCAACTAAAATCAATATTCCTATTTTTTTTAGAAAAAAAGAGAAACCGCAAATAACGAACAGATTTTGTTATCTTTTTGTGAAATACATTTAAAAGATTTGGAAATGGCTAGAGCCAATGAAATTGCGGCAGAAAAAGCATTAAACGATTTAACAAGTAGCGAATCTTTAACAGTTAATAAGAAATTTGTAGAATTAAAAGGTAAAAAATATTTAAAAATTTGACACCTGTTAATTTTATTTGACATTGTATTTGACAACTGTCATGCGATTTTAACCTCACTTTTTACCAGTCTCACATCTGTCAGACTTTTTCCCAATTTGACATTTGTCAAACGGTTTTAACCTCACTTTTTGCAAATTTACTAGTATATTAAATGTTTTTTCAGAAAGTTATGATAATCTTAAAGAAAAATATGAAAACACGTTAAAAGACAATGAAACTCAAAAAAGGAATTATGAGAACCACATACAAATGATTATAGCATCAAATACGATGATTTTAGATGAGAAAGAAACTATTTACAAGCAGCAGTTAGTAGAAATTAACAATAAAATAAGATTTTTGCAGAATTCTAACAGAGAACTGCATTTGAAATTAAACAATTCCAGACAGAATCAACCTAAAACCTTTAACGTTGTAAAACAAAGTAACGTGTTAAATTTCCAAAGTAAGCCAAGTAATATTCAAAATAATTTCGAATCAAGCAATTTAAATTATTTTGAAGATTTGGATTTAGCAAATCAGGAAACAGATGATGTGGATGATTTTGCTTTATTACATAATTTTAAAAAATCCACAAATACAGCAAACCGTCAAAAAGATACTGTGAATAATAATAAGTCACAAAAATGTACTGGCAATACTCAAAACGCTTCTGACACTGATTCAACAATAATTTTGGGGGATTTGGTAAAAAAAAATCCAGTTTCAAATAATAGTGCTATTCAAAGGAAACCTACGATATATGGGGGTTATAGAAGAAAAAATAGTTGTAATGATTTGCCCCCTTTGGAACCCTGTACAAATAGCAATAATAATTATGTTCCCAAGAAAAAAAGAAAGATTTTCGATCCCGATCAAATGAACTATTTGGATTTATTTAAAGATTAAATTATTTAAAGATTAAATTATTTAAAGAATTAATTATTTAAAGATTAAATATTAGTTTAGTTTATTTTGTAAAGTGTTAAATTCTAGTTTAATAAAATTTATTAAATAAATGATAAAACATATTTTTAAATTTAATCCCGGCGCGTTCGCCATTTTTGAAACAGTTTTTGAATTGTTAAAATTGGCCAAACAACATTTAAATAAGCTAAAGGCCATCAAATCTTGAGAAGAAAAAGAGAAGAATTGTTAAAATGGTAAAATATTTTTTCTACGACCACTATGTAAAACTTTTACAGTAAAAGTCACTTTTCATGATGGCATCGTTGTTTAAAAAATGAATCTTTTCATTGGCAAGGCAAAACACGAATGTAAAGTGACATTTCTGTGTGAAAAGTGACAGGTCTGTGTGAAACACGCGTGTTTCACACAGACCTGTCACTTTTCACACAGAACCGTCTTATATAAGACCGTGGTGTGAAAAGAAATTGACAGCATCGTTTGACATTCAGCTGTCAAAAAAGTTCTTAGATTATTTTGTTTTGTGTTTAAAAATAATAAAAAATGAAAGGGTCGCAGAAAAAACATTGTGTTATACTTGTGAGAAAAGCTTTCTTCAAGCTCGGGCCTAACGGCCTTGTGGGCAACTTAAAAAAAAATTAAAAATAAACATTTTTTATTAAAATTGAAACTACAATTTCTGTAACATTAGTCTGCCTTTTTAACCTCCTTCACACTTCTCGAATACTTGTTATAGCTGGGATGTCTCTTCACCTTGTACTTAAAATACAAAATCTCTACAATAAAACCAACTAGACCTATAAAATACCCGATAAAAAGGGCCACCAGAGCTTCGTACAACTTTTTCATGCTCATTATAGCTTTCGAGGGCGTATTATCGAGATCTAAATTGGCGTTTAGCACCCTCTGCATCACATCGTCCAGCCACTTCTTGATCAGTCCTGCTTCGAGCACTCTCCTTATTAGTTTGTCTACACGTGGTTTTATTGGAGAGTTTTTCTGAAGACCTAAAAAAATATTTTTATTTTTAATAAATATTTTAAGTCAAAGTTATTAAGTAATCAGGCCAGTGTTCAAAATTTTTTTTGTCGAAATTATTTACTATTTTAAACAAAATCTGTAAATAACAATATTTTGCAATATTTTTAAGTAGCACAATTAATTAAACTATTAAAATTATTAAAATTATTAAATTATTATTTAAATAACTACCATTCTAACTAAATCTAAGTAAAATAACGGTTTTATAAACTTGTTTTTTAACAAATTAGTTGTATTTAACAATTAACATTTTTTTAAAGTTACCATGAACTAAAAAATAACCCTTTATATTTATCAACCGGTTTCTATAACCTTAAGGTAAATTCAAAGGTTATTTTTTAGTATAATTTAACTAATAAAAGAAACCTATTAGTAATACGAGGTGTGTTCAGAAAATAACGGGAATTGTTAAATTTCGCGGGTTCAGAGGGTCCGGTTGTCATAAAATTTTCTTTATTATGTTGGGATACATGCCCCCGAAGTATGATAAAAACGTTGGCTGTTTTCATCGTTTACTTTGTCTGTGGCAGCCGCTAAGGTTAGACGTGTTTTATGAGCTCGGCGATTTTCATTCGTTAAAAGAAATGGATCAAAAAAATTTGTATCCAATTTTGCTTAAAAAATGAAATAAATTCTGTGAAATGTTAACAAAGGACTATAGTGCGTCTGCTATAAGTAAAACAAGAGTTTACAAGTGGTATAAGAGTTTCCAAGATCCCCGTGAAGACGTTGAAGATGACGAACGCCCCGAACGCCCAAGCACATTTACAACCGATAAAAACATGGAAAAAGTGGAAGAAATGGTTATAAACCATCAGAGAAGTCGCTGATGTTGGTATATCGATTAGCTCATCTCATAAAAAATTTTCGAATGTTTTGGGTATGAGACGCGTGGCAGAAAAATTTGTTCCAAAATTGTTAAATTTTGAACAAAATTTTTGTCCAAAAACAATACAATGATGCCCCAGCCTCTATATTCGCCAGACATGCCTCTGTCTGACTTTTTCCTATTCCCAAAAATAAAGAGAACCTTAAAGGGCAGTCGTTTTGCAAGCATAGATGACATTAAAAGCGGATCGCTGAAAGAACTAAAGGCTATCCCAAAGATCAAGTTTTAGAAGTGTTTAGAGTATTGGAAGAAGAGCTGGCACATGTGCATAATATCCAATGGGGACTATTTTGAAGGCGACAACATTAATGTAGACGAATAAATAAATATTTGTATCAAAAAATGAAAATTCCCGATATTTTCTGAACACACCTCGTATTTTATTGGATTTATCACCGTATCCATATTTTTGCTACACGATACTCCTATTTTCAAGCTCTTATCTTAAAATGCTAATACTCAAATGACGCTCTTTTCCATTCTTCACTATTAAAATTGCTGATAAATATTTGCTCACCAATCGACACTGGCATATTGATTATGCAGTAGTTCATAATGTGCAAGCTGCGATCTTTGCTCGCTATATCCCTCGCCTCCTGAGTGTTATTCGATGTCGCGTTTTTCTTGTTAATCTGAAAGCGCAACTGTCTCTTGACGACGGCCTCTTTCAGGAAGTACGTGTTCTCGTAGAAGGCGAACGAGGCGCCAGCCACGCGATCCACCGCGTCGGAAGACGAGGCCACCGTTTCGAAATTGTCACCTAAATTATGAAAAAAGAATTGAACTTTATCAAGCATTTTAATAAATAATAGCTCTTAAAAAAATACCCAATTTTAAATCTGTTATTATTGGAGCTACGAATTCGGTTAAATCAGCAAATGGGTGTCATTTTTTTTATTATTTAATTGGTGAAAACAAAAAACCATTGAACGTCGGGCTTGGAGTTTTAAAATGTCGAAAAAAAACTAGAAGGCCTTGAAAAATTGCGTTTTTGGGAAAAATTGATTTTTTTTCTAAAAATATACAAAGCAATGAACACTCTAACCAATGCTCTAACATTATTTTAATTTTAAATAAATTTATTACAGAAAAAAAATAAAACTAAAAATTGAATTGAATTGAATTGATTTAAGAAAATTGGGTCCTCTTTGCAAAAGGGAGAATGACTTATGGAGTTAAATTACAAAATTATAATTTTATAAATCGATGTGTCAAATAAAACGATAGTTATGACAATACAGCACCGAAATGTTTTTTTGCGATCCGGTAGAAGATTCTTGCTGAATTATAATAATAGCAATAATTATTATAATCATGTATTATATGGTTGTAATCAAAGTCGAAAATTCACTTTTTTCTTGCAGTGTACTGAAATTTGTAAATTTTCAGAAAAATTGACTTTTTAATTTTTTTGTATTGCCCTTTCAATAAAATTAAAAAATTGCAGGACATTTTTTCTGAAAATTTCGCATTAATCGTTTATTTTTAAGTTTGGGGTAAAATATGTAAAAATGAAGATGGTATTCCATTTAATTTTTTTTTATTGTTGTGAATATTTTGAAAACTCGACGTTCAATTGTTTTTCTGTTTTTACCATTTTAATCAGAAGAAAAATTACCACCAAATTGCTAATTTAACCGATAATTCGGGGTCTTGATCTATCTTTCTACTTTCTAATAACCAATAATAACGAAGTTAGGAATTGTAAGCAGATAACTTTGGATGCCCTGTGTTTTTTGTTTAGTTATTATCTACAGATTTTTACAATAATCGTTACTTTTAAAAAAATCAATAAAAACTCATTAACACATTTGACATTTTTTTTATTGTTTTTAGTTTTTTACAGTATATTCTATAATAGAACTTCTATACGACTTGTAAATGAATACAATAATATATTAAAATCATAAACGTAAACATTCCAAAATACAATTAAAATGTTAAAAAGAAATAATTTAATTTTATGTTTAATATTTTTTTTTATAAAAAATATCAAGAAAAATTGTAATTGTTATTGTAAAAAATATATATATATATATATATATATATATATATATATATATAAAGGGTGTCCCATTAAGACCGCCTATTTTAAAATTTAAAAAAAATGCCCTGTTTATTTAAAAAGTTAAGATATTTTTATTGCAATAAAGAGGGAAGACATGGAGGTTAAATATGGAACACAATATCCGATAAATGGCCGCCTCACGAGTCACGACTGACGGCACACGTTGATTCTTTTGACAAAATTTTCGATTACATTTTGGCATAGTGCCGGCTCAATTTTATCAATGACCCGTCGAATCTCATGTTTTAGTTTAGGAACTGTTTTTGGGTTATTAGCATAAACCTTTTCCTTCAAAAAACCCCAAAGAAAAAAATCTAACGGCGTCAAATCGCATGGTCGGCCTGGCCACATCACATCCTCGCGGCGCGAGATAACTCTGTCTTCAAATTTTGTCCTCAATTATTCCATGGTTTCGTTGCTGTGCATGGTCTGCTGTCTTAAAATATTGTATCAACCGAATCTAGTAAATGAAAATGCAGGTCTTTGGCCAAAATTCGCTGTAAACTGCTTTGAGAGAGTCTCAATTGCTGGGAACGGTGGCGAATTGAGGTGGAAGAATTATGTTTAACACTTTCACTAACTGCTGCAATATTTTCAGTAGACCGAGATGCATAAACACGGATATGTCTCTTTTTGGTTTGAATTGAACCAATCGTTTCAAATTGCTCGATAAATCGGACCACAGTACGGCGAGAAGGTGCGTTATGGTGACCGAAAAATCCACGATATCTTCAAACCGTTTCCGAAAAATTCTCACCATTTCGATAGTGGATTTTTACAATTTCTATGCGTTGTGCGTTCGTGTAAATCTATAAGGCCTAACCTCAATGTTCACATATGACCACTGCCCAACAACAACGCTGTACGATTGACACAAAAAAAATGACACTAAATTTAAAATAGGCGGTCTTAATGGGAAACCCTTTATATATATACAGGGTGTAGGAAGTTATACAGGGTGTAGGAAGTTAGAAGTTTTTGGGGAAATTTAAAGGCGTTTATAATCCATTTTATAATCAATTTTTCTAAAATATTTTGAACAAAATGCCACTTCCGGTTTAACAGAAAGTGACATCAACTTTGTTTTTTCAAATTCTGAGTAAAATTACTATAACATGTCCTATCCCTATAGGGATAGGACATGTTATAGTAATTTCACTGTATACAGTGAATAGTTTTACAGTTATTTTTTTTGTTAAAAGTTGACGCGCGTCATTCATAAATAGCCTATAACTTTTTTGTTATTAGGTTTGCGGATATGGTAATGGAATTTTTGGAATCTTAAAACATGTTTTAAAAGATTTCTTGTCAATTCTTGGCATTTTGCTTAAAATATTTTAGAAAAATTGAATTCAATTTCTTTAGATATTTGTATACCTAAATTTTTGGTAGCCGACTCTTGCACTGACTTGAAAAACTCCTTATTGATCTCTCCCCACCCGCCGTACGATAATTTGCTGTCTAGCAGTTCCTCAATAGTGTCAATCGTCACTCTAAAAGCCAATAAAATTGTTAACGCCGTAAATTATTAAAAATAGACGCATCAGGCGCGCAAAGAGTAAGGAGCAAGAACAGTAAAAAGGACATTTGCTTCAAACATGGGATCCATTATCGGAAATTTAAGGATCAAAAATGTATTGAGTAAAGGGGGCCCTTTCTAAGTTAGATTCTAAAAACTCATCAAAGAAATTCGGTATTTACATTGTACAGTACACATAAGCAAAAAAAAGTAAAAGTGTAAGTATTTATTGAAAAAGCTATTTTACCTTGGTTGTGGCTTGGCCAAAATAGCAGTCATACTGGCCCTGTATGCTACCACCACCAATAGACAATATAACCAGTACCACCCTGTAAACACCCTCAAGGACCAACCGGTGGGTAGTTTTGGCAAAGACACCAGTAGTAACATGCTATAAGTATAAAGTATGCTGTTAAAGGGCTCTGTAAACTGGTATAGTCCCATTGGCTGACCTAAAAATATTTGAGTAGAAAACCCAGTATTCTACCATGAAAAAAGTTTCTATAAGTTTGTTAGTTTTATTTTCCAAAATTTTAACATGATTTTTTGTAGAAAACCAGTGTTTGTAATTATTTTAACTAAAGAATATTTTACCTAAAGTTTTGTAAAGGTTATATGCAATTTTGTAAGCATTTTGTTAATTTCAAAGGTTACAGTTTATTTTGTTAATGTTTAACAAATTATTTCCTTGAAAAAGTACACGTGATTTCAGGCAGTCAATCAAAATATTCCTCACTGACAACACGCATCAACAAGTTCAACTAACTTCAGCTTCTGTAACATGTTTCTGCTTACTTTATTCTAATTTGTAACGTGTTTGTAACAACTGTCCAGAGTGGTGATAATATATTATATTATTGTTATTCGGATTCCTTATACCTATTTAACGAGTGTGCGAAGTGCAAAGTATCCGAAAAAAGATACCATCACTGGTTTTCAAACTGAAATCAGGGCATACAGTAAAGTGGGTTAAAGTTACGAAATACATCAGTAAGTGTTGTAGTAGTACTCTCTCTAAAAATGAATTAGTCAAAAATGAGTAATTTAATAGTTATTAGTACCGTAAAATGGGGTGAATGGGAACACTTTTTGACATTTGATCAATCACAGCGGCCGTATAGTAATATTTTTAAAGACCGTTTTGGGCCTAAAAGTCCTATGGGGTCCTGGGCTACCTATAACCAAAATTTGAAAATAATAGATTTTTCCAAAATATATATTTTTTATTTTAATGTGCTTTGTTCCTATTGCCCCGGTATCAGTCGATATAGGAACACCAATGTTATTTTCCCTTGTATGCCGATTTAACGCGTTAAAGGTGTAATAGGAACACAATATATTTTTTTTAAAAGCGGCGAAAAATTCATATAATGTGATTCAGACCTTGGGTGGGAAGAAAAAGACCAATATAGGTATAACTCAAAAATATTTTCTTTTATTATTTATAAAACGTATAACCTATATAAAAATAAATAAAATACATATTCTAAAAATCAACATAATAAAAAAAAAAAAAACCTTTAAAAGTGTCTAAATTTCAAAATTTTCCCTGTTCCGATTCACCCAAATGCGGTTCAATTTTTTTTTATAAAATTATTAGGAAAAAGTGGAACACATTTTCAACAATTTGACTTTTTTATATTTTAAATGAATAACTAAGACAACAATCACGAAAGTTTCAGCTTATTTCATTTACCCCTTTTACGTTTTCCAGATGAAGCTTTTCGGAGCACCCATACGATAACAAAACTTGCTCACAATTTGAGGTTTAACCATAATGACAGCTACACTGTTACCAATTTTTCAATGCTACCAACTAGCAAATACAACATTCCTGTACATGAAAATCCACAAAAGTTTTTGATTTGTCAATTTAAATTAACGTAAGAAATGTTTAAAAACTTTTTCCCACTTTTGTCCCGATTTCCCCTTTAGTTCCCATTCACCCCATTTTACGGTAGCTGCTTTTTCACTTGTACCATGGTTAACTATGGAATACCATGGTATCCCAAAATTAACCAGCCAATTCTTATGTAAAATTGTCCCCTGAATCCGAAAATACCGTCAAAAATTAAAAAAGTATAACAGTTTTTGAGATATAGTCAATTTTTCATTTAATATGGAATTGACTATATCTCAAAAACTGCTCCACTTTCATAATTTTTGGATTCAGCGGACAATTTTACATAAGAATTGGCTGTTAAATTTTGAGATACCGTGGTATTCCATGGTTAACCATGGTACAAGTGAAAAAGCAGCCACTAATAACTATTAAATTAGTCATTTTTGACTAATTCATTTTAAGAGAGCTGATAATTTCTTTTTAATTTGATGATTTCAGAATGGTGTGTTATTTAATTGTGTGTATGTTATTTTTGTGGTCATTTATGCAGCTATGTGTTAATTTTTTTTGTTTAGGAAATTGATTAATAAAGCAACATTTGTTATTAAAATTCTTCTCATTTAAGTTCCCAATTTCCAACAAATACTTTTGTTATTGGGTCTACTAACAGGTTTGTAAGAATAGGATTCTTTTTGAAAATTACAAGAATTATGGTTGAATTATTGATGTAAGATTTTGTTATTAAATCTACAAAATGTTTGTTATAATTACAAACTACTTATTCAAATAGTTAACAGATTACAGTTGGTTGTAAAGGTATGTGGACCTGGATGAACATAAAAACTTGTTAAAATTAACAATTATTTTTTTACTGGGTAAAAGCGAAAAACAAATATTTATAGAAACTTTTTCATATTTTTTAATATTTCCCCAGCCTGTCTGAATATTGCATACCTTCTACCGTGGGTGCAGTGTATTGTTCCTTCATCAGCATATATTTTGCATTGGAATCAAATTTTTCTTCGGTATAAAAAACAGGCAAGGTTATTATTTGCTTCTTCTTTATGAACAAACTAATCTCCGGTCTATCTGGTTCTTCTTCCTCTTCAGCCAAATACTGATGAAACCTGGCCAAAAAATGAAAAACAACCCCGCACAGAATCAAGCAGACTATGACGCACGCCCACATGGTGCTCTTGAAGGGCAGAATCAAGGTCTTCCACGAGTTGTCGTTGAGCGCCTCGGGGGTTAAGAAGGTGAGGCACTCGGTGTTGTACGGCACGCTGAGATCCATCATGTCGAGCAGATAGGGGGTGTAGTAGAGATCGCCGAGCGCGATGTCGGCGAAAGAGTCGATCATCTCGCCAATTATGCCGGTGAATTTGCCGCCTACTTGCTTTTTGCCCCACAACTCCAGGTCAGCGTTCGGCGGTTCGTAGAGTTTCGGTTGGAAGTTCATCGCTTTCGATACCGTTTGGAGGATCTGAGAAACGCATGGTTTGCTTGATTGCTTGGTTTTTAAGTAAAAGCAAACTCTTGTTTTTAAGATTTTAAGTATTTCAATAAATTTAAATGCCAAGTCAACGATTCGGAATTTAATTTAGGGACGAGCTTGCGATAGAGTGCTTAATGTTTATAAACAAGTTGCATACTATACTTTTTCTACAAATACCTAATATTATCTAAAAAATGATTTAAATTAAATACAGGGTGAGTTTTAAGTTGACGCGTTCCTTTTAACAGTGTGTAGAAATCAGCTAGACAAATAAATATTTTAAGTAACTTTTTTATCAAAACTTAAAAATAAAAAAAGTTATAGCCCATCAAAGTTTAATTAAATTTTAAGCCGGTCCTGGCTATTGTTAACGAAAAACATAACCATAAAAATATCAAAATAAACAATGCAAAATGTCATATTTGACAACAAACAACCATTTAAATCAAATTGACATTTTGCAATAAAAAATGTCATTATTTACTTAAGTTGCAGCATTTGCATTTTGACGACACTCTCCATAAATTAGTAACATTTCCACTAATTCATTATTGCTATAATTATGAACCATTTTTAACAATAATTGAGGCACAAAAAAACTGACATTTTTCATTGCTAAATGTCATTTTGATTTAAATGGTTATGTTTGTTGTCATAGATGACATTTTGCATTGTTTATTTTGTTATTTTTATTTTTATGGTTATGTTTTTTGTTAACAATAGCCAGGACCGGCTCAAAATTTAATTAAGCTTGGAAGGCCTATAACTCTCTTATTTTTGAGTTTTGATAAAAAAGTTACTTAAAATATTTATTTGTTTATCTGATTTCTACACGCTGTTAAAAGGAAAGCGTCAATTTAAAACTCACCCTGTATTTGTAAAAAACGACAATTATACGAAAATAAAGTAATCATCCCAATAAACATTTTTGACGTAATTTTCACCATTAACATTGCCCGTTATTATTTTAAATAAATTTAACAATAATTGTTAAATTTATTTAAAATAATAATAAAAATTATTATTGATACTTTAAAAAATTCTTACTCGGAAAATGTTAAAGGTACAAAAAGTGTTTATTTATTGGAATTCCTGTTAGAATTTCTAACTTGGGAATCTACCGGCGTTAAAATCTGTGTAAATCCAAATTTATCCCTTGAAAATGGATTAACAATCGATATAGAAGCAGTTTTTCACGGTAAAAGAGAAGAGAATGTTTTATGGTCACTGTACGCAAAATTTTTAACGCTTTATCAGTTAAATCTACTACGGTGAAATCAAAAGGTCAATACAAAACGTTAATATAATCTTTTCAAATATTGGCGTCAAAAAACTATTTATTACTTATAATAAACTATGTATTATTTATAATAAAATAATTTTCACATTTAGTATTATTTTACAAGAAACGATTGTATGACATTTGTCAACTGTCAACTAACTTAAAACTAACTTCAGCCCGTGACTAAAGCGCCATAAAGCCACAACTTGTCAATGTGTATTTGAAAGGTCACTTAGTGTCATGGAAACATGTTATGTTATTTATGTATGGTTTTATAACAAATAACATGGTATTAAATGTTCAATGAGTGCACTGGAAAATTATAAATTATAAAAGTTACCTTTAAAATACAAGAATTAGGTAGGTACTACTTAAATTATTTTAATAACCAAAAGTGTACAAAATAAAATAAAATTAACATAACATAAAATATACAGCGTGTCCTAATTAAGTCATTAAGAACTTAAAGATTTATGTTTAATAAACTTGAACAGGGCCGCTCTGGCTGTTTTGCCACCGATGTGCAAAATCAAATTTGTGGCCCCACATTATTTTTTAAAATAATGTTATGCGAACAAACTTACAAAATTTAGACATTTTTGTGTCTTAAGACATTAAGACAGAATAATTATTAGGTATGTTGAACATAATTAAAAATGACAAAAGCGAAGACAATTTGAAATGATAATATCATAATATGATATTATCATTTTTTATATATTATGTAAGTGGAAAAATATTGTTTAGGCTGGTAATAGGTTTTTGGATTAATCTTTATTAAATTTTGCATTTTTATTTCAAAATCATTAATCATTTATATTTATGGATTTTTTATTTAACTACTAATTTTTTATACATATTATAAAAATTTAAATTTCAAAATTTCAAGCTTTTACTATATAATTTTCCATTTAAGCTTAATTTTCATGTATCCGTTTGTCCGTCAGTCCGTTCATCCGGGAGCGTTCTTATTGGTCCAATTATAATTCGAAAATTATGACATTTTATCGGTCCGTCAAGTTTCAACTTCGTAATTTTAACTCATCCGTCACTACACATCTGTTTTTGACGCCTAACGTTATTTTATAATTTATAATTTATTTTCAAATATTTTTATATTTTTTCAATAAGATTGTAAAACGGAAATATTACGTTCGTTATGTGAATAATGTTTTACTGTAAGTTTTTATTTAATAAGAATAACGGAAAAAAAGAAAGGACAAACAAAAAAAATTAAAACTAGAACTAAAAGGACCTGCTTTTTTAAAACTATACATTTTAAAGTATATTAGGGCTAGTATATTCTTTTTATAAGGTATATTTACCTACCTTTAAATTTATTAGACAGCTAACTGTTACAAGTTACAATTGTTGACATAATTGTAACTATGACAATTAAGCATTAGGTAAATTTAGTAAGTGAATATACTGACACTTAATTTCTATTTGTCGCAAAATCAATCCGTTAAACGTCATTAAAAAACGTATGCATGAAAATTAGAACATTTCTTATCGGACGATTTTATTGAAAAACTGACATACGGATGACGGACAAACGGATACATGAAAATTAAGCTTTAATAGTTACATTGAAATTATCGAGTTTTCGACATTTTGTCAGGTTTGACGTTTGACATATGTCATATTATAGGTTATGTACATGAATGTATTTTACTTTTGAACTGCGTACAAATATGTTATAAATTATATACAGGTAAGTATATATATATAGGTATAACTTAAAATATGAAAATTCTTGTACGCTTGAAAATAAATATTGTTATTTCTATTTGTATTAAAATGTCATAATAAAATTAGGCAAAAATATTTTCCGAAATACAAAATTGTACCTGCAATATCCTTTATATTTAAAGTAACATAACGTTTAATTATCGTCCAATAATTATAATTATGTAGTGGGGTGACTAAGGTTTTTAAAATCACACAACACAGTTTTTGTCTACATTTTTTCGATCTTTTCAATGGTAAAGAGGATTAAGTCAGAAACTAGAACTAGAACTAGAAGTCAGAAAGTAAGCCAGGACTTAATTGGAAATAGCGGAAAAACGTAGGCAAACAATATGTATTTATATTTTAAAATAAATATAAATCACGTTACATATTATGTAACGTGATTTATATTTATTTTAAAATATAATCTTAACCTTAAAAACCAATAAAGATAACAAAAATCATTATAAAATATTAACAATTTTACCTCTACTTCAGCCCCTGAAAACTTGGTCTCATTTTGCCCCAGCGTGGCTCTAACAGACTGCGAGTCAATCTTCTCATTCTTCGCAGTGCCAGGCAAATGCGAAAAAGCCACAACATTCAACGTCTGATTCCTCAAATCTACAGTTTTATCCTTGAAAAGATCCACTGCTTTCCTGAACCTGTTTTGCGTCCAAATAGCGAGGCGTCTCGGAATAAAAACCGAGGTTATAGGTGATGGGAATGGTACTGTGGTTATTTCGTACCAGGGTAGGTGTTTTTTGTCCTGGTTTAGGCCTAAGTGCGCCTTGATGAATATTACGTTTATTATTCTCTTCCAAAGGTAGTGTAGGTGGGGTTCAAATAGCCTGTTGTCAAATAACATGATGTATTTTGATCTGATGCCTAGCACTCTGTACCTAAGTTGTTTAAATATTGTATTAATATTTATATTTTTTATATTCACGTGTGTTTTACCTATCCCCATATCTAAGTAATCGTGATAACTGCATACCATTGCTCAGAAGTATAATATACAATTGACAACCTTCTGTTTTAGCCAACATTAAAGATTCTTTAGTGTTTTCGTAAGGTGTTAGAAGGTCTTCATTTTCTTCTATATTTATCTAAAAATATACAAATTTCTAAACAAATTATTATAATTAATAACATATTTTACCATTATAAAAGATATAAACAGTCCAAATCGTTTGTACCACTCGGTTATAAATATTTCATTGTTCATAGGGTCGGTTATGACAGCTATGCAGTTGCTAGCTTGTAAGGATTTAACTATTACTTCTTCTATGAGGAGTTTAAACGAGTTTTCTTCTTTTAATGAAGATACTACATTTTTTAGACTAAAATAAAACACATTTATGTATTTTAATTAATTAAGGAAGTGGATTGCAAAACCCACCCGACGCTGGGGACTGTCCATTAATAGACAGTCAATGATCTCATTGAAAAACAGAAAATTCTTAAAAATATCTTATTGAGGATGTTAAGGCGCATCTTTTGGTAAAAAGAAGTAAAAGTGGTTGGATAGGCTTTTGAGAAGTTTTTTTGGAAAATTTAAGTTTTCTTTTGTTTGAAATTGTGGCCTTAGTAAGGTAAGGTGGGGTAATTGCGATATGTTTTTGTACTAGTTGGCATTGTCTCTTGAATTAAAAGTAAGAAGTGATAAAACTAAACCAAACCCAAAGCTTATTATATAGCCCAACTACTCAAGAATTATATTCTAAATTAAAAAACGTTAAGAACTAACGGCTAAAAAATTACATCTTTTTTTTTAAACGTTCCTAACATATTGCATTTGCCCCGAAAAATGGGGCAAATGTGTTAGCGGCTGATTACATTACACTATTAATGTATTTGTATGGGTATGGGGCTAATGTAAAAGAGGAAAAAATAGGATTATTTTGGTGTAAAATCGTGTAAATCCGTTAATAATCATAGGTGTGCAAACTTTTTTTTTATTTTTTATTTAAGAATTAACAGACTACGCGGTAAATAGAAAAAGGAAAAAACGATTTATTATTATGTACTTAAGTAACCAAGTGGTACTGCGCAGTAGTTGTCGGGATTTCTCTACTTAGATATGCAACCCAAGACAACAGCGTGCGTTTTTATTCGTTTGCTTTTATTTACTACTTCAAGTAAGAATTTTATCGCAAGATGTTACCTTTACCCCAATGATTGGGGCCCAATCTTACAATTACCCCACCTTACCTTACCTACTTGGTGGTAGTATTCAAAATTCATAATATTAAATTTTTATCCAAAATGGCAAAGATTAAACTTAATTCTATTTTTATAGATTTATGGTTAAAAATCTTTTAATTAGTTCCCAATTAAAGTACGGGGTCTCTACCATCGTACTTGCAAATACTGCTTTGACAGTCGGTTTTTTAGGTGACAAAATCAAAAAAGATATTTAAATGTCGAAGTCAAAGATTGAAACAATTAAAGCTTAATTTTCATGTATCCGATTGTTCGTTAGTCCGATCATCCGGGTGCGCTCTTATTGGTCCAATTATAATTCATATTATAATTCAAAACTTATGACATTTTATCGGTCCGTCAAGTTTTAACTTCGTACGTCCGACGGAGAAAGTTAAAATAATTTTAACTCATCCGTCACTACACATCTGTTTTTGATGTGTTCTACTGTTATGTTAATAAGAATAACGGAAAAAAAGAAAAGACAACCAAAAAAATATTAAAACCAGAACTAAAAGGACCTTTCTTAAAACTCTACATTTTAATGTATATTAAGTATATTCTATTTATATGGTATATTTACCTACCTTTAAATTTATTAGACAGCTAAGTTAGCTGAGCTAACTGTTAAAGTTACAATTGTTGACATAATTGTAACTATGGCAATTAAGCAATAGGTAAATTGGCGACAAATAGAAATTAAGGACCAGTATATTCACTTTACTAAATTTATGTTAGTAAAGTAAATATACTGGTCCTTAATTTCTATTTGTCGCCAAATCAATCCGTTAAACGTCATTAAAAAACGGATGCATGAAAATTAGAACATTTCTTGTCGGACGATTTTATTAAAAAACGGACAAACGGATACATGAAAATTAAGCTTAAGAAGAAAAAAGAGGCAAAGAATATTTCGTAAAATAGAATAAAAAATCGATATAGGTACAAAGAAAGAACAGTCAATGTCTAAAAAAACTTTCAGTGCTCTCTAAAAATGAATTAGTCAAAAATGACTAATTACTACAGTTATTAGTGGCTGCTTTTTCACTTGTACCATGGTTAACCATGGGATACCATGGTATTCCAAAATTTAACAGCCAATTCTTATGTAAAATTGTCCCCTGATTCCGAAAATGTCGTCAAAAGTTAAAAAAGTAGAACAGTTTTTGAGATATAGTAAATTTTCCATTTAATATGGAATTGACTATATTTCAAAAACTGCTTCACTTTCATAATGACGGTATTTTGGGATTCAGGGGACAATTTTACAAAAGAATTGGATGTTAAATTTTGGGATACCATAGTATTCCATGGTTAACCATGGTACAAGTGAAAAAGCAGCCACTTTGAAATTAGTCATTTTTTCAATTGTTGGCATAATTGTAACTATGGCAATTAAGCATTAGGTAAATTGGCGACAAATAGAAATTAAGGACCAGTATATTCACTTTACTAAATTTAATTTAGTAAGGTAAATATACTGGTCCTTAATTTCTATTTGTCCCCCAATCAATCCGTTAAACGTCATTAAAAAACGGATGCATGAAAATTAGAACATTTCTTGTCGGACGATTTTATTGAAAAACGGACAAACGGATACATGAAAATTAAGCTTAAGAAGAAAAAAAAGCAAAGAATATTTGGTAAAATAGAATAAAAAATCGATATACAAAGAAAGAACAGTCAATGTCTAAAAAAACTTTCAGTGCTCTCTAAAAATGAATTAGTCAAAAATGACTTATTACTACAGTTATTAGTGGCTGCTTTTTCACTTGTACCATGGTTAACCATGAGATACCATGGTATTCCAAAATTTAAGCCAATTCTTATGTAAAATTGTCCCCTGATTCCGAAAATGTCGTCAAAAGTTAAAAAAGTAGAACAGTTTTTGAGATATAGTAAATTTTCCATTTAATATGGAATTGCCTATATCTCAAAAACTGCTTCACTTTCATAATGACGGTATTTTCGGATTCAGGGGACAATTTTACATAAGAATTGGATGTTAAATTTTGGGATTCCATAGTATTCCATGGTTAATCATGGTACAAGTGAAAAAGCAGCCACTAATAACTTTGAAATTAGTCATTTTTGGCTAATTAATTTTTAGAGAGTGGATAATATAACCATTATAAATGAAAAGCCCAATAACCTTGGATCAAATTCGATGAAAAAAAAAACAAAAAAAATTACCCTTATCTACCTACCTACAGTAAGTAACTTACTACCTACTTCACATTAATAACAAATTAGTTCCTAAGTTGGTCAAAAATTATGGGAGTTTTCAAATTAAAAGACATAATTTGCAAATCAACAAAAATTTTGATTATAATTAAGAATAGAAAAAAACATTGTAGGGAAGCAAGCCAAAGTACAAAACTTTAACTCAAAAGCAATAATTCAGGGAAAGGAACACAAACTTAAAGATTCAGTTAACCAAGAATAAAAACACCCATTTCAAATCAAGGGCAATATTTTGACATGTTGACAAGTGGGGAAAATAATTGAGGGGCTTGGAATTAAAACGGTTCAAGTGCACTTTTTTAAATAAATGGTCTAAGTGCAGAATATCACACCTAAAGAATATTCTAACTTAGTGGTAAAATTATATAAGTACATTTTACATTCCCTGGTGCCATTTCTTATCGTCTTTAAAAACCTGTCAAAATATTTTAAAATATATCTTTGGTAAAACGATTTAAGTGCACCTTTTACTGCTAAACATAGGCTATTATCTATGCTGCTAAAGCCTTGACAAGTAGCTCGTTTTGACATAGTGTGACCGGGGACGGAACGACTATGGCATCGGTCCAGACTGATGAGGATTCAACATAGTAACTATGTTCCTGACATCAATGAAGAAGTAGAAGAAGAAGGCCATGTAACTCCAGCAAAAACTAAAAAAAAGCCGCTAAGCCAAAAATTTACTTAGGTACCTTATTGGACTATATTCCGCCAATTTACCACTTATTTTATAAAAACATAGAGCACGATCGAGATCCATCAGAAAAAAAAGAACCAAACTAAGACCATAGTATTGAGCCAAAAAAAATCCAATTTAGGTCAACCCCAACCAAGACCAGCTAATTCAGATGAAGAAAACGTTGTATTAGATTCTGATTATGAATAATACTTTTTGTTGTAAAACTTAAGTTTTAATTATAATTTAATTATAATTACCCAAATTTTAAAAAATTAAGTTTTGTTCTAGTACAGTAATTGCACTTAAATCATTTTACCACTAAATTTTGTCTTACATGCATGACGATTCAAGTACATTTTTGTAAAAAAAATTAACAAAAAAGCTAAATTATAATGCTTTTTAGTCTTTAAACAAAACTAAAATAATCACACAATTTTTTAAACTCTTTTCTATAGAATTTTAAAATTCAAGTTAACTTTAAAGCCATTTATCTCAGAACTAACAAAAATGCACTTAAACCCTTTTACTTCTAGGCCCCTCAATTAGAATTTTTTAATTATTTTCAGGTTAGCAAAATAACAACTTGTTAAATATGGCTGAATCTTCTTTGAAGTCAGTATTTGGTACCAAACTATAGTTGAATCCGCATACAGCAAACACACGTGAAGCTGTGCAGTTATTGGGTGTGACCAAGAAGTTTTCCACCTTTTTTTTCGAAAAATGATAAATTTGGGTACAAATTGACAAAAACCCAAAATCTAAGATGGCGGACACTTCCCACGAATATTTAATAGGGAAAACATGAATCCTTTATCTAAGATTTGACTTTTGAACCTACAAATACTTACGTGCTTTGGTCTGTTGGCGGGCCCGCCGCTGCAGCGGCCGCACATAAATTAACAAACAACACGAGTTCGGCGCGTAAATACATTTCGATTAAAAGTAAACTAGTTCCGTTGAAAAGTCCGTGGCGGATTACATTCTACATGTAAATTGGACATTAATATTTAAGGCTCGTTTACAGCCACACACACACACTGTAATGGCTTCAATTAATTTAAATCAACTTGAAAAACCCGGAAAATTTATCAGAATGGATACAGCGTTTATAAACGTACGGTTAATGGAATCCGAATTATTAAACATGTTTGTTATTTCAGGGTAATTTTATATATGTTACCTAGGTCTTTTTCGTAGGATAGCTAATGAAATTACCAAATGGGAATATAATTATATAGAACTCAAAGGGTTTTCAGTAATTGGCCGTTTTCATTATTCACTGTTATTTGGACAAATCCTAAAATCTTTTAGACGGTTCTAACCTCACTTTTTACATTGCACGCTTTATTTATTGTTCCACAAATGAAATTGCTTATAATTCTAAAAATCATTATAACTTCAAGATAAAATGAGGAGCAGACTGCGGTTTATCCAAAAATTCAACTTTTGAGAAAAAGATGGCTTTTTGCTTTTAAAACTGGTCGACAGCAATTTTGCTACATGGTGGCCAAAAACTTTTCTAGGGTAATTTGGGTGTTACAGCCTTTTGAATTTGTAAAATTGTCAAATTTTTTATAATAAAACAATTTTATTTTGAAAACGTGATGCAGTGAGCTCTGAGCTGAGCGGTTGAGTTGGGGTACGATAAGCGCTCGTGCGTGCAGTGCCGTCGCCGCTTAAGTTCAAGTAACAAAAAGTAACAAAAAGGAATCAGTCGGTTCTGCACGTGATAACGGATCCAAGTGGTAAAAGAAAGGAAATAATACTAAGTTTCAAAAGTGCGGGTGGCCCCCGGTTAAGTCACAAAGTGCTGTAGCGTAGTGGAGGTTTGTGTGAGAGTGAGTGAAAAGGTTGGGACACTCCGACGAATTGCCGACCGCCCCTGATCATCTGTATGTAATTTTCCTAATTGCATGACCTAATAACAGTACCAATTCGATTCTGATAGAATTAATCGTTAAATGTTTATATACGCAAATTCGCAATGTTGCTAAAAATGTCATTTGGCTTCAGAAATCAAACAGGTCCCTACACTGAGAAAACTATTTCAAGTTTTAATTAAATGAACAGTTTTTGGTACATTCAATACGACCAATGCGCATTATTGTTTATTTAAAAGTCGAATGATACCTACAGTCTTTAAAGTAAACTCGTACAGTTTTTGAATATACTACTACAAAAATGTACAAGATTTCATAAAGAGGTAAATTATGAAAAATCTCTAATAGAAGCACTTCTATTGTTTGTCTAAGATTTCTTTTTATTATCTCAAAAACTAAATTTAAAAAAATAATAAAATAACATTTCCGTAGGTGTTAAACTAACAACCTCATTTTCTCAGAGTAGACAAATCATAAACAACTTAACTAAATTGAAAAAGGCGTAAGAGTAAATAAACCAAATCAAGCAAGATGGCAAAAAAATTTAGATAATAAATAAGTGTTGTGTGTGAATAGGTAATATTGTATATGCATTTAAGATTCCAGTCATAAATCTAAGCCAAATAAACATAAGCTCAAAAAATACAAGAACATCACAGAAGATAAGAAGAACGACCTTCTCAATAGCCAATGCAGACCATATGGCCGCATTCCAATTACATACACTATAGGGCCGGATTTATCTATTTTGTATATTAACATTTATATTTTTAAATTAAATTTGGAAAAAAAAGTAAGAATGCAAAGATATAAATGAAATGAAAACGGTATACACACTAATTTAGCAATAAAATAAATAAAGAATATACAAGGTTGGTAGCCGGCACTCGGCAGGAGGAATATCCACCAAGGAGAGGGCACTTACGGTGTGTCATGGCCGTCAAAACCCCAGGTGGCGCACTGACGTCTGCTGGCGTTTAAATGACGGTGAAATAACGTCAGAAGACGTCATTTAAACGTCGGCAGACGTCAGTGTGCTACCTGGGACTTCGGTACGGAAGACAAGACTCAGTATCACACAGGGGGGCAAACAATTCTAAAGAGGTTACCAGGAACCTGATACTTCCTCGGACAGAGATGTTCAGAAATACACCAACAAGGACAGGTTCTAGCAGCGTAATAACACTTCTATCCCCATTCATGAATCCCAATTGAATGGGGTTATTACTAAGTCCCAGGTTGAGAAGGATTCCGGATTGTACTTAGTTTTGGGTCAGTTCAATGTCCTCCAAAAACCCTTCCCAAACTGGACGTATGGCCCGACTCGGCTGACAATCCGTGGAGCGGCCTTAACCATAGACACTGTCATCCACGACCTCCTAGGGAGGATCTACAAGCCGGCGTAAAAACTTCGGATCCAACAAACACAGGTAATGCTGTGATTTGGCGGGATACGCAGGAGAACGGAAAGGGGGTAAAATAACCCTGGGAGATTAGTGGAGGATAATGTCTTTGGGGCCTGCCCTACGTTCCCATACACATACTCATTTATGTATTATCGAATTTATTTTATTTGGCTGATACACACTGAATAAACCTTTGTTTATTCTTTGCAAAAATATGGTGCTAAGCATTCTTAGCACCATATTTTAAAAACGACGCCCAGTGTAATTTTTTAATTGTTTTATTTCTTTTTTAGAACTATTATTAAAGACAAAGAATTTAGTAGGAAAGTATAATTAATAATAAGAAATTGTATTGGGACGGTAAGGATAAAACTTTCCGATTATCGTGGATTACAGGGTCTTTAGTTCGTTAAAGACACGTTTATAAAACTTTTACGGTTGTGTTTGCTGGGAGGGGCGTGATGTCTGAAGCAAGAGGGACATACGGGTCCCACAAGGATCAATTCTGGGTCCTCTATTTTTTTAATATATATCAATTATTTGCAGACTACACGTCCTTATCTAGAACAAATAACGATTTAAATGTTGCAAAATTTAGTTATGAAAGACACAGTCAAGGGTAAAGCAGTATGCAAAAAGAGCAAAACATATCGATTTAGATATTAGTTTTTAATTGGAAGCCCTGTAAGATATTTTTACTGAAGGAGGAACAAACTAGAAAATAACTTTTATATAACTTTAATTCCGACCCAAAATTTCGAACGTTTCAGATAAAAACTGATTCAGACAATTAATAAGACCATTATAATACACTTAAGCCGCGCTTCCCTTTTAATAATCCCAAGCGCATACAAATTATAAACTTCTTTAATAATTCCATTCTATTCTATTCTATTAACCGACGGAAGATAATGAGATAGCGGGAGTCTCATTTGTTTTAACGAGATCTATACCTGTTGAATCAATAATTTCCGTAAAAAGCTGTTTAATTTAATTGGAGGATAACTTTTATCCGATAACAAATGCATTTTGTTCTCTGTTTTGTTTTTTAGGTTCTGATTTTCACTGATTGGAGAATTTAAATTTCTAAAACAACTATTATTTTTTTAATTTAAAATTGGTAAACGGTTTTAACTTGAAAAGAAAACAAACGGGCAATTATTAAGGAAAAAGGTTTTTTTTTAAATTTAGCACCAGTGTGAAAAGTAAATCACGACATTTACTTTTAGCACCGGAGCTAAAAGTAAATTACTTTTTCTACTCCCACCTTTAAAACGCCCATTATCCTACATGTTTCCATGACACAAATACACATTGACAAGTTGTGGGCTTTATGGTCTTTTAGTCACGGGCTGAAGTTGGTTTTAAGTTAGTTGAAAGTTGTCAAATGTCATACAATCGTTAAAATAAAGTGCCCTTCTTGTTAAATGAACATTTAATTTCGCCGATAGTAAACTATATTTAACTTAATTTTGGGTGGAGACTCCACCGTAAAGTGCCAATAAAACATTTCTTTACTTTCACTGTGAAAACTGCTTCGGATTAAACGGTCCATTTTCAAGGGATACATCTCGATTTACATATACAAATTTGACAATTGACCATATAGCTTTAAGGTAGGTTTTATAGCTGCTGTAAGGTGTGCCTTAGGAGTAATATAATAAAGCAAAGTTGCTTTGTGACTGACACACAAATTGCTCCTAAGGACAGCGATAGGATTCTCCTTTTTAGCCCTATGATGGGTTTATCTAAGCTGTATAGCTGCTGTTAAAGCAAATATGTTTTAACTAAATTACCCTTAAGAGTAGTTTTATGGAGCCCTTGTATACCTTAAAAAACCTATTTTGCTACTTGGGCTATTAACACCAGTGCTTAAATAGTATATTATGTATCAAAGCCACAACTTGTCAATGTGTATTTAAAAAGTCACTTAGTGTCATGGAAACATGTACGATAAAGGGCGTTTTAAAGGTGGGAGTAGAAAAAATATTTTAGACACTGACGTTTGTAGAAAAACAGTTTTATAATATTTTATTAAACAAGGACGCCTTAACATTTTTAATTAATAAAATTCATCAAGTTTTAAGGAATTCTCTCGAGATTATATTCGATATGGATTTCATTATTTAACGATCAAATCCAGGCTGATTTATTTTTTCAATTAAGCAATGCTGAACAAATTATAAACTCCTTCAATTATAATCTTATTTACCGATGCTTTCATTTGTTTTTGTAAAAAATTGAGTTCATCATCATTATTTTTTATTAATTGCTTTATTCAATAAAGATTTTACATTTCTGCACGTTTGATTTAAGCCAAAAAATGTATTCAAATCGAAATGTCAGATGCATTAAAAAAACAGTTCCCGCATTTCGATTAATTCTGGATTATTTTATGGAAGGAATTTATTATTTGTTCGTTGCTCGATTAAACTGTCTCGCTCCATTTATGACTGCCAACAAAATCATTCCTCTGTGGGGACTAAACCCTTAATTATGTTGTAAATATTTTAGTACCTGGAGCCGTTTCCTTCAACACAGCTAAATTTTCCATCATTTGCAAACACCAAATTAAATCTAAAAATATAATAGCCTTTATAACTTTTTGGATTTTTGCCTCGTTTTAAATATTTTCTACCTACTTCCTAGCCCGACCAACGGTGGTGGACAGGGGAGCCTGGAGGAAGATCTAAGGGCTCTTATCGACCACTACATCCTAATTCTTCGACTGGAATACATCGGCTCCGGGTAACTACACGCTAATTTTGTATATAGTTTGTGCCCTATTGTAAATGACCGATAGAATCCAATAAAAAATAAGTAATTGGTTTGAATTGGTTTGAAATGTGTTTTGGAGCTATGAATCACAAATTCATTCCAGTTGCATTCCTATTGGTAAGTTCCAATGAAGTCAGCGGCTTGAATTGGAATATACCAATCTATGCCTATGCTTGTCTCTTGGCTAAATCCAATGCACCTGGAATGAGTTGGTAATTCATTGCGCCAAACCAATTCAAACCAATTTATTAAATTTGGGTTAAAAATACCAGTTGATTTTTCATTCAAAAATAATTAAGATCCCAGAAGAATAACCGGGTAAAAACCAGAATTCATTTTTTCACAGAAGAGACAAAAAATTATTATAACTGAGTTCAGTTACTAGTAACTTTATTTCTTTATTATTTTTTTGTCTTAGTGATATATGTATTGATACATATAACTTACTAACACAAAGAAAGTAATAAAAATAAATAAATTACTCGGTCTTTCTTGCAAAGGATGTTTGTAGGCATCGTCCCTAAACCTTACACATACAAACATTTTTTTAAGGCATAAGTACACACCAATATTACTACACAACTGCCATTAAGCACAGAAACCCATAGATTATAAAATAAACCGACTAATAAAAAAACGACATTAAATAGCGTCCAAAGACTTGTTTGCTTCTTTATGATGTCGTCTCAACCATTGGAACAAGGACTGCGTACGTAGGTTTTGTGCAGATACACGAGAGCCCTCTTGCGATATTTTAAAGTATTGGGAATAATTAATTAGCAGATTTCTTTTTAGAATCTCACACTGGGAATGCCCAATTGAATTCAATTGGAAATTACCTATGGGTAGCTTTAACCAATCGAAACCACTAAAAAACAGTAGAATCCTAATTGGACTTTTCCATATTTTAAAGTATTGGGAATAACCAATTAACAGATTACTTTCTAGAATCTTACACTGGGAATGCCCAATTAAATTCAATTGTAAATTACCTATTGGTAGATTTAACCAATCGAAACCACTAAAAAACAGTAGAATACTAATCGGACTTTTCCATCATGGAAAATACCAGTAAAAACCAATTTCTGTTTTATATCGCTCCCAATTAAACCCAGTAAGTCCAATTCAGAACTATTGATACCAACCAATACTTCAATTGGTTTATATAAGGAATTAATCGGTCATTTACAACAGGGTGTATGATATGTTTATAATAAATCGCACCTGTTTATTTAATCATTGTCAAATTTTTATATATATACTACAACTGAGCCGACCCCAGTGTTACCACGTTTTAAGAAAAAAATCAGTCTACGAACTTTTTCATTTGCCAACAAAATTTTGTAACAATATATTTTAGGATGACCAAGTCTGGGTATGTTATTTACAATTCAGGAAAGTTAATCGAAAAGATTTAGTAGAGGCGGCTTGATTAGTAAATAATAGATATCGATTAGAGATAAATTTGTGAGAGGAACTCATTTTGGGTCGCGGCAGGCCTGGCAGCCGCCAGCCAACTTTGATCAATTATGCGAACGTGACTTATTACCGAAGTTCTCTCTGTTTTTATTACTACAAAGTAACAATAATAAACTGCATCTGTGGCACACTGTCCAAGTTTTTTACTCCAGAAATTCCAGAACATACTTTTTCGTTGCTTCTTTTATGGTTAATTTTTACAGCAGTTTAGAAGTACAATATAACATTGCTTACTTGTACTGTTGTAAGGGAATCATGCGGGTAAAATAAAACAAGATATTTTCTTTATTTCAAAATAAACTTTATTAAAAAACTTAATAGTATAACTGTACATAGACTATAAAAAGTGTGCTATAACTCATTGTGATGCAAAGTGATATCACTAGCGGAATCGAGGTGTGAAAACCACTGTTGGTACACGTTAATTGGATCGATCATCCAATGTTTATGAAAAGAAACTGCATCCTCAGTTTCTAGGAATCCTTGGGCGTAATCTACTGGCCGAGCCTAGAGAAAATATTTAAATTTTATTTCCCTGCATGGTATTTTTTAATTAAAAATTTAGAATGCTTTATAACATTTTAAAATTGACAAATTAAAAAATTAATTGCAACAACATTATTTTTTGGGTTTTTTGTATTATACAGGGTGATCTAAAAATGGCTCAGCAACATCGATATGCTGATTAATAGTTTTTGAGTTATACAGTTTTATACAGATTATTTATTTATATGAAATTATAATAATACGATACTCGGGGATTTTTGTCCCGCCCATCACAATTAAAAATTGTGAGTAAAAACTACACGTTATAAAATTTATTTTAAAATATTGTTTATTATGCTTGTAATAAGCTTATTAGCACAATTTATTTTAAAATATTGTTTATTATGCTTGTAATAAGCTTATTAGCACAATACATTATAAAATATTAATTTAATTAATTAATAACTTGTGGTTTTTACTCACAATTTTTAATTGTGCGGGACAAAAATTACTGAGTAACGTGAAATGCCCCTACAGTTATTATAAGTTTTGATTTTAAATGCTAACATTAGCAACCTTATTTAAATTATTTGTACAACCAGCGACGCTGTGACAGCGTTGCCAAGTTTTTTTTTTAGTTAAATGATTACAAACTTAAAAAATACCCTACAGAAATTATTTTTATAATTTTTTATATCTAAAGTAACTTTCCCTATGGTTTAAATAATCTATATTTATATTTAAATACAAAAATATAACTAAACACCGTGTCCAAAGTTACTACCATTTTAACTTTGTTTTTATTGATGCTTAAATTAGCAAATTGGTGGCATTTAAAAAAAATTAAAATGACAAAAACATTAAAACAATTAAACGTCGGATTTTCGAGATATTCAAAAATATATATTTTTTAAATGGGACACCCTGTATATTTTTACATATTTTAGAAGACAATTTAATTTGTAACAAAAAATTATAATTGCCTAAATAGTACTTATTTACTACCCTTAACTTAAAAATGAAAAAATAATAATCACTAGAACTTTTTGGTGGTTGTTGAAATAACCAAATTATTACTTTATTTTAAAAACAATCAGAAAGTTAACTTGTTTATTAAATGTGTGATACAAGATTTGAGCTTTTTAAAAGTTATTTTTTGTATCAATTATTTAATTTTCATATTTTATCATAAGTTTTATTTTGAATAACTTTATTTTCTTATACAACATATTTTTTTTATTTAGTTAATAATTATTAAGGAAGGATCCTTTTTAATTTTGCTTTCTTTAAATGAATTGAATGCGCTTTCCAACGATGCTATTCAGTTTCTTGAAGGAGTTGCTTCCCCGCTTTAGGGGTTGAGTTTAAAAAAGTAAATTTAATGTCAAAAGTTGTCCCCCCTGTCGTAGAAATTGCCGTGTTTTAGGATTTTTTATGAAACCCTTTAGTTCAAAAGTTTTGGGGGGGGGGCAAATTTTATATGGAACACCCTGTATATATATATTTTCAATCCTGCAAATAAGTTAAAAATATACAGGGTGTACAATTTTTTTTGTAAATATTTTGAAAACCCGACGTTTAATTTTTTTACTGTTTTCACCATTTAAATCAGAAGAAAAAATGCCACTAATTTGCAAATTTAACCGACTTTGCAGCTCCCAAAATAACGCAGATGGTGTATTTAAATATTGCTAAACAAGTTTTGGTAAAAAACTTTGATAATTTCCAAAAAACATCACAAAAACCGCTAAAAAATGCCCATACAAGTTTTAAATTTTAAAACAATTATTTTATAAAATTAAATATACTAAAACTAAAATGATGGCTGAAATTGTCTTAAATAAAAAAAAATGTTCGCAAAATTGTTGAAAACCGCAAAAACCTTAATAAAACTTGTAAATTGTCTAAAATAAATGTATACATTATTATACATTATAATCTTAAAAAAATCTTCATAATTGACAAAAATCGTTAAAAGCACAAATACACATGTACATTAGGGTGATGCAAAAAAATTTTTTTTTTGAATTCTATGTGAGACCACTCGGGTTTTCAAAGAGTATCAAGAAAATAAAAATCTGTAAAAATTTGAGAGAAATCAATTAAAATTTAGAGGTCGCTCAACGCAATTGTTTAATTTAGAAAAATCACGCATCTCAAATGCATTGCTATAAACAAGTAGGCATATTTCATACAAATTTGAATGAAAATGGTTGAATTTTTTTTTGGTGGACTCTTAATGATTATTCTAATAAATAATGTTGTCCCGATTTCAAAAAATTGTTCATAATATTTAAAAAATATATATTAATTAGCAAATATAGCTTAGTTAACAAATAATTCATTAAATTTTTTTTTTGTTTCAAAATCTGTAAAAACATTGTTAATAAGTCTACAAGCAATTATTCATTCACAAAAACACTCGCCCCCATCGTTAAATATGAGAAAAAAAATAATATTTTAATTAACTACACTTCGCGTCAAATTTAACGCACCACTAAAAGTTTGTCACATTTTCGAAGTTGATTTTCTCGCGAACCGTCAAACCGAATTTAGTGATTTTTATAATAAATTGTAGGGTTATTCTTCGGTAATATTGCGTTTATTAAAATATTTTTTTAAATTAACATTTTGAGTATATACAGGGTGATAATAAGTTTTTTCCCGGAAATTTAAAACGCCCTGTGGATTGTACCAGCTATAACACGGCCATTCCAAGCCCATGGACAGGACACATCAGAAACATGTCTAAATATATTCTTGTTACTTCCTTAAGTTTACTTATTTTTTCTACGAGTATTTATGAGAAGTATTAGCCAAATTTGGCTAATACTTCTCATAAATACTCGTAGAAAAAATAAGTAAACTTAAGGAAGTAACAAGAATATATTTAGACATGTTTCTGATGTGTCCTGTCCATGGGCTTGGAATGGCCGAACAGCATATGTATCTTATAATCAAACTATAGCCACATCTTCTCTTAACATTTTGTTTTTTGATTCACCGCGTTATCTTTATTTTTAAATGAAATATTAAAGAACTCCAGTTTAATACAAAAATGTAAAAAGAACGATTGTAACAATAACAACAAAAATATTAACAAAATCAATAAAACGAACATTAAAGAATATCAATATCGCGTATTTCTGCCTCTACATCTAATTACGGCTTCACATCGACGGCTCACACTCGAAACCAGATGTCTAATCTCGTCTTGATCAATGACATTTCATATTTCTCGTAGCATATTTGCTACGTCATCAAGGGAGGCAGGCAAGGGATCATGATTTCTTAGTCGTCTACCCATATTATCCCACAAATGCTCGATGGTGTTGAGATCCGGACTATTTGCAGGCCAGTCTAAAGTTTTAACACCCACCTCATGTAAGTACTCTTGCACTATATAGCATTATCCTGCATCAGTAAAAAATTATTACTGGGCGAAAGGGACAACATGCTCAAATAAAATGTCCTCGATATATCGTACACTATTCATGGTACCTTAATTTTTAATCTTTAAATGTATATTTCATTTAAAAATAAAGATAACCCGGTGAATAAAAATACAAAATGTTAAGAGAACATGGGGCTATAGTTTGATTATGAGACATATGCTGTTATAGCTGGTACAACCAACAGGGCGTTTCAAATTTCCGGAAAAAAACTAATTATTACACTTGCACCCTATATATACTCAAAATGTTAATTTAAAAAAATATTTTAATAAACGCATTATTACCGAAGAATAAACCTACAATTTATTATAAAAATCACTAAATTCGGTTTGACGGTTAAATATGTATATACTCAAAACTTAAATTTAAAAGAATTTTTTAATAAAGGCATCATAACCAAAGAATAAACCTCAATTTTAAAACAAAAATTACCAAATTCGCTTTGACGGTTCGCGAGAAAATCAACTTTGAAAATGTGACAAACTTTTAGTGGTGCGTTAAATTTGACGCGAAGTGTAGTTAATTAAAATATTATTTTTTTTTCTCATATTTAACGATGGGGGCGAGTGTTTTTGTGAATGAATAATTGCTTGTAGACCTATTAACAATGTTTTTACAGATTTTGAAACAAAAAAAAAATTGAATGAATTATTTGTTAACTAAGCTATATTTGCTAATTAATATATATTTTTTAAATATTATGAACAATTTTTTGAAATCGAGACAACATTATTTATTAGAATAATCATTAAGAGTCCACCAAAAAAAAATTCAACCATTTTCATTCAAATTTGTATGAAATATGCCTACTTGTTTATAGGAATGCATTTGAGATGCGTGATTTTTCTAAATTAAACAATTGCGTTGAGCGACCTCTAAATTTTAATTGATTTCTCTCAAATTTTTACAGATTTTTATTTTCTTGATACTCTTTGAAAACCCGAGTGGTCTCGCATAGAATTCAAAAAAAAAGTTTTTTTGCATCACCCTAATGTACATGTATATAAAAAAAGTTTATAAAAGTTTTGTAAATTTTAAAATTTAGAAATCATAAAAAACTGAAAAATTTTAACAAAACTTTTTGGTAAAATAAATTATCTTAAGGAATTGCTAAAACATTACAAAAATAATTTGAATTAAACTTTAAAAGGCTGTTTTTCTCTTATTTTTAAGTTTTGATAAATTTAAGTTAATTGATATATTGGTTTGTTTATTTGTTAAAAAAGCGTCCGTAAAATTGTTGATTAAATATAAAAAATAAAATAATTAACATTTTTTTAAATCGTACAATATACAAAAGTTTTGTAGATTTAAAAAATTTAAATTTACATAGGGATAAGAAATTTAAATAAAAATTCTTTAAAAAATCATTTAAAAAAACGTAAAACTATTTTTATGAAACACCGTTGAATTCAGAATTGAATGCGCTTTCCAACGATGTGTAACTCGACTCCTTATGCTATTTAAGATTCTTGAAGGGGTTGCTTCCCCGCTTTAGGGGTGAGTTTAAAATAGTAAATTTTATTTCAAAAGTAGTCCCCCTGTCGTAGAAATTGCTGTTTTAGGATTTTTTATGAAACCCTTTCGTTCAAAAGTTTTAGGGGGGCAAATTTTATATGGAACACCCTGTATAGGTATATATATATTTTCCATCCTGCAAATAGGTAAAAATATACAGGCTGTACCATTTTTTTTGTAAATATTTCGGAAACCCGACGTTTAATTTATTTACTGTTTTCACCATTTAAATCAGAAGAAAAAATGCCACTTATTTGCAAATTTAACCGACTTTGTAGCTCCAATAATAACTCATATAACTTTGGATGGTGTATTTAAACATTGCTAAAAAAGTTTTGGTAAAAACTTTGATAATTTACAAAAAAACAAAATTAAAACCGCTAAAAAATGCCCATATAAGTTTTAAATTTTAAAACAATTATTTGAAAAAATTAAAAGTACTAAAACTAAAAAGATGTTCGTAAAATTGTTGAAAACCGCAAAAACCTTAATAAAACTTGTAAATTGTCTAAAATAAATGTAATCTTAAAAAATCTTCATAATTTACAAAAATCGTTAGAAGCACAAATACACATGTACACGTGTGTTTATAAAAAATTTATAAAAGTTTTGTAAATTTTAAAATTTAGAATTCATAAAAAACTGAAAAATTTTAACAAAACTTTTTGGTAAAATAAATTATAAATTTAATTAAATATAAAAAATAAAATAATTGACATTTTTTTAAATCGTACAATACACAAATATTTTGTAGATTTTAAAATTTTGAATTTATATAGGGATAAGAAATTTAAATAAAAATTCTTTAAAAAATAACATTAAAAAAAAACTTGAAACTATTTTTATGAAATTGGTAATAGTGTATTAAAAACAAAATTACTAAAAATCACTCAGAATGGGACATACATTTTTAAAAAATATTCATAAAAATGATCAAATAAATATATATATAAAGTTTTTTAAACATAAAATTACTTACCTGATGAAAAAGTGGCGAATGCGTTACAGTGAGCCCCAGTCTGGCTATACAAATACCGAGGTACATATCGTCGGGTGTGGTAAGAGAAGGGCATTCGCATAGCTCAGGTTTAACGAGTTCGTCCAAAAGAGATCGGCTGAAAACCATACCGCCGCCCCCAGTGATGTAATTGTACCCGTGATGGTTGTTGATATTTTGCACGTTGTAACCGTACCGTTCGCCTAAGGCGACCATCTCGTCGGGGTTGTAGCAAGAGAGCAGCTGCTGCATTCTCGAGACACTGCAAGAAAATTATACGATAAATTGAGGCGTCTACTTGCAATAGTGGCTACATCCATATTTTATTAAAATTAATCTAACAGTAGAAAACTATATTATAAGATGTGCTTTATCACGTGATAAACTCAATTTATTTTAAAAGCGGTGAGATCCCGCTAAAAAGTACGTTTAAATTTTGGAATATTTTGCAAATCCATTGTTTCAATAGCGGCTACTTCCAAATTACACACTGTTTAAAATATCTGTGGTGTAAAAAGTAATCTTAAAATGGTGTCAAAATCCAACACCAAGTGGTGTTAATATAACACCATGAATTACGGTTAAAAATGTTATACAGCAAACACCAAAACGGTGTTTATCTAAAAATATTTTAGAAGTGCACCTACACAGAAAAAAAGGAATAGTTAGTCATTTAACTATATTAATTTAGTTAAGTATTTATTTAAATCAACTGTGGGAAGATTAATATAAACAAAGATTAGTTTGACGGTACTAAACCAGATAGTTATTTTATTTTTTAAATTGGTTAAATTAACCCAGAAAACTTTAGTGAAACCAACCCGCTGTATGGTTCAGTTTACTAAATATGTTGTTTGTAAAATAAGAGTTACTTCAACCTAAAGCACTCTGTTAAAACGATTAAAACAATTTGCCGTGCATTCCTGGTTACATAGTGTGTACCGATCGCGGCAAAGGCGGTGTGTATCACGTGATGTTCTTAAATCTCGCCTCTGTTGACTTACATGAAGAGTAACAAGCTCAGGTAGTCCTTTGCTTTGGTGTGACACTACAAGTTGTTCGATACTAAAGAGACCTTAAATAGGTGGAAACAGCTGTCAATACTTGAAGTATTTGAAGTATTTTAAGTTGGTGGAACGCACTAAAAACATTATCTCTAGCGAGTTGAAGGTTCAATTTTCTGGAATAATACCACTGGTAATACACTGTTTAAAATATCTGTGGTGTAAAAAGTAATCTTAAAATGGTGTTCCAACACCAAGTGGTGTTAATATAACACCATCAATTATGGTTGAAAATGTGTACCGATCGCGGCAAAGGCGGTGTGGATCACGAGATGTTCTTAGATCTCGCGTCTGTTGACTTACATGAAGAATATATAAACTGAGGTAATCCTTTGCTTTGGTGTAACACTACAAGTTGTTCGATACTAAAGAGAACTTAAATAGGTGGAAACAGCTGTCAATACTTAAAGTATTTTAAGTTAGTGCAACGCACTAAAAACATTATCTCTAGCGAGTTGAAGGTTCCATTTTCTGGAAAAATACCACTGGTAATATACTAGTAATGCGTCAAGGAACTTCCTGTTTCCTTTTTTTATGTGTAGTATGATTTAATTTGACCAAAAACACATTATATTTAACACTGAAAAGGGGTTCAATTTACACCAGGTAAAATTTATTTTAATACTGTGTGAAAGTTAAATTTACACCATTTTAGTATTTGAATTTACACCGGACCAACGAACCTTATTTAACACCATTTTGGTTTGTATCGATATAGACCATGTATGGTGTTAATTTGGTGTTAAAATGGTCATGAAATTTTGAACAGTGCATGTTTTTAACATCTGCAAAAAATCGCAGTCACCATATTTACACAACAGTGACAGTTTTACATTGAGGTGTATCATCTAGAGATGTGCGATAGTCAAAAATTCGACTATCGATATTTTCGATATGATAGTTTTAATGCTATCGATACTATCGATATTACTATAGACAGCACGGAAAAAGTTGTTTGAAGTTGAAATAAGTAAAAAATATATTTAAAACAGAATATAAAAATGTATTTAAAACAACAAATCGTTGAGTGAAGTTACACCTTACAATGGAAAAAAACATTATGGAATAAATTGGCAAGAAATTGATTTTTTACATTATTACAAAAAAATACTAACTGACAATAAATTGTTTTCTGCATTTTCTGAAGTTGCAGTTTGTGAAACGTCTGAAGAAACAGAACAACCTAGTATTTAAATAAATCTTTATCTTGTTTTATCCTATTATTCTTTTTGGAGTAGGTAATGTTTTCAGAACGCACCATTGTTTTTTCTTAACTCATTTAAATTTAATTACTAAAGAATGTTAGTTACTAACCACATTTACTTTGTTATTTTTTGCATTATTCTTATAATAAACAATAAAAATTGCAAATAGACGCCTCAATTGATGTAATTAAAATAATATTTTTAAAGTAGTTTTAAGTTTCAAAACAATCAGGCGAACTCTTCCATCCATGGCACTCTGTACATCCAGATAAAACTAAGTGGTTGCACTATCATTAATTTTCCGTTCAGTTGTTAAATCCTGAAAGTTAGCGCGAGCAAAACCGAAAGTTTCGGCAAATAATGCCTTGATGGCGAAATTATGCAGTAGAGTTTTATTATTAGTTCGCTAAAACTCTGGACAATACGAACTGCAAAACAACCCGCATATGATATTCAAAAGGCGCTCAAAGATTTATGCAGTCTAAACAAAAAAATTGATTAAATATATTTGATTTTCAATTAGGCGAAGTTTAATGGAAAAATATAAAATTAGATCACTCCATAATCTCGAGGAATATAGGTTACAAAATCGTGGAGTTTGGAAAGTTTTCTTATGAAACGACCGAACTTCTGTGTATCTTTTAGTCGTTTGCTCGGTTTATCGAAGATCCAAACTTTCAAATATTCACTCTAGGAGTGATAACAAAATTATTAGCTCAACTTTGCTCAATAAAAACAGCTAATTGGACCAAGTAAGACATTATTAAACAAGTCCTAAAACATGCTCTTTTTGTCTGGTGTAAAAATGAATTATTAGTGGCTATTAGTAAAAATTAAATACCCCATAACATATACACTGTTATAAAAATCAGATTTTTTAAAATGTAGTTTGTTAATTTTATTTTGTTAAATTTTAACATAATTTTTTGTATTAAACCAGAGTTTGTAATTATTTTAACAAAGGAAAATATTTTACCGAAAGTTTTGTAAAGGTAATATGCAATTTTGTTAGCATTTTGTTAATTTCAAATGTTACAGATTATTTCGTTGAAAAAGTACACGTGATTTCAGGCATCAACATGTTCAACTGACTTCAGCGTCTACAACTTATGTTTCTGCTTACTTTATTCTAATTCGTAACGTGTTCGTAACAACTGTCCAGAGTGTTTATAATATATTACCAGAAATGTGTTATTATTGTTATTCCTTTGGATTCCTTATACCTATTTAACGAGTGTGCGAAGTATCTGAAAAAAGATGGCATTATTGGTTTTCAAACTGAAATTAGTGGGCTAAAGTTACGAAATATCTTTAAGTTTTAATTTGCTTTAAGTTTTCAGTGAAATTAAATGTTAAACACAGCTTAAACATTCCAAACTACCTATTTTTTAAATAAAAATCCAAACAAATTAAAATTATATACCTACATATTTATTAAACAATTAATTGAATTCAATGTAATAGCAAAAATCCATTTCTACTTAAATCATGTATTGTCAAACTATTACTGCTTCTAAAAGCTATAATAATTATTGTACATTTAATGTAATCTTTAGCTAATAAATAAATGAGATTCTAAAAAAGTGAGGTTAGGCCGCTTTGATGTTGAATTAAATTGACCTATATAAAATATAAGATAAAATGTTGTATGCCATTTGGCCAAGAAGTGCCTTTTTGTGCTTCGCTCAATTGTAGGCCTCCGCTAAGCGTTGGCCTTCAAACCTTGAGCTTAGCACAAAAAGCCTTACTTCTTAACCTAATGACATAAATAACTATTATTTATTTATTTTTACTTCTATGTTAACTGTCTTTGTCAAACTTATATTAGATTATACTATCCCTCCTTTTTTAAATGGAACCACTACGGACTTGGCTTTTCAATGTCGTGGTTTATTAAATATGTACTGGTAATTTATAATTTCCAGAATAACAATATAATGTTTAATTAGGCAGGTAAATTTATAACTTAACTCTTGAACTTATGAATTTAGTTTTTGTAAAATAAATGCGCTTCATCAATATTTAAGTATAAACAAATTATTTATTTAATAATGTTTATAAATAAAAAATTCTTAATATTTATTATTAATTTTTTATTTAATTATTAATACTGTCTATTACCAACAAAATTACTATTTATTAAAAAGTAAACAACCCTTTACAAACAATTAAAATAATTTATTTATACTATAATATATATATATATATATATATATAATTAACAAACATTTTTTAACTGTGTAAATTGGACTCTTCCGAAAAATTTTAACATTGCTACCCATTTCATCGTTAATTACTCCTATATGTAAATGTCACTTGAGTTCTAAATTCTAAATGCAAATTAACCCCACTTAACGTGTGACTGCATTGTAAGACACGATTTCTTATTAAAAAAATTGAGCTATATTTAAACAAAAGTATTGTAACAGCCACTACTCGTATGTAAAAACGTTCTTATGGTAAATTCATTTCAGCAATTCCCTGGAATAACCAAACATTAGCAACCTATATTTCGTTTAGTTTGTTTTACACGGCTTAGAAGGGTTGAAGAAAAAATTTTTCTAATACAACTTTTTCCAATTTATAATCTGAATTATAATGCTCAGAAATTAACATATCTATCTTACCTGGGCGAGGGTAAAAAAATAAAAGGATTTTAAGGGGAAAATTTGAATAATCCCGATTTTTTATCATTCAACCGATGTCATTGCCAGATTATTTGGGTCTGGTGTCAGAAAGTTTCGAACGGAAACTTTACAGGCCAAACTGCAAACTTTCGAAACTTCGTTTTACCAATATTAATTAAATTCTAATTATCAATTATAGGAAACAATTTCCAAGCTGTGCTTTGGATCGCTACCGATTGTTTCTATTAATTTTGAAGAGTCCTTGCAATATACAGGGTCAATATTTATTAAATAGTGTTTCTTGTCCTATGATTTTAAACCATTTTTAAATTTTAAATTGCTCATTATACCAGTTGTAAAATTGTCCCCTGAATCCGAAAATACCGTCAAAAATTATAAAAGTGGGTCAGTTTTTGAGATATATATGATTTAATATGACATATTAAATGGAAAATTGACTATATCTCGATAACTGTTCTACTTTTTTTAACTTTTTTTTTACATAAGAATTGGCTGTTCAATTTTGGGATACCATGGTATTCCATGGGTAACCATGGTACAAGTGAAAAAGCAGCTAGTAATAACTATTAAATTAGTCATTTTTGACTAATTCATTTTTAGAGAGTATAATGTCGTAAAGAGAGGTTTTTGCTTATTTAAAATGATTATTTAAAACAAAAACAGATTCACGGAAGATAGAATCAATTTTTGTAACAACTACATAAATGGTTATAAAAATTATTTTTTTTAATTTTTAATAATATTTTATATTTGATTTGATTGCTGTGGATGTGTTTAATTTACTTAGTGAACTGATATTTTTAGTATGCTTTTACTAACTCAGATATTTGAAAACATATACAAGGTTAACCTAGAAAGAGTAACAGTCACGGAGGATAGGTTTTAGACTTTTAAAACATTGTAAAAAATAATTAATTGCGGTTAAAAATCTGGAACCTGAGCTGTAATATCTACTTAATTATGAAAAATCAAAACACAATAAAAGTTTAGGTCAAACTCATTTAGTTTTATTAAATATCACGGGGTAACACCATCGGGGGACATTTCGTGAGATTCACCCATATAAATTCAGAGGTAACGACCATGACTATTGGTTATTTATGTGACTGCTATATAACTTAAGGTGTTGGCGCTTGCGCAGAAAATACTGATGAAAACATAACCTCAATTTTGTGTTATTGTAGGTTTGCTAAATAGATTATAATTACTTAATATGTAGTACAAAATCGTCCAGACTGAGGAACCAGGGCGTGAAAAACAATCGTGCCTTGTGCTTGGGAAGTTAATAATGTTTTATTTTGGCCGAAAAACAAAAGAAACTCAAGAATCATGTTTAAAAAAAGACAAAGTTTCAAGATCTGTGAAAAACACCATGCATGCAAAAATCAAAATTTAAAGTTATGTCCCAATTGGACTTTAATTATTTTAATTTTGATTAATATGACTACCTATTACTAGAAATATAGGGACTAAAATTACTTTCGTTTTATAAAAACAACTAAAAGAAACCTTTGCAACCAGAAGTGTATTATGGCTTCTAAATAAAATTTAGTAACAAAATAGTGTAAATAATTTCCTTTATAAAATCCGGAGCAAGAAGGTTTATAAACCATTTTACAAAAAAGTTATATAACCTGGTTATAAAACTTGAGGTGTTATGAACTAAAGGTTTTGTAAAAAAGGTAACGAACAGTATTCCGCAACCATGTTATAAAACTTTTGGCGATAAGTAATAGATGTGACCACTTTAAAACCTAAATCACTGTGGGTTATTTTTATTACTATTATAAACCTTTTATATAAATAATGAGTACTTTAGGTACTTAAAAATGCTACTATAGGTAATTAAAAATGTTACACTAGTGTTACTTGTCCTATGATTTTAAACCGTTTTTAAATTTTAAATTGCTCATTAGACCAGTTGTAAAACATGTTTAGAACTTTTAGCGAACTATGGACAAACCCTTTTAAATAAAGTTAAAAAATAGGGATTTGGGAGAAACGAAATCGTTTTCGCTTGAATCGAAAGCGTTGCGATAAATTACCTGAGAATGGTGTCGTCGTCGGCCACAACGATCCACTTGATCTGCGGCCGGTGCCTTATCTCTCCTGCGACGTGCCGCAGGATCCCTACGGTCTTCCTGCAGTGTCCCTGCTCGCTGTTCGGAATTCCCACTGTCACGCTTGGGATCGACGCGTCTGCGAAACGAATAAAAGAAGGAAAACATTGAGAATCAAAAATCGAAAGAAAAACATTGAAAGTTTGAGCTATAAGCAACAATATTGGAGGTGAACTTGAGATAAAGGTGTGGTGTGTAGTTTATATGTACAGGGTGTTTTACGTTCGTGGTACATTTAAAGTTTCCGGGAAACGGCAAAAGATATCGATTTGAATTTGTTAAAGCTTTTATAATCCAATTAATAAATAAAATATTTCAAATAGAACAGCCCATAAATTCTACATAAAATTCAAATAAAATTACTTTATTTGTTTTTATTATGTTTGCGGATATGGGGGTGGAATTTTTGTAATATTAAAACATTGTTTAAAAGATTTCATGTCATATAACATATCTCAACAAATTACTTGAGAAAAACCATGGCAAATTAGATTTGAATTGATTTGAATTTATTTTAAATGTAACACCTTGTATGTTTTTGCATAATCAAATAGGAAATTAAAAAATATTTCCATTTATTTAACTATTCCCTATACCTAAATTTAATAATTTAAGAGTTATTTAACAATTCCCAATATTAGATCAACAATATTCAAGAATAGCAAAGTCTAATATTTCTACAAGAATTAAGAAATACTTGAATATAAATCAGCTACAGCTTTGTTGAATGTCACTGATTTGTAATTTTGTTTACAAAACACTTAATTAGTCAACAAATTGACGCCATTAAATTTATACCGATAACTCATTTATTAGATAAATTTTATCAATTTTATACCATTTTAAGTTTTTACTATTTCTTTTCAAAGAAAAAATAAAAATTTAAAATGATTTAAAATTTGTATGATTTGGATTTTTTAAATAAAATTTGAAATTTGTTGATAAACTATGGTTAATAATAAATTGCACCAATTAAATTTATATTATATTTATTGTGGGCGCCATGGGGCCGGTACGGCACAGCAAAAAGTTATCTTTTTTCGCATTCAATTTAAATTCTGCTTGCGCAGAACTTGTTTATTTAATGTCATTAAAAACTCATATAAATTTGGTGTGGGTCCCATATCTAATAATTGAGATATCGGTGACATCGGTGACATATTACGTGTTAACCACAGATACCGTCAACTCGCCTGTCACAGGTTTCTTGATACAAATTAATATTTAATATTTTATAAATTGTTAAATATCTTTGAAATTATTAACTTTAGGTATAGAGAATAGTTAAATCAATCGAAAGTTTTTTTAATTTACTATTTGAATATGTAAAAACATACTTAATATTACATTTAAAATAAAAAAGCTACCTCCTTCTTGCCCCAGCGCTGCAAAATTATAATTTATACTTAATTTCAAAAATAAAAAACTTACTAGAAACATTTTTCAGTTGATTTATTACATATATTTTTTAGTAATATGATTATATTTATTCATTTTCATCATGTTTTGATTGTCAAAAACCCAAGTCAAAATTGGTTGTATTAAAATATGTGATTTGGTAATTTAAAGAGGATGTTTTTTTAAAGGATATATGGATGTAAATATTTGGAATGTAATAGATGAGAAGAGATAATGGAAAGAAAGTTACATTATGATAAAAATATAAGAAGGGTTAAGTGTAGCGACTTTGATTATGTAATTTAAAACATTTATATATTAATGCCTAGGCAAGCTATAAGCTTATTGGTATGTATATATTTGTAATAATAATAATAATAATCGTCAGTATATTCGACTCCGCCGTTATCATCAGCTTGGTAGAATGTTAGATTTTCATAAAAAGGTAAATCATTCTTGGGTACGTATTGTCTTGCCAACGATATATATTCTTAAACTTAGAAACTCATATAAGTTTGGTGTGGGTCCCAGGTCTACTAACTGAGATATCGGTTTACCTACCCAAAATCCTGGACCTAGGTCTTTCTTGCTCCAATTGCCAAGTGGCGTATTTTGCAGTTTCTTGTTTAGGCATAACTGTTATTGGGATTTGCGTCGATTTTGCACCAAACCATAGAGAACATAGAATGGGCCCACAAGCTTAATTTATGCAAAAATTGGAGCTGCAAGGTCATCAATTATACTAAGAATTTTATGTAGAATTTCAAAATATAAAAATATTTAGGGTGTTCTATTTAAAACAACAAAGTTGATATCACTTCCGGTTAAACCGGAAGTGGCATTAGGTTCAATATATTTTAGAAAAATAGACTTAGGTGAATTATAAACGCTTTTAAAATTTCAAATCCATTTCTTGTTCCGTTTCCCAGAAACTTCTAATGGACAACGAATACGAAACACCATGTATATTCTAAAGAAAAGAGTTTTTGAGATTTAAAATTTTCGATTTAGGTACGAAAAATATCAAATATTAAAAAAAAACGTCAAAACTATGAACAAATATTATATAAAAAAACACATAACATGGGGATATTTAATAATGGCAACGCAGAGAGCTAGAAGCAAAACGAAAGCAGCTACGTGAAAATCAGCTTGGCAGTAAATTTCGACGCCGAGCGTCGTATTTCCTGTTGTTTTACGTCAGCAGAACGCGATAAATATCCGCAGAAATTAGATGCAAGCTAAAAGAAAGAGTGGCGAGGGAGTTAAACGAATTCGCGTATATACATACATAGGTATATGCCGAGAAAAATGGATAGTAAAATCTATTTCTTAAATATTTTTAGTATTGGTCTTGTCTTAAAAGTAAAACTTTGTTTATAAAAAATTAATTTAACATACCAAAATGTTTTTGAAATAATTGGTGTCCCAAACAGGATGAGTGAAAAATTAAATCATATCTTTTTTGTGCATTAACTGTTAACTAACAAAAAAGGTCGTCTTAGGGCTGACACTAGTTTTTGGTGGATAATTTCCATGGATACCTTTGTCCTCACAAAGATCGATATGGAATTTAACTGTCAGATAGACTAACTGGAACTTAACCAGAGATTAATAAACCGGCCCTTAGAAGCACAGTTTAGCAATTACCTCTTACAGACATTTTTTTTTCAATTTTGAACACCCCTTACCTCCAAAATAAACATTGAAATAATACTAGTATTATTTCTATGAAAATAAAGCGATTGCAGACCCAAGTTTATATGAACATTTTTCCTTTAAATTATTCAAGGATTGGGCCCATTCAGTATTAGCCATCAATTAAGAAAAAAAATTATATTATTTTATAATATAACTCTCACTTGCGAGTCATTTATTTCCCAAGTTGATTTTTTTTCTTGGATATTATTTAAATTATTTGGTTTTAGTCTAGAACAATAAAAAAAATTCAGATGTCTTTTAACCCTTTCTAAAGGATATTTTAATGAGTTTATACCTGGCTTGTTTTACTTGGGTTAAAATAATTTTGAAAAAAAAAATTTTTTTCCGATCTCGTTTAACCCTGCCCAAATGATGATATTTTTAATTATTTTTTATATATTTTGACCTTTGTCCTCCGGCATCATTTAAATGGGTGGTTTAACAATAACACGTATGGGACTTTTTTGTAGAACACAAAATTTCCCACAAAAATTTGTCTTGTCCATTAATAAGCGAGTTATGAAGTTTTTATTAGGCAAAAATCAATAAAAATAAACATTTAAACGGCTTAGGAAAAATATATTTTTCCCTTCCAAATTGTTTAGCTATTTTTATTATTTTTTCTACTTCCACCTTTAAAACGCCCATTATCGTACATGTTTTTATGAAACTATAGTTTATAAGTGACCGTTTAAATACACATTCACAAGTTGTGTCTTTATGGCACTTTAGTCACGGGCTGAAGTTAGCAACAGGTTTTTAGTCACGGGCTGAAGTTTTGACAGTTGTCATACAATCGCCTTTCTTGTAAAATAATACTAAATGTGAAAATTATTGTATTATCTCAATACAAAAATACAAAAGTATTACATGGTTTGACGCCAATATTTAAAGATTATATGAACGTTTGTACTGACCTTTTGATTTCGCCGTAGTCGTGCAGTTAACTAGATTTAACTGATAGAGCGTTAAACTTTTGTTTACAGTGCCCATTAAACATTCTCTTCTCTTTTATTGTAAAAAACTGCTTCTATATCGATTGTTAGCCTACTTCCAAGGGATAAATTTTGATTTACACAAAAATTTAACGCAGGTAGATTGCCAAGTTATAAATTCAAACGGAAATTCCAATAAATACAACTGTCACTTTTTTCCCGTGTAAGAATTTTTAATACTTGTGATCATATTTTGCAATTATAGTAATAAAAAAATCAAAAAATATATTTTCTAAACATTATCATATTTTAATATTTAATTTAATATTTTAAAGTATCAATAATTGTTAAGTTTAATTAAAATAATAAAGGGCAATGCTACGTCAAAAATGTTTACTGGGATGGTTACTTTACTTTTGTATATCGCTGTATACAAATATTTAATTTAAAATTTTTTTAGATAATATTAAGTATTTTTCGTATAGAAAAAATATAGTATGCAACTCGTTTATAAACTTTTCTAGGTACTCAATTAACTAAGCACTCGCTCGTAAGCTCGCTTGTGCCTAAATTAACAACTTATGAATTTCAGAAAAAACTTATCTTTTCATTTATTTCAAACATTGTCCTCTGATATTATTTAAATATATGGTTATACACAAAAATCGTAAAAGACCTTTTTTATAAAGCGTAAAATTTCCCAAAAAAAGTCTTTTATATTGATGCATTTCTATTAATAAGCTAGTTAAAAATATTTTATTTCATTGAAATGTAATTTAAGTAGTGTTAAAAAAAAATTAAAAAAATTGTTTTTAGAATTTCCACAAGAAATTAAAAGTGAAAAAAAGAACAACTTGTGATATAACTAATACCCTTATGTTTACATAATATTTTTTAAATATTTTTATGTATATGTTTTTTTGTCAACCCTTTATACATATTATAAATAACTATAATGTTTATTTTCCTATAAGCCTCTAGAGAAATAATATAATAAATACCTATACATAATGCCCCTCTATTCCGTAATTTTTTGTGACACCCT